AGTTTTCTTATTAAGAAGAAGAAGCTCTTAAGTAAGTAAGTATTATAGCTACAGGAGCTAGCCCTATATAACTTTAAGATTATATATAGACTGGGTAAGGCTAATCCCGCTAATAAACTATTTTATTAGGCAGACTTATATTAGTTATAAAATAGAGAGTAGTTATCTCTTAGATATCTTATACCTTTTATAAATAGATTTTATATTAAACTGTGTTTAAAAAATAGAAGGACGTAGGGAAAGGGACCCTGCCCTAGATTAATAATATAAGATAACTGCTTAAACTTAAGGTTATACCTTAACTTAACCCCTTAAGCTAGGAAAGACTTACTAGGAAATAAGCCCTGCCTTTAGTATGCGACTTATAGGCTAGCTAGATTTATGTAAATAGTATATAGGAGTACTATTATAATATTAAAGGAATTACCTAAAACTTTATAGAAGGTATTACTTATTATATAGTAAGGGGATGCCTAAGTATAAGAGTTAATAGCTAAATATAAAGCCCTAGGGAGGACTTATAGTAGATAGAGTATAGATAAGAAATATCTCCTTTATTATAAGGCTAGAATTTTTATACCTTATAGTATAAGGTAAGAGATATTAACCCTGTTTTATAATAATAAAATAGCTGGCTACTTAGGTATTAGCAGAAGCTATATATAAATAGCCTGGACTTATTTTTAGCAAGGTATAAAGAGAGATCTAAAGAAATATATTAGTATTTACTATATATATTAGATAATAAAGCCCTGTTACTATAAACCTTATAGGGAATTAGTAGTATTACCTATACTAATACAGCTGTAGGAGAAGCTTTTAATAAACTTTATCATAGGGCTCTCTAAAATTATAAAATAAAAGAAAACCTATAACTTAATATTTATTATTATTAATAAATTTATAAAATATATATTATACCTCCTATACTTATAGTAAATAATTATAGATAGGTTAGCTAATAAGTTCCTTTACTATATTTTTAAGCTATATAGAATTCCTAAAGGAATAGTATTAGATTAAGAAAGCTTTTTTACTAGTGTGTTCTAAAGGATTTTCTATTACTTACTAAGTTATAAAAGGAGACTTAGTACTGCCTTTTACCCCTAGATAGATAGCTAAATAAAATAGCAAAATTAAAACCTTAAATACTATCTTAGGGCCTTCTGTAATAAAGATTAGCTTAACTAGTTATATAAGCTCCTGCTTATAGAATTTATATATAATATAGTAAAGTATTTAGTAACTAAGTAGATATTAGTGTACTTACTGCTTAGCTATAAGCCTAACCCCCCCTTTATTAATAATAATAATTTATAATATATAAATAAAAATACTATTAATTAGGTTAATAAAATAGTTAAAGACTAAGAGAATATAGCTATTACTTTATAATACTTTAGTAACTTATATTATAAATAGTATAATAAGGGGAGGCAGAGGAAGATATTTAATATAGAAGATTAGGTATTAGTGTTAACTAAAAACTTTAAACTTAGAAGACTAAGCTAGAAGCTAGTACTTAAATACATAAGACTTTACTAAATTAATAAAGTTATTAGTATAAGCAGCCTTGCTTATTAGCTAAGGCTTTTAACCTTAGTTAAAATATACCTAGTGTTTAATATTATAACCCTTAAGGAATTTAGAAGTAGGGATAAAGTCCCTAAGGAGCTAGAGGATAACCCCTTTATACTAGAGGAGATATATAATATTAAGAAGATTATAAAATATAAGAAAAAAGGAAGGGGCTATATTTACTATATAAAATAAAAGGGCTATAGTAAAGAATATAATTCCTAGGTATTAAAGAAGGATTTTATAGACTAGAACTTTATAAAGGAATATAAAAATAACCTTTAATAGGATTTTATAAAGTCCTAAGGTATAGATAATACCTTAGCTGTATTAGGAGTAGTTTAAATAGTGAGAAGCTTAGTAGGTATAATACGCAAGTACTAGCTTAAAGGTTTTATATAAATATATAAAATCTACTATAGGAAGTAAGGAAGAACCTGTAAGCTCCTTAAGGCAGCTGAGATAGTAAGAAGCTTGGTAAATATAATCTATAAAGGTATGTAGCTAAGGCAAGGATTAACTTAAAGGGCTTACGTAAATATATAAGATCTGCGGCAAAAGATAAAGTAAGAAAAAACCCGCGAGGTTTCTAAAGTAGCTTAAATAGTAAAAAGCTTAGTAAATATAATCTATAGATAGTAGTATAGCTAAAGTAAGGACTAGCTTAAAGGACTTACTTAGATATATAAGATCTGCTGTAAAAGATAAAGTAGGGAAAAACCTGTGAGATCCCTAAAGCTGCTAAAATAGTAAGAAGCTTAGTAAGTATAAGTTATAATAATTAGTAGTATAATGCGCGAGTACTAGCTTAAAGGGCTTATATAAATATATAAGACCTGCTGTAAGAGATAAAGTAAAGAAGAACCTATAAGCTCCCTAAAGCTGCTAAGATAGTAAGAAGCTTAGTAAGTATAAGTTATAATAGTTAGTGGTATAATATGCGAGTACTAGCTTAAAGGACTTACTTAAATATATAAGATTTACTTATAAAGCCTGCTATAGTAAAAGATAAAGTAGGGAAGAAGCCATAAAGGCCCTAGAGCAGCTTAAATAATAAAAAGCTTAGTGAACATAACCTATAATAGTATGTAGTATAATACGTAAGTACTAGCTTAAAGGACTTACTTAGATATATAAGATTTATTTATAAAGCCTTAGTAGTAAGAGGAAGTAAAAGGAAGCTAAGGAAAACCCTAAGTAGGAATATAAATTTTATAAAAAGGGAGAACCCTGTGAGAATATAAGGAATTCTTTATTTATATTTATTTACTTTTTACTATTTTTTTCTAATTCCTCTTACTTTTATTTACTTTTTTTAATCCCTTTTACTCTTTTTTAATCTCTTTTACCTTCTTTTACTAAAGCTACTAGTAGATACTATAGCTATTAAACATTATATTAGGATATTATAAAAGCAGAGGGGTTATAAGGTATACCCTACTTATTAATATTACCTATAGTAGTATTATTAGTAATAAGGGTTGCCTTAGCCTATAATACATTAGCCTAGGAATTAGGGTAGTCCTAAGTTATAGTAATAGAGATAATACCCTAAGCTTGGCTAAGTATAAGCTAGGACTATAAAGGAAGTTAATAAAGGGTAACTTAATAAAGTTAAAGGGAATAAACTAAGATATAGAATATAAGCGTAGCCTAGAGGTTATATAATAAATTTATAATATCTAGTTAAACCTAGGTATTTATAATTTTATAAGTATAGCGTAAACAGGGTTATTATACTACTGCTATAGTATAAGTTTAATAAGTAGGAGTTACTAAGGCAGAACCCAGCCTTACCCTATTATAGGCCTTTTTATAATTTACTTAAAGTGTAGTAACGCAGGCCTAGGTATATATTAGCACCTATTACGCAGCTATTATAAAATTAGCTTACTAAGTTAGGGTTATTAAACTTAATCTTATTAATTAAGTCTATATATATAGCCTTATTAGCAACTAGTATAAAAACATAGGTACTATTATAACTATTATAATAAAAGTATTTATTACTATTATTTAAGAGGGAGTAAGTAGAATCCTAGTAAAATAAACTTAGGGGATAAGGCTATGTACTTAATATATTATAATAATATTCTATAGTATTACCTAGTTTTTAATAATTATAATAGTATATATAATATTTATAGGTATAGGGCCTACACTAGGTTTTAGTAAAAAAAAAGGGGGCTAAGATAAAGTATAACTTACTTATTAGCCTTTAGTAGTATAATAGGGGAAGGCGTAGGCGCAGGCGCGGCCGCAGCTGTAGTTATTACTATAATACTTAATATTAGCTTTTAATAAGGTATAGTTAAGAGGAATATTATAGCGGAATTATTAATAAGGGAGGAAGGATATAATTATAATAGTAGTAGTTAAGGACTCTATGGGGAGGAAAAGAGAAATACCCCCTTTTATAATTTAAGCACTATAACTAATAATTATAAACCTGCCCTATAGGACTATTATTATAAAGGGTAAGTTACTTTATAATAAATAACTCTTACACAGCCTCCTGCCTTTATTTACTTAGGGACTGTGTTTTTTATTATTATAATATTAAATAAAGGTTTTTTATTTATAGCTAAATCTTATTATAGCCTGTGTAGTAAAAAGTTAAAGCTAATACTTTAATAATACCCTGTGAAAAAGTATAAAAGAAGATTATAAGGAACTGTATAAGGGCGTACTTTAAAGAAGAAAGGGCAGCTTATTAGGGGTCTAAGGAAGAAAAAGGTATAATAAAGCTATAAAGCTGGCGAATACTGCTGAAGTTGCTGCTTAAAGGCTAGTCACAGCTAGAATTTACTATATAAAGGAGCGTAAATCCCCTTATTTCTAGAGGAGGTCAGAGATAAATACAGTTATTATATACCTCCTAGCTGCTTTATCCCTTTATAATAACTAAAACCTCTCCTTAACTTTATTACTCTCTTGTACGCCGCTGTCTCTAACATGAACTGTCAAAAGTAACTTATTATGTTATTTCCTGCAGATCATTCGACAGGAACTTGATTCCCCCCACCTTTGAGTCTTTTGAACTGAATTTGAATGACGAAAAGGAATCGGAAAAGCTTGCGATGAACCTGATTTCCATTCAACTTGATGCGTTTTTCAGGAGAAATAGCATATGGGTTTTCTTTCGCAGACAAGTTAAAAGAGCCTTGTTAAGGAAATCGAAAAAAAATCTTCTATGGATCAAGCTTGCGTGCAGCATCTTGGAGCGAGATCCTAAGATTGCCTTCATATTAGCAGATACACTTGAAACGCAGGCCGAAGAATTACTGGATAAACTTGAAACACAGATCGAAGAGTTACTGCATACGCTTGGAGACCAGATCGAAGACTTGTACACTCGCGGATATGAACAACTGGAGCTTACAGCAGAAGAAGAAGCACATCTGGAGGAAATTATTACAACAATGATAGCCACTTATCAGCCGCTTTCAATATCAGAGCTTCGATGTCTTACCCCGTTACTAGCTGGTGTCGACCTAAAACAGTTGATCACAAAACGATTCATCTTCTTCTTGGAAGTTCGAGAGGATGTCGTTTATTTCAATCACGGGTCATCCAAAGAGTTTCTACTGAAGCGTTACAACCATGATGGCAAGGCGACGCCACAGAGACACGCGGAAATTGCACTTCATTGCTTGAGGACGCTTGTGTCAAGCGACTATGAGACTAACGTTTCTAGAAGCACTTATTTCTCTTCTTCACACTGGGTTAAGCATTTATTGCGGTCGAAATTTGTGTCTGACAATGATACAAAAGGCATCGGCCTCAATATCGCACTGATGGACTTTTTAAACCGTGGCTTCACCTGGTGGCTCAGTGCCATGAGCAAGACTAGCCACCCATTTTCACGAGCAAATAGGCATCTCCTACGGCTTCGGGATTACCTTACAGTGAGTTATAACCCCCGGTCTCCTTCAGCTATGGTCATCCCTCCTTCTCTGTCGTTGTCTTTTGGGGGAAAGGGGAGTGTCCTTGATAACAGTCTTCTAACGAAAACATTCTAGAGTTTTACCGATAAAAAAGCTCCACCTGATGATATTATCGTCAATTTACTGGATGCTGTGCGATTCCATATTTTCCACGACAACGTGAGCGTGGACTACCCAATGTACTCCCGAAACGATGATTCCACAGTCAGGCCCAAGGATTCTCTTTTATTCTACCCTTTCGATGGATTTAAAGTACAGTTACTCAAGGAGGAATTCCCGCAGTTGTTAAATGTCCCGGCGACGGAATACAACGTCAACGATATGGTACTGAACATCCGGTTTCCCAGTGAGGTTAACTGCTTCGCCTACTCTCCAGATGGCCGCTTTCTCGCTTCGCCTTTGCGGGGAACGAGTGCTGATGTATGCATATGGGATGCATATACTGGTACCTGCATTAGAATAGTTAGGACCCCTGCTCTATTTCGGGGACATTTGTCAAATATCGCCTTCTCAGCCTCGGGAGAGTTGGCGAGAACATCTCGTTCTGCTATAGATGGTTACAACCTTTCTACACGCACCCACATTGAGGGATTCCCCCAAAAAGTAGCAGAAAGGCGTACCAATTTAGAAGACCTTACATTTTCCCCAGATGGCAAGCAGTTGGTCGCGATGACGTCCGCCAACATTTTTATTTGGGATCTTTCGTCTTCCACTAAGCACCTATACCCCCTTCCTGAGAGTCAGTACCCGAAGGCTATAAAATTATTGGGAGATGACAAAATTGCAATCACCTCCAACAAAGGCCTAGAGATCTGGGGGTGGAAGACAGAGAAAAGGGTTCTTCATACGCTTCACGATGATACGTGGGAGATCGAAAGCCTGGCATTCTCACCTAAACGCCAGTTGTTAGCAGCTGCGTTCAAAGAAAGGAAATCTGATGAGGAAACCGAAGACAACTACGCGATCAAAATATGGGAAGTAAATTCAGGAAAGCTATTGCACACCTCTAAGGACCTCCAGGGCGGCACTTGGCACCTCTCTTTCTCGTTTGATGGGACGAGACTGGCAGCAGCAGGTTATTACGATAAATATATCAGCATTTGGAACCTCGAGAAGAGGCACTTCGATCACGGCGCCTTCGAACTGATGCAATATGACAACGACAGTAGAGAGTTATTCCAATCAATGGAATTTTCTCCGAAAGATCTCAGTCTGGCGACACTCTTCCACAATAGGAACACAAAGAAACACGGCACGCGAAACGGCCGGCGTCAGTGGTGGAGCACTATCCGGGTTTGGGATGCGTCCGCTTTCGAAGACGGAGCAAACAAACGTCCCATTCGGACGGACGGACATACACGTGCCATTCGCTGGGTGAAATTCTCTCACAATGGAGAATTCTTTGCTACTGCTGATTGCGGTGGAAAGATATGTGTTTGGGATGGAGAAACAGGCAATTACCAAGCTTCGTTTGAGAGTAAGAGCCGGCACTTTGGTGATGATATATCACTTTTAATCTCGCCGGATGATCGGAGTCTAGCTACTTATTCTCAGGGTGCCGAGTTAACTATTTGGGATACAGCAACTTGGTCTCCGAGACAAGAACTCATCGGCTATAAAAAAACGGTATCATGTGCCGCATTCTCTCTGGATGGGAAGCGCTTGGCTTCAGCTTCTCGCGGCGAAGCCAATGATCCCATTGGAGCTATTAAAATATGGAATCTACATGGATTCTCGGGTACAGACGAGATACTGAAAACGAAACCGACCGGTGGAACCGAGATCGCAGACGAATGGGCATCGACATGCATGGCATTTTCTCCTGATGGGACACAGTTAGCTTGCTGCGCGGATAATTTAAAAATCTGGAAGCTGAGCCCAGACGGTTCACTAAATCTCCTCCAACAACTCGATCATGGCGGGAGAGATATTCCTCACAGCATTTCTTTCTCTCAAGACGCCGAGTTCATTATTGGGTCTGGATACTACCGTTTGAGCTTTTGGAAAATAGAATCCAAACATTGCGAAAGAAGTATCAACGTCGAAATGTGGTTTCAGTCTCTGAAATGGGACCCGGAGGATCCACAATACATTTTTACAGACCTTGGCCCCTATTACATCGGAAAGGCCTTTGATACTAGGAATCCTAAAGATACATGTCGTGTCGGCGATGACGTTAGAATGCCGCCTGCAACGAGCCCGGAATCATCCTCGTGCACATTGCAAAAAGATGGAAGGGGCATTCACTGGAAGGGCAAGAGCTTAGTCAAGTTCCCTGACCGATATCGCCCCCTTGTATGGGACAATTCTCTATATATGGCTTCGATTCATGGAAGAAAGGTTGCACTGGGGTTTGAGTCGGGCCATGTGACGTTGTTGAACTTTGGGGGATGACACTGAGATTTGACATTGTAATGGATGGTTAAGGCTTATGGTTGATCAATGTTTTTGACTTGGATGGTTTTTGACTCGGATGGGTTTTGAATTGGATAGTTTTTGACTTGGTTAATGATCAATCGATGCATGGATTGTATTTCTCCCGCCTGATCCATCTACCCCGATATTATGTATATTTCTCTAAGCCCAAGTGAATGTAGTAAGTGGGAAAAGAAAAATGAAATCTGCTTATAGAGTAGGTCTATTGTGAGGTTTGAATACTCCAAACTTGACGACAAGAAGTTCATCGAGCGTTGAGGTACTTAATCTACCATTTCCAAACTCCGATCGCCAGATTTCTGATCCTCAAAAAGGCGTGATACATGCCTGTTCGGCTTGGGAGGGACGTGATCTGCTATATAAGCAGGTGAGTTCCTGGATGCCATCAAGTAAGCACCTGATTATGAGAAAACTAACGCAGAGAAATTTCATCGATTGTTCGTATTTTTGGGTGCTGTCCTCCGGGAATCCATCCAAGAAGCTCCTTTGCATACGCGGCTGCTGTTGCAGCGGCATATCGTTGCCATTGATCATTCCTGTGAGAGTCGGCGTAGTCGCTTATCCCTTTGATGACGAGACAAGGGAAGCTATGCATGACGCCAGCCGCTACCGTATCAAAGCAGAAAATGTCTTCTCCGACGTCGCTTATTATCCTGTCTCGAGTAGCGGCGTCCTCAATTATAGTGTCCCCAGAAGCAATTATGCCGTAATGAATCCATGGGTCTTTGGCACCGCGTGCTTCGCGCTTAATCTCGTAGGCTGGATCACAGTTGGCGCATGTATAGCCTTCAACATGATCAAATGTTGCCTTGAAGAGCCGATCATTCTCAAACCCTTGGTGGATATACTTTGAGCCTTGAATTGGGGGCCGGTGTACTAGAGGAGTGATTGCCCACAACTGTACATTGTTTATCCACATTTCTTGAGAGTTATTGGAATCCTTGGTGAACTGACCTCATGCTCTGCCTGTAGAGCCGCCACCGCATGAAGTAGGACCAAGGGAGGCGTGTTCAGAATGCCACTGCGTTCCCATACCTGTCCTATTTTGGCCTTTCCAAGATCATATTGGATGACACCTCCCGTTCGTCCTTGAGGCTGGCTGACAACGACATCGCCGAGGCGGATATCCCGACCTTGATCAGGTCGAGCGACACCCGCCCCTAGGCCCACCAACAGGCCGATCTTTATATGAGGTAAAGATGAGAGGAACTTTGCCACCGTAACAGCGGCAGAACGAGTTCCAGGCACACCGGCAGGAAGTGAAGCTATGACGACGTTATGCCTTTCTATTCGGCCCCAAATGTATGAGTTTGTGTCGAACGGATGTTGCTCGAATTCTTCGGGTTCCTCGTAGCGCTCATCAAGCACAGCGAGGGCTGCGGCACGCTCGATGGGAAGAGCAGCAATCCAGCCAATTTGATAAGAGTCTACACTATTCATGGCCTTACCAGCTGTTGAGGGATGATGTATAGAACCTCTGGATGAAGCTAGAAATCAATATCGACCAGTATATATATCTCTCATCTTTCCCACATTTAAGCGCTGAGAGTCGCAGGGATGCGATAGCCGCGCACCCACGCATGCATGAGAAACAGTTTGGGATTGGCCTGGATGGTTAAGCTGATAAACAGATGTGATGCCACAATTAGATTCATGAGAGCCCGAAATCTGAATTTTTCGTCTCTTCTGAACGGTGCGCATCTACATGTTATGGGATTGGATAGGTTACGATGATGACCGTGTAAGTGCAAGTAGCCGCTGGAAGTTGGCGGGTATCAGCACAGATGCACAAGTCAACATTCATAGCCCGGCACTTGCAGACATATCAAATCTATTAATATTAATATTATTGTAACCATAGCATTCTATATCCTGATTAATTGCTGCATGCTCAATTGCAAGACTATTGTCGTCTTTCTGGAGTTTCCCTTGGTACTCGGACCATTCAATGTGGCTGTGTCACGTACTAACGTAATCAGCAATTTCCAACATCAACCACCGTCTCCGATGTGACGCGAATCGCTTCAATCTCACTCAAACATCTTTATCAACGACTCAATTCCCTTTAACAGAAATCCATTTCATTTTTTTCTTAGCAACTTTCTTACATACATGTGTAAACCGCCATAGAATCCCTCATATAACCACCATGGAAGCTCACGATAAAGTCATCGCATCCATATTATCCCGCGTCAAGCATTTCCATCAGCTGCAAAAGCCCTTTCGCATCTACCATGGCGCCACGAACAGCACGCGTCGCTCCCATCGCCGCTCAGACAACACAATCGACACCAGCCAGCTCAACCATGTGCTCTCCGTTGATGCCGCCGCCAAAACGGCCATTGTAGAGCCCAACGTGCCAATGGATCTTCTCGTGAGCGAGACGCTGCGTCACGGCCTAGTCGCGCCGGTCGTGATGGAACTCCCGGGAATCACAGTTGGAGGCGGCTTCTCGGGGACTTCGGGAGAGAGCAGCTCGTTCCGTTACGGCGCGTTTGACGCGAACATCAACTGGATCGAGATTGTGCTGCCCGACGGCGAGGTGGCGCGAGCGTCCAAGATGGAGCGTCAGGATTTGTTCTGGGGCGCGGCCTCGGCGTTTGGGACGCTGGGAGTGGTGACGCTGTTGGAGGTGCAGCTGAAGGAGGCGAAGAAGTATGTGAAGCTCGAGTATTCGTTGGCATCAGGAGCGGCAGACATGCTGGAGAAGGTCAAGGGGGCGTGTGCGGTGGAAGGGAATGACTATGTGGATGCCATTGTGTTTTCTATGGACACGGCAGTTGTTTGCACGGGGAGGTTGGCAGATGAGCTGCCACAGGGGATAAAACCAGTCGGATTTCTGGGTCGAAGCGATCCATGGTTCTATACCCGTGCCAAGGATGTTGTCAAGGAGCTCAGAAAGACGACGGCAAAGGGGGAAGAGGAGAAGCAAACGACAGTGACGGATTACATCCCCCTCGAGGACTACCTCTTCCGATACGACCGCGGTGGATTCTGGACTGCCGTGTATGCCTACCAGTACTTTATCACGCCGTTCAACAGGATCACCAGATACATCCTGGATCCCTTTATGCACGCTCGAGAAATGTACCGTGCCGTCCACAAGAGCGGCCTCGCCGATTACTACATGGTCCAAGACGTCGGCGTTCCGTATGACAAGGTTGTTGAATTCCAAGCCTGGCTGGACAAGGAGCTGAAAATCTACCCTCTCTGGATCTGTCCATTGCGCATCCGTCGTGATGATCCGGATTCAGGCCACGGCCTGCACTCGGAATTCGCGAACCCGGATGTCCCTGACCTAATGAATTTCGGTGTCTGGGGCGGTGTCAAGGGTACTCGCCAAGAAGTCATCGAGAAGAACCGCGCGCTGGAACGTAAAGTGCAGGAGTTGAATGGAAAGAAGTGGCTGTATGCTCACGCATATTATACCGAAGAGGAGTTTTGGGCACATTACGACAGGACGTCTTATGATGCCCTGAGGAAAAAGTACAAGGCCGAGTATCTGCCGAGTGTGTACGACAAGGTAAAGGTCGATGTGGAAGGTGAGGAGAGGGCGAGGAATGCGACGTGGAAGACAAGGTGCAAGGCCGGGTTCTGGGATCTTTGGCCGTTGGCGGGATTGAGAGGGTTCTATAGTGCGGTGAAAGGAGGTGATTATCTACTTCAAAAGAGTAAAGGGAAGAGGAACGAGGAGACCGTGAGAACTGAGACGGAGACGGAGACGGCGGCGAAGAGGGAGTGAGATGGACCTGCAAGGTTGTGAGAGAGGTGGGATATAAGATACCCAAGAAGATCAGAGTACAAGTACATAGACTGTTTTAGAAGACCAGGCTTACTAGAACTTGAAATGCGTATTTATTAATTTGTGTTGATGCATTAATGCGATAGCCATATACCCTTTGATCCATCCTCTCCACTATTCCTACAAACCAAATGAATGAAGCTTTTGTTTTTGGTGACCGTTGTTTGTCATTCTGACTTTGTTTTGATCCCGTTTCTCTTTCATTTGGGTGGCAACCCCGGGCACAGCAGACACACCTCCCTATCAGTCATGTCGAAAGCTTCCCATCTCCGTCTTTGTCCTCCCACTCATTTCGCCCATGGTCTTGTCACGCTGCTGCCTTGCCTCATCGGGATTCTTGACGATCCAGTTGTAGCCTATGAGAACGGCGAGGGCACCACCTCCAATGGCCATCCTAAAATGTTACTCCATTAGTTGACGCTGCCATTGTATATCAGGAGGGATTACGCAAAGACGTACCAATTACGCTTGAGAGCTTCAGGGCCGCCTGGATTTCGAGGTGGCGGCTGTTGGCCTCCAGGACCACCGAGATCATCTTTGCCTGAGCCAAAAGCGGTGGCCCGGACCGGAGCAGTAGTGCTAAATGGGGCAATCACGGAGCGGGAGGCAAACGCCGGACGGAGGACGGTGCGGAAGGCGACAATAGATCTTGCAGACATTGTTGATAGCTTGATTCGGGCTTGTGTTTATTAGATTGACAAGAATAGAATATTTGGTGTTTAGGACAAGAAACAAGAGGGTGTGCAGGAGCTGTGACAGTGTGCAAGAGGGGCTTTTTATCTTGAGTAAGTGCCTGGATGATCGATGACTTCAATGGGGTGGCGGTATGATGCGGGCATGACGCGCGGGCTGCAAAGAGAAGATGCGTGTCCCGCATTTGACAGCGACATTGGATTGGCATAGGCAATTAAGTAATTTGAGGAGAAACTATGGGGATTTCAAGCAAAGGGGTGATTGTGGCGGATGTTGGCGGTATAGGGGAGAGAGTTGGTTATTTTTGGCGTGTTGGTGGTGTGATGGATGGGGGATCTTTGGCTGATGGCATGCGGGAGGTGTGTTGTCAATCTGATAATTTTTGTGATAAAGTTATCTTTATTGGTAGAGATTTAGATGGTTCCGAGATGATTTACTCTGTAGATGTGATTGTATTAGATGAGAGTTGTTGATGCTCAGGTGAGTGCATTAGTTTTGGAAGGGATCATAGGAGATCACTATATCTGACGGTAAGATGAAAACAGTGCAATAGTGTACGAACAATGATAAGAATTTCCTCAGGCTTTTATTGTATCACAGGAGACATAGATATATATATCTCATCTATCGTTGTTAGTTGGCCACAGCTCTTGGTTGAAGTACCGGGTATTGTGCCCCGAGCATGCTCAACCCATCAAGCTCAACCAGCACCATTTCATCAGCGCCGAATAATCTCCCGCAGTAACTTATCTATTTCTGGCTATAGACTACCGGATTCAGCTCAAGTGAATCAATAAGCGATTCTCAACCACCATCTGCCAAATTACACGATCAACCAAATCACACGATCAAGCAGCCACTGAGACGAGGCGATAGCTCTTACATAGACGCATTGTCATGAAACAAACTCCGACACATAAGAAGCTTCACAATCTTCATTGTTTATTGTGGTACAATTTTTACCTACTCCTAGATGTATCTACAAGACTATCGATTTATGCAATGCCCGGCTCTAGTCTCTCTTCGCGGAAGGATCACAAACCATTAGCGCATCCTTCACACGTCAAATGCTCATTCTGGTCCAAATTCCACACCTCCACTGGGCAAAACCGAGCGCTAATGCCTCATGCATCAGTAAATAGCGAATCCTATTTCCCATGACGTGCCTCTATAAATCCCCCTTTGCTCCTCACCCATCAAGCCCTCAAATACAACACCTCAAGTCCATCCCCGGCTCGATATTGTATCACTTACCAAAATGGGCCAACAAGCATCCGCCCCCCGCAAAGGCGCCAAGCTCCGTGTCATCGGCGCCGGCATGCCCCGAACCGGAACGGCCTCCTTCAGCCGGGCCTTGGAAATCCTCCTCGACGGCCCGGTATATCACGGCGGCACTCAAGTCACACTTGGTCCAGAGCGAGATGTCAAGACCTGGATTGAACTGTTTTCACATTGGCCGGCCCAAGACGAAGCCACAGAAAAGGAGAATATAGAGCTCATCAGAAGCCAAACAGATGGCTTCGTCGCCATGACTGACAATCCGTGCCTCATCCTCGTTCCGGAGCTCATGAAGCTGTACCCGGAGGCATTGGTAATCTGCACACAGCGCGACGTTGATTCTTGGGAGAAGAGCATGGAGGCGGTTTCTAACGCTACGACCATGTGGTTCCTCCGCTTCGTCTTGTTTCCCCTGCCTACAATGCGCTATTTTGTTCGATTTATCGATTCAATGCGCCATGTATGGCTGTTTCGCTTTGGAGAGACTGAGCCGCCGACAAGAAAGTCATACAACCGACATGTCGAGTGGCTGAAAGAGATTGTGCCGCCCGAAAAGCTTGTCTTTATGGATGTCAAGGATGGATGGGAGCCATTGTGCAAAGCGCTGGACTTGCCAGTTCCCAAGGACGTGCCGTTTCCAAACATTAATGACAGCAAAGCGATTGATGAGTTGGCAAAGAGGCAGGTTCAGCGGGGGTTGACAAGATGGGCTGTCTTGTTGGCCGTTGGAGGAGCGTCTGTGGCTCTAGCTGTGAGAAAATGGATGTAACAATGTGATACATGTAGTAGGGTGGGATCAAGTTTACCCCCTTTTTCATCGTGGCCGTCTTATTAGATCGGGGTTGTCTTTATGTAGATAGACCGTCATTGGCTATAGGATAAACCGAGTTTACTTTGTCTAATCATAACTGCATTGATTGGATTAATTGAGGTTATATTGAATTTCAGGTATTGAGGCAGAGGATTGTGAAAGTTAACTGACAGGAGTAGAGTTTCCGAATGGTAAGGTCCAGCATCGTTCAAACATTAGAGGAAGCTATCAATGTATTTGAGATTGAATGATGATGAGACTGGTATTCATAATGTTTGGATGAATGTTTTTTATTCTTTATTCTGCAATCATTTTGTGTTGCTTCTTAGTATTGATGTTGCTGTGATTTTACCGGCGGCCAACCATCACCCACTGCGTGATCATGGAAACAGCTCGCAAGTTCAACAAAATGCCGATTACCACTGCACTCATTCGATATTGAGAGATGATTAAGGAAATTTGATGCCCTGTATAATATTGATTGCCGTATTTTCTTCTTCAATTGTATCACCTCTGAAGCGAGATTTCATCATAACAACAACTTGCCTTCTCATGAGACTCATATTCAATCATCAAGTAAAAGAGTTAAACAGGCCAATAAGAATCGTCAAAGCGGCACAACGGCATCTTCCCCAGATCCAATAATTCGCCAGCTTTCATCTTAGTCAGCCCAAAAACAATCGTTTTATTCCCGAACAATTCAATCTTACTCCTCCCCCCAGACCGTGGCGCGCCATAAATGCCGTCGGGTATTTTCCAGCCGCAAATCATTGCCCCGACGGAAGCTCCAGATGCCAATCAGAGGCGCTTCGAGACTCAGATGATGGCCATCACCGTTCGAATTCTATTGCTGCGGATGATTATTACCCGCCAGGCGTTTCCGTTATCCTGTCCCCCTTCCGTTGCTCAATGGACAGCCTCGGGGCTTTCCGCCCAATCTCAGCTCCATGTCTCCTAATTAGCGGAGATGGATCTCTCAGCCCGCCTTATCTCGACCTTTATATATCGCCATCAGCCGCAACAGCTGTAGACTTGTAACTCCATCATCTTTAATAATCACCGATCTCCTCTCCTCCAACCCGTTGTCACCGCCGTTGGACCAAATGGGCAATTCAAAGTCCGTCCTCCGATCCTCGTCACAGCCCTCGGGCGTTCGAAACGGCTTCGCCAAGACTTCTCAAAAACCCCAGATGGTTCAAAAGGCGCTGCAGGTCGTGGCAACGCCGCTGCCACCGCCATCCGTACCAGCTGGTCCGTTAACCTTGAGCGGCAAAGTCTTTGCAATCACAGGTGGCGCCAGCGGGATCGGTTTGGCGACTGCCCAGGTTCTGTCAAGACGAGGAGCAGTCGTATGCATCGCCGATGTAGATCCCGAAGCCATGAAGGCTGCCGAAGTCTACTTCACCTCACTGGAAGTGCCTCACATGATCACAAAGGTGGACGTTTCCAAGCGAAAGGAGGTCGACGCCTGGATCGAGTCGATTGTCAAGGAGCACGGCCGGCTGGACGGCGCAGCCAACGTAGCAGGAGTGATTGGAAAATACCACGGCGTGTCTCCCGTTTCAGAACTCGACGATGACGAGTGGGATAGGATTATTGGCGTGAACCTGACGGGCACCATGTACTGCATGAGGGCTGAGCTCAGGAATATGAACGATCGCGGATCCATCGTCAACGTTTCCTCGATTCACGGTCTGAAGGGTAATTTTGCCCTTTTCATGTGAAGTCTTTTGGTGTCTGTTAATGCTGACTGCGTGTTATTAGGCTTTGCTAGACATGGTGCATATGACGCAAGCAAGCACGGCATCGTCGGTTTGACACGAGCAGCCGCCCTCGAGAACGGAGAGCGCGAGATTCGCGTCAACAGCGTGGCTCCCGGCGCCATCTATACGCCCCTCATGCAAAAGAACTGGGACTTTTCAGGTCGACCAAAGGACGCCGCGTTTGATGATCCCACGGCCTTTCAGCGACAGGGCACAGCTGAGGAGACGGCAAATGTCATTGCTTTCCTGTTGGGTCCGGAGAGCACGTTTGTTAGCGGAAGCGTGTACAAGGTAGACGGAGCGTGGATTTGAAGGATTGGATTGACGCCATAGAGGGGGGAAATATGGCTTGCATTGTATTGCGGCGTTATCGTTGTATTTGTTTCGGGACCGGAGAGGCCTTTTGCTGTTGTTCGAGTATCAAGTTGCATGTCTGTCACATGCGTACATGTACAGAGCAAGGACACGCAGTTACATATGTACTTTCAACTTGTGTCTACATGTATTCATCAGGTTGTTCTAGAAGCAATCAAAGCACTACCTATACCTTGTTTTACCTAACTTGATATTTGGTTAAAGTGGTTGCAATACAGTAGTATGGTCTTTGTCTCATGCAATTCGGCCTAATTTACGTTTTCAATTGCATGGGTCGACTGTTGGGTATCGACTGACACGGCAATTGGAAGACCATCTCCGCCTCCGCCTCTGCCTCCATCTCATCTCCTCTTAGAATGTCTGCCTGGCCTTGTTCAGTCGTTCCCCGATGCTCCACAGGTGCATTAGCATCCCGTCCATGCACTTTTCGACTCTGAGTGCTAGTGCTCTTCAAGCCATGTCCAAACGGTGATGGATGTCAGGATCGGCGTCATGTGAATAACACAGCAACGGAGAGGAGACAAAGGGCCGCACTCCGGTTGGATAATTCTTCCGACGGAACAGAACCAACTGCAACGATTGGCCGAATTATGCCCCCAAATTGGCCGTTCACAGTAGCATCGCGCGGTTCCACCCTCTCCACAAACCTCCAACTATGGAAACCTGGGGAAACACGGCTATTCTTCTGGATCCCCGGCCAGTCCAGAGAAGAAAAAAACTATGACGGTGCCGGCATGAGGGAGAAAGCCCTGGCAGCTTTTGCTAGAAGCTTGCTAGCAAGAGTCTGCGCGAAACCAATTGGGGCAAAATGGCCAAGCCTCATGCCATTTAGCATCGACTTTCTCCCCGCATTCTGGGACGGCACGATACTACCAGTATTTGTACGAGTAGGCATATGATTGCGGACGGCATTTGTTTGCCTCTCTTCGTTCGTGTTTCATAAAAGGCACGGCTGTCCAAGTCCAGGCCGAGCTGATGCTGGGTCCCCCGCATAATAACCAGTCGCCAATCCGTCGGGTGCGTCCCCCCTGATCTCGTCTCTCCTCTCCTTGAAATCGAGCCCGGATATTTCAACAGTCTCCATCTTTAAGCCAAAGGTGGATTCCGCACGACAAAAAAACATGGCAGCCGAAGCCGACGGTCAACAACGGGATCGCCCTGAGCCTCTTGTCGCGTCATTGATGCACCGCAGCGAAACGCCAGACACGGAGCACGCCCGCCCACGCAAACGGACCCGTAGGGCTTGTGATAAGTGCAGCGCCTCGAGGACGCGATGTGATGGAGAATGGTAAGTCTGATGCTTGCGGCTGAAGCTCCTTATCGCGATATCTGGCTGAGATTTGTGCCCGCGTCTGCAGTCCTTGTCGCCGTTGTGAAGGTAAGCTAGCAGCTGTTTCTATTCCCACATTCCGTTTCCCCCCATTGGGGCTTCATCTTATCCCATCTCTGCCTCATTGTTTCACTTTCAAAGCTAGACGCATCTAACATGTTACCCTTTTCACTACTTTCAAAGACTACGGATACACCTGTCGTTACAATCGCGAAGTCAAGAAGCGAGGCCGGCTGCCAGCCTCGGCCACGGCCAGCAACCACAGCACCAACGGCGGCAGCATCAATGCCCGAAGAGACTCTTGGCCTCAATCACATCGACGAGGCAGCATTCGAAACGATTCAAACCTGGGCCGGGGCAGCAATGGCAATAGTAACAGCAACAGCAACAGCAACAGCAATGGCATCTCCCAGGCGTCCTGCTCATCTCCATCGGCCAGCATCAGCTCTAGCACCGTTGGACAGCATCCCTTTGCCGACCCGGTGGATGCAACGTCGGCCGGTCCCGAAAGTGTAACCTTGGATCGGCGGGATCAGGTTGCCGTACCTGACGCTCGCCAAGACATGCTGCATTCCATCAGTCAGCCTTACTCTCAAGGTCGAACTGCTCCTCCACTCAGCGTCCCGTCTCTCATCCAAGTCGGACTTCAACCGCCTCCTCCTCAGCGTTCTTCCATAGGCAATCCCTTGTCAGTCAGCGTGTTTGATGGACAGTTTGCTGACTCAGAGGTCGTCCTGTCTGATGAAAGCGCTGGCTATCCCTCGCCAGTTAACGGACGGCCCCATATCGAGGCTGGAAGTTCCCGCCAGCACAGGGGCTCCTTCAAATCGACTCACAGCCATGAACGAAACCGAGAGTCGTTTAGCACTGTTGCGACTGGCCACGATGCCGCGGGCCTCATGTTGGACTTCTTTCACAAGGCCCCAAACGAGGACTGCTGGTACAAGTTTCTTGAGCCAATCTTGCCATTCATCCGTAACATCATTCCCGCCTCTGTTGCGTGCGATCTGCTCGACATCTTCCTGACCGACCCGGGGAGCTCCTTGTTTCGTGTCGCATCTCCATACATCTTGACCAGAGTCTTTCGTAAAAAGTCTATTGTACATCCAACAAATCCCAGATATACCACGCCAGCGTTGTTGGCAACAATCCTCTGGTGTGTAGCACAGACTGCTGATGTCATGATGCTGCATGTCCCGGGCTCAAGGGCCAAGGTTGTCAACGATCTGTACGACCTGGCAACATCTCTAATATCCGAACGTGACCCCGATCGGTGGCGTCGAATCCATGGTGAGACGCACCACATTACCCCAAGAACAACTAGATGTTAACAGCATTCCTACTCTAGGTGGCCTCCGAGCAGAAAACGAGACACCGCATCCTCGGCTCCCCAATGCTCCAACCGTGCCGAAAACCACGGTGAATAACGAACCAGCTGGCGAGACTGACGATGTCCTGACCTTTATCCTCCTCTCCATTGCTGTCTCGGGCTCTGATTTCAAGTCGGACTGCTACAAATGGTGGTCCAAGGCAACGCGGCTGGCCTTTTCGCTGGGTCTACACCGAGAGGATGAGCAATGTGCCGGACCTGTGACGCCGTGCGCAAACCCCCTTTGCTCATGCAAAAAGGATCAAGATGGCAGCATATATAACCTGGAGCTACGGGAAGAGCGCCGAAGAGTCTTTTGGCTTCTATACGCCCTAGATCGCCATCTGGCCTTGTCTTTCAACTCGGCTCTGACGATACCTGACTCTTATTGCGAAGTTTACTGTAAGTTTACAATATCATGCCCCCAACTTTTTGAGTGACCGTTGCTCATTCTGCCCTCAGCCCCATTGCCTGAAGCTGTTTGGGAAAACCTCGATACAATCCCCCCTAGCGAAATCCCCGCTCGAAGGATCGGACCGCCAACGACTGCCTCTGGGTCTGCCTTTTTTGAATACTTTTTGCCGCTCATGGCGATACTGGGCGACATCATAGAAGTCCACCACAGGCGCCGTCATCCAAGACTGGGAGATCTCGACGACTCGCACTCTGTAGCCGTGATTCAGGAACTCCTTTCCACCTACGAGCTCAGCCTTGCCGCTCTTTCGCCAGAGAGCAATGATAACAACACCATGCCTTTGCCTATCCACACCCCAAAGGGCATTGTCGCCGGAATGCCTTCGAGGCCATCCATCTCGCACCAGCACCAGCCCTCTGCAGCTCCATACAACGCAAGCGATCCTTCCAAGATGCGGCTGGCGAAGGCCTATAGCGCTCACATTCTACACGTGTTGCATGTGCTTCTACACGGCAAATGGGATGCTATATCTATGTTGGACGACGGCGACGATTGGATCACGTCCAAGAGATTTAACGAGTGCGCGTCTCACGCCATTTCCGCATCACAATCGGTCTCGACCATCTTGACCATTGATCCAGAGTTAACATTCATGTCCTATCTTTTTGGCATATATCTGCTCCAGGGAAGCTTCATCCTTCTCCTATTCGCGGACAGGATGCCGCAATTAGGTCCTAACGAGTCGGTGGCACAAGCCTGCGAGAACATTATCCGAGCTCATGAGGTGTGCGTTGTGACGCTGAGTACAGAGTTCCAGGTATGGAGAGCTTTCATGAATTCCAACCAACCAGAAATGATGCTAACTTCTACACAGAAAAACTTCCGTACGGTCCTACGATCCACTCTATACAGCGTTCAGGGCGCGGGAACTACGAATTGGGATGAGCATCGCTCACGACGCAGAGCTCTGTCCTTGTACAGGTGGACAAAGGGAGCCAAGGGGCTAGCATTGTAGTGATGGAAAGCCACAGGGATGATGATCACTCTGCATCCAATGACCGTATACAGAAGTTGACATGTGATGAAATGCTTCCAACAGAAGCTTTCCCCAATTGATACCCAAATTATGCTTGATTCATAGTCTCGGCCGAATCCTTTACAATTTACATCATGCCGTGAGGGGTCCCCCCCTGAGATCAATTCAGCCGAGAAACAAGGAGATTTTATCCTTTCGGACTGTGCTCGTTCCGCTGCATTAGCAGGGAAATTTTTGCCTCACCTGCATGAGCAAAACCTGGGGTAGATGCGGGGGAAGAAAATCTCTAGATTGTTGGAGTAAAATGCTTGGATGGCGCCACCGAACGGAGGAGGCTTCTCAGGGCGTGTGACAGCTATCGTGGGGGGTCTCAATGCCGACGGTTATTTGATGACTTGATATATACAACTGATGTATATTCCCCCTTAGTTGAGATATAGAGCGATATTGAAGTCGGAACTGAGGTAAAAGGAACTGGTATGTTTCATTATAGATCGGGATGTTTCGGCTTGCATCAGTGATGACTTGGTTTCATCGTAATTTTGAACATATCGGGCCTATTCTTGTCGAAGCATGAATGCCCAGTGCAACCAGACCCCATAATATTAGGGCGAAATGATGCTAGGAAAACATTCGTATTTTTTTAGAGTTGTATTGAAGAATAGGCCGAGGTATGGTCCCTATTTGGTACAAGGACAGGACGTTATCACTAATCATCCGTGACCCAACAGCTGATTGTGATGGGGGTGGAAAGTGGGTTGCATTGCAGATAGTCTGTGATCGATTTCTCGGCGCTTCTTTTTTCTCTCGGTAGTTCATTTTGGACATAGGTAGTATTAATTCAGGAGAATAGACTGTTATTGCATTTTGCATGGGGAACGGAATGTTGCTGCCTAAATTGCTGGATAAATGTGCCATGATGGTCTTCAATAATAATATTATTAAGTGGAATAATCTTGAATTCAAGAATTTGCCTAGCACTAAAACTAGAATACGGAGGACCCTAATATTTAGCAGCTAGAAACACCATACGCAATGCAAACAGAAATGGGAGGTCGAGACGTGCATATTCACAGCATTTTTAACCCCTCTCAAGGCCGGGGAACAGTTTTCATGATGGACCAAGCTCTAATGTCTTATAGAACATAGAGGTTAGACCAATCAGAATCAAGTAGGCAACTTCACAGCATTTTTAACTCACCCCAAGGCCTGGGGAAAAGTTTCCTTGATGGCACCGAGTTGGCTCCAATTTCTTGCAGAGCATAGAGGATAAACCAATCGGATTCCAGGAGGGACTCAAACTTCACAGCATTTTTAGGCCTCCTCAAAGCTCGAGGGAAAATCTCCTTGATGGATCAGAACCTCACGGATCTTGCCTTCACAGCAGTTTTAACTCCATCCAAGACTCAAGGAAGAGCGTGATACTGCTTGTAGTAACCCGTAAACTTGGCTGGCAGCCAACCTGGTGCTCAACGCTCGGCACCGGAGAAAAATTAATGCACAGCCAAACAGGCGCCCCACTCCCAGCAACGCCGAAATGCCAGCTGCCAACAATTTGAACTTGATCGCCTCATCCATCCAACGGTGCCGTGACGCAATTGCTTCAGCGAGGGCACCGATACAACCGTCAACATGGTGTTGCAAGATCTCGGGCGCCGCATCAATGCGGCCGTTTCAAACCTCACGCGAGAGCAGAATCTCGACGAAAAGGTACGACGCAATGCATCTGCCCCGCGCTCTCGGACGGCAAAAGTGCAGAACCACTGACTGACCGCGGCTTCAGGCATTCGATTCCATGCTCAAGGAGATTTGCGCCGCCCTTCTCGAGGCCGATGTCAATGTTCGACTCGTCGGCCAACTCCGGAAATCGATTCGCAGCACCGTCAACTTCAAGGAACTGCCTCCTGCCGTCAACAAGAAGCGTCTGATCCAAAAGGCCGTTTTCGACGAACTGGTCAAACTCGTCGACCCCCATGCCGAGCCCTTCAAGCCCAAGAAGGGCAAATCGAATGTCATCATGTTTGTCGGTCTGCAGGGTGCCGGTAAGACGACGACGTGTACAAAGCTGGCGCGACACTACCAGACAAGAGGCCTGCGGGCGTGTTTGGTTTGTGCCGATACGTTCCGTGCTGGTGCTTTTGATCAGCTGAAGCAGAACGCGACCAAGGCCAAGATTCCGTACTACGGCTCGCTTACAGAGACGGACCCTGCTGCCGTTGCTCGGGCTGGTGTTGAGCAGTTCAAGAAGGAAAAGTTCGACGTCATCATTGTCGATACCTCGGGTCGACACAGACAGGAATCTGCCCTGTTCCAGGAGATGATTGACATTCAGGCGGCAGTGAACCCCGACGAGACCATCATGGTGCTGGACGCCTCAATAGGTCAACAAGCCGAGGCCCAGGCCAAAGCCTTCAAGGAGGCCGCCGACTTTGGAGCAATCATCATCACCAAGACAGATGGCCACGCCCACGGTGGTGGTGCCATTTCCGCCGTCGCCGCTACGCACACGCCGATTGTATTCATCGGTACTGGAGAGCACATGCTGGATCTGGAGAGATTCGAGCCTCAGCGATTCGTCCAGAAGCTGCTGGGAATGGGCGACATGGCCGGACTGGTTGAGCACGTGCAGAGCCTCAACTTGAACCAGAAGGATACCATGAAACATCTGCAGGAGGGTATCTTTACGGTGCGAGATTTACGAGACCAGCTGTCCAACATCATGAAGATGGGACCACTATCGAAAATGGCTGGTATGATTCCTGGCATGAGCGGCCTTATGCAGGGCATGGACGACGAGGAGGGAGGCGCAAAGCTCAAGCGCATGATCTACATCTGCGACTCCATGACAGACAAAGAGCTCGATTCTGATGGCAAAATCTTGATCGACGAGCCAACCCGCATGACACGTATTGCTCGAGGATCGGGCACGTCGGTGCGCGAGGTGGAAGATCTCCTGACACAGCAGCGGATGATGGCTGGCATGGCTAAGAAGATGGGCGGCAACATGAAGAACATGCAGAGGGCACAGCAAGCCATGTCGGGTGCAAACAAGGCCCAGCAGATGGCTGCCATGCAGAAGCGACTACAGAGCATGGGTGGTGCCGGTGGTGCTGGAGGCATGCCGGATATGGGATCATTAATGAAGATGCTTGGCGGCGGCGGCATGCCTGGTGGAATGGACATGCAGGCAATGATGCGACAGATGGGCATGGGCGGTGGCATGCCGGGCATGCCTGGGATGCCTGGTATGCCAGGAGGAGGAGGAGGCCGCGGACGAAGGTGATAGGAGAGCGCTTGTGTGGCCGTGTCGGGTGTTTGCTTTCATTGTATCTTTGTTTCGGAGCTCCGGTAGGTTGGGCAAGTTTATGGATGACGGCTGGTTGCTAGAGCTCATGTGCATAGGTATCGGCGTTTGGGCAGTGATGAAATGATTGAACGGCGGCTGCGAGGGAAGAAGCGAGATGTCAAGTCACACAGCGTTGGCCTCTTTCTGTCAGCGATCATGGACGCTTGCTTTTGCTTTCTTCGAGGTCGTCGTCATGAGGATATACCAAAGAAAACTATTTAATGCTGATGCCTGTTTGATGTGTGTGCTTTGAATCTCATCAACTTATACCTACTTATACAGAGCAGAGTTGTTGGTGTTTTGTCTGGCTTAGTCAACCTGCAGCACAAGCTCGTGACCCCGCACGCCTTAAATCCTGGAACTCGCGATAAGCCCACTTTTGGAATCCATCCAAACTACGACGGCTCCGGAACTAAGAAATCGCCCCACCGATCCCAAGCTCTACGGATAGCTTACAAGCTAGGAAGAAGATCAGAGTGTCGTTGCAAATGTCGTCGCGAGGAAGAGGAAGAGGCGGGTATCAAGATCGTGGAGGATCGAGAGGAGGAGGTGGAGGAGGAGGAGGAGGTTACAGAGGCGGCGGGGGTCGAGGAGGAGGAGGGGGAGATCGAGGGGGAGGTTCCTTTAGAGGAGGAGGAGGAGGAGGAGGAGGAGGAGATCGAGGAGGAGGAGGATCCTTTAGAGGCGGGAGAGGTGGAGGACCGCCTCAAGTATTCTCGTGAGTTTCAACATTCTCATTATACGCCACAATCATGGGACCATAGCCACTCATCACAGCGGCCACCACAGCGTTCCTGGCGGAGTCCCCGCCCCCGACAAGACCGTCACCAAAACGGAAGATGCTCTCATGGCTCCGGCCAAATCAGTCGATCTAAGCTCGCTCGGCCTAAGCGATGTTCTCCCTCGTCGGCCAGCATACGGTGCCAAAGGGGCCGAGGTTACTCTGTGGGCAAACTACGTCTCCTTGACCGCATCGTCCAAGCTGGTCTTGTACCGATATGAGATTTCCGTCACCCCGGCCGCGGCTGGGAAGAAGCTGACGCAGGTTGTTCGCCTGCTGTTGGAGGCGCCGGAGCTGGCCGAGTATAAACATGACCTTGTGAGCGACTTCAGGACAATTATGCTCAGCCGACAGAAATTTAGCGATCAGACCATCAACATCGCGTATCGATCCATTGGAGAAGACGAACCAAAGGAGAATGGCCTTCAGTATCAGGTCGAGCTTCGGCTTATCAACACTTTGGCCACCTCCGAGTTGATACAATACCTCACGTCGACGAACCCGTCTGCCCAGTATGACGAAAAGCTCCCCCTCATCCAGGCCCTCAACATCTTCCTCAATCACTACGCCAAGTCGGCTGACAACCTCGTCTCCTTGGGGTCATCCAGCGGATCATCCAAAACATTTGCTATAGGTCAGCTGTCCGACACCTGGGACCTTGGAAACTGCCTCACGGCTATACGCGGCTTCTTTGCCAGTGTCCGTGCAGCTACAGCTCGTGTGCTTGTCAACATCAACGTGAGCCAGGCTGCATTCTTCCAAGAGGGCCCGCTGGATCAATTCATTCTCCGCCTAGGCACTCAGGGTGGACTGTACAAGTTGCAGGCACTCATCAAAGGGATTCGGGTCAAGGTTACTCACCTACAAGATAGGCTAAACAAACGTGGTAAGCCCGTTTCGCGAGTCAAGACTATATGGTGCTTGGCAAATAAAAACGATGGGCAAGGCCTTCAGAACCCTCCTCGAGTGAAGGCTTTTGGAGCTGGGCCAAAGGATGTCGAGTTTTGGCTCACAGAGGACTTGAAAGATAAAAAGAAGCCGGGTGGGAAAGGCGCCAAATCTCAGGGGGGGCAGTACATCTCTGTCTATGACTTCTTCGCTAAAAGTGAGCCTCCCACCCTGCCACGCTTATTTGTTCATCCACCATTCGCTAACATCATCATAGAGTATAAAATCCATATCCAAGATACTAGACTGCCTGTCATCAATGTCGGCGATAGGGAGAATCCCAATTACTTCCCGCTCCAGGTTTGCTATGTGCTGCCTGGCCAGCCGTGCAATAGCATGCTCAGCGCGTCCCAGGCTCAGCAAATGATCAGGTTCGCCGTTCGTAAGCCGTTCGACAACGCTACGTCTATTGTGACAAAGGGACTGAAGACTGCGGGCCTGTCCTCTGAAACAAATCCATTACTGGTGAGCTCCTGCTGCAATTCTGACATGATGAAACGAATGGCTCGCTTACTCATTCCTCTCAGGCACAATTTGGAATCGACATTTCTCAGAACCTCATTACCGTTTCGGGCCGCATTATCGCCAGCCCAAAAGTTACATACGGCCAGAACCGACAAATTCCCACGTTTGGGGGCAGCTGGAACATGTTACCAAGGGACTCTCCGAGCCTCAAATTCACCAACGCCAGTACTATGCAGAAGTGGTCTTGTGTCTACATTGAGATGCCCAACGATTATCCACACGCCCAGACATTCACCAGTGCAGGCCTGACCGAAATCTTGCGCAGCTTCCATGCTGTACTGGGTGATACCGGCATCGCTGCCAGCCCGCCGCTTCAACCGTTTCAACGACTTCAACTTGATAATAACGACGACCCTCAACTCGAGGCGCTGATGAAACGTGCCGCATCGTCGCTGCAGCTGCTCTTTGTCATCCTGCCCGCAACCCCCATTCCGCTGTACAATCGCGTCAAATATCTTGGCGATGTGAAATATGGCATCCATACTGTCTGCAGCGTGGGCACCAAGATTTCCAACCCCAAGGGCCAAGACCAGTATCTTCGCAATCTCGCGCTCAAGTTTAACCTAAAGCTGGGCGGCAACAACCATCTCGTCGATCCCACGCACTTGGGATTCATTACGGAGAACAAAACTATGATTGTTGGCATCGACGTCACTCATCCGACGTCCGGAAACAAGCAGGCTCCCAGTATAGCCAGTATGGTCGCTAGCATTGACCAAAAGCTCGGTCAATGGCCGGGCATCCTCAGTATCCAGCCGAAAAGTCGTCAGGAGATGGTTGCGGATCTCACCGAAATGCTAAAATCGCGCCTACGTCTGTGGCGCCAGAAGGGCAAGCATTCAGAGTTTCCGGAAAACATTATTGTATACCGTGACGGTGTCTCGGAGGGGCAGTATCAGCCGGTATTAGACCAAGAGCTCCCGTTGCTACGAGCCGCCTGCAAAGAGCTCTACCCGGCACCAGACCAAAAGAAAGGCCTGCCACGCATGACTGTGGCCGTCGTCGGCAAACGCCACCATACTCGCTTCTACCCGACTTCAATCGCCGACGCGGACAAGGGGGGAAACACCAAGGCTGGTACTGTGGTTGATCGGGGCGTCACAGAAGCGCGCAATTGGGACTTTTACCTCCAGGCGCACACGGCACTGCAGGGGACGGCCAGGCCAGCGCATTACTATGTTGTGCTGGATGAGATCTTTCGCCCACGATACGCGAAGACACCTGGGAAGAACATAGCAGATGAGTTCCAGGATCTGACGCAGAGTATGTGCTATGCATTTGGCCGGGCCACCAAGGCCGTCAGCTACTGCGCTCCGGCATACTATGCGGATGTCTTGTGCGAGCGGTCGCGGTGCTATCTCAGCTCTTTATTTGAGTCACCATCCAATTCAGCAACGCCGTCGATGGTAGAGGGCGCTGCAGGCGGTGTTGACGCTGGTTCATTGAAGCAGGAGGTGCAGGTCCATGAGAGGCTCAAGGATAGCATGTTTTACATCTGAAAGGGATTGCAGATTGCTAGTTGGAAAGGGACGGACTGTGTTTGGAAATTTCCTGGGCGGAATTGGATATCATAGCTTGTTCTACCATGCCACAAATAGCAGATTGGATTCAAGATATTTTTGGATTACCTAGTTGATGATCAAGTGTCGATTGGAGGAACAATTGGGGTGAGTTCGGTGAGTTCGGTGAGACGACAGCCGGTCGGTGAAGCAGCCCGAAAGTGGATGGCGGGTCGAAATCTCGATGACCATGACCAGCGATGACGTTTTGATTGGGCTTCTCGCAACCCCCACTCGGAACAAAGGTGCCGGCCAAACAACGTTACTGCCAAGCTTGTTGCACGTATGACGCTATTCACGGCTGTGGCCTCTGTGATTTGCGGGAGCGGACAGGGGGGAACAAGCCAAGGGCAGGACAGGGCAGCGGGATGGCGACGGGCCAGGGCTTTCCAGGGCTTGTCAGGGCCACTGGAACGGGTGGCGATGACGGAGGGAAAAGCTGTGGTTGACGTCAGGGAGGTGACGATCCTGGGTTGTTGGTGGTTTTGGGCGCATGTTTGTTGGAAGGAGTGTATCATGATGATGAGTTTTGGGTTTGGGTGCTGTGTTGGTGTTGGTGCTGGTGCTGGTGCTGGGAGATAAAGGGAGGTGCCGCTGCGTTGACTTCCACCCGGACTTGGCTTCTTCTGCTCACCTCTCATCGCTTGATTCATACCTATCTTTGTCATTGGGGGATTACTCACAAGTCCTCGGCCATGGCTCTCTTTGGAAACAGAGCTCGCGCTCCTGCGGGACAGGCCCCAGCTCCGGCAGCCAACACTGCGGCTACGCCGACGACGACGACAAAACGGAGAGGATTCGGATTCGGCCGTGGTGGAGGCTTCGGCCGTGGTCGCCAACATGCCCCGTATGCGATGCACTCGCGTCCCAGCTTTGGACAATGGCTCAGAGTCACTTGGTTGGACATCTTGACCATGGTGGCTATGGGAGCCATCGGCCTCGGTGTAAGTCGAGCTTCTACAACAGATGCAAACAAGTAACAAAGCTGACCCGACGTCTTACTTAGGTCTACGAAGCCAAACCTGCCCCGACGCGTTCGTTCCCCGTCACCTTTTCCGATGGAGAAATCGTCTGGCCTGAGTTCGGCTACCCTCTTCGAAAGGAGATTGTCCCCATCTGGCTGGCGGCCTTCCTCGCATCCATCATCCCCATCTTCATCATCCTCGTCATGCAGATCCGCATCCGCTCATTCTGGGATGTCAACAACGGTGTCATTGGTCTCTTGTACTCCCTCATCTGCGCAGCCGTGTTCCAAGTGTTCTGCAAGTGGCTCATCGGAGGCCTTCGCCCGCACTTCCTCGACGTGTGCAAGCCGGATCTGAGCCGCGTCACAACTTCCGGACTAGACAGAACCGGATACCAGCAGATCTACTTCACGCGCGACATTTGCACCGGAGACCCAGACCAGATTGACGACAGCTTGGAGTCGTTCCCCAGCGGCCACACCACCGCGGCTTTCGCAGGCTTCGTCTACCTCTCCCTGTACCTCAACGCGAAGCTCAAGGTATTCGCAAACTACCACCCGGCCATGTGGAAGCTCATCGCCGTCTACGCTCCCATCCTCGGCGCGGTCCTCATCGGCGGTGCGCTCACTATTGACGAGTTCCACAACTGGTACGACGTCGTCGCCGGCGCCATCATCGGAACCGTTATGGCCTTTTCCGCATACCGTATGTTGTACGCATCCATCTGGGACTGGCGCTTCAACCACATCCCCCTGAACCGCGGCGTGGCGTTTCCGTATACCGTGGGCAATGGCGACTTGTTCGATTCGACTTTTACCAGGCGTGTGGGATGGGGCACGGAGAGCTTTGCTGGTGGCACGACGAACGGTGTTGGCAACGGATATGGTCACCATCATACCAAGCATGAGCATGGATACAACAACGGTGCTGGATATACCAATGGCGCTGGATATACCAACGGTGCAGGACATACTAATGGCGCTGGATACACTAATGGTGTTGGACCGGCGGGCAACGGAGAGTATGCGAACCCGACGATGCCTCGACGGGCCGTTGGACACCCTCCGGAGCAGATGGTGTAAGATGTTGACATGGGAGTTTTAAGTCACTCACTCTGTCAATGTCTCTTCCTTGAGAAACGTTTCTTTTCCTTTGTACTGGATGAGAGATTGAAAACTTGGGCGTGTTGTGGTGTTGTTGGTGTCATTGCATCTGGATATGCTTAATGAGGAATGATGCTAATGAGGGAGTGGCTTTTCTTTACGGTTAATGGTTTATAATACCCGCAGTTATAATTAGTGTACAATTCTTTTGTTTGGAAAGCAGTCTTATCAATACTCTTGATTCGGTTATTTTGTGTTGTGCAAAGTGTTGACCATTGACTCGTCTCATTCGATGCTCATTCCAGGATATTCTCAACATTATCGTTTCTGCATTCCAATCTCATCTCACATAATTCAATCCCACCAAGAACAGACCCCTGACACATGCCAAAATAGCCAAAAGCGACAAAGACACCACAAGCCGGAGCTCCACCGGCCCCCGGTTCTCGGCCCCATTCAACGATGGAAATTCCAACCGTCACACAAAAAAGAGAAGCATCTAGAAAACCATTCAGGCTATACCAAATAGCCCTACAAAAACGGCTTATGTGATGGCAGAATAAATTTAAAAAAAAAAAAAAAAAGACAAAGACAAAGACAAGCCACCGGTCCGGAGGGCTAAGCAGCCCGCAGTGGGGGGAGATTTGTTCCCCGAGTCTGGAAGCTGGGCTCAGCTAATAGTATGGATTTCAGCTACTACTGCTAGTAGGTAGTAAATAGTAAGAGTCAGAGGCAAACTCGCCGAGCTACATCCGGATGACTCTTTTTTTTTTCCTGCTCCAATTGGTTTTTGTTCTTTTAAACCAGCGCCGGCGTCGAACTTTGTTTTTCAACTTCTCTTCCTCTTTCTTTCTCTTTAACTGCTCAATTGAATTGAAAAAGGCTGTCTGTTTAGCTGTGTTGCCCGTTCTGCAGTGCTTGACGTAGCTCGTCATCGTTAGCAAATCTCGACTCAACTCGGGATTCTCTCTGCGATATCGCTCTCGCCCAAACAGCAAATCTTGCGCTTCAACGCCCCCGATACAATCCATCGCGATGGCTTCCTCCGGCCACATCCTCACCCTCAGCTGCCCCGACAAGCCCGGCATCGTCCACGCCGTCACGGGCATCTTCGCCGCCAAGGGCCACAACGTGCTGGACCTGCAGCAGTTCTCCGACCCCGTCACCAACAAGTTCTTCATGCGCGTGCACTTTGGCCCTGCCCCGAACGTTGCCGATGCTTCGTCGACTGAGCACCTCGAGCCCGACTTCCAGGCCCTCGCCACCGAGTACAGCATGACGTACAACTTCCGACCTCTGAAGCGCCGCACCCGCGTGCTCATCATGGTGTCCAAGATCGGCCACTGCCTCAACGACCTGCTGTTCCGCATGAAGACTGGCCAGCTGCTCATCGAGGTGCCCATCATTGTGTCCAACCACCCCGACTTTGAGGCCCTGGCCAAGAGCTACGGCATCGAGTTCCACCACCTGCCCGTGTCCAAGGACACCAAGCTGGAGCAGGAGGCCGCAGTGCTGGAGCTGATCAAGCAGCACAACATTGAGCTGGTTGTCCTGGCCCGATACATGCAGGTGCTGTCGCCCAAGCTGTGCGAGGAAATGTCCGGAAAGATTATCAACAGTCAGTCGAACCCAGTCGCATTGCCCCATTCCCATGCCCGTATGCTAACGCAGTGATCAACAGTCCACCACAGCTTCTTGCCCAGCTTCATCGGCGCGAAGCCCTACCACCAGGCTTTTGACCGCGGAGTCAAGATTATCGGCGCCACGGCGCACATTGTCACGGCCGATCTCGACGAGGGCCCCATTATCGAGCAGCGAGTCACCCGAGTCGATCACAGCATGGACCCGAAGAAGCTGTCGGAGGAGGGATCCACGGTCGAGACGCAGGTGCTGGCGGCAGCCGTTCGCTGGTATGCCGAGGGAAGAGTGTTTTTGAACGGACACAAGACGGTTGTGTTTTGAATATGATGAATTCATGAGGGAAAAAAAAGCGACACGACAGAAAGTGTAAGCGTATATATCTGGCGATGCATTAGCATCCGTACATAGTCAAAACTTGGTCCTACATGGCCTTGAGGGCATTAGACTCACCACTTTCACATGCTCGTGAAAATCCCTGCTGATGTCTTCATTACCCGGCTCGGGCGTAAACCATGGCTGCAATTTGACAAAGAGCGCCGTTGGCGAATCAACCAGGACAATCACAACGCCAAGACAGCCACCGTCATGTAAATACCAGGAAGAGAAAGCATCTTGGCCTCCTCTGTTCATTGGATTCTATTAATAAAAACGGGGCGTAGGATTCCAAGTGCGGTCTTGCGTCCGGTTGGGTGCTGGGGAAGGATCGCCGACTTCCGAAGCTAGAGGGAATCAGAGGCTGCCTCTTGGATGATCCGTCTCAAGAACAAATCCAAGTTTAAAGCCCAGCAGAGCATTAGCAAGCTTGGTGATGTCAGTTGGCATTGCCTAGCGCATCTTTGATTTGCGAGGCACGTTGGCGTTGTAACGGCAGACAGGCGGAGATGTGTCCAACGTAGGGGGTTAATGCATGGTACATGCTGCCGACGATCCGATGGTGGTCACTCCCAGGCAGTATAAGGGCAGCACACACCTGTGGTAATCTGACTTTCCGGTCGATATCAAGACTGCAATACCGACGTCTTAAAAGCAAAGTATAACAGCTTTTCATCGGGCGCTGTCAAAATGGGCGGAGTTCCATCCATCCCCACCGACCGGACCCGGACCGTGCAGGTCATCGGCGCCGGCTACTCCCGCACCGGCACCGTATCCATGGCCCTGGCCCTGGAAAGGTTGCTGGGAGAGCCGGTGATGCATGGAGGAACGCAGCTGTTTGGCCGAGAAGACGGTTGGTTCAGCTTCTGATGCTTCCTGCGCTCAGCTCACGCTCACACTCTTGGAAACAGCCTATGTCAAGCTTTGGTGCGACGTCTTCGCCAACCGCGACAACAAGTCCGTCCTCATGAAGCTCCTACGCGAAGCCACGGCCGGCTTTGTTGCCGTCACTGATGTTCCCACCAATGCCTTCATTGCCGAACTGGTCGAGCTGTACCCGGATGCCAAGGTGGTGCTCGTGACGAGGGATCCGGATCGGTGGTTTAACAGTATGCAGACACTGCTAAAGGACGGCTATGGGTCAATGTCGGTGCTCAAGGCGATTCTGTGGCCATGCCCTGGATGGAGGTGGGCGCCAACATGGTTGAGATATCTACAGATTGTGTGAGTCGAGGCAGTGCGGTTGGCCGGTGTTTTTGTTGATGCTGATATTCGTGGGCAGAGAATCAGCCCGTCTTGGACCGACAATGTCTCGAGGTAGGTATAACTGTGCAATTGCCGGCAGTGAATCTCTTGTATTCGTGATGCTAATCTTGGTAGAATCCATCCTGATTCACAACGAATGGGTCCGCAACCATGTTCCCAAAGATCGACTCTTGACCGTGGATCTCAAACAAGGCTGGGAGCCACTCGCCACGTTTCTCGACAAGCCGGTTCCTAACGAGCCATTTCCTCACGCAAATGATGGCGAGGCTATGCAAAAGTTCGCCAAGGGGGTGTTTCGCACGGCGATGCTGATTTGGCTGGGCATTTTGGGGGGCGCGGGTTTGATTGCGTGGGTTGGGATGGTAGTTTGGAGGAGGTCCTTGCTGTCGTTGGATTGATGAAGCTGGTTTTCGTCTATACGCACAGTGTATTAATGAATGAACGAAGAATGAATAACGATATGCGTATCGACAACATTGGCGGTCAGTCATGCAAGTGATGGTGCAAGTCGGTGGTCACTTGAAGCGCCGATGGAGTGCGAGTGACTTGCAGCAACAACCTGGCAGGCAGAGCTGCTGCGTCACGTGAGACGACATGCCCAACGTGAAGCTGTTCGAGGTACAAAATCGACGGTATCATTGATAAGGGATAGGGGACAAGGTGCCATCCATTACGGAGCAGCAAATAAAAGAGCTGGTGTTGAAACCGTCTTGTTTTGCTTTGTTTATTTTTGCATTGAAATTGTTTACATTGTTCCCATACCTGTCCGGTAGCCGGGACATTGATTGACTTCCACGCTGGTCTGGATCCAGCCAAGCGTCATGTAGCTACGGAGTACACGGTTCAAGCCACTCGTTTTGTGCGTCGATTGTTGATGCCTTTGGGGGCGTAGCTTGAACATGTGATTGGCTGGGATGGAATTAACCGTCAGCATAACACGAGGAGCTTGGATGATGATTACGGAGCTGCTGGAAATCATGTTCTAATGCACGTCCAGAGTATCTAAATAATCGAGGTTCAATGGTCGGCGGAGAAACAGAGAAGCTACTAGGTACGGAGTGAAGAAGAGGAAGTTGTATGAGACTCCTTCGCTCACTCACTCATACACGCACTCATACACTTACACGCTCACACACCACAACTACTTACATACCGTCAATAGGCTCATCAAATCTCATTTTTGAAATCACCATCATCAATCGTCATCAGCATCCCCACCCTCTTCTCGCTTATGTACATATACCCTTGCTGGAATTAAACAAACAAACGCAAAGAATCCCCCATCTGTCCCGCCCAGCCCAATTCTGCCATCAAATCTCAGCTCGTCACGTCACGTCACGTCACGCATCGCCCATGGCCCCCTTTACGCCCACTAATGACTGCCAGCACAGCACGGCACAGCACAGCATAGCATAGCATAGGTGCTTCTGGCTGGGCATCAGTGGCCTTTGAGTGGTCAGCATTAGCATAGCAACCTCCGCAGCGCAAATCCATTGGTTCCATTTCTATCCATTCTATTCACATGTTGGGCTTCAATCAATTACTGTCCATCCAGCTCCAGAGCAGCTGATGCCCCGTGCTTCCAGGCGGCGCCTCTGTAATTCCGGCCCGAGCCTTTGTTTCCCTTGCCTGAAAACCACCGAGAAACGCCCAAGAAATCTCCCCCAGAAACCAAGACCCGGACAAACCCCTGCTAGGCCCAATCTGTCTTCCGCCATTGCTTCTCACCACCCCTCATCCTCATCCCATCCCATCCCAAAGCCCTCGCAATTCAAGCCTCGACATTTTGACTTTTGCCCGTTGACCTGGACTGCACCCGTTTCCTTTGTTTCCTTCTTTCTTCCTTCTCTCTCTTCTTCCTCTCCTTCTTTAATCTTGCCCCTTGCGCAACCCGCTTGCTGATCCTCCCCCCCGCGCCGACCTGCCACGACGAAGCTGATTCCAATCCGAAACCCGAACGAGCCTTACAAACCAACCAATCCAATCCAACCCGCCCTGATTTCAGTCTCATTCCGCTCCTTCGTTTCGCCGCGCCCCCGTCGTTTTGCCGTTCTTTTTTTCTCCCTTTGTTCAGCCTGGATTCATCGACCATCGTCGCGGCCCGCTCAGACCAGCTCCACGACGCCGCCGCCGTCGAGACCACGGAGATGGATATTTCCCAGCAGCAAGACTTTCTCCCCCCTCACGAGGCCGACATCAGCCAGGGCCCCGACGACATCATGGGCGGCTTCGACGGCGCCTCAGAGGCCGCTTCCAGCAACGGCTTCCACCACCAGCAGAGCCACTCGCTCGACCACAGCCTGGCCGGCAGCCTGAGGCAGGATGAAGAGTCCCCGAGCCGACAGACGCCGCCCGTGTCGGGATCGCTTTCGAGGCCAGCCAGCGGCTTGTCAAACCCGGCACCTCCGCCGTACAACGACTACCGGCCAAGCTCGGGCGACCAATCCAACGGCCGGAGCCACGTGGTGATCAAGGTCGGCATGGTTGGCGATGCCCAGATCGGCAAGACGTCGCTCATGGTCAAATACGTGGAGGGAAGCTGGGACGAGGACTACATCCAGACGCTGGGTGTCAATTTCATGGAAAAGACCATTTCCATCCGCAACACCGAAATCACCTTTTCCATCTGGGACTTGGGCGGCCAGCGCGAGTTTGTCAACATGCTGCCGCTGGTGTGCAATGACGCAGTTGCCATCCTCTTCATGTTTGACCTGACGCGCAAGAGCACGCTCAACAGCATCAAGGAATGGTATCGCCAGGGCCGCGGATTCAACAAGACGGCGATTCCCGTCTTGGTCGGCACCAAGTACGACCACTTTGTCAATTTCCCCATCCAAGACCAAGAGGAGATTTCCAATCAGGTAGGTTGTCTGTGACGTGAACACATTGCAGAACGATTTGCTGACGAAATGCCAACCCGCAGGCGAGACGATTTGCGAAAGCCATGCGAGCGTCACTGATTTTCTCAAGTACAAGCCACAGCATCAACGTACAAAAGGTGTGATTGCTTCTACCCGCTGTACTTATCTTGCGGGAAGCCAATCTCTAATCTGATTGACAGATTTTCAAAATTGTCCTTTCCAAAGCGTTTGATCTCAAGTGCACCATTCCCGAAATCGAAAACGTCGGCGAGCCATTGTTATTATATCAGTCTGTCTGATGACTTGCAGCCCCTTTGCACCCACTTCAAGGCTTGACTAGACTCTCCTTTCTTGTTCTTTTCTCGCCAAGTCATTTCTTTACGATAATACATTTTAATGGATGAGTGCTCGCGCAAGCCGTCCGTGCAAGCGGCATCAGCAGAATACAGAGCACATGCATTCAGACCAGCGACACAGATGATGGCGGAATATCCATTGCCCCCGAGGACGAGAAAACAGCCATTCGCCACGCACGACAATGACGATGGAACGACGAATCGCGCATCTGTAACAACCCCTCTTTCGAAGATTGTCATTTCGCCATCTTTTACCTATTGCTTTTATACTCGAATCCCTGCACCCACGGCACCGAGCATCCAGGAACACCACGATAGAGGTGATACAACAATGACGCTCCTCAGTGGTGACCAAACGCAGACGGCGCAATAGAGACGCCGTGAGAGGTGCATGGAGACATTGAAACATTGAGACCAACACTTTCTTGAGCATTAACTAGTTTGGATTTGGAGGACGCTAACAGAGAGGATGAGGAAGAAGAGACACGGAGGTTACTTGTATTTTTCCCCATCTTTTTTTTTAACTCTTTTATTCTTTTTTACTCTTGTCTTTTTTCTTTTTTTTCCACTATCAATTCTACTTTGAAACAGGGCTCGAGGAAAGGGCACACTATACGGAGAACTAGAAGGGAAAAAAAACAGGGTTGTGAAGGCGCCTCTGCTTCTTTTTTTTTCTTTAGACAAGCGCAATGAGGCTTTTTGCGAAAAAGAGAGACGAGATGGCGAAATTGGGAGGGCATGGCTGGGCCAGTGTCTGAATCTACCTACTTTTAGTTAATGTGACGGTCCATGAAATATGCTCATGTTTGATGCTGTGAAACGAATCCTTTTACCTAGTCTTTTTATTCATTCGTTGTTCTCATGATTGTGAATAAACACATGGTGAACCTACACGGTGAACTTGCATGCTGTGAACGCGAACTTGTGTGTTTTACATGTAATACCGTGATTATACAGAGCTTGAATGCCAAGCTCACTGTCTACCTAGATTTGGTAGTTTAGCTGTTCCCATATGCCCCCGTTCCCTGTTTTGTGTATCCCGTACATGTGTTCAGCTCAGACGAGCCAAGTGCCTCGACGAGCCAGAAATGATCTAAATGTAGCCGATGCCCTATTAGCCTACAGATTCCTGTGTCATGAAGAGGTGAGATGTTCCTTTGTTTTTGTGCGTTTTTGTTTAGTGCGTCTCCCTGTCCCAACATTGCTTCTCACTCTATCCCTCGCGGATACTCCTCGTACCTTTAGTAACCCTGACGGCCAGGATCGTTCGAAGCTTGTCCCTCAGAGCGGTAACTCTTGGGCCTCGAGCCACCAACGCTCATCCGGGGATTCTCCACGACAGCTCGAATGGTAGCGTCGCTGTCTCTTCCCCATGTACGCACCGTGGGCGTAGGCGTCTGCGGGAGTTGACCGATGTCAATCTCATTACCACGAGCAAGAGGGTGGGAACGAAGCGGCGTAGCTCGCTCAGCAGCGTACTCCATGGCCGGCTCAAAGTCGTACTCGGTAAAGGCAAATCCGCCACTGGTTCTGTGATCAGGGACTCTGGCGACGGTGCCTTCGAGAGGAATCCCCATGCGTTGGTCGTGGTGCTGGTAGCCGTATCCGGCGGCAGATGCTCTGGTGCTGACTATGCCTGCACCTGCATCCCTGTGAAGACCGTAGGGGTACTGCTGAGATTGAACTTGATTCTGACCCTGAGGCTGAGACTGCGAGTGGGCGGGAATTCCCCTGAGCGTTTCTTCCGAGTCCGTCGCCCAGTACGCCCAAGCATCAAAGTCATCATCCACCTCGACGAAGCCGTTGATGATGGCGACGCGCCGACCGCGGGAGCCAGAAACAAAGATGGAGCGAAGACTGTACGCGGGGGCAAGGCTGGTCAGGGGACGGCGAGGAGGCTGGCCGTCGGGGCCGCAGCGGATGCAGTCCTTGGGGATGAGCAGGTAGGCGATGCCGATGAGGATGTTGAGAAAGATGAGGACGGCCATGATGATGGCGATGACGAGGAAGACGGTGGAAGGTCTTTGTCCCTCCATGATGAGAAGCTTTGCTTTGAGAGGTAGGCTTTCGAAGCGGTTTTGAGTGGGATGATTTGTGGTGAAAGGCGTGCAAATTGAAGTTGCTTCGGGGAGGACGAAGCTTGCACAAAAGGTTTGGGAAAGGAGGAAAAAGGGCGAGCACGCAGATTTTGAAAGCACCCAACGATGAGATGCAGAAATTTCCCTTCGTTTGTTTTCTTGTTGCCTTTCTTTTGACTAAGCAGCACAATGAGTTCTTGCCATCTGGTTCTGTCGCCTGTTCAGCTGGCAGGCACCTGGTGAGCTCTACCTGCCTCTTGATTTTTTTTCTTTGGTGGCAGCTGCCAGTCCATTGTACTTGATGTCAGAGCGATATAATGAGAAATTACTATACTTATATGAAGCAAAATAAATAGAGCAGTCTTAAAACGTCATTTAAAGAAGTTGTAATATATGTATCTTGGTTTAAGGCGGTTTGATATTGTAATGAAATATATATTGTTTTATGCCATTAATATACAGACACAGTGACATCCCTTATTTCCTACTCTGAGCCTATTGATATCAATGTAGAATCCCTCTATAAAGTACAATATCAACACATTCGACTGACATTCTTCTAGATAAACACCATTGATATCAGAATCATTTATACAAAACCTAAAGCTACTAATGAAGCGCCTCTGCAAATCACCCGCCCCACCCACAGACGGCATCACCTTCACCTTGATTGGCCACGAAAATCTCCCGCGCATGAAAATGGAAATACGTGTATAGCCCATCTTCCAACTCCATTTTTTCCACATTTGACAGCAAGCAACCTGTTTTATTATTAGAACCTCGAAAGTGCGTGCGTGCTTTGATATACGTGTATTCGTGTGCCCACCTTTGACGTCTATCTATTCAACCGTTCAGCTCATCTCTTAGGTGCATCTGCTCCGGATTTTGCATCTCTTCGTTAATTGTCGCGTAAAATCCACGCCTCGGCCCATGTCTCCTAATCTAGTACGAGGTCCGTACCTTTTTTGACTTGGTGCTTCTGCTCCCTGGTGGCGTCTATTAGAGTTGAGCCTGTACATCCATCAACCATCGCCATCTACCGCATCCGGCCATCTCTGTATACGGCGCATCTCATGTCTTCATACCTATACAAAAAACTCAATTGTACTCCGCATTTTGCTCTCAACTGCACGTCTGCAGCAATATTTCGTCAGTTGCTTTTCAAATTCACGTCTTGGCATCATCACGTCAATTTGCCGACTTGATTCAGAAATCAGGCCGTTCCAGAAAGCCCCTTACTGGGGTCAGTGCGCCATGTAACATCAATGGATGTCCGTCATTATCAGCGCCAACTGCAAGAAGAAAAAAGACCAGTCACAAAAAAAATAGGCGAACAAAGAAAACTAAAAGAGAACCTTGAACAAAATCCCAAAACGGACAAAACAGGCCATCCACAAATACAGCATCGTGACATTGCAACAACGAAATCACTGCGTGGTAACTCATAACGCGTGCTGGCATGTATGCTTTTATGTATCCCTTTATATAGGTAACTGTAAAAAAACAAACTCGTGCTCGAGGCCGGAGCTCATAGACGAGACACAATTCCATCCAGCGGCCTTTCCAGCGTGTATTTCTACCGTAAATGCGCTCCAAATTTTGGGGCTAAAAATCCACACAACTCCATTAACGCCCGGCTATGATATGAAATCTCCCTCACTCTGCTATCGCAGGGCCATACATGATTACAACGAACAGTGGAATAAAAGAAGAACAAGACAAGTGGCGGCACAATGTGTGACTCGGCGAAGAAAAAGACGTAGAAGACCTTGGAGATGGGTGGTACTCCAAAAGCGGTCGGCATACTGCCCCGGGAGGGCCTGCGAGAAAAAAAAAAAGGTTCGTACGACGTTTCGTCATCGGAAGCATCACGGAGGAGCATGTTTGCTTTCAGTTCTTGTCGCCCCAGAGCGGTGCGCCCAGCGGCTTGCTTATGCCAAAGCCGACGCTGACGGCGACTCCCACGACCAGGACGATGATGAGGACCTTGGCGATGATCTTGTTGCGCGGGCTCAGGTTGGCCATGCAGACGCAGTTGTTTCGCTTCACCTTGGTCTGCTGGGCCTGCTTCTCCCAGTGGTCCTTTCCGGGCCATACTTGGCAGCACTTCTTGTTGGCATCCAGCGTCATGCTTTTTCGGAGGGGCTTGTCAAAGGAGCTGTGAGAGTTGAGAGCCTCAATGTCGGCATCAAAGGGATTGGTAGTCGTCTTGTCCGAGTGTGGGTTGGATGTGATGCTGGTGACCGAGGTGGCATTGGTCGGCACGGCATAAACGCCCACGGTAGGGGTGAGGGCCTTGTCAGGCACAGAGATCTCGACGGTGACTTCTCTGGTGAGAACAACGCTGGCAGTAGACTGCCTCTTGTCGGGAGTGGCCATGATGATGGTGGTGGTTTTGAGGGCGAGGCGAAAATGTGATGAGGCGTGGAAAGAATGGCGGAATCAGATTCTCGTCAGATCAAAAAAGAGGCGAGAACAATAGCAAGAAGAGGCAAAACAGAGTGTACAAGAAGAAAAGGCTGTCTAGGAGACGGAGGTTAGCATGTTGGGTTGGATATATGCAAGGGAGAATGTTTGCAGGGGCTGTGCGGCAGAGACGAAAATAAAAAATATGAATGCGTGGGGAGCACCTGACGTTGCCACCGCCGGCACATGCAGGCCACGGGAAGTGCGAAGAGAATGAGGGAAAGAAAACATACCTGTGGGTTGCACGAAGCTTGGAGAATGGAAGAGTGCAGCTGGTGACGGGTTTGTCAAGTGGCAGGGGGAATCGTATTCGTGTGGCGATGTCTCGAATGAAGGAGGCTTTGTGGCGAAAAAAAAAAAAAAAGATAGAGAGAGAGAGAGAAAGAGAGAGAGAGGAGAGTGAAAGAAGGAAGAGTAGAGAGTAGAGAGTAGAGGAGAGAGAGACGCTGTGGTGCTGAGCAACCACGAGAGAGAGTGAGTGAAAGAGATGAATGCGGTTTACAAGGTTGACATTGGCGAACGAGCTTGGACCTCCTTTGACGATGCGATGAGATGCAGGCTGTGATTTGTCTTCCAATTGAATGAATATCCAATGAGACAAGCAGTCCTTGGTAAATGAAAGAAGACCAAGATAAAGGACAATTGGACAAAGATGGAGAGACAAGAACCGAGAAGAGGGGGAAAAGTCGAGGAGAAGAAGAGAGCAGTAGCCTGATATCGAAAAAAAGAGGGAGGCGAGAATTGCTTGGAGTTAGAGCGTACAAGGTACTTGTTGGCTTGGGCTAGGTACCTCAAAGAGGGAAGAGACCTGAAGCTCGAGGCGTTTGCAGCTGGGGGAGAAGAGATTGGCGCTAGCGGGCGCAGGTACCTCGTGGCCGTACTTAATCTACTTGATGTACCTGGTGCAAGTGCCGAAGAGTACGCCGCAAACAGCCCATGCCTCCATATATCTGTCAAGTAGCATCCACCCCGTTCATCAGGTACCCCCCCAGGTATCTCGCATTGAAGGCTCATTGCAGAGCTGCCAGGGGACTCTGGCAAAAGTCTGGCTCAGCGAGATTGCCTCGTCCCGCTCGGGCCACCCAGAGCCTAGAACAGCCCCGGCTAGCGGAGCGCTAGAGCCACTACGGCCGCAAGGTTTATAGCGCACTAGCCTCCAGTCTGCATGTTGGTGGAGTGGCCGGTGCAGCGCTGTATTTTCGGTACGAGCACTGCGAGCTGCTGCAGCCGAGACGCAGGGGAAGGAAAAACTGGCCACGAACCTCTGGAATTTGGATGGCATGGCAGGGGTGGCGGATGCAGTGCCCAGCTTGTTGGGCGAAACGTGGGCGAGCGATATATAGATGAAGGGGTGCATTGGATGATTTTGGTGGGATTGGGGGGCTGATGCACTAGGATGATTGATTGCAGTTGAGCTGATATGGCGATATGAAGATGAGGATGACGATGAGGATGATGCAGAACACGGAGTGCATGTACTACAGCTACAGCTACAGCAACACCAAGACAAGAACAGAGAAATGTCTTGCCTCTCTTAATTTTCCATGTCTCAGCATGTCGTTTCCAACAAAGACGGGATGCGACAGTCTTCTTTTATCCTTTAGCGAGTACGAAAAGAGAACAGCCCAGCGTACCTAGCAATACAACATCAACATACGATCCCAATGCCTTGCGTGGCTGCATCGACAGCAAAAAAAAAAAAAAAAAAGTCGGTTAACCAGCATTGACTGATTGGCACCTGCAAGCATCATCACCACGAACCCCAACCCAACTCGTGGAATCACATCACCCTGCAGATGTAACATCAAATACTCGTACTTGTACAACAGCATCGAGTCCAAGGTCCCCGCTGATGGGCAACGTAGCCGTTGTTCCGCTTGGGCCCTTTGTGGAGAGAGAGAGACCCCGTCCAGGGATGCTCCGAGTCAATCAATCCCTGGCCACCACGCGTACGAGTACATGCACATGGCCCATTTGTTTGTCCATCTGATTGGGTATCTGAGGTTGAGCATTATTACGAGTACGAACCGGCGTATCTACAGCACTGCACATCTCCTTGGTCATGTCGCGCCAAAGGAGGCTTTTGACGGCTCTTCAGTGGCTCGTTGCATGACTTGGGTTGGAGCTTGTCGTCAGATGATGGACCGGTGATGCTATTATGAAGAGACGGTGTCGTTTTCGGCAACCTAGTACGAGTAGCAATTGGCTTCGTCTCTCTCCATCTCGCTCTCTATCGCTTCTCCATTCAGGCTGTCGCTTCTTCCTCGTCTTCCCCTTAACCGAGACACACCATCGACCCCCTTGCAGACGACGAGGATCGCCACCAGCTCAAATGACTACCATGACCAGCTGTCGTGCTACTCGTACTTCTACTAACAGCATCAAGTATCGTTTCCACCACTCTTCATACTTGATTCCACCACGCAGCCCAAGCAACCGCCATCCATCTATCCCTCTATCTATCCGCTCAGGGGCTTACTTGTATTCCCCTCGTCTTCTGCCATCTGCTAGCTTGTCCCTCATCGTTTCAATACTCGTTCCGTGGCGCCTACGAGCGGCGCCTAGTGGATGCCCAAAGATCCAATCCCCGCGTTTCCATGTGCCACTTTCGGCAGCTTCCAGCCCTCGCGCTCTAGAACGGCAAAACTTGCTCTGCCTAAATCTCTTAGCATCGCGCACTATCGATCTCTTGCTGAGATGGCTCTGGAGCCCTGTGACGCTTGGTTTTAGTGGCTTAAGTCGCCTGGATTGATTGATGAAAAACTAACAAGAAGATACATGTTTCTGCACATCAATGCCGTCTCTGTTGCCGTGCTTGCAACCATAATCGTATCTATAGTATGAACGACGCAATGCAACTAATGCCACTAAAACCAGGCTTCAGAGCCATCCATTGATCTCTTTTGGCTTCTGCAATCTCTTATTCATTGGATACATGTGCCGAATACTATGGAGCCTGTCAATTAGACCAGCCATCTCTGCTGCCGCCTATCCCTGCTGTAGTTTCTTTATGCATTTCTTTGCACCATAGACTGAATACTAAGTACCTAATGCCGGTGTGCGCTCAGCCTCACCTCCCCATATGACAGTAAAGTCACCAAATACACAGCTGGCGAGAAAATATTCTCTCGCATAGTAAGCATCTTTTGTTCGCTCTATCTGGACAAGGAGATTTAGATCGGCCACTGGTGTTTATTGCTTATAGTCTTGGTGCAATTATTGTTACGGAAGTAGGTTTAACGTGAACTGCAGACAGTAACGGGATTCTAATCTTCTCTTCTAACTGCTTGCAGGATCGTCATTATAAATGCAAACTGAGCTTAGAAACGTTGTTGAGTTTACCAAGACTGTGATTTTCCTTGGCACGCAACACCAGGCAAGTGGAGAACAGAAAAACAGAGACCGAGATTAAAGACTCCAAACACTCACGCGGAAAATTACTATACGCCCGGTTTTTAAGTACATACCCAGCCCCCCCCCCGTATACTACAGTCAAACTGTTCACGCATGCTCAGCTAACCGATAAGATAGTGCTGACTTGCTCCCTTTCGTCAAACGCCTGAAAAGACGAAGCAGCTTGGGCTCGCTTGGTTGCACTCAGAGGAGACATACCGAAGGAGACCAGCCTAAGCTCTTATCTTATTAAGATAGACCTGGGACCATGGGAGCAAGCCATACGTGATATTGGAAAGACTCAGTTTCACCAGTATCCGGAACAGGGCACGCCGGCATGGAAGAAAATCATGCGCGATGTGAAAAGGACTCAGAGGAACCAGTATGATCCGGATCAGAGCATGCCGTTTGCGGTCCAATACACTGGTAGTGGTCCTATTCTCCGACAAACTTTCGACGAGTTCCACTCTCGGCCACCCGAGGAAAAACACTATCATGGGCATCGTAGTGTTGCGAGTTTTGAGTCTGCAGGTACTGCTTAATGCTTGGATAGAAGTAGTTGCATAAATTTCATTGCATGGCCGTCTTCTGTATGGCGGTAGTTTCGCATTCTCAAGTAATACTGGACCAAAGAATACGACACATATAAGGCATGACTCCGTACGTACGGCATAGTGGAGATGTGTAAACAAGAAAGGCGAGATCTGACCTCCATGTGTTGGCCACCTAGCCGTAATTACGTGGCTCTCACACCTGTATATTCCCCAACGCCGGGAACTCGCCTCGACACGTCATTCACTAAGCCAGTTGCCGGCCTCATATACGCGGGCTGCCGGCCGAGGATAGAAGGTTCCAGAGTCTCTGAAAGCAACACGCAGCCGTATGAGTCACTGTAGCCGTAATAACCGTAATTGATATCGCATTTGCATTGTGTGGTACATGTAGTAGACTTGGTACAAGTAGATCTACCTAGTTACTATAGGAAATATAGTAGACGTCGTGGATATATTTATATTTCTCCAGTAACTGCTACTATCTTTATAATTCTCTAGTAATTACTACAAGTTATATATTCCTCTAGTAGCTGATATTATTTATATATCCCTTTAGTAACTGCTACTATTTATATACTTCTCTGGTAACTGCTACTATCTGAATATTTCTCTGGTAACTGCTACTATAATAGATCTAGTGGAACGCAGGTATCAACGCCATGTGCCAGACGGGTGAATGCGTTATCAGTGGGATAGATGCATTTGTTGGGGCGGACAGATACATTTGGATGCCCACGTATATGTTACAACTGTCATTTCGACGTGGCGGTGAACTAAGTTTATGGTGAATTCAAACCCCTCCCAAACTCAAGGCAATTGAACCCTAGAACTATAAAAGGTCCCCTTTGCCGCTCTTTGCTCCCTCATCTTCAAAGGCACCGATCTTCTCCTGCCAGCATCGATAGTCTGCATCCTGTCTTCTACTTCACATCCGCAAGGTAATGTGTCATTCAGTCACTACAGCTTGATCCCATGCTTCCTTCCATCTGTATTCGAAAGTGACAACGAACTGACCGCGAGGTGAATCAGAGTCCAAAAGACCCACATAATCCTGGAGCAGGTCGTCAACCTCTTTTCTTCTCTTCGTCAACTTCCATTCGCAAAGTATTGTACGTATGTCCCCCCTCCCCACCCCCTCTCCATAAGCTTGATCTTATGAGACCCTACCATATTCTAACCACTTCCATCTGGCTACTAGGTGCCTAGTAGCTTCTCCCCTTCCAAGATGACGGGACGCGGAAAGAACCGGTCGAGAAAAGCTCAGCGCAAGGAGGAGCAGCAGCGCAAGGAGCAGCAGCGCAACGAGTCCGAAGAGGCACAAGGGCACGCCGGACCAAGCCAAGTGCCGCAACTTGCTGTGCCGGTGACTCCATCTCCCAGGAAACCCACATCTGAGGATGCATCCCCGCCCAAGAGGCGTCTGCAAGTCGCGGATACCCCAACGCCGCACGGCACCGGCCATATCCAGAAGGATGAAGATGCCGCGAAGATATTGGCTCTTACTGGAATTCGACATAAAATGTCGCGAGAGGTCGAACAACAAGTGCAGGAAGTCATCGGCGACAACCGCAACCGTCATGGAAAGCAGCACAGCATTTCTCAGCTCAGCAACTTGACCATCGGCGTGACACAATCCCCAGACAAGCAGCAGATGATCCAAAAGGGCAGGCAAACGGCCGAGTCCATCATCGAGGGCAGGCTTCAAAGCAAGAAGAAATATCTAGCCCAAGCCGAACAGCTCGTCACAATTCTCTACAAGGCATGGCACAATGGTGGCCTCGATGTGACGAAAGACAAGTACGACTCCCAGCTTGAGCAGTTGGAACGCTTCATCACAGCCCTGAGAGGAGATGTTGTTGTTATCCAAACCTCTCGACACGAACTCGGCGGTAGACTCATGGATAATATGATCTGGGAACAAGACCTTCAGAACACGGATTGGGCCTATCTGGATCTTTTGATCAGTCGCTATAAGACGCCCGAGGGAGCAAAGCTCTCTTTGTTTGCTCCGAGAGATGCGGACGCCCAAGCTAGGTTTCGCAAGAGGGTAATGAATGCATACGATGCGGTGCATAAGGATTCGGAGTGGTGTGTCATCGCTGGCAGATTCTTCGGGCCGCGTGATATAAAGGCAGCCCATATTGTTGGGTACAATGTCGGCGAGCCTTCTGCGCGGCACCTGTTTGGGCCACCTAGTGACAATAATGGCCACCTAATGTCAGATAAGAATGGCATCCCAATGTATGATCTGTACGAAAAGGCTTTCGATGACGCACGGTTGGTCATCATACCAGAGGTACAACCGGATGGAAACCCACGAAAAGGCTGTTGGAAAGTCTATTGCCTCGACGACCCCGATACCCATGAAGAGTCTACACAGGTCCCAGTTGGTCGTGAGCTTCATGGGCGCTCGTTGAAGTTCCGGAACGACTTTCGACCCTCTGCCCGATACTTATACTTTGCGTTTTGTATCAATATTTTGAGGAGGCAACGGCACAAGGTCCCCGGTTGGTGGCGAGATGTGTTCCTCGAGGGCCCGGGAAAGGTTTGGGCAACGCCGGGCACTTACTTGCGCACTTCGACTCTTCGGAGACTTGCGCACCAAATCGGCCACATGACCGAGGAGGAGGTGGTCGAATTCGCAGGACCAGCTGATGCTGATGAGGAAGAAGAAGAAGACGTGGAGATGCTGGATGCCCAAGCCGACCTGGTGCTCGCAGCCTACCTTGACCAGGGTTCGCCCACTCCTGCCACCCACAAGGGTCAGCGTCTCCCGCGCGACGAGAGATATGATTGAAGAGAGCCGTGGTGAGGAGGACTTGGGTAAAGGGGGGGGGGGGGGGGATGTTAGTTGTGTTGAGTAGTCACGTGGATCTCTGTGTTGAGTGGTCACGTGTATCCCTGTGACCACTCCTTGGTCAAGCCCACTTTCTTTTTTGCTACCTTTACTGTTTGTTTGCAGCTAGCTTTTCCCTCTTTCATAGATCAGCATAGCAAGAGAGTTTTGCACCTTTTAGCTTGTTAATTTGCTCGTGTGTTTTGTGGCCCAATTTGCTTTGTTGACCATGTGTGGCTAAAGTGATAGATTGAGAAGACTGAATAAATAGCCAATAAGAAAGCCCTTGAGAATCACTTTGAATAGTAGCAGATATTAGTGAAATATAGATATAGTGGTAGATACTAGAGAAATATGAATATAGTAGTAGTTACTAGAGAAATATAAATATAATAGTAGACACTAGAGAAATATAAATATAATAGCAGACACTAGAGAAATATAAATATAATAGTAGATACTAGAGAAATATAACTATTATAGTGGTTATTAAAGAATATAAATATAATAATAGTTACTAGAGAAATATATATATAGTAGTAGATGTGTATTCTTCTAGTAACCATGACTAGCTTACTTTAGAAGCGCATATGGCAGATTTACAATGGATTTTGTCGAGATATGTCCCTTCGACTGAGAAAAAGTCATCCTTTGACATCCATTGTTACATGTAGTTTTGTGGTGGCAACCTGTAGGTGCACGTATACGAAAAGTGAAGCTGCGACAGAGAGCACGATCCAAAATGCCTTGATGCAAGAGACAGACGAACAAGATTGTACAGGCAGTTATGCCCAGGGACTGACATTGTGACTGCCCGCAGAGCTAAAGCTTGCGACACTTCCAGGTCGGCCGGGAACGGACGGCGATGGTGGAAACCACTCGGTGGACAGGTTCCAAGCAGGTTCGAACAAGTTATCAGCGACGGTACCGGGTTGCTGCAGGTCGGATTCATCAGGCATGTGGAAGTCATCGGGAGAAACTCGAAAGTCTCCGCTCCAATCATGCGTGCGTGTGAAGAGCGGATCATCGGGGATGGTAGCATCAGGTCGCTGCATGTCGGGGAGAATACATGTATCAGGTTGCCGTATATCGGGGACAGTATTAGGTTGCTGTATGCCTGTACCCAAGGTGCATTCAATTCCCAGCCGAATGCAAGGAGTACATTGAGTCTCGTCTTCTGACGATGGACGGCATTTCGCCTTGATTCGCCTGCAAAAATCTGGATATCCTTTAGCAACTCCTGCGAATTCGGCAGATGAAAAGAACAAGGTTCATGGCGAGGGCCGACACAACATACCACAAGCTTTGTTTCTCTTGAGCCTTGCTTCCCTACGGCGTCTTGCACGGCTGGCATTCTTGTTTTGCTTCGTTTGCTGCTCCTGGCAGATCATCTCATCGAAACCCAAAACCTCAATAACATCGTTGGCCTTCGCCCACGACGATAGGCCCATATAAGCAGCGAAAGCGAGCATTTCCGTCCCTTCTGGTACGTCCTCTCTGAGTGTAACCCAGCGAGCCCATGTTGCTCTATCACTCAAGCGCTTTACCACAGGGCTTGGGTCGACTTTGCATCGTTCAGCCAGTTGAGCATGAGTGAACAGTCTGAATGTGGCGTATGAGAGAAGCGCAGGGTCATCTTCCAGTATTCGTGACCGACTCAGCTGAGAGGAGCACGACTCGGATTTACAGAGGGACCCGTCCGGTTCAGATTGCTCGCCGGGAATAGCGCCTCCCTTTGCCATCCATTCAACGATATCCACACCTGGAGCGTCGTCCAAAGATCTCAGCACATCAAACACGGATGCATCTTCTTCTCCTGTCGCCGATTGCTTGCCATGTTGCAGCCGGTGTTTGTAGTAAAGTGCCAAATTTCGAGCCGCCACATCATTGAAACGAGTTGGGCCTTTATTGCCATTTTCCAAAATCTTCAAACTGTCTTCGTGGCGGCGAGCTGCGTGAATCCTCGCCTTGACGAGTCCATCAAGTTCTTTGATATTGATGTAATCCAAGCAGGTGTTGATAATCGAAAGATGGCTATTGCCGATCGGGTTGACCCATAGACTCGAATCAAGCATAGAAAGCCCATTGCCTTTTAAGAAGAAATCGCGCACTGATTCGTGTATGACCTGGACGATCCTAGTATTGCCTTGCTCTCGATTAAGCGATCCCGCTCCTGCATAAACGGACAATAATTCGACTCCCTCGTCTTGTAAATCACCTGCTCCAATGCTCTTCAGTTCCACCAAGCCCTTTGAGATTCTCCTGATCTGCTTTACAAGCTGCTCGTCGCTATCGGTAAAATGGACCGACTGACGCCACTCTTTGAGTGATGTAATCGAAGGCTGCCAAATGAAGGCCATTATGTGATGCCACTCGTGAAGGCTAAATGGTTTCGTTCCTAGGATTACCCACTGGAAAAGCCTGGTAGCTGTTCGCTTTTCATCCTGATCAAGGTTATAAAACATGCTGGAGAACAATTTTTCGAGTTCCTTTGGCACATTCGTGACCAGTCTGGTTAGGTACGGCATTCCTCTGCCATCATCCCAGCTTCTAAGCACGTCTTCTATCACCAAGACTACCCAGAGAAACACACCATCAGACTTGTTCAGAATACTTCCTCTTAGGTGTTTCCAGTGCGGATCTTGGTCGGGCACGCAGACTCGAAGCTTTTGGTCCACATATGCCACAATATCGTCACTGTTGTGCTGCTCAACGATAATCTCAGGACAGTCATCCAAGGTGATTGTGGGGAAGTGCCTGCTGGATAGACAGACACTGAGATGAGCTCTTTGAACAAAGGCCGACTCAGTTATTGACCTCCAGAAATAGGCCATCGGTCGTAGCATGGTCTCATCGCATTCATCCAAAGCATCAATGAAAATGATTGTTCTCCTCGTCTGGCTGAGCAGCACCGACTCAAAGAAGGATTTCAGCTCTAGCTCTGTCCAAATAGACATCTCTGGCCGCGTACTCCCTCTCCTGAATTTGACTTTTTCTTCCCACATCTTGTGGAAGCGCTGGAGGCTCTCTATGTCTCCAGGCAGAAGTTGGTATAGCAAGGACTGGAAAAGCGCGAGGCACGAGCGCTCGAGTGTATCCCCTTTGGCATTGAAGAAGAAGGCAGCAGTAGTATGGTGTGACTTGGCCTGCCCCGACGCCGCCCGGCGAAAAGCCTCTTTCATCAGTGTTGATTTACCCGAACCTGGCTTTCCTTTCAGCCAAAGAAGACCGTAGCTCTTCTGCCTACTCGTACTGTTGAACCAATCTCGATACACCTCATGGTTGAATAACCAGGAGCACGTCTGGTTTGCCGGGGTTTCCAGGCTTTGGTAGCGAATATGAATAGCCGGGAACCACAGAGATCCAAGGCAAGCTTCATAGAGCTGACCATTGGTGATGTTACTCAGTCTCCCTTTCGTGGAGGCGGCACTCGATACTGACTTGGGAAATCGTGTTTGCCGAGCTGGGAGAGCCTCAGTTGCTTTAACTCTCGCGATGGAACGGTATATCGAGCCAAGCTCTCCAGCTATTTTATGATAGTTTGGGTCATCTTTTCCCGAACACCGACACATTTCCACATGGTTCGCTTGCAGCGTCTCAGCATGCTCACGATAATCTCCGATCAACGATGAATAATCAGGAACCACCTTTTTCCCAATCTTTGCCAAGCTGAGGCCTTCTTGAAAGGTTTTGACTTGAAAGTCGTGCTTTTGCCATAGTATGGAAAAGTCTTCCTGCGCTCGTGACAAATCCGTCGTCTTTAATCCCAGGGCATCAAGAATGGCAGGCGTCGTCTCCATGCCGAGAGAGCTGATGACAGACCGCACCACTTCGCCGAGTGCCGCAACATCCTGACTACCGCGGTGCGGAGTACCAAGGAAAATGATCGATCCAGTTGACTCGACTATGTCTCTAAGCTCGGCTTCAAGGGATGATGATGACCTCGCAAGCATCTGCAAGTAACAGTTGGCAATTTGTACCTGTGCCCAAGGGCCAGGATAGACCTACCTCCTTGACGACAATCCCACCCAGACTGTGAGCAACGAAAACCAGCGGGTGTTTTAGACGCCTTTCCCTGCGTAAAGAAAATAAAAGATCCTTGCTATGGGAGAGAATGCTGTTATAGTTTATCGCACCATCTCTGTACTTGGTAACCTTACAGTCATAACCGAAAGTGAGAATGCGTGAGTCGGGACATTTGTCGGGAAGCAAATCGGCAGGCCAGAACACTGACCCAGGCTGGCTGTCATTTTCCTCAGGAAGCGAAGTAGCAGTTGATCGCGTGCCGCCTGTTGGCGAGGCTTTTGGTGGTTTCCAGGCCAGACGACGAATGCCACTTCTTTTCTCGTCTTTCTCGCCTGTCGGTTCAAGCGTATCGGAGGTCTTGGGGCGGTAAGTCCATGTCTTGGACGGATGTCCCTGCAAGCCATGGACGAATACAATGCTGCGGGTATCAGATCAGTTGGCCATATGCCTATTGCACCAAAAAAAAAACTGAAAGGGTACATGATGATACAGACGCACTCGACGATTGGCGGAGAGTTCTCAGCCTCGTAGACAACGGACAGGCCAGTGTCCAAAATAGTACTCGACATGTCCTGCCTTGGATCTGATTTTCTTTGCACAAATAGTTGGATGCGAAAGATTGAGGGTTTGAGAAGATGAGGCTGGGGATTTCAACGAGGCAGATCACCAAGGCTGACGGGCCTCAGCTGAGGTAAGGATGCATGCATGTGGCTGAGCTTGGCTTTTGGTCCAGGGCTCGCGATGTAATAATCTCATTGGAGGGGAGTATCGGGCATCATTGTTGCAACAACTGTGCGTGAGAGACGACGCCAGGTACATTCTCGAGGTAATTATTATTACTATTATTCTAAACAAAAAAAACTTATCCATTTCGCAAATGGAGTCGTGAATTTGGCTCTGCCATCAACTAATACACCACTTGTTGTTTAACGGAACCAATCTGCAGCAAACATCTGCTCGTCTTGAGGTGCATGTAGGTACGTAATAGAGCAGATGTACAGCAGCCAAAAAGCCTTATTAATATTGACCCTAGTACTACTAAGGCGTAGTATTGAGTGATGCAACTCCAGGCACGCAATCTTGGCGGTTGCCATTTCCTCCTACCAGTTGACGAGGTATATACATTGTAGATGTTGCAGATAATGACGGTGTTTTGTACCAAAAACGTACTATACTTGTATCGTGGCCACTTCCTCTTTATAATCTCCAAACCTCGCTTCCTCATCGTACCTCCCAATCATCCTTGCACAAGCTGGTGCTCATGGTTTCTTCTCTTTTCCAGTTTGTTGATTCTTCATTGTTTCTTCTTCAACATCGCCACAACATCACCGCCATCAGCTTCACAGGTCCAAGCATCATTCGTTCCAACCAGCTGCAGCTTCTCTCTTTACCGGCACTCGAGTTGCCTTTGCAGCCATCTTTTGCCTCATTTCTTCCTCCCCCGCAAGCTCATTCTCTGCCCGGCCATCCTCGGCCAGTGTCTCGACTATGAATCGATTGCCATCACGCAACCATGTGTCACTGCTCGACATCTGAGGATGTGGAACTTGGCCTGCTGCGCTTCTCGCTATGCTTGCCTGGTGCTGGCGGCATCCCCCAGCGCAGAACACCCGGTGACCAGCAAGTGGCGTGGCTTGCGAGTCCTGCCAGCCTAGATGCCGATCCGTCGACGCCCGAAGACTCTGGTTGGATTTGCGGCATGTATGCTCGAGCCTGGACTCGGTTGGAAATGGCCATCTATGGCCAAGACGTGGAGGATTCTCAAGAGATTGCCTTTTGCTACGGAGATGCTGTGACTTTTGCCGCCTGTTTACCCTGTATGTCGCCTCGTCGCCGTGCCAACACATATCCAGCCATCGCTAACAACGTGTACCTACAGTCTATGGTTTCACTATTGGATCACTGCAATATGCCGTCCGCAGCTACTTTGGGCTCGAAGGAACCAGGAGACAAGATTTCAGCGATGGCTGCTGCTTTCCGCGCGACACAATTCTGAGAAACGAAGAAGAAATTATTCTTCGCGAGAGGCTCCGCAGGGCCCCAGAGGAGAAACAGCAGCCGCCCTATGGCTGCTACGATCAAATGCTCTACCAATCCCAATCCCAGTCAGAGCAGCAGCAGCAGCGTGCAGTCCGAGGAGATCAAGCCCAAGTTCCTCTCAGCGAAAACAAGACAGCAGCCACGAATGCCGCCGTCAAGACGACACCAGCCAAGGTACACTCTGTGCATGAGGATGTTCGCCAGCCTGCTCAACCCAATCGACGAGCACCGCACGGTTTAGAAGAGGATCTTGCCACTCCGTCCAAGGCAAAGCGACAGGAGCACATTCTTCATGACGACGCTGAGACGGCAACTGCCGCGAAGCCGGTGCCTCACGAACTGGGCGCAACCTCGTTGAAGGCTGGGCCTTTGTGAAACGAGCAGGGTAGATTCTGTTGTTCAAGACGATGGCTTCGGGTTGCAAATGGATCAAGTGAAATCGGTGGTGAAGATTACTCGCCTATGTACACACTCTCACACCACAGTGGTCCTAATGTTGATCCGACCTCGATAGAATTACAAGTAGCTTCATAACAGAGCATCTTTACTCGTCCAAATACGCGCGTGGTTCTGTAAAGCATGATTCAGCCATCAACCGCCCCCTTCGATGTTAGTCCATCATTTTATTGACGCCTATCCAATATGCAGTTTTAACGAAGCAAGATTTCAATCACTTCTTCTTCTCGACCCTCTACAGCCTCTCCCTTCATGACACCGTAGACAAAACATTCGCTGTGAAAGGTCAAACTCGGATCTGACTCTTCATCAGACGCTTTCGGTAGAGCATTCAAGATGACAGGCACCCTGCACCCACCAATGATCCAGAGTTCCTGACCTGGCTGAACATTTTGGGGGCCAAGCCCGACATGCTCATCCTCGGTGATGAAGATGGCCTGTGACCGAACCATTTTATTTACCCATTCGTTCGGATTGTCTTCGTCGTCGGATCCATCTGGCGATAGGCTGCCCGTGATGAGCCCCAGGAACGCTGTGAATCCGCCGTCAGAGAGCTTGTCTGGGAACTGCTGGTGATATCTCGACAAGAGTTTGCCCCATCGGTTGCCGTATGAGCGGAAGATGGAAGCGACTGAGCCCTCGCCGGCAATATCCTCGCCAGCTGCAATCTCCTCTACCAGAGCGACGCGGCTGAGCTTCAGGCCGCAGATGCGGAGCGCAGTGTTGTTGTCCTCGACTCTGAGGCCCTCGCCAACACCGAACATTCCGCGATCTGCCTCGAAGCCGCCCCAGTGCCACCAGTGGTGATGGTCCCAGAAGTTGCACCTGCTGCGTCTGGCTTCGTCCTTGACGCCGCTCCAGTCGACGGCCCACGATGCGAGGCCCGGGATGTCGGTTCCTTCGCCGCCGCGGCCGATCAGGGGCTGCAGGTCGGTGCTCCTGTCGATGAGGTCGATGGTGACGGTGTGGTAGAGCGTGCGCACGTCGACCTCGTAGTTGCACATCTTGACGGAGGGCAGAGAGACGTCTTGGCGGAAGCCGAGGACGCCGTAGACTTTGTCGCGGGGGTCCGTCGCGGAGCGGAAGCGCCAGCGCCAGAGGAGCTGGAAGAGCTCTTCTTCGCGGGAGGCGCCGAGGCCGCGGAGGGAGCCTTGGAGGTTGAGGAGGCAGCCGTTGTCCCAGAACTCGTGGTGGATTGCGGGCGCCTTGTCGTTGAAGAAGCTCTCGGAGGCTTTGTCGAGGACGGCCCAGGGGAGTTCGCAGGGGCCCCAGTAGATGGTGGCTGTCGGGGGGAGGATTGCCTCTTGGACGGTCCAGATGCGGGACCACCAGGATACGTTGAGGACGGTCTTCAAGGCGGCGGCGGCGGCGATTCTTTTCTGTTCGTCGTCTAGCCAGGGGGGAGGGTTTTGGTCGCCCGCGATCCAGGAGAGGGTGTCGAGGGCTGCTTGGGCGTCGGACTCGGCGATGTCGCCCAGGGAGCCGAGCCAGATGGCGCCTTGCCTGCACTTGTTGTAGATGCGGCCCATCATGGAGACTTGCAGCGACTTTTCGAGATTGTCCGTCTGGTTGATGCACAGGGCGTCGGCCCAGACGTGTCGTGGTTGATCGGGGAGCCGCAGTCGTCGGAGGGCATCGGCCAGTGACGGCGTGACTCCGACATTGTTGTCTCCAAAGAAGATGTCTTCATAGGTGTTGGGATTGTCGTTTCCCCAGGCGTACGAGAGGGCTTCGTAGGGGAAGTCGAGGTCGTCGAGGGTTGATACGTGGAATTTGCAGCGTAGAGGGGAGTCTGGGGGGCCGGGCTTGATCTGGAGAGTGCGGATTTCTGATTTGAGGGAGTTGATTGCGGGGAGGACTTGGTCGTGCCAGGAGACTTTTTTTGCCATGATTGTGTGAGAATGATTAGATGAGGTTCTCCTCTGGCTCTCTTCTATCTCATTCTCTCTTTTTGGAGTTTTGCCAGTTGACTATGTTTGAAGAATCGGTGTAGATATTGTTTGCGTGGGAGAAGCCCCCGCTGATATAAAACAGATTGGTTGCCGTTGCAGGATTGAGCTGAGCATCGGGATATAATGTCAGATATACAGTAAGCAAGCGGGATTAGTTGGCGAGGACAAGGGAAAGCGATGAGCGTTTCTTATGCGGCAGCGTGGTGCAAAAATAGAAGGCTTTGTCGTGTGATTGCTCAGGGCTGGGGGAAAACGGGATTTTAGTCTGCCGCTAAGCATAATGTATGTAATGCTCTTTTTTGATGGTGGGACCCCTGGTATGGTGAAGCTGTGTGAGCGGATGGCTGGCTGCATTGAGGTTGTCAAGTAAGTTGAAGTTGTTCAATGTGAGCATAGACTGGCAGTATGAGAGGAGGCCGGTGGTTGAGTTGGTTCGATGGGGGCATGATTGCCGGGGCGTGGTATGTAGCTGAGTTGAGCGATTGTGCGGCTCTTTTGACTCAAATCCATGATTGGTGCAGAATCTCATCCTTGTTGAGAGGCTTGTCTATCGTCTTACCATCACCCTTTTCTTAGCAAGACCCTACCTACAGCATCTGTTTGACTGATACACATCGTGTCTGTGAGTTCGGTGACCCTTGCAAGAGGTCATCAGTCAGACTTGGCTAAGCCCGCATAGAGATGAATCAATGCATCAACAACTAATAGCTAGAGGAATTCAAATGTCAGAATTCTCCCATGATGAAAGAAAGGATAGGTAAATACCATACAATATGGCAATGAGGAGTGCCATCCAAATCTCTATTACTTCATCCTCCAATAGGGCGATGAGTAATGCTTCGTAGCTTGAGATTACAAGGATAGTATCTCGATATGTATGGGCTTAGGATGACTGCATAAGGCATATAGCCAATAATGGAGTGTAAACGAGTACATGTCCCACAACTAGTCATGGAATCTCACGACAATGTTGAGGCTCTACATGGTGAGTGGATCAGCTGCATGCTTTAAAGTCCGCCCCCTGGAAAATACCAAAACCCGATTCAATGCTTACTGGGCAACACACAAACTGCGCCGATGTTAGAAAAAGCATGGCTGTAAAGACAATATGCAAGACGACATCATTTTGTGGAAGCATGTGTCGCACATCCACGCGAGAGATTACTTCGTCCACAGATCGGTTTGAGGCCTAATTTCGTCGTATGCTTGAGATGATTATTCGATTCATACAGTAGTATATTCGAACTAGAACATGCACTCATCTCATGCAAATACAAACCGTCGCAGATTCTCATCACTCTCGTCGCTTATGACATGAGCCCCCCTCAATACCATTTCCAATCCACCAAATTCCAGCTCCCGCTTACACATGTCTCCAGAAACATACCATCAAATCCACCTAAGCACATACAAAAAATCCATCCTCTCAAGTTCCTCTTCCTAACCTCGACATTAAATCACTCACTCACCTCTCAAAATCCAAGTAATTCCCCCCGACCAAAATCTACCTCTTCTTTCTTCAGCTCACATCAAACCAAGACATCCATCCGCATTAGGCATCTCGTCCACCCCCCTAGCCCCCAGCCAAAAACTTACAAATAGCGCCTACAACATCAAGCCACACCATCTCGCCAAAAAGAAAAAAAAAAAAGTGTGGCAGCCTTTGTAATGGCTCAATCGGAGTGTGTTACGTAGTTTGGCTTGGCTTGGTACGAGCATGTCTCGTTCGTCCAGCCTAGCTTATTAGCTTGTGGTTTCGAAACTTGAAGAAGCGAGCCGGCCCGTTGACAAGGCCAGGCGCGTTTGTGGAATGGATTGGATTCAAGTGTTGGGGGCGGTTTGTAAGGTGAGATTTTGTGGAGCGAGCGTTTGCTATATATGGCAACAATGGAAGTCGAGGTGCAACTGGTTCGTTTTTAGGCGATGGTGTCTTGTACAAGTGCGAGTGTGGGTTGAAATGGTTGGCTCTCAAGCACGACATGACAGCGGCAAACGATATAGGTCCAAGATAAGAAAGAAATACTGCTACATACAGTCTAACAGAGGGTACACGTATCAATAAGGAACCGGGCTGTTCTCCTTGGCCCAGAGCTCCTGGCCCTCACTATCCTCCTCCGGCGGCGTAAACCCATTAATCTTCCAAAGCCTCCTGTCCGTCTCCGAAATGTGAAACTCCCAATCGTATTTGCCCTTCATCAGCGGCGTCAACAGCTGGTTAAACGCGTCGCCGGCTTCCCGCTTGATCTGGTCGTCGTCGGGGTAATTGTGCGCGACGTGGTTGATGGTGAAGCGGACAAAGGGCTTGTCGTCGGGGCCGCGCCTGGCACCACCAACGTAAAAGTCCTCATGGGCGACTTTGATGAAGTTGATGACGACGTAAAAGGCAGGTAGGCCGATGCCGAGGTAGAAGTCGGTTACGGCTTTGACGAGGGCGTCTTTGGATTCGTCGTCGGCGTAGGCGCTGGGAGGGTGGTAGACAAGCCAGTGAGGCATGATTGTGGTGATGTCTTGTAGATGCTGCTTGGAGAAGAGTCTAATAGAGTGATTGATGAAGAGATGTGAGAGAACTGCACTCTACAGGGCTTCGACGTGCTTTTCAAGTGTCAAACAAGCCATCCAAACCGATACGAGACTGGCATGAGAAGAGGCATAGCTGCATCCATCTTGAGCAAGCGAGCGAGCATCCACGCCGTCTGATACCACCAACACCCAAAAACTTCTAAATCAGGAAAACGAGACAGAGCACCAAGAAGCCAAGCATCTCCTCGAAACGGCAATCCCTCTGGAGTGGCGCCGAGTAATGCGGCGCTTGTGGATGTACTGTAATTGCACCGTCCGCCCGGAGTGACCGGCTGGAGCCCCGGGATCGGGGATAAGTGGGGTTTAACTCCAACAGTTGAAAGGCAGTCGGAGGTGCTGAGCTAATTGCTGGACGGTCGTGGAGATGGTGTTGTTTGATTGCTCATCGCGCAGCGGCTGACAAACCGGCAACTGGGCGGACAGACCTGTCTTTGGATGGACAGACCTGCCTTTGGACGGACAAACCTGCCTTTGGACGGACAGACCTGCCTTTGGACGGACAGACCTGCCTCACAACAGCTCGTCTGAGCTCGATGACCAGCATGATTACTGATCATCATGAGGTGAACATGGCTTCAAAGGTTGTCTAGTCGACAACCAGCGCGATTACTGATCATCATGAGGTGAACAGGGCTTCAAAGTGTGTTTTGTCGACAACCGTGTCTGTAGATGATGAAATATATATAGACAGCATGAGAATCGTTGATAAATCCCCAGAGTAGAAAGAGCACAGTTAGCAGCAAGAGCAGACAACCAACAAGTCATCACAAAAATCCACAATTCATCAAGTGTTCAACATGTTTTCAAAGCTTGCCTTCATCACGGGTGCGACGGGCTTCATCGGCTCGCAGGTCGTCACATCGGCTCTTCGCGAAGGCTACAATGTGCGCCTGAGCGTGCGAAAGGCTGAGCAGATTGAGAGCCTCAAGGACATTTTCCGCGACAATGTCTCAAAGATTGAGTTTGTCGTGGTGCCAGACATCTCCAAGCCTCAGGCATTCGACGACTCTCTGGACAATGTCGAGGTCGTCTTCCACATTGCATCGCCCATGCCCGGAAAGGGAGCCGACCTGCACAAGGACTACCTCGGCCCAGCTGTGCGGGGAACGCTCTCGGTGCTGGAGTCTGCCAGAAAGATCCCCAGCATCAAGAAGGTGGTCATCATGGCATCGATCCTGAGCATTGGCCCCCCCGACCTCTTTTTCAACACGGACACTTTTGTCCCAGGTGAGTACTCGTGTCCGCCCTCCTACATAAAGGGCCCAGGGGTTGGCCAAGGGGTTGGAGCACTCAATTGACACGGCAGCAGCAAACACGGGCAAAAGGCACGAGCTCAACATTGAGCAAATGTTCCCTGACGGCAAGGGCGAACACGGCACAATGTACGTGGCCTCCAAGATTCTGGCCCACCAGGCGTCGCAGGACTGGGTCAAGGAGCACAAGCCGGCCTTTAAGCTGGCCACGGTCCACCCGACCTTTGTGCTTGGCCACAGCCAGATCCGCAAGACGGCCGGCGATATCGACGGCATCAATGCCTGGTTCTGGAAGTCGCTGCAGTCTCCGGCACCCCTCTTCCCGTCTGTCGTTGTCGACGTGCGCGATGTCGCCGACCTGACCGTCAAGGCCGCCCAGCCGGACGTTCCAGACGGTATCGAGCTGGTTGCCTCTGGCGCGCCAACGACATGGAAGGACATTGCGGCATGGGTAAGGAGCACATATCCCGAGCTGAACACGCAGCTGGTGGAGGACGGGCCGGTTCCCTTTAGGGTTGACAACGACGTGCTCGGAATGAAGTGGCGGCCATTGTGGGAGACGCTGAGCGGGCTGATTGACCAGCAGCTGGCGCTACAGAAGGGCAACTAAGTGCCCGAGCTTTGTATAATACTGACGGGTCTGTAGTTGGCATCGGATCCATGAGTTCAAGGATATGGACTGATAGATAAAAGGGAGATTGAGCTTGGGGAGAGTCGAGACAACCATGTGCTCAGATGCGATGGGGAATAAGGGATAGATTCGATTAGACGTGCCGATAGCTGAAACTGAAACTCGAGCTGGATTGCAGCCGTCTAGGCTTTGCTCGTCTTCTGGCCGCCATTGGTGAGACGGGGCTGGTTGATTTGATTTGCGGGTTGGTGCAAATATGCAGGCAATCAATAGTAAGACAGACCAAGACAGACCAAGACAGACCAAGACAAGAAGATGGAAGAAGAGACAGCGAAGATGTGAGCGAGCGAGCGCTAAGAAGCAGCAGCCAATGGGAGTCGGCGGTGGCGCAGATTTGCATCGGCCTGGTGCGACTTTTGACGAGTCTGTTGAAATAGTACAGTAGTGGTAACTTGCAGTTGCGCAAATGCAATAGTAGTCGGATATGCAGGCTGGATAGAGTAAAGGGCTGAAGGAAGTTGGATGTTGGATGATGGCTGAATGACGAGTGGAGTGACGAAATTCGGCAGCGGCTGGACGCGTTGATTGGATTGGATTGGAGCGGGCCTGCGAGATTTCGGGGCAAGCCGAAGGCCCTGGTCTGGTCTCGTGTGGCGGGGATGGACAGTGCAGTTGCAGGGAGATGCATGCGCTGGAGGGATTTTGGCCAGCGGGCAGCACAGCACAGCACAGCACGTCATGTAAGGCGGTTTTAGGGGCAGTTTTCAGTGGCTGAGCGGGTGGCGTGTTGAAGTGCCTGAAAGGTGGGAGAGGAGGTTCCATGCTTAATTGAATGGATGTATACTAATGTACTGATGTCTATACTGCAGCTTGCATTTATCTACATAAGGTACCTACACTGGACAGCTTCACGATATCCTCAACTCCATCGCCTATCAACCACCATCAACCTCCATCAACCATCGTCAACCATCGTCACCTCCAAGTACAAGTACAAATAAATATAGACACTTGTACATCCCCGGCAGCGCGCGTGCTTCGCGCGTCTCCTCTAGCGCATCATGCAATGCACCATCACGCACAGCTCGCAACCTCCCCCTGTCGCGCATCCAAGGCGCATCCCTGGCCTCGCGCATCCCCACGCGTCCATTGGCCTCCCGCCCGCCAATCGTGGCAAAGCACTTTACCCGTCCCGGCAGACGCGTCAAGTTGCTCCATGTACAAGATGCATGGCCAGCCGCCCCTGTGTCTCGACGGCTCGCTTTTATTGTCTCGGGGGGGGGCATGATGATGATCTCTCTGGGTGGACGAGATCTGCTCTGCCCTGCTCTGCCCTGCCCTCTTCAAAAGGATGTCTCTCGATGCCCTCCCGTCCATTCCCTCCCCCCTCTGGCATCAAATCAACGGGCATCAAATTCTAGAGTGCATCCATACTGTAGAGCCTCGTCTCCCCCCTGCTGTAAATCCCCTTCGCTCAGCTCCCTCCAGTTCCCAGCTTTCGTCCAACCAACCCCACATCTGGGCCGTCGTCGACAAATGCCCACACAAATTCCAAAAATCCCATTAAACTTGAGCGAATCGTCGGTGAGGCGCGTCGCGACGGTACCTCCCTCTTGCCAATCTGCGCACGGACCCCCATGTATCAGTGACCGTCTCGTGAGCCGTCCGCTACCTCTGCCGCCCTCTGCCACCCTCCGCTGGACTGGAACGCTGGCCCCCCCGTTTGGCCGTGTCTTGCGAGCAACCCACTCGTCTTTAGCAGCTTTAGCACCACTTCCAGCATCCAGTAGTGGGCAGCGAGCACAGGTGCCCCCTCGAGTACCCCCGTAGAGTAGCAAGAGTAACTGGTACTCCAGGCCCTCCCGTCCAGACGCCTCGACGCATGTACCGGCCGCCCTCTGGCCGCTTCGCCCTTCTCACGTCCACATCGCGCTTCTTCAGTGTTTATTAGTACTCCCTCTGTCCCGTCCCACTTGGGCCTCGCGCTCTTCTCCCCTCCCATCTCTTCCATTTTGCTCTTGTTATTCGCCTCGCTCTCCCTCACACCACGTTCGTTAGTGAATCTCGCCAAACTCGAGAGACGCAAAAAAAATCATTTTGATACCAAAGCAAAGCAAAGCAAAGCAAAGCAAAGCAAATCGTGGCAGCAGTGGCAAAAAGAAGATGAAAACCGCACTCTACCATTAATTCCAGTCCCAAACCCAAAATTGACTGACCGCTTGCTCCCTTTCGTCCTCGGTGAACCAACTGCCATCATCAACCACAACCACATCGTTTCTTCATCTCCCCACCAAAGTATTCAATCAACCAAAGTGGAACCACGGCAACTTGTCGCATCGCATCGCATCGCATCGCATCAATCACTCCTGCATTTGTACCGCATCGCTTCGCTTCGCATCAGTCCCTCGATTAAATCCCTCCGGAGCAATGGCCGCCATCACCCGCCAGCCCTTTGCTCCCCTTGACGGAGCTCGTCTACAGTCCCTGACCAGCCTAAAGAACAGACAAAACGGTATGCTTTGCATCTTTCCCAAGAGGAAGAAACCAAGCAGGGACTAATTCCATCGCAGCCAGCGTTTCTCCCAAGCGGAAAGCAGACTTTCTCGAGATTGATAACTGTGAAAATGTCGATCCCCTGCTCTTTGCAAAACGCTCCAAGGGCGTAAGCTCAGGCACCCCTGCCAAGGATGGCCTCAAGCCCTCCAGCTTCTTCCTCACTCCCAGGATCGGCACTCCCGTCGCCGGTGCGCGATCTCTCGCCGGCCAGAACAAGGCCGCTTCCACGCCTCGTCGCATTCTGAATCCCAAGTCAAACCTGGGCAAGGCCAGTGTCGACACCACGCCCAAGTCCTGTCCGGTAGCTCCCGCGGGCCGCTCGCCAACTCAGGGCAAGCGCTCCAGACTTCTGTCGGGACGGCGGCGCGCCACTCGCCTGGACCCCCCATCATTTCACCTCGGCGGCTCATCCGCTCCCTTCTCTCTCGATGCAGCCCTAAAGGGCACTATTTCTGGCTACACCCCTCGGTCATCCGTCAAGAAGCCCGTCGTCTCCGATCTGCTTGAGCCTGATTCCAAGGCCAGCTGGTTCTTCGACATTCACGAAGACACCCCTGAGCAGGAGATGACCAACCTTTTGCAGCACAGCACCTGCACCCTCGACATCTCATCTGATGAGGAGACGGAGCAGCGCGCGAAGCGAGATGGTGCCGAGGGTCGTGACAAGGAGAACATTCCTCCCGCAGACGACGTCTCCCAGACTTCAGCCCACCGTGCCAGCCCGTCGCCCAAGGGCGATGAGATGCTGTTTGAGAAGCAGCGTGTTGCGCTAGGTGAGATGAATGCGGCCGACTTTTATGCCGAGGGTTGTGACGAGACATCGGTGATTCTCATCCACGAGGACGAGGACGAGGACGGGGAGCCAGAGGCCCCCATCGCCACCGTCTCAAACATTCCCTCATATATTCCCGAGGAGCCGGAAGAGGAAGAGGAAGAGGACGAGTTGGAGATTCATCAAGACATTGACGCTCTCATTTCAAGATCCATCGGCTCCAAGGCTGCCGTTCTGCAACCCATAGAAGGCACAGGCGAAAGCTTTGAACTCTGGGAAAGCAGCAGCGCCAAAGACGAAGCCGAAAGCGTCGTTGGGAGCCCGTAAATCAGCGCCCCCAATCGACGGCAGCCGGATCGTAAACGAGGGAATGAGTGTACGCTTTTGTATGTCGGATGAAGAGCGAGCCTTGAGCATTTGTGGTCTTTTGCGTTTTGTTATTGTCTTGGTTGGGCCTGTTGTCTGTGTCTTGCCTTGTTTTGTCTCTTATTGTCTTCTCTTCTTCCTTTCCTTTTCTTCTCCCTGTGAAAAAGGTCGTGGCTTGGCGCATCAGTTTTGCTTTTCCCGGACTGGGCGGCGTTTCCGGTTCGGCGCGGAATGGTTATACCAGGAGTTTTTGCTTGATGCGCCGGTTTGCGACTGTACGTGTAGAGCGCCGTCAGAGTACAACAAGTATCGTGCACGTTTAATCGTATTGTTTGAATGCTACAGACTTTTTGTCCACGTGAAAGCAAAGTGTGAATGAGACTTGATGTGCTCGAGCCCAACCTCTGCAGCGAGAGGAGCCCAACCCGACGAGTTGCATGACATTGCCGTCCCCATTGAGGACATGACCAAATTGAAGCTATGGACAGCTGTGGGCTAGCGGTGGTCAAGCGCTGTGTTGATCGCCCGCCACGCCCATTTCCAGCCACAAATTCTTGCCGTGCGGGCGCCCAATCTTATCATGCCATCCGATGATGAAAGCTCATGCAGCACAGACGCGGTGCACCTTTTCGACTCCTCAAGGTCCTTTTGCCCGCAGTTGGATGAGTTGATCCAATTCAACACCAAGCACACGGGATTCCAGTCGTCCAATCCCAACAGCAGCAGCATCGACATCAACAAGAGACAAGAAGCAAAACAATGTCTTCGATCCACGACCTCGCCGCCGCTGCAGTCGCCGGCACTTCGTCCCCCGCGGCGGGCGATGACAGCGCCGAGCACAAGATGAGGGGCGCCTTCATTGTGCTCGAGGGCCTGGATCGGAGCGGCAAGACGACGCAGGTGAAGCTGCTGGAGCAGAGGTTTGTGGAGGAGGGGAGGCCGGTCAAGGTGATGAGGTTTCCGGGTGAGTTTTTTTGTTTTGTTTTTATTGAATGAGAGCTTTGATGTGATGAGACGGGCACGATGGCATGACATGACGTTGATGAGGCTGGGGTGATGCAGATAGAACAACGCCGATTGGGCAGATGATTGATGGCTATCTGAAGAGCCATGTCGATATGAGTGACCACGCCATTCATCTACTGTTTAGTGCCAACCGGTGGGAAGCTGCGTAAGTCATTCTCGTCCCCCTCTTACTGTGTGAGATGAAGATTGAAGTGAAAAAAACGCTTACATGCCAATGCCAAAACAGGCAGCAAATCCGGGCCTACCTCGCCGCCGGCATCACCGTCGTGTCGGACCGCTTCTACCACTCCGGCATCGTCTACTCGGCCGCCAAGAAGAACCCGCACCTGCCGCTGTCCTGGGCCCGGGCTCCGGACACCGGGCTGCCGCGGCCGGACGTAGTGCTGTTCCTGGACCTGGACGAAGAAGCCGCCAGGGCGCGGGGCGGCTGGGGCAGCGAAAAGTACGAGAAGGAGGAGATGCAGCGGACGGTGCGGGAGCTGTTTTGGGCGCTGAGCATGGGCGGCAAGGACATCAAGGGCCAGGACTTGCTGCAGCAGCTGGGGGGCATCGAGGGCGCGTCGTGGAGGCAGGACGAGGAGGATATTGTGGTGGTGGACGCGAGTCGGGCGGTGGAGGAGGTTTCTGAGGCGATCTGGAGAAAGGTCCGGGCTAGGGTTGATAGGGTGGAGGCGGGTGAGATGGGTAAAGTGGTGAGGACTGCGTTGTGATGGATGGGACATGGGATATGGTGATGCTGGTTGACATTCCCTTTTTTGTGTGTTTTGTCCAGTCGAGGGGGGCAATTGGCATCCTCGAGATGTTTAGGTCCAAAGATACGATATACCTACCTAGTACCTCACTCGAACTTGTCACTACTAGGTACTTTTATATCAACATCGAGCACAACAACAACAACAGCCATCTACTTTGCAGGCAATCAAACTCACTCATCTCAACACCAAGCAAACCCCCTGTCACCAAACAACGCAACTTCATCCTTTGTCTTGCAGATATGCATCTCCTTGATAAGGGGAATACCCTACTTCGTCAGCCAATCAAAACTCTGGGTGGTCTAGTTGGTTCATGGCGTTCGACTGTAATGGATAACATCCCATCGAAAAGTCGGCGGTTCGATTCCGTCCCCGGAGATATCTCATTTTTTTGCAGTTTTTTTTTTATACGGACGTTGTCTTTTTGATTGATATTCTCATAAATTGATCAATCCAGTCTTTGACTCTTTAGTCTTCTTCTGTTTCTTTTATTCTCATCAGATTCAATCACCGAATAAATGACTGCATCTTGACATCCTTACCATGTCGACCACATAAAATACCCACCCCCGAATCTCACTCCCAAAGAGAAAAAAGGCCCCATCGCCGAAAAATCATACCATCAAATCCCAACCCCATACATTCCCGTATGGTAATAATTACCCAATTAGCACCTCCCGATACAAATCCACTACCCGCAAAACCACCGCGTGATTGGTTCCTCTTTTTTTCTTTGTCCCTCTTACTATCCCCTGATGTTCTTACCCGTGGAGTTATCAGTTGATCATATTTTGCTGGTCTCCGGGTGTCGGCGCCTTGCATCGGGTCGGGTCCTTTATCAAGCTTCTGATACGGCGATTCCACGACATGACTAAGCCTGCAGACTCAAAAAATGCTGGTTTTCGCTCCCCCGGCATTTTTGGAGGGGGAAAGGGAAAGCACCGGGTTAGTTTAGCGCTCCGATAAGCTAGAACGGGCCATTGTGTGTTTTCCCTCGGGCGGCGTCATACAAGTTTTTTCCCCTTCTTCTTCTTCTCTTCTTCTTCTCTCTCTGCGTTGGTTCATTCTCCTCCTCCTCCTCCTTGTTGTTTGCCCAATTCGTTCAGGTTGCAACAGCTTCGGCTATTTTTTTCCCTTTTACGGCATCACACAATGGCTTCAATTGCTTGCTCGCTGCGCGCTGCCCGGCCTGCGGCCATGCGCCTTGCGCCCCGTGCCGCTCCGATGGTTCGGCTGTCGATGCCTGTGAGGAGCTTCACCAGCTCCCGCATGAGTGCGTTTCCACCTCAAGCTCGGACAAGGCAAAATCTATAGCTAATCTTGATATTTTCATCTCCAGGCCTCTCCCGCAAGTACACCAAGGACCATGAGTGGATCGACCTCTCGGCCGACCGCAAGACGGGCGTCATCGGCGTCTCCGAGTACGCCGCCGAGCAGCTGGGCGACGTCGTCTACGTCGAGCTGCCCCCCGCGGGCGAATGGACCGACCAGGGCGACTCCATCGGCGCCGTCGAGTCCGTCAAGAGCGCCAGCGACATCAACGCCCCCGTGCGCTGCAAGGTCACCCACACAAACGCCCTGCTGGAGGAGAAGCCCGCGACCATCAACCAGGTGCCCGAGGACGACAGCGCTGGCGGCGGCTGGATTGTCAAGGTCGAGGTCGACGAGGAGGGCGCCAAGCAGTTTGACGAGCTGATGGACGCTGCTGCGTACAAGGAGTTTACTGCCGAGTAAAATGGGAAACTATTGAAGAAAATCGGGCGGTTGGCGGGTAAAAGATTAGACGAAGCTTGGTTTCTTTTGGCGATGGGCTTCGAATTGTGGGGGAGAATGGGATGTTTTTTTCTTGGAAATGAGAGGTTTAAAAAAAAGAGACGATTCTTTTTTTTTCTAATCCTTCTTTGTTGAAAATGAGGGGGTGGGGATTTTTTTGCATGGCGTAGAAACAGTTCAACCTGACCAAGGGGAGGAGGGTGAATGGATGATTTTTTTGGGCTCTTTTAACATTAGGGAAACTTGGTCGCATTTGGTGTACCATATAGGTAACATATAAACATACAAAGTGGGTGGGCTCATACGGTATCTTTCTTTTTTTCATTCAGATGAGGGTATACCATTTTTGGTTTTGCTAGGCCGGCTTCTCAGCGGGCGTCAAATATCACGAGCTATGATGATGCAGTTTTCCTCTCCTCTCTTTTTTTCCCCTTCCCGTGTTGTGTTGTGTTGTACAGCAGTCGATTCATTTCGTTCGTTCCAATCATTGAGGTGGTGGTGGTGCCGGCTTGTTCTTGTTGATGTCGTCCAGGATCTTGTTTGCGCCCCGGTTCACCAGATCGGCCGCCATCTTTGCTCCAAACTGGTCGGCTTGCTCCGCCGTGGTGACGGGCTCGACCGCCTCGCCATCGACGCCCTCTGTGCCCTGGACCGACACGACCGTGGCCCGTAGCCTAAGCTGTCCCGGTTCAACCCACTTGGTCTCGACGCCAATCGGAACGCTGCACCCGCCCTCGAGCGCTCGCATCAGGCTCCTCTCGGCTACGGTTGCCAGAGCGGCGTTCTTGTCCTCGATCATCTTGAGCGCGGCCAGCACCTTGTCGTCGCCCGCTCGGCACTCGATGCCCAGCGCGCCCTGCCCGACGGCGTGCAGGATGCCGCCGTCGTCCGACTCGAGGAACTGTGAGATGTGAGCGTCCAGCTGCATGCGCTGCAGTCCGGCCGCCGCCAGGATGATGCCCGTGAGCTCCGGGTCCTCCTCCAACTTCCTCAGCCGGGTTTGGATATTACCGCGGTGGTCTTTGAACTTGAGGGAAGGGTATCGTCGGGCGAGCTGGGCGATTCTTCGCACGCTGCTGGTACCAATGACGCTTCCTGCAGGCAGGTCGGCCAGCGTCTTCCAGCCATGCTTGTCGACGAGTTCCTTCTTCAGCACCAGCGTATCTCGAGGGTCCTCTCGCTTGGTGACGCAGCCCAGCACGAGGCCCTCTGGCAGTGTCGTGGGCATGTCCTTTAGCGAGTGGACAATAATGTCGAGCTCGTTTGCCTCAAGCCTGTCTTCCAGCTGCGTCGTCCAAAGCCCCTTGCCACCAAAGTTATACAGGGCAGTGTTCTGGTCGCGATCGCCCGTCGTCGTCATGCCGGAGATGGGAAACGAGTATGCCGGCAGCACGGCCTGCAGCGCGGCCACGACAATGTCCGCTTGGGCCATGGCCAGAGGCGAGTTTCGCGTGCCGACCCTGATGGTCGTGGGACCCGGTGCGAGGGCTGGTGTTTGTTCGTCGGCCATGTTCTAAAGGGAACTTTTGCTTTTCTCAAGGATGGCGATCAGACGAACTTTTCCTGGAGAGCGGTGGCTCCAGAAGAGTTTGGAAACTTCCGAGCACCTTCCGGATGCCGGTGGAGGGGTAGTCAGCAGTTTTGGCGGGGCATTGATACTGTGTCAACGGTGCGTGTTTCGTATAAGATACAGTACGAATTGTATTCAATTACTGTACTGTGTAGGGTAAGTTGATATACACAACTTGCAAGTATTGACGACATGGCACCAGCTATATACTCGACCAGATAGATCAATTGTTTGCGATAGTCAAGGTTCTTACTCTTATTAGTGGATTGCCTATTTGTTTCTATTCTTACATCACTATTATACAGGTGCAACGTCTCTCCACCTCAAAATATCACAGTCAATGCAGATCTTGAAGCTGGTATAGATGCAATATTTACCCGCTTGAAGGCATTGCCTACCACATGAAGCTATGAGATAGTTTGCTCATCACCGCGAGTTTCACACTCTACAAGAGGTCTATTACGCAATTATTGATTGTTTGCTCCGAACAGATGGAGTGTTGTAATGGGCGAAAGGATGAAAACAGTAAGGACAAGAGAAAAGAGCCGAGCTGTGGTCACAGCCATTGCTTCTTCTCAACACAAAAAGTTAATCCCCCCTTGATCTCCATACTCTGTATTACCTGCTGAGATCTCGGTGCCATCTAACGATGATGCAGAGATGAGATGAGTTGTAATAAGTGATATTTCTCCTCGGTGATAGATATATAAAGCTGTAATGGGTTGAGAACTATCATCATCTACTGAATGGTTGCCATTGCTTCTTATTCATTCATCAGTAAAATTATTGCAATACTCATCATATCGATCAACTCATACACTTTGAAATATACTCACAATGAAGCTGGCTCTCGCTCTCATCACCCTGGTTGGACTGGCCGCCGCCAATCCAAGACCCCAACTTCCAACCCCCGACATGCCTCCTCCACCTCTCTCATCCCACGCTCCTCCAGAGACAGACGATGATCCCAAGCCTCCGCCTGCAACTTCAACAACTACTTCGACTTCCAAGGGTACTCCGCCTCCGGAGCCGACCAAAGCGCCGCCCACCCCAGACGGGCCCATCTGCGAATGCGGCTACACGTACTGCGCATCGGTGTTGATGGGCATGAGTAAGTCACCCTGACAAGATCATCACTAGATGAAGCTCATGTCTCTGTAGAAAAGCCGTGGTCTCAGAAGCAGCTGGGCGAGGCTTACTGCGACACGCCCAACGCCAGCTGCGACAACAACGTGCCGGCCACCAACATCACGTCTGCCCTCTACATCTGCCTCTGCGACGACCCCGACCAGGAGGTTGGCTCGCATCTGGACCTTGTTTGCGGGTGTGACAAGTGCTTGAACATTGGACCCGACTTCCGCGGCCGCTGCCAGACTCCGTGCCACGCTGGGAACTGCCAGATGCAGATGCAGCTGCAGTGAGGAACGGGATTTGATGTTTGATGATTTTCGTTTTGATGGTTTGTCGTGTTTCATGCGGACCTTGGCCTTTACAGATTGACGACTACATGATTTCAACGCATGCAGAAGTGCAGGTCCGCTACGGTTGTTGAATGCTTTGATGATGTGAGTGCTTGTAGTGAGTAAGTGTTTGGTGGTTTACCAGGTGCACGCTCAGAACTGCAACCTGGGTAATAATATGGACTGTAATTGATGTTAGTCGGGCCTAATAATTGAACACTCTTTTGTAATCTATGCGAATCAAGACTCGTCCAATTCATATTCGTCATCACATCTTGGACCTCGGATTCTCGCATCTTCAATCCCACCGGCAAAATCCCCTCCTCATTCATCCCGCCCAAATCCCCCCAACTCCAATCTCAGCTCATCCCACGCCCTGCTGGAAATAAGCTCGTATGTACGCTCGGCTGCATCGGATCCCGTCGATTCGCAACCACAAACTCGACTTCCCTCGACACCCTCAGCGCTGTCACGCTGCAACCATTTCTTCCCAATCCGGCCTCCCGTTCGCGCGCGAATGCACTCGCCCTTCCCCAGCTTTTAGCGCCGATAGGTCCCCCGCAGTGGGGGATCTTTAGCGGCCCCGTTCCAGGCAGAGCAGCTCCCCTAAACTCCCCTAAGTCCCCCAATCGATGCCCCCAAGGTCCCCCTCACGCCCCTGTACAGCAGGCGGCTTCCCCCCTGTAGGCTTCGGGATAAATCTTGGGGAGACCCCCTCGGACCCCGCACCTGATGGTTTCTGCCATGGACGGATCATGGATGGTTAGTGGTAACGTCAGAAAAGAGAAGGTCCGTGGAGCTCGAGATCGGCCAAGGTACATTGCTGGTTGGTGTAAATACAGGCTGTGAGGCTCGTATCGCGCGAGTACTCGAGTGTAAATGTCACCATTGTTGTTGTTTCTGGTGAGTTTTAGCCGCTGTTACGTACCAGTCGTGCGACTTGGAGTCGGCTTGGGCGGGGTTTTTACAGTTGCATGTGCAGTTCTTGGATGGCCAGCCTAAAGGCCACTTCTCCTCATGCGCGTCTTGTCGGATCATCTTTTTTCTTTTTTCTTTTCTTCCTCTTCCAAAAAGCCTCGTCTGGCTGTTTCGTGATAGCTTCTGCTTGTGCGGAACCTACGGAGCGCTTCTGGTTGCTGCTCGCTGCTCGCATGGGCTCTGGTAGCTGCTGTTTGCATTATCAAGGCGTCAGCCCATGTGAACCCGTATAAACGGATCGACCTGGTAAGAGGGTTTTCACGGGAATTAATTGCCTCTCTTGCTAATTGATGCGCCCATATAGATCTTCGAACCTAGACAAACTCGCGTGTGGCTTGTGGAAATCGCCTCAGATGAGGGTCGTTTCGTGATGGCGTCCTCTTTGCTTCGCCCCCTGGCCACCGAGCTCTACTTGTCGCCATCCACTGCCTCTTCGTCGCGGTTTCTGCGCTCCCGAATTCAAAGTGAGTTGATCTTTAATCTATGCGTGAATTATAGCTCTACCGACTTCTACTAACGTCCGACCCTGCGCATAGATGTTAAGCCACTGCTAAACTGCCGCCGTCAATGGCATGCCTCTGCCGGGGTTACACGACAGACTGCCATTGTCGCTGCGGCCCCCAAGTCTCTGGCGCTGGTTCGCCATGGGTCTCCGGTCGCACGAGCGCCCGTCCTACTGCCAAAGCTGTATTCGACGGAAGCCGCTGCTCCTGTGCCACCAACGACTCCCTACAGTCAGCTCACCGTGGGTGTGCCGAGGGAAACCTTTCCGGGGGAGCGTCGAGTCGCATTGACTCCGACCAATGTGGCTCTCCTCTTGAAAAAGGGTTACTCCAAGGTCCTGGTTGAGCGAGGGGCTGGTGCTGAAGCTGATTTCCTGGATGATGCCTATGAAAAAGCTGGCGCCACTCTTGTCGACTCCGCGAATGGCATCTGGTCTGCTGCCGATATCGTGCTCAAAGTTCGAGGACCTTCCGACGCCGAAGTTGGAGCCATTAAGGAAAACCAGACAATCTATTCGTTTCTTCAGCCTGGTCAGAACAAAGATCTCGTCGCAAAGATTGCTGCTAGGAAGGCGACTTACTTTGCAATGGAAATGGTGCCTCGTATCTCGCGTGCTCAAGTCTTTGATGCCCTCAGCAGCATGGCAAACATTGCCGGCTACAAGGCTGTCTTGGAGGCGTCCAACGTGTTTGGCAGATTTCTCACTGGCCAAGTCACGGCTGCTGGCAAGATCCCGCCGTGCAAAGTCTTGGTCATTGGAGCTGGTGTGGCTGGTCTTAGTGCAATTGCAACTGCTCGTCGCATGGGTGCCATTGTCCGCGGATTCGATACTCGTCCCGCTGTTAGAGAGCAGATTGAATCTCTAGGCGCGGAATTCATCGAGGTTGACATGCAAGAAGATGGCTCTGGTGCCGGAGGCTACGCCAAAGAGATGAGCAAAGAATTCATCGAAGCCGAAATGAGACTCTTCAAAGAACAAGCCAAGGAGGTGGACATCATCATCACCACAGCCCTGATTCCCGGAAGACCTGCCCCAAAGCTGATTAAAATGGATATGCTCGAAGTCATGAAACCCGGAAGCGTTATTGTAGATCTCGCCGCCGAGGCTGGTGGCAACTGCGAGGCTACTCAAGCTGGCAAAATGATTACTTACAACGATGTCAAAGTTATTGGTACGTGTTTAACAACCTTTTGCCTACTTAGCTGGATCAAATCATAAGTGCTAACATATAGATCGTAGGATACACTGATCTCCCGTCTCGTCTGCCGACCCAATCGTCCACCCTCTACTCGAACAACATCACCAAGCTCTTGCTGTCAATGGCACCCAAGGACAAGGAGTTTGGAATTGACCTGTCCGACGAGGTTGTCAGAGGCGCCATTGTCATGCAAAAAGGAGAGATTCTTCCGCCCGCCCCCCGTCCAGCTCCTCCTCCGGCACCGGCTAAGCCTGCAGCTGCGGTCGTAGTTGAACCCGTAGAGCTCACCCCCTGGCAGAAAAAGACTCGAGAAGTGGCCACCGTGACTGTTGGAATGACAGGCGTGCTGGCTCTTGGAAAGTTTACTGGTCCTCTGTTCATGTCGAATGCCTTTACATTTGCCCTGGCTAGTCTAATTGGTTACCGTGTTGTTTGGGGCGTGGCACCGGCGCTGCACTCTCCATTGATGAGCGTAACGAATGCGATTTCTGGCATGGTCGGTGTTGGTGGTCTCTTCATCCTTGGTGGAGGCTTTTTGCCCGAGACGATTCCTCAATCACTGGGAGCCCTCAGTGTGCTGCTTGCCTTTGTCAATGTTGGTGGTGGTTTTGTCATCACCAAGCGAATGCTCGACATGTTTAAGCGCAAGTTCTTCGCTCTTAGTATCGTGATTTACAGGAAGAGGCTAACAGAGCACAGGTAAGACTGATCCTCCGGAATACCCATGGCTTTACGCTGTCCCAGCCGCCTTATTTGGTGGTGGCTACATTGCCGCCTTGTCCACCGGAGCCGCTGGTCTCGTCCAGGCTGGATATCTCATCAGTTCTGTTCTCTGCATCGGATCTCTCACAGGTTTGGCTTCTCAAACGACCGCTCGAATGGGTAACATGCTCGGTATTCTCGGTGTGGGCTCCGGTGTGTTGGCCAGTCTGGCTGCCGTGGGATTCTCCCCGGAGGTCTTGACTCAATTCACCGGACTTGCTGCTGTTGGAGCCATTGCGGGTGAGTAGTTTCAACAATGTCCAACATATCACAATGAGTTTACTGACACTAATCTAGGTATGCTGATTGGAAGAAGAATCACACCTACTGACCTCCCTCAAACCGTCGCCGCTTTGCACTCCGTTGTTGGTCTGGCTGCCGTGCTAACCAGCATTGGAAGCGTCATGGCGGACGTTTCAGATCTTTCAACTCTGCACATGGTATCTGCCTACCTTGGTGTCCTAATCGGTGGTGTTACTTTTACTGGGTCCATTGTTGCGTTCCTCAAGCTGGCAGGTCGCATGGGTTCTCGACCAAAGATTCTCCCTGGCCGACACATTATCAACTCTGGATTGCTGGCAACCAATGCTGCCACTATGGGCGCTTTTCTCACCATGGCTCCCGGTGCTCCCATGATTGCTGCTGGAGCGTTGGCAGCCAATACGGTTCTGAGTTTCATCAAGGGGTACACGACAACCGCCGCAATTGGAGGCGCTGACATGCCCGTTGTCATCACCGTGTTGAACGCCTACAGTGGTTTTGCCTTGGTAGCAGAAGGATTCATGCTGGACAACCCTCTTTTGACCTCTGTGGGAGCCCTGATAGGCGTTTCTGGTTCCATTCTATCGTACATCATGTGCGTTGCCATGAACCGGTCTTTGACCAATGTCTTGTTCGGGGGCCTATCAACACCAACGACGGCCCTAGAGTACAAGCCAGAAGGCCAAGCGACCGAAACGTCCGTGGAAGATGTTGCGGAACAACTGGTCAATGTCGAATCCGTCATTATAATTGTAGGATACGGAATGGCTGTTGCAAAGGCACAGTATGCGCTCTCAAGCATTGTCCAATCGCTTCGATCCAAGGGCATCACTGTGCGCTTCGCCATCCACCCCGTTGCTGGCCGCATGCCTGGGCAGTGCAACGTGCTTCTTGCGGAAGCGAGTGTCCCGTATGACATTGTCCTGGAAATGGACGAGATCAACGACGACTTTCCGGAGACCGACTTGGCCCTTGTGATTGGCGCCAATGACACGGTCAATCCGATTGCCATGGAAAAGGGCAGCTCCATTGAAGGAATGCCCGTTTTGCATGCTTGGAAGGCTAAGCAGGTTGTGGTAATGAAGAGAAGCTTGGCGAGCGGCTACGGTGAGTTGAAATTGTGTTTTATCGCCTCGCTATAATCTGGACTGGTACTGACGAGCGACAAACAGCTGATGTGCCGAACCCAATGTTCTACATGCCCAACACCAAGATGTTGTTTGGTGATGCCAAGGTTTCCTGCGATGGTAAGTCATTTGATAACAATTGTGTGGCTTGAATTTGCTGACAATCTCGATAGCGATTAAATCAGCTGTAGAAGGGAAGCTGTAGAGTGGAAATGTGAGCGTTTGGTAGACGTGATTGCAAGGCGTAGGGATTCCTGCTTGATTTGATCATTTGTTGCGTAGCAATAGATGGGATTAGATAGTACTGGGTCTTTTGATAGTTCCATCTTGGTTTAGTTTAGCAAAGAGTAAATATTTGTCGACATTTTGTGATTGCGTCTTTAGGGGGCAAGCTGCATGTGTTCTCATAGCGGAAATGCACATGTCTGTGTCTATTGTTTGATTTGTTTGCGTTTGTTGCGCGATTTCAATATGTACACCATATTTTCCCACGGTTAGAAAAAGATAAACGAAAAACCACTCATACCCGATCCTTGGCCACCGGCTCCCAAGCATTCAGCTTCGATTTCACTCTGTCATCTCACATATCAGCCTTTGATCCGCCTCGACGTGTGTAGACTCTCCCAGCGAGACAGAGCTCCAGCGTTGAATCCCGACTTACGTGTTATATGGCTTGTAAGCTCCTCGTGTTCCGGTAAAGTTGGGCTTGGGAAGAGCGGGCTCAAAGTGTCTGGTGCCCGTGGCGATGAGGCTGTCCTGGGTCGGGGGCTTGTCGACGGAGTAGCTGATCCAGGCGTGCCAGCCAGGCTCGATTTGGGCGGCATCGTAGTCGTGCTTGACGTAGTCGACCCAGCGGGTTCGGAGGGGCAGTTCCTCGAGGTTCTCGTAGTATTTGTTGCCGAAGCGATCCTGGCCGATGAGAGTACCGTGCTTGGTGTCACCTGGTCTCGTTGGTTAGGGGTTTGTGTGCCAGATCAGACGATGGGAGAGGGTGGCGAAGGCATACCGATGTACTATTCGAGGAGGATCGCGAAGAGCTGTGCGTTAGCTAGAGGTCGACGGAAGGCTGGAGGTTAGACGGGCGAGGACGCACCAGCATCTGGCGGAAGTATTCCTGTTTTGCGGGAAAATGTCAGCGGCCGGACCAGCAATTGGGGGAGAGCCACAGATCCAGAGGCATAGATACCTTGATGCCAATCTTGCGCAGGTTGCCTAGAGTCCTGGGGAGGGTCGACATGGTTGCGGTTGGAGGGCAATTTCCGCCGGAAGATGGATTGCGGTTCCGTTTGGGGGGAGCTGGTGAGAGTTTGAAGGTCATTGAGGCTGGCTTGAAGATTCCGGGGCGGCAAAAGCTCGGCTGAATTGATTTTAACCTTGGTGGGTTTCTTGGTTGCCGCTATAGTTGGAATGATAGCATCGGCTTTCTTTTCTTTTCTTTTCTTTTCTTCTAGAATGCGAATTGGCCTTTTTTGCTGGTTAAAACTGCAAAAGGAGCATCAATTGCTCACACAGAGAATGATTGTGCGCAGCTGCGCCCGGTGCGCCTCCAGAGCCCGAGTTCTGCGGACGAAGCCCAGCATCTCCCCCCCGCGATATCAATACCGAAGCTATGCGACACCTCACGGAGCTCCAGCGCCGGCGCATGCAACGGGAGCGGGATTGCTGGCGCCGCTTGTGGGCGAGCTGGATCGCATGGCGCCGAGCTTCGACGTTCGAGGAGAGCAGATCCGCATCTTGAAGACGCCGGCCGAGTTCTACGAGACGCTCAAGGTGTGAAAGAGCGCTGCGAAGAGAGAATTTGCCTGGGCTGATGGATTGAAAACCGCAGGACCGAATACGGAATGCCAAGAAGAGGATATTCCTGTCGACGCTGTACATTGGAAAGTCGGAAAAGGAGCTCATCGAGGCGCTGCGGGAGGCGATGAGGCTGAACCCGGACCTGAAGCTGAGCATCTTGACGGATGCGCTGCGGGGGACGCGCGAGTCGCCGGCGGCTTCGTGCGCTTCGTTGCTGGCGCCGCTGGTGGATGAGTTTGGGGCTGATCGTGTTGAGATTCGGATGTATCATACGCCGAATTTGACGGGGTTAAGGAAGCAGTATGTGCCGAAGAGGATTAATGAGGGCTGGGGGCTGCAGCACATGAAGCTTTACGGGGTGGATGATGAGATTATCATGTCTGGGTATGTTGGTTTGAAGTATCATGTGGTGTGGGATATACATGTGCTGACATTATGTGCAAAGGGCAAACCTGTCAATGGACTATTTTACGAATCGACAAGATCGCTATCACCTCTTTTCGTCCAAGGAGGTGACTGACTATTTCTGGGGCATCTATAATGGCGTTGCATCGTTTAGTTTTCTCGTTCAGCCGTCAAAGGAGGAAGCGGCTGGATATACACTCTCATGGCCAACAACAAACTCTGCTCCATCGCCTTTGGAGAAGCCGCAGTCTTTTGTCAAGAAGACCACATCTACGCTGCAAGCGCTTATAGCCGCTCCGGAAAAGCAGCCGGACAGTGAATTAAAGGACACCCGAGTATACATGCTCGGTCAGATGTCTCAGGTCATGAAGCCGGATACTTCAACAGAGCTTCCGGTGTTGACGCGGATTCTCGAAAGGCTGTCGCAGCCGGCATATGCTGGATCATCGTGGACGTTTACCGCTGGATATTTTAACCCTGCACCGTCATTAACCAAATTACTTCTCAACACAACTTCCAACAAGAATGTTGTTATTACGGCGGCGCCCGAAGCTAATGGTTTCTACAAGTCAAAGGGCGTTTCTGGACTTTTGCCAGATGCCTATGTGCTTCTCGCTCGTCGTTTCTTGTATGCCGTCCAGCAGTGTGGCCGTGAGGGCGACATTACATTGAAGGAGTGGCGTTTTGGTACAACTGGTCAGCCTGGGGGTTGGACGTACCACGCAAAGGGCCTTTGGATAACAATGCCCGGCGATGTGAATCCCAGCATGAGCATCATTGGCAGCTCCAACTATACGAAGCGGAGCTACTCGCTTGATCTTGAGGCAGGAGCTCTGATTGTGACTCGGAACGAAACACTAAAGGCTCGGCTCGGAGAAGAACAGGGCTGGCTGCAGGATCACGCAGCGGGAGTCACGATGGAAGATTTTACGAGGAATGAGAGGAGGGTTAGCCTCAAGGTGCGGATCGCCATGTGGATTGTAAAGGTTGTGGGAGGCGCCCTGTGATTGACATGGGCGAATAAAGGGAGTAGTTGGTTGGGCATTTCTTGGGATTGGTTCGGAGTGAGAGGTTTAAAAAAACGAGATACCCAAACGGGATGAAATAGAATTGTATAGAAATAGATGATGTCAATATTGATACATGTTGAGCAGATGATGGTGTATTTATTGTGAGTCACGGGCTGAATATATATTGAATCGCCGATATGTCCGAATTCCATGGCTTCAGCTTTAGCTTGACATTTCTAGCCACCTAAGCGGAGGTCAGAAAAAGCGAGACCGCAAAATGAATAAGTGCATACATTCAGAAATATCAGCACCCAAACAGCTCATCAAGTAATGCTTTTGCAAGGGAATGCCTACGTATATTCAGCCAGCATTAGAGCTTTACCAGCAAACTATAATAACAGTTATTATAAATAGATAAATATAGTAGCGGTTACTATAAACGTAGAAATATAATAGCAGTTATAAAAGAAATATACGTATAGTAGCAGCTACTAAAGAAATATAAATATAGTAGTAATTACTATAAGTATATAAATATAGTAGCAGATATTATAAATATATAAATATAGTAGCAGATACTTAAAGAACTAGTATATAATTTATCGTCTAGGTGTTTGAAATCGTCTCAGTCTCAGTTTTTTTATCCCCCGCTTGCCACCAATCCTTCGTTGAGATGCCAAGCTAGAGAGTCGAGTAGTCTGAATCCTTCAGCCACGGATATAAAGGCATTGAAACCCTCCTCCCGTCAACGGCAATCTTTGAATCCTTACCGCTTTTGCCCCGCACTTTCAACCATGGCCATAACAGAGAAGCCCATTGTCCTGTATCACTATGCAAACTCTCCGTATTCGCAAAGAGTGGTGTGGTATCTTGCCTTGAAAGGGATCGAATACCAACAATGCGTATGTAGCAGCAACTCAACTTCCCCGGGTTCAACTAACACTAGCATAATATAGATTCAGCCACGAATCATGCCTCGGCCAGACATTCACCGTCTAGGCGTAAAATACAGGCGCATCCCCATTGTCACAATAGGCAGAGACGTCTACCTAGACACCCGCCTCATCATCACAAAACTCAATGAACTAGAATCCGGCCAAGAAACAGTCCATCTCTCAGTGGCAACAACTCCAGAACAGCGAGCGCTACAGCAGCTTCTTCAAATATACATTATGGATTCCGGGTTTTCGAGAAACGTTGTGCAGCTTGTTCTCTTCAACCACAAAGGTCTTAATGACCCGGCGTTTGTAAAGGATCGTGCAGAGTTCATAGGCGGCACGACGTTTTTCCCGCGGGAGGCTTTGGAGGCGATGCGACCGGAGGCGGTTCGTGTGGTGAAGAATGGGTTTGAGTTTCTGGAGCGGACGTTGTTGTCTGATGGGAGGGAGTGGCTGCTGGGAACTGAGAAGCCGAGTATTGGTGATATTGAAGTTGCTTGGCCGCTGGTGTGGTTGGAGAGAGTCCATGGAGCGATTCCAGATGAGTGGATTCCGAAGGAGGAGTTTCCAAAGGTGTTTGCTTGGATGGAGAGGTTTAAGAGTGTTGCGGTGAAAGCACAAGAGGATTTGGGGGAGGTGAAGACGTTGACTGGGGATGAAGCTGCCGAGCTGATCCTGGGATCGGAGTTTTATGAAGAGGAAGGACAGGTTGATGAGGGAGACCCGCTGGTTCAGCAGCTAGGGCTGAAGAAGGGACAGTTGGTGATGGTTTGGCCGACGGATACGGGGGTTAACCATAAGGAATTGGGAGAGCTGGTGAGTATTAATGAGAAGGAGGTGGTTGTTGAGGAGAAAGCTGAGGGGGGCGGGTCAACAAGAGTTCATGCTCAGAGACATGGATTTGCTGTGGCGGCTTATGAGGAGTAATGAATTGGCATTGGTCATGACGAATATGAATATCGCTTCTCGGTCAAGAGTGTGAATAGCCACTATTTATTAATGTATAATCTTCACTTTTCAATGATGATGATCATCTTTACTTGAACTGAAGCTATTGTCACTGATAACCAAAGCCTTTTATAAGCTCGGCTCTTGTGACGTTTGTACATTGTTGTCTTCTACTCTTTTACTGTGTATTCTATTCTGTGGCGACCCATAAATAATTATATGTAATTTGTTTCACCTCCTAGGATCTCACCTCTGTTGTTTGGCTATCTCAGTAAGTGGAATGGTTGCTATCACTAGTATGCCGCCGTACTCTTCCTCCATTGCACACAGTTCTCGGAGAGAGGCTTAATGACTTCTTTACATATTTCACCCCACAGCTCATTCGCATTCCAATCTGTCCAGCGCTTCGTGGCAGCCCCGTAAATGCAATATCTTACAGCATTCTCGTATAATGGTAGCAGCGTGTTGTAATCATCATCCAACCATTCGGCCGCGAAAGACAATCGAGAGAAATAATCTCCTGGAGTCTGCTCTATTTTCTGAGCGAACCGATCCTCCAATATGGTATGGTGCCATATTTCGAGCAGCAAGATTCCAAGTTCCAGGAGAATAGACTTGGGTTCAGCGGTATTCACCCCGTTGGCGTCCGGACCTTCGATCTTTGCACACACAAAAGGTCGATTAAAGTCAGCAAGGGAAGCTACACCCTCAGACATCGGGTGTAATAGGAAGAATATTGAGTCTTTTGACCATGCTTGACCAAACCACCGTGTTTGAGAGAACTGAAGCAGGCTTGAAGCAAGTTTCGAGGCAAGCAACATACTCGATTGCAGAGGCAGCCTTGCTCCGTAAGACTTGGATGTCCCCGAAAGTACATCTTTTAAAGTAATCGTTTGGCAGCTGTTTTTCTGCATTACAGTCTTCTCTTTTGCTGTGACAACGCCCATTCTGTTGCTTGCATGTAGTATAAAGGCGACATGATGTGTATTCTCGTGAGCCGAGACAATAGCCGCGCAAAAATTGTCGACCGGAACAAAGTTTGGCTGCGAAGAATTCGAATCGTTTGGCTTGATAGGCTCAGGTTCACGTATCTTTACTTGTGAAAGCCTTGACTCTTGCGCCGAGAGGCAGTCGCCACTTTCGTCTTCCTGCATGCATCTGACTGACAGCTCATGACATCTCGTCTGAATCGGAGTGAGAATCTTTGCAGCAAAGATTAGATGAAACGCAAACACTGCCTTATCTTCGTCGCTCCATTGCTTTGTGGGACGGAGAAGTTTTGATGCCACATCAATTCGGTCTTCCAGCAAGACGTGCACGTCGTGCTCATTGTGGCAAGATCCAGTACAACAACTACAGAGAGCCGTGTACAAGTTCTTGGAAGATCTCTGAATTCGACGGAAAGCTTTGGCTAGTTTTGTGCTGTTGGACGATGGCAGCGAACTAACAGGTCCATGGCGATTCATCAACATCGTTTGCGAGAATGTGTGGAGTGTACTGGTGGCTGCGTCGAGCTCGCTGATGCTCTGCTTTATTTCGCTACTCTTGAGAGCGACTCTAAGACGGGGAATAAAGTCTGCTCGGTGTTTTTTTGCTGTTTGATTTGCTTCTATGATGCCGACAAGATCGTATGGGTTATCCTGTAATAAACAGTGAGAAAGGCTTTCTCTCGGTGATTCTTCTTTCACCGTACCTTGTGAGAAGGAATGAGACCATCCAAGTGTTTAGCCACTTCTTCCAAAGTAGTTTTCATGTCTCGCAGCCTCCCAGTCAAGGCTTTGTAGTTCTCATCTCCTAGGAAATCTTCCACATGAAACTGGATCTTCTTATTTTGGAAGTATGCAATCGGATCCTTATTGAGCAAAGTCTCGTCATAACTGTAGCCGCTACGCGTAATTATAAGATGAACCGTCTCTGACACTGTCTGTCGCTGTAACAGCAGGGCATTCGCAAGCTTGTCGACATATTGTCGCTTACGGAATGCCAGTCTGCCTTTATCATATCCCTCACGCCATAGCTCTGCGCCCGAGATAAGGATGGGAATCGCCCGAAGAACAATTCCAAAGGCTTCAAAGCTCGACATATTGAAAATGCTCGAAAGGCCTATTCAATTTGAATGTAATGAATTGCCGTCATCAAATGCAGACTTGGGAGTATTCCCGTGAGGCTCTGCTGGTGCGGGGATATTCCTGATCGTGCAGGCTGTGAGGTGGCAATACATCGTACATGCGCGACGAGGATATGTACAACTTGAAAAGGAATGTATCATTCAATGGCATCATACGCCTACAACGTAGAAAGTCGGAACTAGTATTCAATGGTTAAAAACATGTAGTAGATGTCAATAACATCTCGATATTTTACACGGCGTCTTTCATACACAGCAGCATCGCTGGCATCAGCCATTTTACGAGTATCTGGTTAATGTTCGGCTTTTTGAAGAATGCAACTATTCAATCTGACCTGAGTACCTGTGTTCTCCCCTCTTTCCAACTCCCTTTATCTACTCATTCAGATCTCTTTGTTTTCTCCCCTTTCAACTTTCTTTGTTGTCCTCTCTTTCAGCTCTCTTTGAGTAACCATGCAATGACGAGGCCCTTCTTTGCGAGGCCTCCAGCCCACTCATCCGACTTGCAATGTTGTTTTATAAACTGTAACTGGGTACCCACGACTAAATACTTGTCTCTATCAACAATCTGTTAACTCAAGACCGGAATGCACCACAATGGAGGCTCTCGCTAGCACTGGTCTCGCAACGCTGAAGCTATTTAAGCTTCTTCAAAAGACTGAGTTGGAATCCACTGAAGACCAGTCGCATGAATGGCCGAAGCATCTCTTGCTTGCTCAATTTGACCGATTCGAACTCTGGGCAGTGAATCTCGGAGTTTTTGTGACGGGTCACGGTTCTCTGGATTACAGAATTCGCGATTCCGGAATTTTGAAAGAGTCCATACTTGGAATGATGAAAGGCTTGAACAGGTCTCTTGACGAAGGTATGTATGCTGTTTAACCAAAATACTTTCGAACACAACCACGCCGGTATTCTAGAATCATTCTGACAATCATGTTACAGCTCTTGACTATCTTCATGGCAGTATTGAACAGGAGGACGAAGATTCAGACACAGACTCATCCTCTGAGATGCAGTCAGATATGGACCTGCTTATTGATAGCATCAGGGATCCTATTGATCGACTATATAAGATGGCCGTTTGGATACGAAACCCAGCAACTAGGATACCGTCGACGAAAGCCAGGAATTTGCAGCAAGTCGATGAAGAAACAAACGTAGATTTGTTCAAGTCATTTGAGAATTTTGATTACGACCATGTCAGCTCTCTTTTTCTGGAATATGAAAAGAACAAAGCTCTGCAAGAAAATCTAGTATCCCAACCCCACGACGCAGTTGGCGACTACGAAGCGCTTGTTGGAGATCGGGTGTGGGAGCCGATCAGAAAGACGTTGGAGTTGAACAGAATGAAAATATCAAGTGGCAATGAATCATACCTGATTCGCCGCATAGCTCGGGCTAATGGACTCAGACGGCAGCAATTTGCTTACTGGAGAAGGCACAAAAACAAGCTCCGTGAACACGCAACTGTTGCCGTGGAAGTTCCAACGCATGATTTACCTACTACCAATCATATTATGCAATTGGAAAACAAGAATGATAAAGTCAAGGCACCTCTCACAGTCACGACGGCTACTCAACTACCCCTTTCGCACGGGACTGGGAAAGAATTGGAGAAAGAAAACATCATGACTCTTGACGTCTCTGAGTATGCCCCGTCGGCATGGAATCCTAGCAAGGACATCGTTAGCTTTCCACCGCCCCCGAAAGTATCTACGACTGATGGATTTTTTGAATGCCCATACTGCTATACCATTTGTCCTGCTTCCATTCTCTCGGAAAAGGCCTGGAGGTAAGAATATTCCCGTGAAGATCTATTGGTAGTTGTATGTACATTGACATAACCTTACGCTGACCATTTATCTGGTAGAGCTCATTTGATACGAGATTTACGACCTTATATCTGTACCTTTGAACACTGTTTAAACTCTGGGCAACTGTATGACAGCCGTGACGACTGGATTCAGCACGAGATCTCCGCGCACCAAACCGTATTTCAGTGCCCAAAGCACGAAGAGGAAACCTTTGCCACGCTGGCTACATACGAAGAGCATACACAAAAACATCATAAAGAAGACGCAATGCCCCCGAGTTTTGCAAAATCAACAGCTACCAATTTCCACCGCTGTTGTCCTGTTTGCTCAATAGTTTTGGGGACCACGCAAAAGTTACAAAGTCACATCGCCCTTCACCTTGAGAGGTTTGCCATGTTTACCTTGCCTCGCTGTGTAGACGATAATGACGAAAGAATCTCCGGTGGCTGGTCTGCTAGTGCTCGTGGTGATTCTGTGTCAAACACTACTAGCAAAACTGGAAGTGATAGCGCCGCATACCATGGGACAATCGACGATATAGGGGGAATGAGAGATAAAATGATACTGCTGCGCTCGGCTAAGCCGTTAGAAGAATTCTTCATGGAGGAAATGGAGAAAATAAGATTCAAGCTGAAGACTTATACAAAAATCGTTAGAGTCTGGCCTACAAGCAACACCACAAACACTGCGCTCTTTGAGCTTGGAAATATATGCATTGAGGCTGGCCTAATAGATGAGGCCATTGAGACACTCGAACATCTAAAGTTCCTCCAGATCAGCCAGCTTGAACACAACGACATGGAGCTACTGCAGACAAAGCGAGGATTAGCAAGAGCCTACAAAGTCAATGACGTGCTGCAAGAAGTGGGTGAAGAGTTGGGGCACGATGCCGATCTGGATATAGAGCCAAACAAGAGGAAGGCTCTGGAGATCTTTGTCCGTACTGAGGCTGGGATGAAACACGCCCAAACGATATGGGGCCCCAACATCTGGGACGTCCATCCAAGACTACAGAATGCGGTGGATAAAATACTGCAAGAATCTTATGCTCAAGCCCGACAACTTCCAATGAACTTGGCTCGGGAAGATCCTAAACCATCCGAAGAGTCGGACATTCAGGAAGGCATCGACCTCACCGGCCACAGCGGACAAGACCCCAGCCAAACTGATCACGACCGCCGGGTGCCCATGGATCCGCCTGTTATCACCGAGTTCGCTTCTGAGCGCTATTTTGAGAAGCTCCGCCAAATACAAGCCGATTACCAACAGGCGAATGATGCGGAATCTCATGTCACGACGACAGAGACCCCGTCCGGATTCATCCTGCCATTGCGAGATTCATCTGATCTTACGGATGAGAAGCCCCAACAGTCAGCTCGAGGCAAGAAAAGTTTCCTGTCATTAAGGAAAAAAGCTGCCGCAAATGCAAGCGATGACCTAAATGCCGTCAATGCAGTCGCAGAGCAAGAAACGACCGATAATCCAGACCAACTCACGGAGGAGGAAGAGCGGGAAAGGCGACATGAGAAGCGGGAAGCAGAATCAGAGATAGGAGTATTGAGGGAAACGTTTAAAATACTGTTGAAAGAATCTCAGGCAGAGGTTGAACAGGCACCTGAAGGCACGGAGCTCAAATTAGAAGCGCAAGCATTGGCACAAATGTTGGCACAACAAACGGCATTATACATGTCTGATGTTCAAGAATTAAAAAATCAATTCTTTGAGGCAACAGAAAGGTGGGACAAAGGTGAGAAGGGAAACAGAATGAGCCGCAAGATTAGATCATACGATTACCGGGGAATGAAAGAGATGATCAACGATATACAAAGAAAACGAGAGGGACTAGAAACATCAGAAGAACGACAGACACGACAGGCACGCGAAGCACGAAGAGCACAAGAGGACCGATTTAGCCTACAAATATCAAATATCCGCTTCGAACGACATATTCACGAAGGGAGAAAACAGAGGTTTATTGAGAAACTTGAGAAAGTAAAAGAGGCAATACATGCAGACCGTGAACAGCAAAACTCCTCTGCAGCACCGGGGGAATTGGAAGCACGAGATCCCTCAACAAAAGCATCGTCATTAACAGAAACTTCCGAATCAGAACTGAACTTTTATCAAGAGTCAATAGCAGAAGAAGAAGAAAAGATAAGGGAGCTTATTGAGAAAGCAAAAGCACTGGAAGAAGAACTACGTCTCTTCCATGCAGAAAAAGAAATACAGGCCCCGTCTGGTAGCGAGAGCCACAAGGTTAAATCGAGAGGTGGCTTTGCAATAATAACATGGCAATGTGTACGTCTGGAGATTTCTTTTCAATCATCCTCTCTTTATTTTAGGAAAGCTGCTAACATAAATACCTAGTGTAAATGCGGAATGTCGGGGATGATAAAGGAAACCAGTCCTCAGTGCGTTGAACATAATTGTTCACATTCCCGCTGCAAAGACTGCATGGTTTCCGCGGATACCACAGGTCCGGCACAATATACCTAGGCATATTCATTAAAGGTCTTTTCTTCCTGGTCTAGAGGATAACCCGCATGCTAAAACTAAAGTTAGAATATAGGTAGGTCTGGAGATGTTATTTTAACTTTCGTCAGTGCTTCACTAAGCAGGCATTGTTGTCTTCAATGTTGCTAGTCTGGGAATATATTTTTGAATCTAGGGCACGGGGGAAACGGTATCTTCGTTTATTATATCAAATAAAAGCAGTGAATGCTAATATGAATGAATAATTATCATGGCAATCGTTTGTGCTCGATAGTCAGCCCCGGGAACTTGTGACAACTCAGTGCCTTTCTGTAAATTTCAGCTTATATGAACATTCACGTATCTTGTTCGAAGTCAGCTAAAAATCATGCCGCCGTTTCACTGGTTGTAAAGCCTACGGTGAAAAGGAGGAACACAGATGCAAAGTGTCCAGTGATAATGGATGCGGCAGAGCTTAAGCAATCGTGTAAATCAGATGTAGCCAGCGCACGTAGGCGGTAATGCAAATCATCAGACTCGTAAACTTTGCAGGAATGACTGTAAGATGTCTGATATTAACCATTGTGCCTCATATTTATTTTCCAGCTCCTCGATCAAGGAGCACCTTGACTATATCTTGGTATCCCTTCCGTGTTGCAAATTGAAGCGGCGTACTACCGTATTCATCTTCCACGTCAACATCAGCCCCTCGATCAAGCAGAACTATGACCACATCTGCGTTTCCGTTCCCCATCCGAGTTGCAGAGATGAGGGGCGTATTTCCATCATCATCTTTTGCTTCAATATTGCCCCTTGGTCAAGAAGTAGCTCAACCATATCCCCCTTCCCACTATAAGCTGTAAGATGAAGCAGTGTACCGCCGTTAGCCTCCGGACATATAGATTCAGTATCAACCCCTCGACTAATCAGCAACTTGGCCACGTCCGCTTGCCTAGACCAAATAGCATCAAAAAGCGGTGTTCTGCCAAACTCAGCTCTCGCTCCAATATTTGCTCCTTGGCTGAGAAGTGACTTTACTTCGTTTATTCTTCCACTCCGTGCTGCTCCGTGAAGTGGTGTATAGGGTCCATACATGAGCTGAGCCCGGGCCTTGCTGCGCGCGGCTTTCTCCTTGGCTCGCCGCTCAGCTTTCTCCTTGACATATTGTTCGGCTTGTTCTTTGATTTGTTGTTCAGCTTGCTCTTTGGCTTGTCGCTCAGTTTGCTCCTTGGATCGCAGCTCGAGGATCTCTCCGGCTTGCCGCTCGAGAATCTCATCCTTCTGACGTATGTTGTCCTCATACTTCTTGCGATCCGACTCCAGCTGCGTCCCAAGTTCCGACACCTGGCAATCTTTACGCTCAATTGAACCCATAAGGTCTCGCTGCGGCCCACAATCCGGTTGGGCCATGTCTCCATCTGTGACTGTCGACTTGATGTCAATATATGCGCTGAGTAACCACACGATTACCACGTATCTGCTCTTCGGCTGCCTTGGTGAAGAGACTATCCATCTCGGAGTTTGTCCTTTGCCGGAGGCTCTGTCATTTGTAAAAGCCAAGGCGGATGGAGAAAGGAAATGAGAAATTCGAGATCACGCAAGCTTCAGCTGGTTATCTGTATATATGGTGATGATATTTGAGAGTACACTTGGTCAAAGAGGGTTTCAGGCCCGACTTGGACGTTCCATAGACAGCAGAATAACAACAGCTGGCGGAATCGTTGCTCCATTGAATGCCTCCAGCATGCCTCAGGCTTGGCTGCTGCCTGCAAAAGTATCGCTGCCCGTTGTTTCAGCCCGTTGTTTCAGCCTATTCCTACTGCGTATTCTTATTGTCCAATGTAGTAACTTCATACTGAAGTGTGACTATTACCCGATGCCACTACCCGATCTTACTGTGCAATTCATATGGACTGTACACCCAACATTGCGTTTCACGTACCTGCCAAGTGCCAGTGGTGCTTTTGTAAGCCGCAAGGAAATACCTAGTATTTAGGTAACACCTGAATTTTACTATATAACTGCACTAGCAGTTGCCAAAGAAATATAAATATTATAGTATTTACTATGTAAATATAAATATAGTAGTAGGTAGTAGAGAAATAGAGATATAGTAGCAGATACTTAAAGAACAGGTGTATAATTTAACGCGTGGGTGTTTGTACTCTTCTCGGTCTTGGGTTTTCTGTCCCCCGCTTGCCTGCATGTCGTAGTAAATAATCATTAAGTCGGTGTAGAGAAATATTGTTACGTGGATTATAATGCCTATATCGGTCATTCATAAATGTTCCACGTTCCTGGTACGTCCTTGCTATTCGTTTCTAATAACTTCTTTTCTCTGCAGTCTCGACCATGTTGCTGTCACTTCGTCTAGAACGAAGCTGTGGGTATTAGTTAGTAGTAACTGTTGCAGACCGCCACCTTCGTACCAATGAAGTAGGAGAAGGAGTCCATAGTTATACCTATATTAATTCTGCTTCTTACTATTGATTAATATTTGTTTGATTCTCAATGGAAAGATATCTGTACATCCACGGGGTGTGAACTACCGTATCGTTCGTGCTAATAGCCAAGTTCTCCTGTCATTAAAATTCTCATTTCTAGATGCTAAAATATCCCAACAGCTCTTACTTTAAACAACTCCAGTGTCTTACCGATAGGTTTAACTGCGATAATTAGCTTTTAGCTTTTGTATCCACCGCCGACATTATCGTCGTTCAAGTCTAGTTATCGACGAACCGCGTAATATCCGTGAACGGAACCTTTTTCGCACGAAACGAATTACGCTTGTATCCAGGATCCTCATAGCCCAAAGCAACAGTACAAATAATCTCCTCACTGTCCGGGATATCCAGCTCCTTTCTTAGAACTTCTGGGTACCCAACTACGGAGACTTGGACACACGACTCAACGCCGTCGTTCTCCAACGCCAACAACAGCAGCTGGAGGAACATGCCAACACTTAGAGAGTCTGCCAACCCCAATTCCTTATCCATGCTGACAATTGCTACGGTAGGGGCACCGAAAAAGTCAAAGTTGCGCAGCTCAGCGGCCATCCTAGCAGTCGCGTCATCTCTAGGGATGCCCATGACACCGCCATATAAGGACTGGCCCAATTCTGAACGGTGGTGGCGAAATGCCAGTGGCAGCGCAGGGATATTAGGCTTACCCTGTGATGCTACTGCGAGTAAGGCATCGGAAAGCTGGTCACGGCGATGCCCAGAAGCAACTGCAATCCGCCAGGGTTGAATGTTTGAGTTGGAGGGAGCGTGTTGGGCAAGATTGAGGGCGCGTTCCATGATCGAGCGGGGGACAGGAGTTTTAAGAAACCCGCGAGTGGAGTGCCGTTTGACAATGAGTTCGTCGAGCGATAGTTGAGTGCTCATTGTGGGTAGTGTCAGCCAAGGCTATTGTCAGACTGTTTGTTGTCCGATCCCAGTTGTCTACTGCGGGGACTTTGGAGAGCAACAACAGCGTAATGTAACAGTACTCCAAAGAAAACTATTCCGATTGGCCCAGCTCGGAACAAAGCCAGCTCGGAGTCCGGCTCAGAGTCACTCAGAGCGCCTTGATCTGTCTATGTTCTTGCGGGTCTCTTCCTAGACTTCGAGTAGGAACTTGATACGACGTTTTATTGTTGTCGAAATATGAGCCGTGTCTTACAGCTCTTCGACTAAGTTTTGTTAGGGGAGCTATCTCCCTTCTTCAGTCTATAGTGTCCAACTGGACCTCATTCTCATGGTGTTACTTAGTAGGTAGCAGTACATTCCACCTCCCCATTGCTCCCCGGATGCTACTGCCGGCTTGCAACTTTTGTATTGGCGTGTACCTCCTGGCCAGGACGCCCTACTTCTACTGTATATCTCATGAAACTACTCCACGCAAGCAGACGGCATATAGAGGACTCCCTCTCGGACATCACCCCGTTATGTACAATCGTTGTTATTTATGTTTGTAGGATTCCAAAGGCAAGATATATGCTTAGTTTTATCACATTGATTAACATACATACGATATGAAAATGTTGGTCGATATATCTGTAGTGTATACAAAGCCCAGGTTCTTTCATAAAGCACCGGTGTAATATCTTACTGAGTAGATGAAGCTGTGTACATGCTCTGGATGCCTTGGCCAAGTTGTTGTGCAATTGATTGCTGCTGCGGCTGCTGCACTGCCGGTGGTGATAGCGACAAAGGCGGCTGTTGTGCTATGGACCGCGGAATCTGCATGGGGTCCTGCACTAACGTAGGACTCTGGAACGCGGGATTGCTTGTATTGTCGACTCTATTGTTCCATTGCTGCTGGTTGATGGGAACGTTTGGCAACTGCATTTGCATCTGCATTTGATTCGAGTTAGGGTAGACAGGCTGCGGGGAAACAATGTTCTGGTGCTGATATTGTTGCTGTGGCAGGCCAAATTGCTGAAACAGTTGTTGCTGTTGCTGCTGCTGCTGCTGCTGCTGCAGATCCTGGTGCTGTTGGAAATTCTGAGAGTACTGGGGCTGTTGTTGTAGGATGTATTGCTGTGGCTGTGGAGATGAATTCTGCATAAACGTCTGTTGCTGTGGTAGTTGCACTTGTGTTGAATTGAGAAAGGCTTTCTTCTTGTCTTGCCCTCGATTGTTTGCCCCAGAAGTGTCTACAATATTGTTGTTCTCGTCGATCCAGACAGCTCGTAGTCGACCTTCCTTGGCCCGCTGTGCTGCGCCAATACCGTATAGCTTGTTCATGTAATCGGCAAACTCGAGGTATGCATTCTGTACAATTTCGAAATGTCTTTCGTTGAGATTAACAAGGGCATCGGGCTTCAGAATAGCCTCATGACTGTTGCCCTGGGCTTCATACTCGGCCAAGGCCAGCGCTGTCTGACAAGCGTTGCGGATCTGGCGGCCGTTCCAGCGAGCTTCCTTGTGCTGGAGGAAATGGGTGGCAGCGAATCCGCGAATCTTTGTGTTCTCAATATTGATAAGTCGGTTTTTCTTAGCGAACCTGTCTTCAATCATGGCCAAGTTGTTGTCAAAGACTTCGAGAGTTTTGCCAGCATCCAACTCTGGGTAGTATAAGCTGATGTGAATTCGAGACGTAAAGGCTTCGTCAAAGTCTCCAACGCGGTTGGTGGTCAAAAAGAGAATTCCGGCATAATACTCCATAACACGCAAGAAAACTAAAGCGAACAATTAGTAAGTGTAATAAAGATGAGTGGTTGTGTCCTTTTGACGTACCCGCTACAAGTCCATTCCGTACAAAGTCTTCTTTCGTTCTTGCAGCTAAGAATACATCTGCCTCATCGAGAAGAAGGATACAATCCCATCGATTTGCCAGTGCGAAATTAGTTTCCAGAGCTTTTTCGACTTCTGCTGCCGTTGTACCGAGATCACCTAATGACAGAGACAACGTTAGCCATTGATCAAACGCGATCGTGCAAAACCTTACATACCGCACGTAATTTGAAACAGCGGCTTCTTAAAAAGTTCTGCTATTCCCTCTATTCGATACACATCATGTCAGCAAGATGAGATTTAGGTGAATGAGATGAAGTGGAATCACGAACCTGCAGTCGAGGTTTTACCCACTCCGGGCGCGCCATGAAGAAGCAAAATTAATCCCTTTCCTGTAAAAAAGCGTCAGTTTGTTGTTTGGCATATGGACACGCTTGAAGAATACCTTTGCCTTTGACAATGTCAAACTGCTGTTGCTGTCCACTCGATAATTTCTTGTCTCGGAAATGCTGGGCAACAAGTGACACAATCATGGATCTGTGCTCTTTCTCAATCACAAGCCGATCAAAGGCGGTTTTTGGCTTCTTATTGCCACTACTGTTGCGTGCTTGTTCATCGGCCAACACAGCTGATACCTCTGGCGCATGTATGGCGGTCATGTAGGAGAGGTCCAATTTGGCTAAATGCTTTATATCAGCAAACAGCGACAAGAACAAGATAATAACTGCGTATATTTACCCCATTTTCGGTTTCGTAGAACAAAGCCAAACACACGATAAGACATGATGACCAGTTCCTCATCTGAAGCATAAGGGACATTCTCGGGGCCAGCCCTTAGCTCTTTCAACGACCGTGGAAAAAGGGCGAGAGAAGGTTGCTCGTTCAAAGCTGTCATCTTAGGTAAAAGACCGTTAAGGTACTCGGTTTTTTGCTGGTCATCTATATGAGTGTCGTCGTATACAACGTCGCCCTCGCAGCAGCGTCCGCGGCAACGAGTATCGGCCGCATCTTCATCTTCCTCCACGGCAGGATTCCCAATTAGAGGCTGCAATATTGGCTTCCACTGCTTCTGGGTTTCGTCTTCCACCGAAAAGGCTGTTTCAAAGTCGATAACAACTTGCCCTTCAACATCATCGCGCACTTCCAGTGTCGGCCCAGCGTAGTACATGTGCTTGACGGCAGCAACTTCCAGAAACATGGCTCCCCTTTGTATCAGCTTTCGTCTATACCTCTGGCTCGGCGGAAGAGGTTCAACTTCAGGCCACAGCGAGTCGTCAAAGTCGGATTGCTTGACAGGGTGAAATTGAAGCGGATAAACTTCTAGTAAAGTAATGTCCTTCTCACCGTCGAATCTTTTGAAGTCAAAGACTTTAGTTACTGGACCGATATTCTTCCCGTCAAAGTCGATATAGATGCAAGTGATGCTGAAAGGTGACGTCTTGCGTTTGTCATCTGTAATGCTGTTATACCACCTCTCCCAGGGTGCAGCAACTCGATGCTTTGCGCTAGCGACGCTGATGACTCTGTATGCCTGTTTGCCATCACTTCCAATGACTTCCATGCCTGGTCGGAAAAGATACCAAAGATCTGAGAAGAATACCTTGCGACAATCAGGTTCCTGGAGACGGGAAAACCTCTTGGAAACGTCTGAGTCGATGAACTCTAAAAGACAACTTATATGCTCCAGTGCAGCCGGCGATTTTGTGAAGTTGTCAAGTTTTGCGTCCTCGTCCTCGTCATCTTCTGCTTTTTTTCCCTCTGTCTCTTTTTCTTCAGCTTTTTCTTCCTCGGTATTCTCTTTTTCTGTTTCCCCGGCCTCTACCTTCTCTTCTTTTGTGTTCGCTTCTTCCTTGGCACTGTCTTCAATTCTTTCTTCAGTCTGTTCCACTAGCTTTTCAGTCGTGGGTTCTTCTGCAATAGGCTTTCCGACTGTGGAATCCTGTACAACCGATACCGAACCGGGGTCGTTTTCTGGTTTACCAGTACCAGCATCACCCTCAATATTCGACACTTCTGTGACGGCTGGTTTATTCTTCTCTTCCTCTAGCTTCTTTTTAAGTGCTGTGTACCAGTCAAGTAGCGCGGGCTTGCAAAAGAAGAGGGCCTTGAAAGGTCTAACAAAGACTATCGAAGGATACCCTGAGTTAATCAATACCTCGCCCCCGTTTGGGACGAGAATAGTGGCAAGGATATGACGAAGGATAGTTGAGTGGATTCGTATTCTCTCAGGTAGGGCCCCTTGACCATCTTCATTCGTTTCGTGCATCTTGCCATCCCGAGCAATTTCCGCCTTGCGCGGTTGCCAATTCGAATAGCCATACCATCGCCGGTGATCTCTGGCATCATCATCGATAACAGGATCGCCTATGAGAATATCAATGGCGCATGATAGTTCCTCCGTCGTTGATTCCATGCCTTTGAATGCCGCCCAGCTCACCCGAGTGAGCTTCGGCTCTGCAAAGACCCGCTCTGCGTCTTTGCCGGGTGCAGCGTTCTGAGCATTCTCAAGTTTGGCGTCTATCGGGGCTTGCTGTCTCTTTCGTTTTTCTGACTCTTCTACTAGGTAGAGGCGATCCATGTCCCATTCAAAGTTCTTACGGAGCCGCTCACGGCGATACCCATAATCGATATCGCGGTCATACTCTTTATAGGCATCAGCCTTCGAATCACCTTTTTTATCCTCGCAGTCATGAGATAGATTGAAAGGATCTGGTCGTTCGTAAAGTTCATCGTTGTTAAGATGCCAGCGGCGCTCCATTCTTCCGCTGCTAAAATAGTCGTTGTATGACCACAAGTTCCATTGTCCAGGCCCTCCATTCACCTCCCATTCCTTTCGGTGCTTATAAAGGCAAGCTTCCATTCGTTTGTATTGCTCTCTTTCGGTTTCTATTTCTGATGGCGAATTTTCTTGTTCAGTCTTTGTCGATGAAGCGGCTTTAGCTTGTTGTTCAAGTTCGAGAATCTTCCTCTTTAGAGTCTCGATATCGTCGACGAATCTAGCAACTCCTTGCGCGGCAGGCTTGCCATCATCTTCGGCTACAGTGCCAAGTTCACCAGGGCCAGCATTCCCATCATGAGTTTCATCACCTTGACTTGAGGCCAACAGAGTCGAAGTCATGGTCGAGGCAGTATCGACAGTCTTTGACTCATCGGCCTCTGAGAGAGGGCCGTTTAGAGTCATTTGCGGTGCTTAGTAAACTGCATCAATAATGCCATACAATGAGGCGATGGCTTGTGTATTGTTTCACCGAGCTAACACTTGCGAATGGTGTCTAAAGGAGTGAGAATGATTGAATGCCAAAGAGTCAGTACGTTTTAGACTACGGATAACTTTCCAAGGACAACCGCCAAAAGAGCCGCAAGTGGGAAGCGTTTAACATGCTAAAATTAGGCGAATCAAATCCTGCACACCCGCATTCGCAGACATTTGGGAGCGAAATATCTGGATAAGCGGCTAGTTTGCTGTGCGTGATCACACGAGTTCCCACAATATGAGTCTAGGAAAACCACACCCATGGCACGGAAAAGGTCTCACACAGTTGCTCAAAAGGGCTGTCAGATGAGGGGTAATTGAAAGAATGGATACAAGAGCATGGTTGTGCTATAATTGTTACAACTACAACTATGCCGCTGCCTAGGACTATGTTGATCCTTCGGGCATCCTTGCAGATTACGAGGCCAATAGAACGATAGTTGCATATTACATACAGGATTAGCGTCATAGCCCTGCCTCGGCGGTTACTGGTAACTTGATTCATTTCGTCACACACCGAATGGATGAGCGCATCTGGTAATAGTAATAGTTGTCGATAACAGCTCGATTCGAAAAGTGGAACAACTCTCTCAAAACTATTCACCAAGAGCACCTTCAAGTTACTCCTCAAGGCCAGCAATATGGCGGACCCAGACGCTGTTGGATCAAGTCTTGGCCATCGACCTGCCAGTGTCACCTTTATCGACAATCGACTCCCAGAGCACCATCAACTATTTGCAGATCCTTCTATGCACTATGATCCAGCTGTTGAGAAATATGTGCCGAGTGTGGCGAAATTGGACGAGGGCGTGGCCTGGATCCCGAGACCCGTATTGACAAACATCAAGGCGATGAAATTCTGGGAGGATATACTCCCCAAGGCCATGGCCGAGCTGAAATCAACAGTAGAGCCTGACGGCCGATCTAAAACAGCATATAGTATCCGAGATAAACCCAGCTGGGGTGCAATTTATAGCAGCCTCGAAGCAGCAAAGTTCAAGTATGAAAGCAAAGATGGCGCAGCAAACAAGTTACGTGAAGTACGACGAAAGGCTGCGAGCAAGATTGTCCCTCTGGAGGGTGTGGTCAAGATAGCCTCAAAGGTTGTGCCTGAGGGCACCCCTGCGACACCAGTGTTGGGTTCTTTGCAAGTGCTTCTAGATGTAAGATGAGTGCACTGAAGAAGTATAGGCAAAAGTTTGCCAGACTAACGAGAGCGGGAATCAGGCTGTCAAGATTGCTGCGCGCCTACGCGAAAAAGTCCTTGAGAGTTTTGATGACAACCTCTCCATATTTTCAGACGTCGAGCTGTTTCTAGGAACTTTTCCAGACGATGAGAACATCGTAAACGCATCTGTAGATTTGACCGTTGCCACTCTCAAAGGGATCGAACTGGCTATTGGTTTCTTCATTAGCAACTCTCGTAAGGTCCAATTGGCAAACAAATAGTTGTCGATAAAACTAACACATGTCGCGTGGGCAGTCATGAGAGGAACTAAGGCGCTTCTTACTAACAATGAGTACGAGAAACGCCTGTTGGAAAGCCTCGAGATGATTAAGACAAAAAGCAGAAGCCTCATGGAGGAAGCTTTAAAGTCACATATATACGAAGCCCATATTTGTACGCCTACTCCATCAAAATATGAGAACTCCATCAAACTAATCTCTCTGTCAAAGATTCTCAAGAGACACAAAAGCTTTCGAGGAACGTTCAGACTATGAGTGAAAGGGTTGATAAGCAACTGCAAAATCTAGGAGACGGATTCAACTCCATGAATCAATTATTGACAGAACATGTCAAAGAAAAAGACAGTAAGTCAGAGCCTTGAAGAGCTCATAGTACTAGTCCAGATACTAATAGTTTGCATAGAAATGCTCGAGGCTGCTCGCAGGGAGCTTGAAGAAACCCAGCGCGAGAACCACTTTCTCAGAGCCGAAAACCACACGCTGCGTGCCTATTCACCATTACAGGGCGTATCACCATACCTAGCACCGCAGACGCAGATATTAGCAACACATTGGTACATCAGTCAACACAACCTACGGCAAGTGCTGAATATGCTTGATGTCGACCTCAGAGATCTTGCCTATGTTGCAGACAAGAAAGGGCAATTCCCTCCCAAACAACGCCTCCTAGCTGAACAAATCGTAAACACACAGCTGTTTCGTAACTGGGTAGTATCGCCGACTTCTTCCAAGCTTCTGGTCCACTGGGACTCCCGGCTTCCAAAAGTAATCGAGGGTGTCTCACCACTATCCGTCTTCTGTATGACTATGACACAAGCACTAAGAGCCAAGGAGCGATTTGTGTCGATGATGTGGTTCTGCGGACGGCATATCGAAGCAGAGGAGTCGGGAGGCCGCGTTGGCGGGCGTGCCATGATTACAAGCCTGATTGACCAGCTACTGAGACAACATACATTCGACGCTCATTTGCTGTCCTCGACGGCCATTGACCTTGTGGGATTGCAAGAAGGCAATCTGGACACATTAATAGAGGTTATATGCTACTTAGTGCGGCAGCTTCCTCCGACCGTGTCAGTATTCTTCATCATCGACAACGCTGCCCTATTTGAACGAGACGAGTTTGAGTCAGAGGCGCTGCAAGTCTTTTCTATTTTAATTCGTCTTTCACAGGACACAAGTATGCCTGCTTCAGTCAAAGTACTGCTTACAAGTACACCAGGCACGACAGTAATACGGAGTGCGTTTGAGAATGAGGACTTGATCTTGAACGTAGAGGGACTGCCGCAAATGGTCTGGGCAGCGAGCGATGAGCGGATGGTGAGGGAGCTTGAGGGAGAGCTTATTTGATCTCCTAGTTGAGTACAACGACTTGCTGATGACCAGCCTGTAATGAAAGAGAGAAAGACGTCTCTGCACTACGCGTAGGTAGTCGGCAGTCCTTTGAGGAGAGCATTGCCCGGAAATGTGCTTCATAATCAAGTTACATATAAGAAAGGAGATACAGACGACCGAATTCATGTCAAAATACAAACTTAATACTTTATATGAAAAAGGAAACAATGGAATTGGTACGCAAGTATCAATAAATTTCGCATTCCTGGTTAGAATCTAGATGGGATTATGTGGTTAAAGGGTACATGTAGGCTATAACCGCAGCACGATTGTGTTGTGGAACGCTAATCTCGTCAAGCAAATTTTTTTCGCCACCAATTCGTATAAAAGAGCCATATTTCCAGCTTTTAGGCCTCGCAGCCAACACAAGAATCTAAATTATTTCGACAACAAGCCTTGCAGCGTAGGTGGGAAAGCTTTCCATCTCCCCTCAGAGCATGACTTTATAAATATATGTTGGCCCGGTTAATCTCCGAAGCCCCCGTGGTGGAGTGGTTACCACTTAACTCTTATAGATCCGGAATGGTTTCTTGGAGATATGTTAAGGTCGCCAGTTCGATCCTGGCCGGGGGCACCAACTTTTTGCTCTTTTGCTACAGTTCCCAGGTTCATGTAAGAATGATACATGTAGAGTGAGTTGTTGGGGTTGATGAAATCGTTTTTCTCAAACATTGTGATGCTGTTTTTTTTTTTTGGGGTAGCATTGCAGACATATACTGAAGGTACGTCGTACTCACTTACTTACAAGCAGGAGGACATGGGATGCTTTTCACGCCAATCGCAAACGTAAGAGCGTAGAATCAATTCAGTTTTTTTTTTAAAATAAAAACAAAGTAGAAAAGACGATTCGGCCTCTATATCGTCCTTTTTTCTGGCAGTCATTCGCTTTAGGCAACCCCACGTGGGTAGTGCAATCATGAAGCCGTTGTCATTCAGCATGTAAGGCGCAAAACATCCCGTACAAAGAGCATTCACCACACTGGATGGAATCCTGCAAACTAGGCCATCACTTTAAGAGTCCAGACATATCTAGCAACTAATAATGGTTTAGGCATATTCACACCAACGTCCTCATCTACTTTATGTTCTCCGAGTGAGCCGGCATATCTCAAGTATTTGCGGGGCCGATTAAACAAGTTCCGTGAACTGCTGGCACCACATCTGTCGATTTCCAGAACACGAGCAATCATGTGTACTTGATGATAAAAGCCAATAGATGAGAAATTCGGGCAAGCCGCGTGATGGCAATAAATGGGTACGACACGGCCTAAGGCTTCATCAGATTGATTCCCAACGATAGCCGTGTTCGGTGTAAGTCCAGCCGATTACCCCAAGTAGAAGCTCCGCATTAAACTCCGGGTTTGGAGATGGGAATTTGTCTTGGCCCCGGAGTTGAGCCCCCCAGTCTCCAGACACGATGGCTAGTGGCGGCATCATTTCGATCCAGCCCATCATCACTAGCATCGGTATGACTCTTTTCAATGAAAGCATCAGATGCTAGTTGGCTGTCTAGTGTGATGGAATCCACCGGGGAACTCTTCCTTTATAAGTAGATCACGACCAACTTGTGTCCGGAGAATTTCATCGACATCCATAACGTTGTAACCCTGCAAGCTGAGCAGCACGTAAACGGCAAGATGAAGTGGCCAAAGGCACCGCCTTTCTACGTATGGGCCTGTTTGATGGCATCCAGTGTCCCCGTACTCTTTGGGTGCGTGACAACATAATTCAGCATTTGAGTATTCGAATCACTAACGAGTCTTTCTTCCAATGATGTAGTTTGGACACGGGAAACATTGGTCCTGTGACGACGATGCCTGCCTTTCGCAAGACCTTTGGTGACTTTTCACCCACCATCCACGGAGTGATTGTTTCGTCGGTGCTCATCTCCGGTGCTTTCACGGCGCTCGTCGCCGGAGTTCTTGCTCACAGGTTCGGCCAGGTCCGCATCTTCTCAATAGGGTCTTTCGTCTTTGGTGTTGGAGCGGCCGTTCAATCTTCTGCTTCCAATCTCGCTGCTTTCATCGTTGGACGTCTCATCCAGGGTGTAGGCGAGGGCCTGTTTGTGAGCAATGTATGGGTCCAGGTTTCCGAAATGTCTCCAACGAGAGTCCGGGGTACAATGACAGCGTTGCCGCAATTCACCATCGTCGTTGGGGTGGTTTCCGGTTTCTTCATCTGCTATGGCACTTCTCGTCTTGGGGCATCGACGTCACTCAGCTGGCGTATCCCGTTGGCCATTTCCTCAGCTCTCGGGTTCTTGTTGTCGGGAACATATTGGTTCGTGCCGGCCTCTCCACGCTGGTTATTAGCCAAAGGTCGAGTTGACGAAGCACGCAATGTCCTCGTTCGACTGGGCTTTGACCATGTCGAGCGTGAAAAACTGTTGGAGGAATCCAACAACCAAGATCAAGCTAACAACCCCGGTGATGAGACGCTGTGGCAAGGCCTCAAGCAGACGTTTGTGGGATTCAAGGAGGCCTTCTCAGCACCGTTCCGTGCCCGCACCGTGTTTGGATGCTTCATCATGGGCATGCAGCAACTCGCCGGAATTGACGGCATCTTTTACTATGCACCGATTCTGTTCGAAAAGGCCGGGCTAAGTGGTGAACAGGCGTCCTTTTTGGCTTCTGGCGTTTCTGCATTGGCAATCCTGGCAGTCACCATCCCGGCCACCTTTCTGGCGGACAAATGGGGGCGAAGGACCTCAAGTCTGTTGGGAGGCATCTTGATCACCACCCTCATGCTCGTGATGGGATCTCTATATGCTGCTGACAAAGTCCATGCCGACAGAGGAGCTGGCAAATGGGTGGTTATCGTGTCGATTTATTTGTTCGCCATTGTGTTCAACGGAACTTGGGCCATTGGCTTCCGTACGTTTTTGATGGAGAGCCTGCCGAGGAAGACGAGGAGCAGTGCATCAAGCCTTGCCCAGAGCGCCAACTGGGTAAGTAATGGATATTCCGGATGGTTTAGAAGACAGAATGCTAATTGATGCAGTTTTCAAACTATCTCGTGGCCCTCATCACGCCGGTGCTGATTGCAAAGTCGACATATGGAGCCTATTATCTGTTTGCCTTTTCTTCCCTCTTCACCACCATCATTGTGGCGCTGCGCATGGTCGAGACGCGAGGCCATAGCTTGGAAGAGATTGAGCAGCGTTATGTCCAGAGCCGAGGCATCTCGACAGGCATGTCGATGCCAATGGTGAGGATAAGGCGCGTTCAAGCCACTCGATAGCCGGAGTTGTTGATGGGGCATGATTCGTTCGGCTGCTTGAAAGTTTCGCAGACGGACGTGATATCAGCCCGGGTCATTTTTATTTGAGAATGATGATACTCACTCTTTCTGTAAATAGGTGGTTATAATCAGCAAGCATTAATATTTTGTTCATTCAATGTCGACCCATGTAATCTAATGAATGCAATAATGTGATGTCGCTATAGGAGCCACATGCCGCCAGTTGAGATACTTATTCCAGATAAAAGCAAGCAAAGCTGTGCTTGATGGATATCAAACAAAATCTAGTACCGACGAAACGCAAAAGTTGTCTTCAAAAGGCGGCGCAATACAGAGTGATGATACTCATTACGTTTTTGATCCAAGCTCCATTTAGAAGAGCAGTTTTTCCTCTGCTGCAATTACGTGATGATTCAAGTACTCAGGCGCCATACGACGTTTTGTCATAATTTCAGTACATATGTAGGCACACTGAGTCAACTGAAGAACTGCATCCATGAATGGGTTAGCCTTGTTCTTCTGGCAATGCCTCATTCTTCACAGCATTTTTAACCCCTGCCCAGAGCCTATGTGGACAAAGGCGCAAGGCAACTCCATAAAGTCTCAGAAGTGAGCACATTGCGTTTCACAGCGTTTTTAAACCCCCAGGGCCTTTCGAGAGCCTCGCATCCCCAGCCTCGCGTCTGAAGGACAAACATGGGTGTGATGAAAAGCATTGCAATGCACCGATATAATGGCGGCTAAGGAGAAGTAAAAGTATCTCATTGAATACATTAATTCCTGAATATCAGGAGATAGTATCATACTTCTCCTTTCGTTTCTCCCGTTCGGTATTATCCTCTTCATGGCGTCTCAAAGCCCAAGCTGATAGAAGTGACAAGAACAGTCATGTGATTGAGCACGTGTGCAGTATCCTGTACCTCTGCTTGCACCAATAAGCTAGGCAAAAAGGCGGTACTGGGGAAATGGCACGCCGGGCTCCACTCCCAATTGCAGTCGAAAATCATTGGAGCTTGCTTTTTTCCGAATCGTCTCGACACCATCATCAATCGCAGACTCTCAAAGCTTCCCACGAGGCAGAGCAGCGACGACGAGGCTGAACAACACCAGCTTTGTCAAAACACACGCAAACAATTTTTGAACAAACCAAAAGAGCTACGCTCGTAGCCTCTCATCGTCAGCATGGCGTCCAACAAGCTCGGCAAGATGGTGAGTCGCTTCTCCTCCCCGCCGTTCTCTTGGAAGCGTTGACGTTGACGTTGACATGGTTAGACTGACGAGACGTGATTTAGGCCGGTTACGTACGACGACGCCCTCGATCCCCCGTGACGTTTGGCGTGATGGACACTGACGAGCCTCCCTAGATCAACTACCGGATGCGCGTGACCCTGCAGGACTCGCGACAGCTCGTCGGCCAGATGCTCGCCTACGACCGACATATGAACCTCGTTCTGGCCGACACTGAGGAATTCCGCCGCATCAAACGCAAGAACAAGACGGCTGCTCCCGGAGGCGCACCGGTGGGCCAGACCATTGTGCAGGAGGAGAAGAGGACACTTGGCTTGGTGATTGTTCGTGGAGCACACATCATCTCCCTGACCGTCGAGTCGCCTCCTCCCGCCGATCCTAGCGCTCGATTGGGCAAGGCCACCACCGGCGGCATTGCTTCGACTCTTCAGGCCGGCCCTGGCGTTGCTCGACCTGCCGGGCGTGGTGCCGCGGCCCCGATTTCTCTCGCCGGCCCGGCTGCTGGTGTTGGTGGAGGCGCTCCCCCTCCAGGATTCCCATCCTTCCCTGGAGCCCCCGGTGCTCCTGGAGCTCCTGGCTTTGGAGGACGAGGCGGCCGTAAGTTGTTGTCTCCAGCTGTTTCGAGAGCCATTGGTACTAATTCTTGGATTGCAGCCCCTCCTGGATTCCCTGGCCAGTTCCCTCCCCCCGCGGGTTTCCCAGGTGCTCCAGGCTTCCCTGGCGCGCCTGGATTCCCTCCCGGCGGCCCTCCTCCCGGCTTCCAGCCTCCTCCTCGACGATAAAGAAGCTGTATGAAAGCTCTAATTTCTGCGATACCCACGCGCGCAATCTAGTCCCAATATGACGTCCCGAGGGGGAAAAAAAGGAGACGAGTATGTGTGGCTTTTAGAGAGAACGGGAGAATTGGAATATTTCGCTAGGAACCGCTGTTAAATGATCAAGGGTGGCGTTTGGTGATGCTGAAAATGACACTTGGCTTGTAATCTAGCATCAACCGGGTACATTAAGCTATGAATCGGAATTCTTTTTTTTCATGCACGTCGATTATCACACCACGTAATAACGATATGCCAATTCAATGTTTTGAGAATGGTTGAGAATGGAATATTATTCCTCAAGCCCATCTGAATGCAGACCGATATGAGAAATGATTCATCTGTATCCACAAGAACATGCTATTATAGAGCATAATGGCTACGACTGAAGGTTTCAATGATAATCTTCATGCTCATACAAGGCTTTTTTATTCATTGAGATCCAGGATATCGAATCCATGACTAATATACATTTCATTTCGGTACACATCTCTCATCCTCTAACAATCCCGTCCCTTTTCACTCTCACAAGACTTTTTCTCCCAGCGCAGGGCCTCCCTTGGGAACCCCGTTGACGAAAATCCGGCTCACCAAGTCGCTCTGGTGCTGCTCAATCATCTCCCGCAGCACACTCCTCTCCATAACCACCTTGCCCGTCTCCAACAGATCCTTGACATCCACGTCGTCCAGGTCAAGAGCCCGTCCATCCCAAGGCACCTGCTCCATGGCCTCGTACAGCCTGTCTCTTCGGTCGCCCGTGACGAACAGCGTGCGGCCATCCTCACGTCCAAGACCCAGCGTGCTCAAAACGCCCGACATGTACTTGTTCAGATACGCCTCCCTCAGACCGTCCTTGAGGAACTTGTCCGCCACCAGGTCGAAATCACGAGGCATCGACAGCTCCATGCCGTCCTCGCAGATGATCAGCTCGCCCCGTCTGTACCGGTAACTCAGCGCCGTGCGCCACGCCTTGTCGTAGACCTTGCGGTTCAGCCTGGTCCCAAAGTCGCGAGGGTGCGGGCCAAACGACTTGCCGCCGCCTCGCAGCAGGGGGCTCTGCCTGGTGCCCTGACGTGCTCGTCCGGTTCCCTTTTGCGGGCGCATCTTGCGGTGCGAGCCGTGGACGTCGTGGCGGGTCTTGGAGGACGCGGTGCCCTGCCTGGTGTTGTCGCCCTCGTAGACGACGGCGAGGTGGAGGAGATCGCGGCGGAGGGGGAGGTAGAGGTGCTGGACGGACCATTGCTCGAGGGACTGCGGCTCGAGAGATGGGAAGCTGTGGATGGTGACGGGGACGGTAGAGACTGGGTGGTCGGAGGGGTTAGTCGAGGGCTATATCGAATCTTGGGGGGGAATCTCGTGATGGTCGCTCACTTGGATTCCATGACTGGATGATGGACTGCGCAGAGGCTGCCGACTTTGTAATCTCCTTTACCGGCGATTCGGTCGCCATTGACCGTGTAAACTGTCTGCTGAACGCTGTCGTCGCCGGCTATTTCGCAAAAGGTCAGCCCTCTCTCGTCATATCAAAAGTCTTTCCATCTCCCAACACACATACCTTGGACGCAGATATCCTCAGCGCAGCCATGGCCTCGCCGAGGCACCCAATTCCCTTTCCAGCCATTTTCGACAGCGACTCTGTGCAATGGCCTGGCCGTCGCTCTCCCTCTCTAATTATCACGTTTCGGAAGTGAAGGGAAAAAAGGACGGGTTTCGATTTCGGTGGTTGCAAAAGCCCAAAATGCTCAGCGGCGTTTTCCGCCTCCGGGCCGCCGAAAATTTCAGCGGGGCTAGTTTTGCAACTCCAAAGCCCATTTTGCACCACCACCCAATTGAACAATACACTACACTCTTTTTTTGTGATATCGCGAGATATTCCCAACAGCACTCAACCATGTCGCGGTGCCAGGCTGTTGCGAGGCCATTGGCACGGCAGCTGCGCCAGCAATGCGCAATCCGGCCCTTCACGACAGGAGTTGCCCGCGCCGCCGCCGAAGTCCAGCAGCAGCAGCAGCAGCCCAGCGCCCTCGATCTCGACCCCAACAGCGTGCTGCCGGAATTCGAGGCCGACCTGATCAAGGCGGGCAAGATGCCCGTCGGCTCTCGGAGGAGGAGAGTCGCCATGCGCACCACGGCCAGCATTCCCTTTGAGCAGCTGCCGTACCAGGCGTTCCAGGAGGCCAGGGCCGTTCTTGCGGCGGACAGGCAGGAGAAGGTGGCCAAGATCCAGGAAGAATTGGCTAAGATTGCGGCGTTGGAGAGTAAAGACGCTTCGCTGGTTAAGGGGGGACAGTCGATGAAGGATACCAAGTTGGCGAGTTTGAGGCGCTACGTCGAGCAGCTCAAGATTCAGGCAGATATCAACGACCCTCTCGTCAAGAAGCGCTTCGAAGACGGCCTAGGTAAGGAAATGCTACTACAATCTCACCATCAGAATGGTCATGCTCACTATACCACTCTCTAGGGGACATGAACAAGCCCATCTACAGGCACTACGCCGAGCGCAAGTGGCGCTCCTACGACTACCGCCTCATCACCCAGCGCATCAAGCAGTTCAGCATCGTCCCCGACGTCCTCCCCAAGCTCGACCCCGTCGCCGACGTCCAGCTCTACTTCCGGCACTCCAAGGTCGCCCCCGGCGCCGTCGTCGACTCCCTCGTCAGCGAGCACCCGCCCCGCCTCCGCGTGCAAGTCTTCGACGCCGGCACCCGCCTCGTCTCCCTCGTCGTGCTCGACGCCGACGTCCCCGACGCAGCCAACGACGCCTTCTCCAAGCGCTGCCACTTCCTCGCCGCCAACGTCCCGCTCGGTCCCGAGCAAACCTCCCTGCCCCTCGGCCGCATCGTCGCCGCCGACCAGCTCGCCGTCCCCTGGCTGGCGCCCGTCTCGCAAAAGGGCGCGCCCTACCACCGCCTGGGCGTCTACCTGCTGCAGCAGAAGCCCGGCGCCGCCGTCGACGTCGCCCAGCTCAAGCAGCTGTACTCTGCCCGCGACGGCTTCTCGCTCAAGTCGTTCCGCGACAAGTTCAGCCTCACGCCCGTGGGCTTCAACATGTTCCGCTCCGTCTGGGACGACAACACCGCCGCCGTCATGGCCCGCCACGGCATCCCCGGCGCGGACGTCGAGTTCCGGCCCGCTCGCGTCCACAGCCTGAAGCCGCCGGTCAAGCCTCGCGGCTGGGAGGCCAAGAGACAGGGTCCCGCGTATAGACACCTGTGGAAGTACACGAAGCGCATCAAGGGTCTGTCGAATGGCCGCGGATGGACCAAGAGGAGGTAGAAGGGGGGATGGGAGCAAGGGAACAAAAAAATAGAAAGCTCATGATATTGTTGTACGATATTCTTATGATGTGTATAAAAACAAAACAAAATGGAGTGTTACGTTTGGTACCAGCATATTGGCCCGTGAAAAGGAACTGTCATGTACAGGTGCCACTACTACTACCTACACGGCAAGATATTACGTTTAGATAATGAATTGAAAAGAGTAATAAGTCTTCAAAGGATGGAAGATGAAAGATAAAAAGTCCGCGATTGATATATTCGTCGGCACTTAGGTATGATTAAAGTAAAAGTAAAACTATGTACTTGTACTCACAAAAAGACTGGGCGGTTCGGGATATTTTCCACCACAAAAATACAAATCAATCCTCGAAAACGCTTGCCATTGCCCCAGCTCCCTTTTTCGAATCCCCCTTCTCCTCCATTGCAAAATAAAAAATATTTGCAAGTTTTCAGTCCCCCAAATTTGTCCCCCCTTTTTCCGTTTCAACCCTTGGCAAAAAAGGCAAAAGCCGAATACCAAGATACTCGAGGGGGTCTGTAGCATCAGACCAGGTAATTGCGGTATTAATTAGAGAGCCTGCGTTCATATATTAAGCTCCCAGGTTATGCTATGTGTCAAAGCCATGTGTTTTGGCTGCGATTGTTCGCCACGCTTCTCATCAAAAGGGTCGGTGCTGGAGCGACGAAATGGCGGCGAGCTGCAGTTGCTCAGTGTGAATCGTCGTGTACACTCTGTGCTCCCCCAAAAGGATAAATCTATGCATGGCTGCCCTCAGCCTTTTAGAATGCCTCATTGATCTTGTTGAGATCCCTTTTCAATGATTTCAGACTGCTTCGCCAGAGAGTAGCTCGTCGGGCATGTAGTCGAGATTGATGCCCTCATGCTTGTGCATCGGCGATTCCAGTTGGGAACGCTGTGATTCTGCCGGCGAGGGCAAAGTGAATGACCCAGGAGCTGCATTTTTCGGTTTGGTTAATATTTCGAGACATATAAAGCATGAATGCATAAGCAGCTGCACCGGATTCACCAGGCAAACTCACCATTGGCGGCGGCCGAGGGACGCCTCTCGCTCGGAGGGTCCATGCACCTCTCGACATATCGGAGAGCTTCCTTTTCAATCCAGAAATTGATGTTGGGATCGTTGCACGCCGCATGCGCCATGAGCTGGTTCTTTATACGCGTCACTTCGTCGAGCAGTTGAAAGTATTCCACGCGCAGGCTGTTGTGGCGAAGCTCCATGCCCGACTTGGTCTCCTCCAGCTCCAACACCCATTCCTTCTTCTTTTGGCGGCATTTGGACGCGGCGATGCGATTGCGCTCCAGATTCTTGCTGCGCTGAGCTGCGTCCTCCTTCTTTGCGGCAGCTCCTCTTCGTGCCAGCCTTCGTCCCCGCGACGGAGGCGGAGGCGGCGGCTCTTGTTGGAGCTCCTGCTTGATCGTTGCCGCCTGGGCCGAAGAAGCCGTCTTCTGTCGCTTGGCGCGAGGTTGAGCTTCCGAGGTGGACGCTTCGACGTTTTGGGCGGCGGCCTTTCTCGTCCTTGTCATCATGGTGGCGGTGGCCGTTGCTGATGCTGTGCTGGGAGCTGTCTTGCTCGGCTTACTGTTGCTGCCGCTGCCGCTGCTGTTTGTATTGCTGTGATGGCTGCTTTTGGCGGCGGTGCTGGCGATAATCTCATGAGGGGCAATAGTCGAGTCGAGGCTGCCAATGCTGCTTCGGTGGTCCCCAAAGCACTCAATGGAGCTTCCGGGCGACAGCAATGGCACGGACAGGGGCGTTGTAAAGTGCGAGTCCGGCGTGGTGGTTGCGTATGGCGAGAGCGACAAGCCGGGATCGACAAGGGAATCGATGCCTTCTGGCTGGAAATCAAAGGGGAACCCGGAGCCTGGAACGTTGTCGTGGATGCCCAGGCCGTAATCAAAGGGACTGTCGTTCATTTCCGCCTCTTGTTTTGCAAAGGCCGAGAGGAGACGAGTTTGAATGAATAACAGCAACGAGCAAATCTTCAAGCGAGGATCTGCTGGTCTGCTAATAAATGTCCCGCGACCGACAGGGCTTTGATTGACAGCTCGGTGAGGGGATCGCTGTTGGAGCTCTCCAAGGCCGCTGCGGGGCCGTTGCACGGAATCTGGGATCCAGGGGGGGGGGGTGATCCGGGCCTGGGAGGGGAAAGCTGAGGAGTTCGTTGCTCTCAATCGCAGGGCAACGAAGCTGAGTGGAGCTTGGACAGGGTCGATCGGCCGGTTTGACAGGACAGCAACAGGATGGGATGGGATGGGATGGGACGGGATGGGGCAGAGAGACGGAGTGAAGGAGGGAAAAGTCGATCAGATCAGAGAGGAGGATGTGAATTAACTAGTCGAGTAGTCGAATGCAGCTGAAAAGGTAAAATAGAAACCCAATGCCGCAGTGGGTGTGCAGAAGAGAAGCTCAGCTTGCTGTTGTCTGAAGCCGGGGAGGGGGTGGGAAAGTGGGAAAGATGGAAGAATGGAAGAATGGAAGCGAGGGCGGCAAAAGATGGATGATAAGAGGGAAGCCAAGGGTGGGATGGATTCACACAAAGCCAGAGCAGGCGGCGAAGCTTTGGGCACCACCAAGTACTAAGCAAGTACGGATGATAAAGTAGCAAAGGTAGTAAGAGGCAAGGTACCGAGACAATCAGGTTAGGTCAGGTCAGGACAGGACAAGATTGATGGTAGGTAAGTGGTAAGGCAAGGTATAGTAGCTGTCGAGAGCTGCAAGCGGGATACAAGCATCCAAGAGAGACAAAGAGGGAGGGGGCGCAAAGAGCTAAATGGGTTTGACGGTAACAGCATCATGCAACCAATGCATCAAGGGCGCTATTATAAGCAAGGGAACAAGCACGGCTGCTAGTCGAATCAGATGCCCGCATCCGACTGTGCTTGGGGTGCGCCTCCAAAGCATGTCCGAGAGCTGTGTAGGTTCCGTGATGGTCCTCCCGGCATCCATGAGAATCCTCGGGAATTAACCTTTGCGCCGAGACGGAGGTGTGGGCAAAAGCTTCTGTTGCGGATTTGTGACTTTGTTGAACGAGAAACCGGAGTGCCACCAGTGAGTGGAGGTTGAATGAAGCAAAGCATCGGGTGATGGATCGATTCGATGATGAAATGGAAGCTTTCAAAAAGCACGGGATTCTTCACAAATCACGCTGGTGTGTTGCATGCAGTATCTACAGTACAATACAGTATTGCATACCTCTAGTATCTAGTAGGTACATGTAGGTCTGTCCGTTGCACCGCATTTCGACGCCAAACGGATCCGAACCGTGCCAAGTATCGTACGTATAAATGTACAGCAGAGTACATGGCCGTCAAATGGCCCTCGCCGGAGTCGATCCCCGGCATCCACAGATACGAGTACTTGCAGTAGAGACATACCGGTATAATCCTGCACAAGTGCATGCAGTACAGTACAGTAATTCCGTTCTTACATGTAAGAGAGAGAGTCAGTCAGGTCAGGTCAGCCCCTGTGGCAACGAACCAGCCCAAGGTTTCATCCATGTTCCTGTCGTTCCTAACCAGCTTCCTTGGCCCCCATATTGTGATTAAACTGTACGGAGTAGATTGCGATGCGGCAGATTCATGGGTATCAAGTACTGCGCTCATACCTGGCCCGAGTACCGAGCACACGCAATCCCCCCCAGAGCTCTACCTCTATCCAGTCATTGCCCAAGTGCCTACTACCAAGGCAACAAGGCAATCAAAAGCAACCCCAAACATAAAACACAAACATACACAAACACATGCCGGGACATGCTCTGCCGTGGGCTGTGGCGATCCCTGGCAACAAAAGGTGTGGGAACCTCGGCCAACGGGTGGCCTCTAGTGCGATCGCGATCCGGCCTGCGATCCACGGCCATGGCCTAGGGGAACCAAACCCAGCAAGCCTTGTATCGCCCGGGTTGCGGTGGGTTACTGCGACGTAGCGACGGTGCTTCCGGACAAGTCCCCGGCTAGTACCCTTACAAGCCCTGAGCACCCGTAGACCACGGAACCAAGCAGTGAGACAACCTGCCACGCCAGCTTCGGGCGACTCCCGCTGTACTTTGGCCTCGACTTGCCCGGTACCTGCCCGCGGGGTCCCAGCAACAAAGCGGCCACATCAAACGGGGGCTCCACGGGGGGGCCACTCTGCGAACTAAAGCCCGCTGCCAAGCTGCCGTTTGCAGCGACAGAGTTCGCTAATAATCTTGGACCGTAGCGTCTTGGTGTGAACTTACAGTGGCTGCCTGTAACTTGGCATGGCTGTGCTTTTGCTTTGCCTCGTGTCTGCTTGCTCAAGCCACAGCACATTCCCGCCACCTGTGGGAGCTCTGGAGCTCTCCCTCCTCCCTCCCATCGCCATCGCCATCGCCATCATCCATCGCCGTCGCTTCCAGATGCTTCTCCTCTCCACTGCAATGTTACCAGACCAGAACGCCTTCAATCCAGTTCCGTTCCCGCTTCCCGTTAGGCCCGTCCAGCAGCTCCAGCTTCCACCACGGCCTAGGCCTTGGGCTGCGATTCCCGCTGGACACAGAAACAGAACAAAGCCGGATGTCGCGACAAACCACGGCCTGGAGACGCAGGGCCCGTCCGTCAGGCAACAATCCGGCTGCATTGCCAGGTTGCACCCTGTGCTGCACGCTTCTGCCGCTGCATATCCACGCACTCTGACACGCACGCTCTTCATGCCTGTGCCTTGGTTTGAGATGCGTCGTGGCCGTCGCCATTGGCTGCCGCCGGCCACGTCCACGTACCACAAAAGCTTGGTCCGACTCTGCCCTACTTCCGCACAAGGCATGGCTCCCCTGGCTATCCGGACGGAGGCTTTGCTTTTGCTCTGCTCTGCTCTGCTCTGCTCTGCTCTGCTCTGCTCTGCTCTGCTCTGCTCTGCTCTGCTCTGCTCTGCTCTGCTCTGCTCTGCTCTGCTCTGCTTCGATTCGGCAACACGACGGACAGCGGCAGAGACAAAGGCAGAGAGACAAAGCAGGCCCCAGCCGAAACGAAAGAAACTTCTGCTCCATACTTTCTGGCTGCGTTTAGAATGTGGCCCCCCCGGGCTCTTAGCTTTTCCCGCCCAAATGCTATTTCTCTCCCCCTCCAGTCACTTGCTTGCTCGCTCGCTCTTACGAGTATATCCCCGGAGCCTTTGAGCCGCTAGGTAGCTCCGGCGAAGTTTAACAAAGCGGGCGTTCCTGGAGCTGGAGCTGAAAAAACGAAAACGGGGACATGCTACAGCCCGCTAAGCCGATTGATGAGTTAGCCCGTCGTCTTAGTGAGCACAAGCAACGGTCAAAGATATGGAGCAGCTCCTTCAGCCATTTACCACATTGCTGCTGAGGTTTATCCGCAGGTAGCCAGCCGGTCCAGTCTGGTCCGGTCCAGCCTCAAGCAGCTCTACACCGGACCGGGGAGGCAAAATGCGAGGGACCAAAGACCGGAGAACAAAGTTTGGCCATGAGTCCCCAAAACCAGGAAAAGAGAAAGACCAAGGTGCGGATCACGGCAACTTTAACGGCGTCCGGTTAGCTGATGACAACGAGAGGAGCCAACGATGCGCAGACAAGTATCATGACAGGCCGTCAGTCCATCATACCACTTGTGCTCGATGGGCAAGCTCTGCGTTTCCCATCAGGCTCTCTCCGGACTATTGCAGCTCTAGGTTTGCTTTGCCGTAGCACTAGCAGGTTTCATCTTACAACTTGACTTGCAGAGGAGAAGCCATGCAGGTTGGCATTTTGCTACCCCGCCGTCAGCTCTCGTTTTGAGGTCGGCACTTTCACATGGCGGGATTGCCGTGATGGGTCTACGCGAAAACCTTGAACGTTGGAAAAGTCCATCCAGGTAATTACATAAATCAGTAACAGCGCCATGGAATTTGCCTAGAAGAACATCCGATTTCAGGGCGACGGCAATCTGGCTGGAAAACTTATACCCGACCAGAAGCCGATGTCGAGACAGGGCAATGGCAAATCACCTCTCGCCGTCATCAGCCTTTGGCTTATTTACACAGTTGGACAGCTCGCCGACTTCGCTCCGGCTCGCCTACACCCTCTCCCCAGGTAGCATTCCGTTCTCGCGCAGACAAGCTTCTGTGGCTCACAAACAGAGGCTATGCCATCGGGAAGCTTCTCGCCAGCGCCCAAACGGCTGCACACCTGGTCCCAAGAGAAGCAAGAGAAGGCAAACGAAAGCAAGGCAGGCAAGCAGGCAAAATGTGTTGCGGCTCAGTGCCTGGCGCAGGTCGGCGCCAATGCTACCTAAACGTTATCAAAAGGAGGGCACCAATCATGTGCGCACAACGAGACGCAGGTTTGCGGGAGTTTGATGCCGTCGGGCGACAAGATGGGTGTGCGCCGCGAGGCCCTTTGAACAAAGTACGAGTACCAGCTTCATGCTTGGAGACGTTGGCCAGTACGTCGAGCTCCGAGGCAGCCAGCGATGTGCAAACGGGCATGGTGCTTACGGCGTGAGTGGGTGTTGTCTATCCGTCTCCCGCAGTCTAATATGCCAAATGGGTAGCAGAAGATGCGGGCGAGACAGGACCAGACGGCGGCTCTGGATCGCTCGGATGGAGCAGACTCGTGCTAGAATCTGTGTGTGTTGTGTGTTGTGTGCTGTGTATTGCCTGTGACACTCGTAGTCTTACAGCGTCGAAGCTGTCACAGCTTAAGTCTGTGTTATTACATGTCCAGGCTACTGAGGCTGGCTGTGTAAAAGAACAATCTTCATCGGCAACGTAGAGCTTCTCGATGAATACCAGGTTCAGCTATCAAGTTCCAGACTCTTGAATAAGATGATGCCTTTTACGCCATGAATCTCGGCAGCTCGGCTCAGCATTAGGTGAATTGTTTCTCTCGATCGACTTGCACAAGCATAATTAAGAGCCGAGCCACTGGGTGACGAATCAGCCAAAGGAGTGTCTTGCCAACATGCAGTATTCAGTGTTTTGTTACTGTACAGAGTCAGAGTGAGAGTGAGAGCGAGAGTGAGGCCTCCCCCCATCTCCCTCTTCCTCTTCCCTCTGCTCCCCCTCATCCTCGAGTAGCCAGAGAGCTAGAGACAGCTATCAGCTAGGCCTTAGTAGACAGCTAGATACCTATAGTAGTTGAGTAGATAGAGAGGAGGGGGAAAAGATGCGTGATGGAGGGGCAGCGGCGGCACGTGATACGCCTTATGCCGTGTCACCTGATCTCGCGATATTCGCCAGGCTCTGGGCATCGCGACTACACAAAAAGCTGGTGTAACACGCGTTGAGGGGTTCCAAGGACAGCCGAACCTAGAGCCAGACTTCACAAGTTTCGACTGACTTTGAGGGTAAACTCCACAGCCCTCTTTGATGAAAGCATAGACTACAAAGTTTTTATCTAGACCGACAAACACGGCAGAGATTATATCATCTACAGCATAACAACAACAACAACAACAACAACAACAACAACAACAACAACAACAACAGCAACGACAACAACAACACATCACCATGTCTGAGCAAATGTCCTCCCCGCGCATCACCGCCTCCTACCTCGACAACTTTGTCGGCCGCATCGTCACCATCGTCGGCACGGTCACGCAGCTGCGAGGCGACCAGGCCACAATCGACGCTGACGGCGTGGTGACCATTCTGTTGAACCGCGTACGTGCGCCCCCCCCCCCAGATATCTCCCAATAGCAACACAACTAACAAAGGCATATCACCGTCAAGGAAGCTCATCTCGCCCACGGAAACGCCGCGCAGGTCATTGGCAAAGTCAACCCGGATCTGTCCATCAAGGCCCTCAGCACTCGTGATGTCGGTCCCGGAGTTGGTATGCCTCGCTATATCCTTCGAGTCCCCCTTTGGAAGAGAAGTCGTAACTGACAAACATCTCAGACATGACTCTCTGCTCCGCCGTCGCTGAACTCACCCACCGGCACAAGGACATCTTCATCTCCGACAACTGACGGGTTCCGCCAGGCCACGGCGTCTCGCCGCTCCGCACCCACGAGCCTCAGCACCAACCGCGCATCGCCATGGTCTGGCCCGGCCCCAACCAAAATCAAACCCAAACCCCCATTGTTGAAGAATCAAACTCAGCCGTCCCTTCGCACTCGTCTTCGCATTCGCCTTCGTCTTCAGTCTTCTTTGAACCGCGCCCCCGTCCGTCTATTGCTCGTCCTTATCGCATTGCGTCTCCTCCTCCTCCTCCTCTTCGCGCCTCTTTACACAGCCCCCCCAGCGGACCAGACTGGAATCACCACCGCCAGCAACAGTCGTTCGACCTCGACCTCGACCCCTACGATCCTCCGTTGCCATCACACCGTGTCTCCGCCGCCGCCTCTCAATCCACCTCGTCGTTGCCCTCGACGGCTCCCCCTCGCGGCTTCACCACCATGCCGGGCTCCTTCTACTCCAACCCCGATTCCCGCTCCAGCTCGCCCTTCTCCGATGACGAAGACATGTTCCGCCTCGCTCACGATACCTCGCCACTGTGGCAGTCCACCAACCGTCACTACTCCCAATTCTACGCACCAGACATATCCCCCTTTCAACCCATCCCCTCCGCCCAACCTCGTTCCATCTATCCTCCCTCGTCGTCTGCCTCCCCCCCTCCATTCACAAACACGACCTACTCCACACAGGCCGCAGGCTCTCTCCCCTCGCCGCCGAGCTCCCAGCGCGAACGCCCTGCCTCCCCTCTCTCTGTTGCGGATTCTCTGCCGACCCTCCGCGAGGGTGACTCCCGTCAACTCGCCTCTCCGCCAATGAGCCCGACACGACGGCCCCAAGCAAGGGGCCGCGGTAGCTACGCGAGGGACTCGGAGGACACTGATTCCCTGGCGCTCAACGCGGTAGTAGATGGTATCGGCAGGATACAAGTGGACATGAATCTGGATCAGGCGGGAAGATGGAGAATCGCACGTCAGAGAGATGACTCTTCTTGGTAGTATCAAGGACTGTCCATGCTGCGAAATGGTGACTCATGGAGGAAGTGCATAAACCAATGTACTCGCATAGATCGAATCAAGGTAGATTGGAGGAAGAAACAAGCGTATCGAGGAGCGTCTAGACGAGGCCTTTTATTGCACAACGATGTATAATGATGCTTTTCTATCTTAAAACTAATTACAAAACAACACTCCTTTTCTGTCCTTTTCCTTTTCCTTCTCAAAAACCCATTGCCGCCCCAAAAACAAAACTATCCAACCTTTTCCGACCCAAAAAAAAAAAACTATTCAAAAGTCCTCATCCGCCAACTCCCACCCATCCAAAGAACTCCCACTCGTAGTCCCTCCCACCGAACCAGAAGCCTCACCCTCCTCCATCAACAGGTATTCCTGGGCAGCAATCCACATCGCCACCGCCGCAGACCCGAAATCCACCATCCGGGGACTCGTCGCTCCATCGAGCCCCTGTAAATCCCCATGTATTCCGAGCCCAAGGCCAACTCCACCTCCATCCGTCGATAGTGTCTCCCGCAACTCATCCGCAACAGACCCATCATACCTCGCCATCCCAGAAACTTCACTCCCCAACCCCTTTGTAAACCGAACCCTACAAGCCCGGTACGACCCCTCCGCGTCCCTCCCCTCTAGCGAAATCACCTCGTCGTCGCCGCTTTGACGAGATCCTTCCGCCATGGCGAGAGAGCTGTGGATGCTCCTGATCCGGGTCGTGAATCGCTGGAACCGCGCCGCCTTTCTCTCGGCAGCTTCGGCTTTTCCCCTCCATTGTTGAATCTCTTTGCTGGCTTCTCGCAAGTCTTCGCCGAGCGACGTCGGGTGGGATTCCTCCAGCTGCTGTACTCGCAACTGGAGTTGTGCGGCCTCTGCTGATTTCGTTCTTAGGAGTGTTTCGAGCTCTTGGACTCGAGTGTTGATATTTTCCGTCCCATTGCTGGGACTAGTATATATAGGTGCATCTGTCTGTATGCCCTTTTCTTGCGTTTCTGCAGGTAAAAGTCCCCCTCTTCTATTCGCAAATGGCTCTTGTGCATCATCCCATGTGTCAACAAGCGGCCACGCGTTTGAAGGTGGACTGCGTTTATCCTTCGCCAAGTCTTTCAGCTCCACGTCCCCGGCAGCTTCGGGGTAATTATGAGGAGCCTTATCAGGGAGGTAAGGTTTATAAGGGCTGCTGTAAATGCGATGTGACGCGTGTTTATCTTGGTAGGCCCCTTCTACCAGGCCGAAAGCATCTTTTGATGCCCCAGTCTTGGGCTTTCGAGTCGTCAGCGGCGACTCATGCGGATCTTCAAACATGGCCGCCAAGGCCTTGACGGATCTCCTCTTTGTCGGCGTTCTATCTTCATAGGAATACTTGCTATTGTTGTCGTCATGGCTACCGTCTGATCCAATAGAGATCAAATCTGGCAATCGAGGCTTTTCGTGAATGATGATCGAGCCATCTTGGTCAACTCCCTTCAAGTTAGGAGCCATCCAACGCGTATGTTCATAAAATCCACTGGCTTGCCCGCATCGGATGGTTTCGGTTGACGGAGTCGGCTGTAAGAATGGATCTTCTGATTCTTTTGTATATACAGGTGGACGGAGGTGGTGAGATGATTGCGTCCCTCGAAGCTTCTCCCGACTGCGCGTGAGTAATCTCCCAAACGCTCTTCTTCTCCCGTGCAGTCTATCTGACAACGGGGACCTAATAGTTCTGTGGCTTTGGGCTTCCATACCCTCACGCCTATTATTCTCTTTGGGAGTTTTCTTGGATCGGACTTGTGAAGGCGGTGTTTGTATAATATTCTTGGCTCCTGAAAAAGTGTCAGATGCTGGTAGGTTTTTGTAAACACCACAGCGGTTAGTATTGCGAGAGGACACACGCGGGGGTATGGCCTTCATAGTAGTGCTCTGGGCTAAGCCAGTGGCACCGTTTTCAGCCGATAGACGACTGACTTCTTGGTAGCTGCGAGAATGCAGTAGCGGCGTGCTACCATTCTGTCGAGCCCCAAGGATTCCGCAATTGTGCTCCTAGCACAACTGCCTCGAGGGCGGCGTGACTGCCGTGATGCTGGTTGGAGCTGGCTCAACGATGCCACCCTCGCTGATAGGCGTGATAGAGACGATAACAGTGTTGCAAAGATCCCTCTGCTGGTGTCCCTCTTCTATAGTCGGAGTAACCCACCGAAGAGATGACTGTCTGGAAGGCCCTCTGCCGCTTCCCTGTCTGGACAATTGTGATGCCGCTGACTTTGTTCTCCTGAGTGAGACATGGGCGGATTCCAAAGCCTGAGCTTGACCGGGCAAATCTCTCCTGTTTTCCACACCCGAATCCCTTGTACGATTGACCATGAATGATTCCGAGATGGAGGACTGGTAATCGTCATGCGGCCCCTGCATTGACTTCGTCTTTTCGTCAAGTTTTGCCGTCAGTGACAGCATCTGGCGAACAACATCTCGCCAGTTGGAAATCACCATCTCGGCGACGCCATTTAGAACTTGGATCTTTCCGACATCCGGAATATCAGCATTGAGCTCCTTTTTTGCCTTTTGCCGATCGCGGCGCTTCTTTGCTGACATCGGAACCAGGGATAGGCCAGAAGTTGGCGAAGACTCCTTCATGTCGTAGTTGTCAAGGTCTGATCCAACCAGCAGCGAACCAAATATGATTCCAAGAGCATTGTATGACATGAGCTGACTAGGCGGTAGAGGTCGACCCTCGGCATCTGTGGTCGGCGATACTTCAGTAGCGTAGCCAATATGACTGAGCAAGCCAAAGACTGCACAAATCAGATCCCGTTGGGGTCGCGAGTCCATGGCTTGAATAGCCATCGCAATGAGTCGTGCACGAGTCTTTTCCAGTTTTTCTGCAGGAACCTCCAGCCGATCTTTGAGTTCTGAATAGATGGCAAGGAGTGCATCAAACAACGTGATCGATCCTAAAATACCTCCTGGCAACCGGGAAAGAATGCGCTTAAAAAGAGAAGCCACGTCGTGAACACGATGCGGGATGGATTCCGGCAGGGTAGGGAGATAGGTGGTGCTGGATATATAAGGATCACTGCCACTAGCGTCACAATAATAGTCGTAAAGAGCATCCACAGTCCTGTTGGAGCCTGGGACTCTGAAAACGCCTCGGTTGTCGGGGTTCTCAACAAGGTAGTGAGCGGTCGCTCGAAGGCACGTAGGGAGAGCCAAAGGGTGAGGGGCGAATCCCGCAGGTAGGTACAAGACGCTGCTGCCAGTCAACCGCACCAAGTCTTGCATGTCGAGAATCTTGGGCGCATTCGATTTGTAGCGACTGAAGGATCCTTGGTCCGAGGTGCTTCGTTTATGCGGAGGCACAGGGGCTACCTTCTTTGGCGTTGACTGGTTGGACGATCCTCGAAGGAATCGAGAGAACCAATTCTTCTTCTTTTCAGGGCTGAAAGAACCACTCTGAAACAACAGAAACATGAGAACTAAAAACAGGAAGCTTAATATCGAGAGGTTTCTTTCACTTACGCGGTTGCGAAGATGGGCGTCAAAGTCTCCAACGACGAGCGGTCTCACTCCGTTCTAGTGGCCATTAGCTTCAATACAAGTGACTATGGTAGCTTTAGATACTGTTACCTACCTCGCTCGCTAGCTTGTTGTATTTCTCTTCGAAGATGGATCGATTCTGTTCTTCATCTCCTTCGGTGAGAAAGTCTGGGCCTCCGGTGCTTGGTGTCCACGTGCGGCTAGTGGGCACGGTTACATTGTCCCCCATCCGCTCCGGAATGACTGTAGAGAGAGGTAATGCCAGTGATGCGCTGTGTGGTACGTATTGTGCTCGGTTCGCTGGAGGAACAAATGCTGGCCCTGCAGACTGGATGCTCGGAGGGTGGCTCCGTGGCTGGGCCACGGAGGAGCCATTCAAGAGGTTATTCAGCAGGGCCATGTCGACTGATGTCGAATTTGAGATGATACTGAGTGATGCTGTAGTTGAGGTGATGTCTTGATGATTCGTCAATGGTGAGAACCGGTGGTGAGAGTCGGTGTGGTGGAGAGAGGCGAATGCGCCTATAACGAAGCTCGAGATGGACTGAAAATGCTTCGATAAATCTCTGTCAACCTGTAGAAGAGAATCCCTTCAGCGCGATTCTTGAAGTGGCGCTGGCCAATTCTAGCATATATGTATGCTTTTTGCTTTGATGCCAATCGCTCGATAGGATACTCGTCGTTTTGCGACTGCTCAACACCAGGGACTCGCAAGATCTCGTAATATGAAGTAGAATGTTGCAAATAGCGTGAAGAATGAGAGATGGAAGAAGTAGGAGGAAGGAAAGAAGAACAAGGAGAGAAGAGAAAGAATATAGTCGGGGGGGCGCAAGTCGCCGAGCCAATTGCCCAAGCAACGGCTTTGGCCAGTCCTTATACTTTGATAACTAGCACTGATAAACTCCAAGTAAACAATAGGAGAAAAAGTCAAAGAGCGCGTTGATAACTGGCACTGATAAACCCCAAGTAAAAGATAGGGAAGAAAAAAAGTCAAAGAGCGCGTTGATGTTTTTCGAGAGGAGGCGCTCTTTTGAACTCTGGCCAGCCCAGGGAGACGAAAACTTTATGGTGAATCCAGATAGCCACGCTCCTGGTGATTTCTCCTGGCGACTTCTCCCGGATGTCACTGCGTCCATCTCTTGATTTCTTTCGCATCTTTAGTTGCTCTCATCAAAGTCGATCCCTGCCCGGTTGTTCATCATTAGTCTTCTTTCTTTCGCCCGTAAAGCAGTTGCAGCAAGATACAGCAGACGAAACGGGGTGTTGAATCAGGACGGTGTAGCTTTCACAAGAAAAAATAGAAAAAGCCCCAAGATAATAGACTCAAAAATGCTTTCTTGTTATCATTCTCAACCTACACAATTTCCAGCCAAGAGTTGATGCCTGTTCCAACGACTGCCAAAAATAAACAAAAACAAACCTACCTTACAAAACTCTATCGGTTGAATAAGAAAAAGAGACAAAAAGGGGCTAAAATAAGTATGTACCAGAATCCCAGCAGTTCCCCCCATAGTGGTACTTGTCGTCATCAATAAAAAGTCACCAGTACGCCTCACCAGATGTATTCCTGATCCCCGTGCCTATTCCTCCGTGTACAGCCTCCGTCTCGATATCGTGTCATGCACATGCACCATTGTCGTCGACCCTTACTCGGGAATATCTTCTTCGTCGTGAAGCAGCACGTACTTGAGAATGTCGGAGAGCGAAATCACCCCTTTGAGCTTATTCTCGTCATCGACCACAATCAACCGGTGGACGCGGCTCTTGCGGATCGTGTCGAAGATGGAGTCCAGCCTGTCGTCTTGACTGCATGTGAAGATGCCCGGGTTGTCTTCGGGCCGCTTGCACAGGGCCTCGCCCACGCTGCCGTTTAACTCGTCGTAGGCTCCGCCCTTGATGCAAGGAATAATGTCCACGGCTTCAAAGGCATTGAGAACTCTGTTTTCGGAATCGACAATGGGCACGCAGCTGATGTTGCCATTGACCATGAGGTTGATAACTTCGAGGACGGTGGTTCCCATGCGCGCAACGAGCAGGTCGGTGTAGGTGCCCAGCTGGATCTCGCGAAGCGTCTTCTTTAGCAAGATTGTATTGTGTTCGTTGTTGACAGCGATAAACTTGAGTATTCGATACTGCGTGATGACGGAGATGACGGTCTCTCTACCAGTCTCTTCATCGACGTCGACGAGGGGGATCCTTCGCGCACGAGTCTTGAGCATGCGTCGAAGTGCTTCGTAAAGGGGTCTTGAAGGATGGACGGAGACGGATTCGATGGGAGTCGCCCCAATGGCTTTTTCGATGTCTAGGTACGTCACAATTAGCCCTGTGCTACGACAATTGCAGATGAGGGGGGGGGGGGGGGGGGGGGGGGATAAGCACCTCGCAAACTGGCCAGGCGGAACTGATCCAGCTTGCTCATCTCATCGGGGAACTGGCAGTGATACTGGATCACATTGATGTAGTCGGTCGCCGTCAGGATGCCGGCGAAGCGCGAACTGTGCGAATTCCATAGAGGGGCAGACACAATGGCTACAGTAGTTTCCCATTAGCACCATGACAAAAAGTAGCCCCCAAGGTGGTGCGGGGAGGCGCGGGGCAGAATAGAGAGCCCGATATCGTCCTGGAGTTGGTTGATTGATTGATTGATTGATTCTACTCACAGTTCTGGATCAGGATATTGAGACTCTTCTTAATGAGCAGATCCGTGTCGAGCACAATGAGGCGGAAGGATAGGGGGAGCACATCGTAGCTGGTACGCTTGCGGAGGAAGTCCCGGATAGCTTTCTGTGGAGAGGCAAGACGAGGTCAGCAAGGGAGGCGATTGGGAAGAGGGCGTGGAGGAAGAGGAGGAGGAGGAGAAGCAGAGACTGGCAGATCTCTCCGTGGGAGGCCAACAAGAAGAATGACAATATGAGGATAGGCAGACGTACCAAGCCTTGTCGCTGCTCCTTATCCAGGGGACTCAGAGGCTTGGGATCGGGCACATCAGCCATGGCGCCAGCGTTGAAGAGATACGACGACGGGGCGACAAAAGGAGGCAGCGCAATGGACGGCGGACGAAGCTTGAAGCCCGGCGCCGGAGTCGAGGCGGGTTCAGACTCAGCAGAGCCGGGAGTAACAGCCGCCGATGGCGATGCAGAGGCAGATGCAGAAGAGCCGGGCGAGGATCGAGGAGAGGATCCGGGGGACGATGCAGGGGATGCAAGGCTGCGGCCTGGTGCAGATCCGGGCTGGGCAGCGGGCGACGGCGATGGTCCAGATGCAATAATAGCAGTAGATGCGGGTGCAGATGTAGATGCAGGATCTGGTGCAGCCGCGGATCCAGGAGCTCCGGCGCTGTTGGTAGTGACGATGTCGCCGCCGTCAGCGGTGATTCCAGTGCTGTCAACGTTGATTCTTCTGCTGTCGTTGTCGAGTGAATTGTTGCCGCTGCTGATGTTGTTGTTGCTGCAGCTGCAGCTATTCCCACCGGCGATGGCGTTGTTGATGCCTGGTCCAGCTGCAGATGCCGCCGCTTGTCGGCTCCAGCCTTGATCACTATCGCCAGGCGCATCAGCAGGTGCGGGGGCCAGCTGAGCGCTAGCAGCCTCTGCGCTCTCCTCCATTCCAGCGTGTCACAGGCGCTGGGGCTCGGCTGATGTCAACTGGGCTTTTGGGCTTATGTGGTCGTGCAGTGCAGTTTGTCGCGAATCTGCATGTACGGAGTCAGACTCCGATTTGGCCGTGGTACTTTTTTTTTCTTGGTGTTTTTGGTTTCGGGACAGCAAAAGACGCAGTCAGTTCAACGGATGCGACGAAACAGGCAGCGCTGCGGCCGATCTCGACGGCATGGATGAGTCCAATTACTGTACATGTATCCGTATGTACATACAGCGGCTGCGGCTATTTGTTGAAAGGTACAAGGGAATTACACCTAATGGGGCGGATTCCGCAGTACATACATGGATGTCATGGATGTACCAACTCACATCTCATGCTCTAGTACCTAGGTGCTGTAGAGGTAGATGATGGATTAATTTACATCAACAGATACATACATCCAGATTGCCCGATGCTCACGCTTGGAGAAGCAGCTTTGGCGGCGATCTGCTGCGCCATGTGTCTGAGGACGCGCTGTTTTGGGTCTAGACAGGACATTCATGGGTCTCAACGGCGGTTGTCTCGGGCGTGGTATTTGGCCCATACCAACATGGGATTCATTTAACTGAACAGATGGTCCAAACTGTGAATTGCATCCATTCAATGGCAAGTACTACAGGAGGTAGACACAGTGTTTTTGCCGCTTTATACTTTATATTGCTGAGGGAACCTTATCAATGATGTACACTCTGATAGGTAAGGTAGATAATGCAACTCTTGATAACAATTCGTCATGCCCGAAAATGGAAGCATCACAGGCACATTCAGCCGCCAACGTGTCGAGACAAGGTTCAGCATTGCGGCCGCTGCACACCCGGGGCGACTTGATTGTCCCAGCGTGCAGCAAACACGGCGCCGGCACACACCCTCTTGCTTGTAGTCTCGTGTTATCTATCACTTCATGCGCCTTTGATATGCGACAAAGGCAAAAAGGCAAGTCATGCTACGCCCGTGCAGAGTCATCCCGTCTGACGTCACCGCGCCGGATTCATCGTAGACCCTTCTTTCGCCGCCGAATTTCTGCAGGGTAAGGTGAGGTGAGGCGATCCCGTTTGGTGCAGCTGCATTAGCACATGTTGCTGCTGACTGTTCTGATGCAAAGCAGTTGGACGTTGAACTCGTCTGCCCGTGGGACACGATAAGATAACGTACATGTACGTAGACAGCCTACCTTAGTAAGTACTAACGTACGTAGGTCAGTGGTGACGGTGACGGTGACGGTGATATCAATCGACGCATGCATATGTACGAGCATGTACCTACTACCAAGGTACCAGTAGGGATTTGTGGGATGGATGGTGTTTGAATTCGACTTTTCCCGAGGCCTTTTGAGCAATTACGTGCTCATTGGCTCTCAATTGACCTTTGGAGTCGCATTTGAGTTTCATGGCTTATCGTCCACCGCCAATTGTCTCTCCATCCATCCAGGGTAGCCAACCAACTGAGGATTAGGCAGAATGGAATTGAGTCAAGATCAAACAAACTCGATGCGTAGGAGCGCGTTCCATAATGTTCTCTTGCATTAGTAGAGTACAGCATCCACGCCGAATTCAGATTACCCAATGCTTCGTATCCGTGGCGACATTCTCTTGTATCATCAGCATCGATCCGGCGGTCACAAGGTGCAGCCAACGTTCGAGCCGAGCTCCATCAAATCTGCACATCTCCGCCTTTTGATCCACGAACATGCCCAAGCCAGCCCCAGCGAGGCTATCGAATGTCGGGTTGAAAATTTTTCGACCAAAGAGCCTATGCTCAACTCGTCATTTATTATCGTCGTAGCCGCCGATACGCCTGGAAAAATACACAGACGGTAGGACTGGCGCAGCCAATGGGCTCCTTGACAGCTGGACTCGCAGGACTTGGTTCCGCTACATTACATACGTGGTTGCGGACCCCGATTTCCCCCTCCCCCTCAAACGCAAGAGTCCAACCCAAGCCAAGACCAGACACTGCCTGAACCAGCATAGACCGCCGATTCGCATGTTCGCTGGGCTGGGCCCCGAGCGCTGCGAATGAGGCGGCGGTTGGCAGATACCCATGCCGCCATGCCCTCACAGCACCGTCTGGCGTGAACACGTAGGATCCCGAACACTTGTTCATGCCGCGGTGAAGAGGTGCGAAATGGCCCAATAGACGGCGGTAGAGGAGGCGTGAATACCTAAGTATGTACTTGATACAGATTGTAAGACGGAGGAGTGTCGTGCTGGCCGCTGTTGTGCATATACAAGTACGGAGTACGGAGTATCACTAGCACCAGCATCAATGTAAGGACAGGCATGCAGCATACTAATCTTGTACAACAATAGGGTGCATGTTTCATGCTGCATTGATCAGCACCATACACCATCCATACTGTACATACATCCACGTAGATGCCTGATAGCAGGGGTTGGACTTGGACCGTCCAAAACTGAAAAGATGGAAACCTAAACCCGATACCACCTCGCCTCGCCTCGCCTCACCTCACCTCGAGTGAGTCTGAAGAAGCTGTTTAAACGACGTACATACTGTACAGTAGCCACGCCTGTCCTCCTCTCTGACCGCAGTGGGCCACCACTAGATGCCCTTCTCCAAGCAACTGTGGCCGCATATCGTCCAATTGCCCGCCTATCTGAGCCCTTGACTACTGCCTTAGTGCTGCCAGCAGACTCCGTATGACTATTCCCAATGCCGCCCAAGCAAGTGGCCGCCGTGCATGGGGGTCTTGTCGCGGGAGTACTTGGGCGCGGCGTGGGATTTCCACGGCTGCCGCAAGTACCGCCTCGACCCGACTCAACTCGACCATGTCCATGTCCATCAATGTGCTTGTGACGACTTCAGCGACCCCCTGCGACCCAAGTCCAAGGCCTAACCGTCCAGTCGAGCATTGGTGTCCAGTCATTGAAGTCTGTCCCTTCCAGAGCCCAGCCTAGCCCTTGCCCTTTTTTTATGTTTTTTTTCTTTCTTTCTCGAAGCGATCAATCCGATCTTGAGAAATAGAAACGCATTGTCACCGCATCCATCGCCCACGGAATCCTCCTGCCGTCTCCTCTGTCTGCCCCCTTCTCACCCTTTTTGCTCATGCTTATGCCCATTTTATGCCCTTGCTCTCTGCTGTACTCCGTATCGAGGTCCATCCCAATTCCTGCCCACCGCTCTCTCTGCAAGCTCTATACACTCAAGTTAATCCACATTGCTAGTCCCTCCAGGTTTCCCGTCTCTCCCTAGCTCTCGAGGTCAAGTGCCATCAGTTTGATTTCCTAGGGCTCCTCTTCAGTGGACTCTCCCACTGCGGTTGCTCGCTCTAGCGGCCCTCGATCGCGCCAGCAGCCACAGCAGCAGCAGCTTCGGACCCGCCCTTTCGTCACGCTCCCGTTGCCGTGGCCCATCGGTGGATACACGCCTGATACCTGGCGCCTCGGCCTGCCACAAGCGTCGGCGGTTGTACTTGGCCCGTAGCTGCACAGGTACCCATTTAGAGGTGGCGCTAGCGTCCACTGCTACCAGCTCCATCACCACCGCCTAATAAGCACCGCCAGGGCCAGAGCCAGAGCAAAAGCATCAACAAAAGAAACAGCAGCATCTTCCATTCTCTCCCTCTCCATCCTCTCCGCCCGCCCAAAGTCGATCAAAAGCCCAGCTGTCGCCGCCATGGGTATTTGCAACTCGACATGCTGCGGAGGTGAGCGAGTCCCGATTCCGTTGCCCGTTTCAGTCTTGATCCGACTTTTTCGTCGCCCCTTCTCCGAGACTCTCTCTCTCTAACTCCCGTTTCTAGGGCGAGCCCGCGATGGCCTCTACGAACCTGCCCTCGCCGATAGCGAGCGAGAGGCGGTTGCCGACCTTCTTCAGTATCTCGAAAACGTGCGTCTGCCTTGCTGATGATGGCTGTCGATGCTGCTGGCCGTCATTCTTCCCCCTTTGCCGATCCTGGCTGAAAGCTGACTTGTTTCTACGGATGCAGCGCGGCGAGACCGACTTCTTCTCTGGCGAACCGCTCCGAGCCCTCAGCACGCTGGTTTTCTCGGAAAACATCGATCTACAGCGCAGCGCCAGTTTGACGTTTGCCGAAATCACAGAACGAGGTATGGCCATCTCGGGCAGCTGGTCTCTGCAGCTGGGCATCACACAAGGGCGGTGGCGCCGGTGCTAATACCGAGCTTTGTAGATGTCCGCGAGGTCGATCGCGATACTCTTGAGCCCATCTTGTTTCTGCTACAGAGCCCCGATATCGAGGTCCAGAGAGCTGCCAGTGCGGCGCTTGGTAATCTCGCCGTCAACAGTAAGGAAGCCCTTTTCACCCGACCAAGCCCGATCAGCTTTCTAACTACTGCGTGCGCGTGCATCTACAGCCGAGAACAAGGTCCTTATTGTCCAGCTCGGTGGCCTGACGCCTCTGATCCGACAGATGCTCTCGCCAAATGTCGAGGTTCAGTGCAACGCCGTGGGATGCATTACAAACCTGGCTACGCATGAGGAGAACAAGGCCAAGATTGCCCGGTCAGGGGCTTTGGGCCCCTTGACTCGACTGGCCAAATCCAAGGACATGCGAGTTCAAAGGAACGCCACCGGCGCTCTTCTCAACATGACACATTCTGGTGCGTTTCTTTGCATCAACTTTTCTTTGATTTCACACCGTCTCACTTGGCTTCGGAAATTTTCAAGCGGAGACGGCTGTGACGCAATGCGCTGGGCTGCTGCTAACCGCACACCTTGATAGACGAGAACCGGCAACAGCTGGTCAACGCTGGCGCCATCCCCGTCCTTGTCCAGCTCCTGTCTTCTCCAGATGTCGACGTCCAATACTATTGTACGACCGCCCTGAGTAACATTGCCGTCGATTCCAACAACCGCCGGAAACTGGCCTCCTCAGAACCCAAGCTTGTCCAGTCCCTCGTAAATCTCATGGACTCGTCCTCGCCCAAGGTCCAGTGCCAGGCCGCCTTGGCCCTCCGCAACTTGGCCTCCGACGAAAAGTACCAGCTGGACATTGTCCGAGCCAACGGCCTCCACCCCCTTCTCCGCCTCCTCCAGTCATCGTACCTACCTCTCATCCTCTCCGCCGTCGCCTGTATCCGCAACATCTCCATCCACCCCCTGAACGAGTCTCCGATCATCGAGGCCAACTTCTTGAAGCCCCTGGTGGACCTCTTGGGCTCTACCGACAACGAAGAAATCCAGTGCCACGCCATCTCGACGCTGCGAAACCTGGCCGCTAGTTCGGATCGTAACAAGGCGTTGGTGTTGGAAGCCGGAGCTGTTCAAAAGTGCAAGCAGCTTGTGCTGGACGTCCCCGTTACTGTTCAGTCCGAGATGACGGCTGCCATCGCCGTCCTTGCCCTCAGCGACGACCTCAAGTCTCACCTGTTGAACCTCGGCGTATGCGACGTCTTGATTCCCCTGACCCACTCGGAGAGCATCGAAGTGCAGGGCAACAGTGCTGCTGCCCTGGGCAACCTCTCATCCAAGGGTAAGAAGAAGCTTGCTGGCTATCCTCATCCCCACTCCTCAGCAGCAGCATGAAGCTAACAGACAGTTTGACAGTTGGCGACTACTCCATTTTCGTCCAGAACTGGAACGAGCCCAACGGTGGTGTCCACGGGTACCTGTGCCGCTTCCTCCAGTCCGGTGACGCCACCTTCCAGCACATCGCCGTGTGGACGCTGCTGCAGCTGTTCGAGTCCGAAGACAAGACCCTGATTGGCCAGATCGGAAAGGCTGACGACATTATCGAGAACATTCGACTCATTGCCAACCGCCAGGTTGCCGATCCCGAGGTCGAGGAGGAGGACGAAGGCGAGGTGATTAACTTGGCCCAGCGATGTCTCGAGCTCCTGGGCCAGAGCGGCGGATCCAAGGCGCACATTGAGGGCTAAATGGCCTTTGCAAGCCTCGAACAGAGATTAGCAGATGACTCGCAAGTGCTGCTCTGGAACCGTGAACCAGGTTGCGAGGAGGATTAGCGCGGCATGGCGAAGGCGACGGTGTTTAAGGCGTCTCAAGCTTTGTTCCGGATCAAGCCACGAGGGTCGCTGCCTTCCCATCCAAGCTTGCAAGTCTGTTGGGAAGAGGCCTTTTGCCCTCGCATCCTTTTTTTTTTTTTTGTTTCTGCGGGCTTGGTCTTCAATTTTTCGTTTTGATAGCTTTTTTTCTTAAACTTCCCCGCTCAGCGAAGAATTCCCGAGGACGTGCTATTTCAGGAGAGTCTCGTTTCTTTCTTTTTATTATACGCCAGCCGGAGAGAGAACCCTTTTCCGAGGGACTGGGAGGACAAAGTGCCATGTTCCAAGGATGCAGATGTCGGCTTGTTCTCGTTTTTATTCGTTTTTCAGTTTTCCCTTACCCCTTTCCTTTGTACAAAACATATTACGCAGACAATGACTGCGACTCGTTCCGCATGCCTATTGGAATGAAAGTAGAGACAAAGATGACGACGGCGGACTTGAGTGGTTTGGGCATGAGCAAAAGCAGATGTAATTAGACAAGGATATTTGACATGCTTGACATGCAACTGCCCGGCTATTGGCCGATTGTCTTATCTAGATGTTTTGGTGACTGGAGTTTAATGATGCTATGCGTTACTTGGTACAGCCGCGCCTTGTTGCGCGGATAGTATATGTCTTGTTCTTGAGTGATGAAATGTCGTGAGGAATTTTCATGAGTCTATTTTATCGAGGCCGTCCTTTGCCCATTGGCGATCCTTCCAGGGCAGAATCTTGCCCATGATCTTGCCCTGGACCAAGGCGAGTGGTAGCGGGCCAAACTGTCTGGAGTCTCGTGAAGCCGGGAGGTTGTCGCCGACGATCCAGCAATGGCCCTCGGGAACCTGTCTCCGTTTAGTCTCGGTATATACAGACACGTTTCACAAATACAAATCTCATTACAGCAAGCAGACACAGAAAAAAAAAGGCTTACCTGAATCATTTGCTCCTCGCCGGGCTCTCCCGGCGTGCCCAGCGAGACATAGTCGCCCGGCATGCCGACGATGCGCTTGACGCCGTTTTGGCTGGGGAAGATGGGGATCTTGTAGAGGACGAGGTCGCCGACTTTCACGCCGCGGCCGAGGCGGTACCGCATGTCGGCGGCGATCCAGTCGCCGTCGACGGTGAAGGTGGGCAGCATGGAGGGGCCCTGGGCGGGGGAGACTTGGAGCAGGTGGGAGAGGGTGAGGTGGGCGAGGCAGGTGATTTTGAGGGTGGAGATTGTGAAGCGGAGGGGGTGGCCGATGAGGTGGGAGATCATGATGGCTGTGGTGGTGTTGACATGGCTTTGTGTGAGATGAGACTGGGTGAGATGAGGTTGGGTGAGGTTGAGTGTTGTATGTTTGTATGGTATGAGATGAAATGGATGTTGTGTTGATTTGAGCTGAGGGTGAGGTTGGGATTGAGTTGAGAACAAGTGTTGTATGAGAGTTCCAAGTTATGAGGCTATTCACAATTACATGTTCATGGGGAATTGTTAGTCCTTGCAATACGCACATGTGATTGGCTAAAGTGCCTTTCTCTAACTAGCGTCAAGGGTCCATCTATACTAAGCTGTGACGCTATATTTTTCCGATGCAGCTTCTCACTCTCTCTGTCTTCCATTTTCTTTTCCCCTCCATCGAAATGGATTCACTACTAGCGCCGACCTAGAAATATCAGCTCCTCGATCTCTGTTTATTCCCAGCTCCAGTGGCTACAGTCATTGAGTCTTCCTGCATGTTTACGACCAACATCTAACGCACAATGGCTGCTACTCGCTGCGTCTGCGACTCTGCGAGATTCGCTTCCTTCTTCTCCCGGCCCCTCTTCTCGACCGTTACCTGTCAAGCTTCAAGACAAAGCTTGCTGCAGCACGTGCCCTTGACACCATCTTCTTACTCCATATTCCTATCTCGACCTTGTTCACGGCAATTGAGATGCTACGCCGGCACTTCGCGTCCTTACAAAGGCGGCAAAAAACCCTCGGCGAGCCCCCCCTCCGACGAGGACCCGGACAAGGACCGCGGATTCGACCGCCGCTTCACGACGCAGCGCGACATTGAGCGGTCCGGCCGCGACCGCCCGCCGTGGGACCACGAGATTACCGATCCGCAAATCATGGTGATTGACAATGGCAGCGCCGAGGGCCCGCTGGCGACGCGGTACGTGCTGACGAAGCTCGAGGAGGGCGAGTCGCTGCGCATGATGACGCCGTACGTGCCGGCCAATAGCGAGACGGGGGCGCCGGCCAAGTTCGCCGTGTGCAAGATTGTCAACAAGAGGGACGAGTATGAGCGGCAGAAGCAGCTCAAGGAGCGCAAGAAGACGGCGGTGGCGGCAAAGGCCAAGACCAAGGAGATGGAGCTTACGTGGGCGATTGGCGGGCACGATTTGGCGACCAAGCTACGGCAGATGGGCGGGTTCCTGGGGAAAGGGATGAAGGTCGAGCTGATGATTGGGAAGAAGAAGGGGGGGAGGGCGGTGGAGATGGATGAGGCGAAGGATGTTTTGAAAAAGGTCCAGGAGGAGATTGAGGCGCAGGGGGCGAGGGAGACGAAGAAGGCTGAGGGGCAGGTTGGGGGGACGATGAGGCTGTATTTGGAGGGTATCAAGAGGTGATGATGTACGAGTATGGCCAGGTGTTGAATCTTTTTTTGGTTTGGGTATTCTGTGTATAATAGAAACAAGATGTACTATATATGTGTGTACTAGAGAGAGAGCCTATATAACCCGACCCCTGAAGATGGAATCATCCACGTCAGGCGGCAACGTCGCTTTAGATGGCTGCAAGATAATTGCCACAATTCCCACGCCAGTCCGTTCTTTTATGAAGCCAACAACGCCGAATTCCCACGAAAGAAAGAAAGAAAGCAAACAAGCCCCCCCCTCCCAGTTGTCGCCATGATCTTTTCCGTCGCCCAGTCATTAAAACCCATTTACATAATCTCGTCATCGTCATCATCCAGCACTGGTGGTGCAGGAACCGCAGCTGTAGTAGTATTGGTAGTCTTGGTCTTTGCGCCATCGTCACCGTCCATGTCGTCGTCCGTCTCCCATTCACCACCGTTAGCCTCGTCGCCGTCCTCGTCGTTGCCGCCCTGACTCAGCACCGCAAAGGCATTGGCCCTTGTCTCCTGCACGTCCTTGTTGATGTCGTCCCACTTCTTGCTCCGGGCCTGCACGACCTTGGCCTTGCCGAGGCTCTTCTCGAGCTTCTTGCCGGTGCGCTCGACGAAAGCCTCGGCCATCTCGAGGCCCTTTTCCTGGCGCCGGCGGCCCTTGGCGGAGAGCTGGCGGCCGCGCCGGGATTTTTTGGTGACGCCGGCGGAGTGGCGGGCGGCGAGGACGGATGGGCGGGCGGAGGCGGAGGAGTCGGATTTTGCGGAGGGGAGGGAGACGTCTTTGAGGGACTTGTCGGTGTTGATGGAGGGGGATGTTGCGCGGCGGGCGGCGCGAGAGCGTTTCGAGGGCGCTGTGGGTGAGAGGGAATCGGGTTAGTTACGATACTTTGGAATTGAGTGAATGGAGAAGAAGGATTTGATGTGACGAACCTCTCTTTTGTGTGGGAGCCATGGTGAAGGAATTGGGGAGAGAGAGTTGAGTGTGTTGCTGGTGATGATGGTTTGAGTGGATGGACTTTTTTGTGTGGTTGGAAATTTACAGACTGGGCGGGTAATCGATAACCGATAAGCCGCCACGGGAATTTATCGACAGCGGCGGTAAGTGGAGTCCTTTTCCGTTGCGGTTTGCCGTAAGGGTACGTACTCCCGGAGGCTATTTTAAGCTCACTGTGACGATGATGGAGATGGACATATATTTAGAGTTGAGCGTCTCTGGGAGGGTCGGGGTGCGGAATTCTATCATATATATATATATATATATATACATAGATGTAGCTGATGAGTATGGGATGTTCCCGCTAAAATTGCATAAACATTACTGTTGTCGGCAATCACCCAGAATGCCTCTATATAAGGAGTCGAGTAGTGTGTCATTATATTCAACCAAGAAATATACGAGCTCGTTTTTTCTTTCTTTTTCTTTTTTCATGATTTTTTTTATTTCATTTTTCCTCGTTTTTTATCTTCAAGCCGGTATTTCATACCTGCTCATTGCTTGCCCACCATGGAAACGACATGTCGGGCTGTATGGAGCCCATGCCCCAGTACGTCTGCATATTGTCGAGCGAGAATGAGTTGAGCGAGTCGGCGCTGCATGATCCGTCAAGGTCAGGCCCTGAAATCGACGGCGGGCCCGGACTGGGCAGGATCTGGTGAATGGGCGTCCTGGGCTGCTTGCTGTTGTTACCGTTGATGCTGCTGTTGCTGCTGCTGATGCTCCCCATGGGCAGCCCCAGAACCTCACGGGCGATGGCTTGAACCTCGTGCAGATTGCTACCGGCCTGTGACCATACGTTGGCCATGGCCTTGTGGCAGCCGATGCTCATGCGGATCTGGTCGCGTGCCACGGCGAGCTTCTGGCCGCGGAGGGTGTAGCGGCAGGCGGCGAGCAGGGAGAGCGTGCCTGTGGTCAGCATGCAGACGACAAAGGGCGTGTGGCTGCAGGGCTTGGTGGGCAGGGCGAGGAGGCCGATTTGGGCCTCGGCGGCACGGATGCACTTGATGGTGTGGACGGAGCGGAACTCTGCATTGTCGGAGCGGGTGCCTGCTGGCGGGGGAGTTGAGCAGCTTGAGATGCATTCTAGGGCGTCAAAGGCGCAGTTGGAGAATGGCCGGTGAAGGCCTACAGTTGTTCTGTGGAGAGAGATTAGTATGGGAAACAGATAGAAGGATATTAGTCAGGGAGGCTTACGCATGAAGAGCCATCATGGCTTGGAATATCAGCTCGTCGACTTGACCGTCCGCTGAAAAGATGTCTCTTTTGGACTCTGGCAGCAGCAGCAGCCATCCCTCGATGATGGAGTCGACAGAGTCCAGGACCCTGGGCGACGGGCCTCCCGTATCTGATGAATTGGGTGGTATCGAGAGGGCTCTGCACATTGCAGATGCCATGCCGCGAACGGCGCCTATTAGATAGGCAAAGGATGAGAAGACGGTGTCTTCAGAGCTGAACTCGCGGGAGTTGAAGTCGTCCAATGTTTTTGGATGCGGGATATTCTTTGGCCAGTCGTTAGCAACGATATTTGAGTCGCAATATTCAAACGAATGATGCAAGTGCTTACCCCTTCCTCGTACTGTTCTTCCTCACATGGAAGGTCTGTCGTGGCTTCGACGGAAAATGTGGCAAAACCGGCGTTTCGCTTGATGGCAGAGTAATACGCATCGATAATGTACACCTGCCACCATGTGCGCCGCCAGGACTCCTCCAGTACGGCATCTCCCTCTCCGTGGTCTGCGGCAAATTCACGGCGGTGCATTCCCGCGTCGAGTGCGAGCTGGATCGCCGTGTCTATGTGGTGTCTCGACTTGGCCGTGTTGCCGCGCCAGTACATGCTGGCGGAGAAGATGGTGTGACACTGAACCATGAAGAAGTTGCCAGGTGTTGTTGGCATCTGAGCAATGGCCGAGGCTGCGAGATCTTCCAACTCTAGGCATTTGGGCCGCAGCGATGGCTGGTTGCTGCTTAGATAGACGCTGCCGATGAAGCGCATCACGTACACCAGTGGCCGCAGCTCATCTTGCCGTATCGGATCTTGTAAGTAGCGCTCTAGGAACCGGCGAGGAAGTACACAAGGGTGATAACGGTGGAAGCAGTTGTAGTAGACGTCGATGAAGGCATCCCTGGTGATGTCGACAGATTGCAGGTCCGTCGACGGCAACACAACGCTGGAAGTAGACCAAGAATCGTCTGGAGGCGTGTACAAGCTGGGATCGACGACCGGCTGGTGCGGAATCAGGCTGGGTGGCAGGACGTTGTTGAGTTGAGACACGGAATGAGACCGAGCCTCGGTGCGTCTCAGCATCACCTCACCACTGAAGCCTCCATCGATGCTCCCCGCGGGCGAGAGCTGGCCACCGTTCCTTGCGGCAGACAGAGCGGCTTGGTTTCGACGAGCAGCTAATGCAGCTCGATCAAGACCGCCGCGTCTCGACTTTGCATAGCTGCATTCCTTGTCCTCCTCGATGCAGCGAGCACACCGCGGCTTCTTTGCGTCACAGCGGACGTGCCGGGTTCGACAGGGCAGACAGGCTAGTGACACTCGGCTGCCGGAGGACGGTTTGGGGGAGCCGCCCTTGCCGGCCGAGAGTTCAGAGTCCGGATCCATGGGTTGAGTTGTGGTGTGTCTTGTGAAGGAGTTGTTGGTTGGCTTGTGAGTGAGCGGCTTCCCGGCAGGCTGCTGGTCTCTCTCTCTCTCTCAGTATGTGTCTCTCCGTCACGGCAACCTGATCGATGATTGATAATCGGCTGGACCCCTAAAACCACGGTGGGGGATATCCACGACAATGCGGGCAGCAATCTCGCTGGCAATACGTCGAGTCCACGAGGCCCTTCGAGTTTCCAGGGGGCATGAGGAGGGCAATTGGTGAATTGCAGCTCGGGGCCCAGCGCGTTGTATACCGTTTTGGACCCCGCGGGTATCCGATCCGGGTATCCGCCGAATCGGATACCCGGCCGGTTCGATTCAAGCTTATACCAGCGCCGTCCGGAGATGCAAAAATCTCAGCGCACGTCGACGCCGCATCCTTTGCTCGTAGAGCTCTGTGGCTAGTTCGCAAGAGTGGGAATGCTTTGGGGAAGCGATTGGAAGGGATAATTATGGCCTTTTTTTTGCTTAGAATGACGGGGGCCCCGGCTGCGAAATGGCGCGTGTTTGGGACCCGTATAGGACTCTGACACTGTACGTGATGCATGCCACTAGGATACGCGAAGAAGCTGCCTAGGAAGCTGCTCGGAGACAATAGAAGAACTTGGGTTTAAGCTCGTTTAAAGTCTGTTTCTAGTGCTTACGTGGATTGTATGCGGTTTACGAAGAGAATAGTCCGCATAGAATCTGTGTGCGCGATGAGCAAGTTGAGAAGAGCGAGTCCTGTCTTTTGGCACAACTTGGGTGGGCTTCAACATGAGTTCCCGCTGCTGCTTCAATACATGTATGCAGGTGTCTACATGAGCATAATGTAAGCAGCCACGCAAAACCATTGCCGGAAAGGTAAAATAACAGACTGCGCGGCATGTCCCTATTCTATAGAGTATAAGAGAGAGGTTGGCAGTCTCATCGTGCGTAGGGAATCTTTCTCTCTCTCTCCCCCTCTCCCCCTGTCTTACTTGCCTGCTGCAAGTTGACTCGTCCTAATACACGTAAATGCAGCCTTTTGCATATGTTCGCCGTCCTCTCGTCCACAATGCCGTTTACGGTTACGCCGGAGCTGCCCACCCCCGTCTTTCATTCCGCACGCTAACGTTATTCTTATCTTTGTGTCAAATGCTCAACTCGGCACAACCGTTAGTCGTACTTCCAGTGGCGATGATCCCCGGGTTGCATGGTGGAGATTGAAACTGGAATTCCCACGAACCGGTCTTTCAGAAACAATGGCGGCGGCCTCAAACAGTTGTAAACGCCTCAAGTTCTTTCCTCTCGGGGATCCATGACTAAGGTGTTGTGAGTCCATCTCGGAGTGGCTTGATCCCGTCACGATTCCGATTTGAAACGGGTGGCCACCCGGGTATCCGTTTTGGGAACTCGGGATAGACGACAAAGGTGAAATGGCAGTGACGGCTTTTCGATGCGCAACGCAATGCGCAACTGCGTCGTATGTTTTTTCTTTCTCGGAGGAACCGGTTTTCGTGAGGTTTTCGTCTGTTTCGCCTGTCTAGAATTGTGTATAAAAGGGCTAGTTGGAAGTTCTCGTTTCGTATTTTTCAAACTTAGAAGCAAATCAAGCAATGTTAACGCATCACGTCAGACGCAACCTCGCAACTCGTCAATATAGCACAATCGCCATGGCTCAAAAAATTGTCATTGTTGGCTCTGGGTTTTCCGGCCTCTACAGCGCCTTGGCCGCCAGGCGACTCATTGAGGAGAACAAAGACCGTGTCGGCAATGGCATCGACGTCGTGATGGTTGCTCCTGAGCCCAAGCTGGTCACTAGGCCGCGCCTTTACGAAGCCAACGCTGCTGGCATGTCGGCCCCGCTGAGCGAACTTTTGAACGCCACGGGCGTTGGGTTTGTGCGAGGAGTTGTCGATGTGATCCGTACCAAGGAGAAGCAAGTGGAGGTGGTTGATCCCACGGGTGAGCGATCGAGCATCTCGTATGACAGGCTGGTGCTGGCGGCGGGAAGTCGTGTGGTGAAGCCAAACCTCGCCGGTCTGCGCGAGCACGCCTTCAGCATCGATACCATCACCGATGCGGCAGAGCTCGAGGCCCATCTTCGACGCTTGGCGGCGCTGCCCTCGAGCCCCGAGAGAAACACCGTGGTTGTGTGTGGAGGTGGGTTCACGGGCATCGAACTCGCCACGGAACTCCCTCGGCGCTTACGAGCAATTCTGGGGATGGCTGAGAAGGTGAGGGTCGTTGTCGTCGAAAAGGCGGATGTCATTGGCCCTGATCTGGGCGAGAACCCTCGCCCGGTTATCGCCCAGGCCCTCGGCGACCTCGAGGTTGAGACTAGACTGGGCAACGCCGTGGCTTCGATCGATGCTCGCGGAGTGGTTACGGCTTCAGGAGAGCGGATCGACGCCCTCACGGTCGTCTGGACGGCTGGGGTGGAGGCCACGCCCCTGACTCGACAGATTCCCGGGGACAAGGACAGGCAAGGACGGCTACTTGTCGACTCTGATCTTCGCGTCCCGTCAAGCCCCGACGTCTTCGCCACCGGCGACGCGGCTTCTGCCCAGACCGACGACAAGGGTAACCGTACGCTCATGTCGTGCCAGCACGCGATTCCGCTTGGCCGTTCCGCCGGGCACAACGTTGCTGCCGATCTGCTCAACATTCCGGGTCAACCATACCTGCAGCCTTCGTACGGGACGTGTCTCGACTTGGGCGGCTGGGGCGCCGTCGTGTGTGATGGATGGGATCGAAAAATCTTCAAGTCGGGTGGACCGGCCAAGGAGATTAAGAACTGGATCAACAGTTGCGTGATATACCCGCCCAAGGCAAACGCAAAGGAGGCCTTTGAGGCGGCTAACCCCATGGTTAATCAAATCTCGGTCCTTTGAAATCAAAGATTGACAGATTTGTAATTCGCGTGCTTTTGTTTGAGCGGGCACGGTGGTTTGAAGCTGTTCAAAAGTTAGTCAAGCATTAGCAAGGAAATGTCTGCATGAGGTGCATGGCGGAGAGCGAGAAGAAGGGATGTTGGGAGGACTGATAGACTCAACTCATTTTAGTCATTGTGGCATGTAGCGTTAGAGTGGAGCATACAGAGTAGACATTGAATAGAGATAGAGTAGAGAGAATCCGATGGTGTTTGTGATTAATATTGTGCTCTTGGCGTCCGTGTAGCTGTGAGTCAATACGGGTCATGTATGTCGAAGCTGGGCAGGCAGGGGGTGATGTGGTAAGGCCCCCCTTTTGTGGTGTTGACACCAGAGTAAAGTATCAAATTTATCGACTTCTTCTCACTTGACAAATAAGGATGAAGTAACGCTTATATATAACTGTTGCTTTACCCATGTAGCTGTATAGGCGTTATCGGGTCTTTTTATTTTTTCCCCTCTGCTCTTTGAATCCTTTTTGGGAATCTTTACGCTGTGGGGTCGCTTGCTTTGCCACCGTTCCCGAATTATACGAGGTCGAGGCTCTTCATTAGGCGCCCGGTCGTGTCGCCGGAGATGTCATTTGCGCCTCTTTCTTTCCAGCATTTGCCATCTCCAGAAGTGAATTTTGCGCTTAGTCAGTCACATAAATAAAAGGTCAGCAATTATCAAACAAGGTATATATATAGTTAGAAAGACTGGCCATGGGGCTTGAGGGTGGTTTTTCTATGAGTGTTGTGAGCCGAGATAGCTATCCGAATTGCACCAGATCTCGAGATTCTCCTCTTGTAGCAACTGATGGGGCGGATTCAGGTCAGACACCGGAGGCCCCGGTCTCTTCTTCTTACATAAACTTCTACAGATGTAAACCAAATGCGGGAATCCGGCGTAGTCTAGGTCTTGTATTTGTCTAGGCTATGTAAGTAATTTTGGAAATAAGATAGAAAACCATTGTTACGGGCTTGGGTCCGCGATAAGTGTACGATGGCTACCGTAGCTGTAATCCACCCAAGGCTGTAATTCTGCATATTTTCGGCCGAAATAGTATGAGCAATACACCGCAAACTGGTCTGTAGATGAGCTGGTGCGCCGTCAAGCTGAGATTATTGATGGGAAGAAGTTGGTGAGTAACCACATACACAGGGGAGCTTGCGTTTTAGCGTAAACAAGCACCTCCAATCTTGGAATGATGAGATGAAGATGTAATTGATGGCATGTAAAAGAATACGACTAGTCAATTACCAACTACTCGGGAAGTAGAGTTCTCTAGAGATTCTGCTATTGAGTGCTCATCTTACCTCACTGATTTCCCAGTAATTGTGTTTTGTTATAGTGCTACATGCAAACAGGGATTAGAGCGCAGCCAACCAATCGCGACATCCACAGTGAGACACTGTTTAAGCAGTAAAAGATGCATTACAGTGACTGCCGCGTTCCGTGTCTCCTATTTCCTGGCATGTTTCCCTCTCACAACTAGAGTGGTGCAAACTGGCATTCAGCTGTCTTGAGCGAGAGGAGATGAGGAAATATCTGGCATGGGCGCGGCGCTTGCTCCAGAATCAGCTTCCTGATTCTCCCCAATTCTCTCTGTCGAAGCCCAACCACGCGACATCAGCGCCAGGCCTGAACATGAAGAATCTCTTCACCGTCGTCATAGCGGGCTCCCAGTATTTGCTTCATCCTCAGAAACTGGTATGATCCGACGTGTCCGTCAATGGCAGGTCGTCAGAACTCACTGTTGTTTCTAACATTGGATGGTTATTGTGTAGGGCACAATTGAGGAGACCATCAACCCCGATGCGCTTATTCCCGTCACTCTCCTCACGACAACTGAGATCAATACGGATCTGGAGGGCATCCTGCAGTTGTTTGCAACAGTAGACGATGTCTTTCAGCCTGACTTTGGTGGCATTCTGGTAGAGAAGCCCGAGAAGAATAAGACGATTGGTTTTGTCCACAATCCAGCTCCCCGCAGCAGAGCTCGGTTCAGTTTGCAACGGGCCGAGGTTGAGGCTGCTGCTTTTGAAGACCTGCCTTCGGGTCCGTATTTTCTCCATGGACCAAATCTTTACCAGGCATGGAGACTGTACGATGATTTCTTGGATGCATTCACCTTTGGGGTGATTCCTAATAGTATTAATGGTTCTGACGACGGGTATGTATCGCTCATTTGGGGGACTAAGTTGAATTGCCGGGGTAGATGCGTCTGACGCGAAATCCAGGTACGAAGCGCTTTCATCGCTCTCCGACAATGGTTCATCCAAGTCGATTGCGGTACCATCTCGACTCTACCATGCTGCACCGTCGATTCGCAAGCCTCTATCTGGAGTCCGTATTTCCGTCACGGACGCCGCGTCGCTGAAAGGCGTGCAGACAATTTTGTCGAGCCGATCTTGGTCTCAGTTGTATGGCACTGAAGCTTCTGAGACGGCAGAATTTGTCCAAAAACTAATTGACATGGGCGCCATAATCGTGGGCAAGACCAAATCATCGCAGCTGGATTCCGGGAGGGAATGGGTAGATGTGGCGGCTCCGTGGAATCCAAGAGGTGATGGCTACCAAGATTCAGGTGGAAGCGCCGCTGGAGCCGGAGCAAGTGTCAGCGGCTATGACTGGATGGAATATGCCATTGGTAAAGACTGTGAGTGCTCTTGTTGTGAATGAGAAGAAGTGAATTGAAGTTTGCTGATTATGAGCCTAGCTTTTGAGGGAGTTCGGGAGCAAGCGCGGGTTCATGGTGTTTACTCCATCAGAGCCTCTGCTCAGGCTGCATCTCTGCAAGGATGGAGAAATGATTCGCAGTAAGCCTTGAACGATGAATATTTTGGGGCAATATGCCTCCCTTTTCCTTTTGTGTGAGCGTCAAGACTAATTACCTGACATTACTGCATAGGAATTATGCTGCAATTGGCTTGCTGAATCGCAACTTACACGACTTGCTCAGTCTTGCTCAGCTCACATTGAACACGTCAAACGCGAACATGCCATTACCCAAGCGCATCATATATCCTTTGGATTTTACCTCGACCATTGAAAGTGACCAGGCCCAGGACGATAAATTTGTCGCCATGTTGGAGCACTTCCTTGAAGTCAAAGCTGACAAGATGCGTCTATCCGATGCTTGGGATGCGCATCCGCCAGAGGAAGCCAACGGGCAAACCCTTGAAGAATATATGAAAGAGGTGTGTAAGAAATTTGCCAAGTATGAATTTCTCCGATGTCCCGTCACCTGCTGAATATGACGCAGGCTCCCTTTAGCTCCTTTTGCTCTGATTTCTATCATGAGTATCAAGACTTCCGCGGTGATTACAAAAGCAAGTTTGGTCGCGAGCCCTACGTTGAGGCCACGCCTCGATTTAGATGGTAAGTGGTAAGCTCACTGCATGCATTACAGATCCATGGACTGGACAGGCATGACTGCAGTAAGCAGGTCAAGAGTGAGTGTGGGCGAAGTAATGCTAAAGAGCTGGCTATCAGGGGCATCGGCGAAAACGAATCGAAGCAAGACTACGCCATCCACCGCGAGCGCATCGAGGTATTCAAGAAATGGTTTGGCGACAACATCATGTCGACGCTCGGGGATTCGGAGACTATCATGGTCCTCCCCTTCGGCCCTCATACAGTGCAGTATCGCGATGACTTGCCACGGTGGGTTGATGACATGGTCCCTATAGATTACTTGCAGGATTCAGTGCATGCAGCTAACATCATCTAGACCGCCGAGCAGAATCGACGGCATTGGCCCCGAAGCCCTCGCGCCTCTGTTGGGACTGCCGCATCTTGTTATTCCCTGTGAGCTCTTCTCGAACACCTTGGCGTTCATTTCCCCCATTGCCGTCCTTCCCCTTTGAGCGATGCTGTACTGACGAATCGATAAACATGACAGTCGCACAGACATCCTACCATTCGCGAGTAACCGACAAAGGCGAGAGTCGTCCGTTTACCGGCTCCATCATGGGCCCTCACGGCGGCGACATCATGATCCTTCAGCTAGCTAAAGCAGCGTTGGGACGTGCGGAATGGCGGTCGCGGGTCGATACCGGGCGTTGGGCGTTTCCTCAAGGGTATGAGCCGGAATGAAAGCGAATGAAAGCGCAAGATGAAGGCGAGAGAGATGGAGAAAACGGCTGTCCACACCACACGTGTGTGTCATGGGTTCCCGGCTAGTTTAGACGCACGGGTCCGCTGCGATGCTGTGCGATGCGATAGATCGGAAGCGAATTGGCACGTTTGAGGCGCTCAGCTGGGCTTGACACGCTCGTCCATGCAACAGGGGCTTCGGATGTCTTGTTGCTTCGTTCCATGGATGCGGGGATTGTGAGGCCTGCCGCGATGCCGTATTCGAGCCTGGCCGAGCGCCACAATATGTGGTTAAATGCGCAATCTCTCCACCGGGATGACGCTTGTAGATGTTGAGTCTGAGACACTTTGGGCGTTGATGAAGGATATCCAGACGCCAGACACCAGAGCTGGGTGCGGAGAAACCCGCAGCCTGTAGAGACAATAGCACCAGGTCAAGATGAGACATCCGAGAGTTGGGGGCGTCTGGATCGTGTCACCGGCCGATCGACAACGATTCGTCTGTCGGCCGAAGCCGGGCTAAACCAGCGGAAGCTGTGGACACGAGCCGCGGGCGGCTCCCCAACCCTTGCCAGGATGGAAGAAAGCCTGGTTGCATTGCATGGTGCAAGGATGAGGCAAGCAAACAACCCTTCGGTCGCTCTCCGTTGTCCGATGACCCTGCTCCGGGGAAGCTGTTGGCTGGAGAGAGAGAGAGCATTGACGATGGAGAAGAGAGAGCATTGGATGATAAATTCTAGGGCATTGACTGTTTGCTAGAAGATGTCTGGTGCCTTGGCCTCACTCTCTGCTGCTACTTATATCGGCGGTTGGCGCTGTCTTTGCTCCACGGGCTCATTCCCAAGTCCCGCAACGATTGGCATCATCTCACCCATCTCATTTATACCATTAATTTCAAAAGCACGCACTGGATGATATCTAACCATAACGATAACTATATCAAACTGCAAGTACAAACATACCGGGGAGCAAGACGCAAAACTGCCCTAGCAAGCTACTAAATCGGCCTCTCCCGCAAACCACAGTCATGGCAGTTGGATCTGCCAGGGACAAGTTCCCCAATGACCTCCTCCTAGTCCAGTTCCTCCGCTCCGCAAAGAGATGCGCCGGCCAAGGACCCTATATCCATGACCACTTTGGGTATGAAAAGAGCTTCGAGGAGCTCATCGCAGACATTTTGCGCATGCGCGACCTTGTGCGACAGCAATTGCCGGCGTCTGCATTCACCGAACGAGGCGTCTTTAAGGACGAGACTCCGTATGTTGCTGTGCTGACAAGGAGTGGCTATGAGTTTATGGTTGCCTTTTTTGCGACTCGAGTGCTGGGAGGAGCACCCATTCCCTTTGGTACGTAGCAAGACGACATTGAATTCACTGTCAGGAAGAGCCCAAGCTAATCGATTGTGATGGCGTCATCCAGGATCTGGCATTCTCCCGGAAGAGGCCCGATACTTCGTCAACAGCTCCAAAGCGTCGTGTATACTCGCGGGACAAGATTGTTACGAGAAAGCCGAGCGAATTGCCTCCATCTCCAACGGCCCGACCGATTCCAAGACTATATCCATACCCATTGTGTGCGACTCCGAGCCTGTAAAAGAGATTGACGTTACCATCGACGAGACGCTCAACATGGATCCTCGGGGGCCTGGTCTGGTGATTTTCACATCTGGCACCACCGGGCCTCCAAAGGGCGCTGTTCTACCCAGAATCTGCATGGTTTTTCAGCCGGATGCGCCTGCAAACTGCCAGACTGTTTGCTTCCGGCCTCCTCACTGGCTTGGCGGTGCCATCAGCCTGGTTGAGCCTATGCTCACGGGCAAGCAGGTTCACATACTTCGGGAGCGAGCCGGTGTAGAGTATATCTGGAAAGCCTTCCGCAATCACCAGATCACGGGAACAGGATTTACGCCAGGCGTTCTGCGCGAGATGAAGGAGTGGCTGGAGACTCAGAACGAGGATGAGCAGGAAGAGTATCTCAAGGCGTTTAAGAGGATTGGTGTGATTCATTGCGCTGGCGCCATGGTCTCACCTTCGGTATTGAAGTTCTGGAAGAGCAGAACGGGATTGGTCTTTAACAATGTTTACGGATCAACGGAAGTTGGAGGGCTTGCAACATTCAAGTGTCTTGACGGCACAGAACGATCGGTATGCTTTGCAATGAAGTTTCTTCTAATGTGATTAGTAAATTAACAAAGTGTTTACAGGATGCGATCGGTGTCGCATTTCCAGGCATCAAAGTCAAACTGGCCGATGGGGACCACGGAGAGATTTGCGTCAAGAGCCCATTCATGCTAACACAGTGAGTTTGTATTATAGAAACTGCCCAACTCCAGGAAAGAAATAAAAGAAACACTGCTAACAAGGCTTTCAAAGCTATATTGGTGACGAGGAAAAAACAAAAGCTGCATTCGACGACGAGGGGTATTTCAAAACGGGAGACTTTGCAGAGCTGAAAGATGGCGAATACATTTTCTCTGGCCGCGCCAACACCGACTGTATGACTTTTCCCACGAATTACTCCTCTATTCAAACCTTTTTTTTTTTCCCCTATGGAACCCTAGTGCTGATTAGTATGCTCCTAGACATCTTGTTTCGCCACTATCGCATTCCTAGCGTTCAGGTAGAGGTCGCACTTACAGCTCTCCCTTATGTGACCGAAGCCTGCGTCCTAGGCGTACCGGACCACGAAGCGAAACAAATATGCGCCGCCGTCGTACGCCTCACTCGCGAGCAAGAGCAGTTGCAGAGCAGATATGGCGAACGAATCATCGACCTCGCTCGCCTCCGTGCCGACATGAACGAGACGTTGCCGAAATATATGCTTCCCGTGCTGGTCAAGATTCTTGGCCCTGGAGAAGAGATGCCGCAGACGGTGTCACATAAGCCTATCAAGAACCAAATTATTAAGAAATGCTTCGGGGTGGAAAAGTCGTGGTCTGCCGAGAATTCCATCCCCGGGGTGGAGTATTGGGGAAGCATGCCTGCTCCAGAAGAGGCAGACACGAAGCTGTGGGATTGGCTTGGCTTACAGCGAGCTGATTTCAAGGCCGAGGCATAAGAAACCGGCAATGATGACGAAACTGGAAAAGAAAAAGGAAAATAAAAATGAAAAAGATGACGAAACCGAAACCGAAAAAGAAAAAGAAAGAAGAAAGATATATGTCGCATGGTCCAGCCATGGACGGAGAGATGAGACGGCGTGATCTGTTACAGCTTGAATGACTTTGGCGTTGGTATCTGTACATGTGTCCGAGTATATGTATGATGGCGCATTTGGTGGTTTACGACTATTGTATTGTTTAGCTTCAATCTCCGGCAGACGTATGTATGTTTTGAATAGATGATGATGAGATGATTTGACGACATGATGGATCAGAGACTTACACGAATTAAAGGTTTTCGAGATGCATGTATGGAATAGTTGCATGTTAGTTTCCTAAAGCCTTGTTTTCTTGGCGTTCCTATCCTTGGCCTTCTTCTCCCAGTCCCAGGTTTCGTGCCTTTGGGGGTCTTCCAAATATCTTCCCAAGGAGTATCCGTGATGATTTTTCTTGGAGCTGTCTTCATGTTCAGAAATGTCACGTCTTGGTGGGATACTGATCAAAAATCCTACCTTGAAGATCCTTGGACTTGTCTGTGCCGTCGCATCATTAGCGATGTCGCGCTGCTAGCGTCTCATCCTGAAGCTGCTCTTACCTTGTCGATCCATGGCCTTGACCCTGGCCCTGGCCATATCCATTGGCGGGCCGGCTGCTAGAGCCCTGTCTGGAGTCGTAGTTGGAGGGCTGTCGTCCAGTCATGATTGCTGAAAAGAGTAGAGAAATGTTGTGTTGAACAATACGGTAGGCTAAATAGCTAAGATAGCTGGTTCAACAAAAGGCTGTATTTAGTTGCCGGATTAAATATTCGAATCAGGTCCTAGGGTTTATTTGATTGGTGGTAGCTCAGTGGAATAATATGTAATGTGAACAATGGTAATGAAGAGAAATCTTGATGTCTCATAAGAGACCTGGTTTTATAGGCATTGAAGGCATGAATATTCTAGATCTGAACTACTCCCCTGTGAGGCCTCTCTCGATTAATGTCCATGTCCCGGAACATTATTTCCATTTGATCAGTGCAGCTGATACATTTCAGTTTGTTTGAAGCCTTCTAGGTCATTTGTGTGTGCCAATCGCCACGTGAATACTACCTAGAGACAGGAACAAACTATGGCGGTGCAAGTGGCTGCGCGGAAATCTACTATTACCTATTTTCAAGGCGAAAACGCTAGGAAACTGCGCTTACACTTTTTTAACACAATTCTCGACTATATCTCGGTGTGTTATTGGCCTCGAGTGCCGATCATTAAGTCGGTGTGTAAGGTGAGGGTAGCGGTCAAGATGAAAAGAGTATCGTCCGAACTATCAGTTTTCGCGTCACCTGCTGTTTGCTTTATGCCTGACAGTGAAGGTGGCTGTGAATTCGTCATTCATGATTCAATTCGGCTGTCGAGCGTAATCCGTGCCTGGCAGCGTGTAACACCCACACCACCCGCTCAGGTACCCGGCGGCATATTCTACAAGGTGGGTGAAGAAAGTTCAAGATCTAGGGGCCATCAATTTAGGCATTCGCTTTTAGATTCGGTTCCAGAAGCTAGAATCCAACGTCATAAGCCACACTTTGGGGTGCCTGGCGCTGAAGTGTGAGGTGAACCTGGTAAAAACGAGGCTTTGCTAGGATGCCTTGTGGCTGCAGCCTGGACGCCTTATGTTCGAGACGCGTACCCAAAATTCTATAATGACATCTGATTTTTGGGAGGCCTTTGTACTATGGTTTGAGCAAATTTTTTATATTCTAACGTGGGTTCATTCATTAATATTGCCGTGATTTAAAAAGTGCGCGGCCGTAATATCAGCGCGTAATATCCAGCCAATGTGTCAGCCCAACTACATGTCCCCAACTACCGGTGGTCTCGAATTCATTCATCACAGCTGAACACTTGTAACCGCATCTTCCTAATTTTTCCATTCCTACAAGATTTTGTGGATATACAATAATACCTAGTCTGTCACACGAAGCGCAGCATTCTATATCAGGATGCGCCGGCGGTCAATGCATGCACAGAGATTCGCGTGAGACAACCATAATGTGACATGACGGTCATAACAGTCAAGCTAAGAAATCGAAGCATGCCATTTATAAACATGGAAACTGTTATCATATCTGAATGTTTAAACATTCTGGCAACTATCTATTATGGGACGGATATCATACACTCATTTCCCAACGGGCAGTGAGACATCATATATATTAGCTTCTATTGGTGTGAGCATCTCCTTGATGCTTGCTACAACCTTGCCCCGCCCCTGGCACCCAACTTCGAGTATACATGATCTCTGATTGTACAGGGGCTGTAGGACGGTCACTAGCGCGAACTTCTCGCTCAACGCTTTTGAGCCTTAATGCTAGATTCGTCGGGAATCAAAGATAGGATGTTCTATTATGAACTGAATTGCCCTTGAAGTCAATGTTATCCGCAAAGTTTCTACTCATCTTCTCCCCCGTTCTCCTCCTTCTCCTCCTCTTCATAATCGTAATCGAAGTCCATATTCTCATCGCTGTTTTCTTCGTTATCATGTTCGTCGGGTAAATCTTCCAACGCAACTTCAAAAGGTGACCCCACACTAGCTAATACATCCCCGGACGATGCTTGTAAACCCTCTGTACTTTCCGAGACCACTGGTTGTTCAGGCTCCTCCTGTCCATATTCCCACTCAGGGCCTTGGGCTTCGAACCTGTGGCCTGGGTGTAGAAGCGTTTTTGAACGGAAACATTTGTAACAAAGGTTGAACTTGCAATCAAGGCACTGGTAATTGAAGCCGGAAATCCCCTAATCACAATTTTGTATAAGTAGACCCATATTGGTGAATAGAAGGTGCAAAAGGCTTTGGAGGGGGAAAATCGGAGCAGTAAGGAAGGTGTAGTACTTACAGTCAAGCAGTTAGTACAGGGTATAGTGTACTTCCAATCAGCCGACATTGTTGTGTGTTGTTTATCATCCCATTCTTTTGTACTCCCATCTGGAAATACACGAGTCTTCTCCAGTGGGGTCAACGCTTGGTAAATATATTCTCGAGACCCAAAATAACGAGATACCTTGAGAGGAGACCACTCTCTATCGTATCCTCGGGTATCCAGCACTTTACCTGTTATCCAAAGATCGGCGCCGCGCTTAGTGAGTTCGGTAATAGAATTCGTGCCGGTATAATTGCACTTGGCTGCCCACATGAGTGGTGTCCATCCGTCATCGTCCGCGGCGTTGATGTCGAGCTTTTGGTAGCTATTTCTCGCTTCCTCATCTATCGACAAGCTGGTATTAACCCCCCCGCTGCTTCCTTGCTCATCATGATCTGATGTTTTTTTAGCTTTGGCGGTGTCGCTACCATCGATGTAACCCTCCAACAGCTCTAAATATTCGGGTAGATTGTACGTATATGCGGCGGCAAAGTGCAACGGAGTCATCCCAGTCTTTGTTCGTGGCATTCGATCAGCGCCGTTATCGAGCAGGACTTTGACACTGTCATTGTTATGGAATGCGGCGATGTGCATTGGACGACGGCCCAAGGTGTCATTGACTTCCATATTGGCTCCGTGCTGAAGCAGTAGAGTCGTTGCTTCAGATGCGGCGGCAACGGCTTTAAAGATGGGATACTCACAGTGGCCATTGTTGCACTCTATGTTGGGATCATATTGCGAGCTCTCGAGAAGATGTCGTACAATATTTCGTCGATTACCTCCCCAAGGTTTGGTCAACGCTAAGCAGAGCAATGTATGCTCAAAGCCAAGCTCATGTGCGAGATTAATATTCCCGCCGACGTCGATGACAGTTTTGAACAGCTCCCAGTCACCTTCTGCGGCGAGCATGGTCAGGATAGTCCCTGTCTCAGGAGTGTAGGTGTTAACGTCAACACCTCTGGAGATAAAGAACCGAGCGGCTTCTTTATTTCTGGATACAGCTAAGCTCAGAGCAGTTTCGCCCTTCCTGTTTACTGCTAGTACATTCGAGCCTGCTGTGTACAGAAGCTTGATAACCGCCAATGGTGTCGACGAATTGATGTTGTGCAGTATCGTGTTACCGCTATTGTCGGCTTGGGATAAGTTTGGTCGAAATTCGAGCAGCGTATCAATTGCTGATATAGAATTAGTGGCGGCGGCTTTAAAACTGAACTCTAGCGGAAAACTTCCGTCTAATGTTCGATGGTTGACGTTGGCGCCATTTTGGAGAAGTAATCTCATGATATCGGCATGACCCAATATGCAGGCAATGCAGAGAGCCGTCATATCTGTATATGTATCGTATACCGTCAAAAGCTCTAGATTAGGTCTGGTATTGTGTCCGAGAAGTATGGAGAGGACCTCAATCTTGTTGTGTTTTGCTACTAAATGGATGATAGAACCAGACTCCGACATGGCATTGATGTCGGCATCATGAGAGAGCAATAACTTGACAATGGCTGGATTGTCATAAGCCGCGTGGAGTGGCGTCCAGCCCTTTTCTGCACATTTGTTCACATCAGCACCTTCATCCAATAACAGACGCACAATAGCTGTATGGCCGTGAAAGCTCGCCAGGTAGAGCGGCGTCTGTGTGTCCTCGTTGGAATCTGGCAACATGCCACGCTTCATGACGCGTTTGACCAGCTCGTAATTGCCAACCTTTACAGCCACAAGGAGCGCGTTTCTCTTACGATGCGAGATGCTGCCTTCGTGGTGTAGATCGGTTCCAACGCCCTTCTCAACTAGAAGATCGAACAGCTGCAGCTTTTCATTTGCGTCTAGGCTGGAGCTCATGGCTAATTCTAGAAGGGTCTCGCAGCCATCTGGGTGTTCATTTGGATCTGCGCCTTTCTCCAGTAGAAGTCGGCACGTCGTCAAATGTCCTCTGCCGATTGCATGCCAGAGGGCAGATTTTCCATTCAATGTAGCTTTGATGTCGGCCCCGCTGTCGATGAGAAGCTTTACGCACGCAAAGTATCCTCGCATTGCGGCAAATTGCAAGGGCGTTGCCCGCCTCATTGAGAAGTCGGAGTCGTCATTGAGCCTGTCAACACCATGATTCAAATCTGCCTTAGTTTTTGCCTTAGCATTGATCAACGCTTTGAGTGCAAGTGGTTTGCCGTTTTCTATGCATAGGTTTACTGATATGTGGTCGACTTTAGCTCCGGCATTGACGAGAATCTCAACGGCATCGGCGTCTCCGCTGTAAGAGGCAATGTGCAACGGGGTATACTCCTCGACTATTGCATCTACTTTAAGCGTTTGACTGAGTAGTAGCCTCATTACGTTGCTATGCCTCCCTTCGGCCGCGAGATGGAGTGTCGAGGTCTGGAACAAGCCGCTTGGCTCGGGTATCTTAACGCCTGCATCAAGGAGTAATTTTGCTGCATGGCTAAAGCCTAACCATGAGATGCGAAGGTAAAGAATAGGCGGCCAATTGAAGCTTTGGAGTTCTATGGCGAGGTTAATCAGATAACTCAATGTATCTTCGTCGCCAACCGCCGCAGCTGTAGAGACTGCCTCCTCTAGCGTCTCTTTGCTGGGGCTATTCATCTCTACCAGGACCCTCACTGTATGGCCATGGCCGTTTCTGACAGCTTCAATCAGAGCAAGGCCAATATCGTTTGAGAATGAGGGCGTCGTTCTCTCAGCCTCAATCTGGCCGGATAAGAAATCACCCATCCCAACCATTGCCGCAATTGGGAGGGGCGAGGAATAGGACCTCGATAGACGAGTGACAGGATTAGACAGGGTGTAGCGAGCTTCAGCCCAAATCCTTCTGGCGTCCTTATCTTCTAAAAACGCCTTTGCCTCGTCTGTCGGTCGATTTTTACCCGCAAGCTCATAATGTTTCCACCAATACGTGACGGCATATGATATCAGATCTTGTCTTGGCCTGGATACTGGTGCTTCAGAACCGTAGCAACCACACATATCTTCAGTCCGTGCCATCACACTAGGAACTCTGAGATAACGAATACATAGTGAAGCCATTTTCGCATGAGCTGCCAGCTGATCTTCAGGACTAGGGAGTTCTCGAAGGCGTATTATATCGGAAGATTCAATTTCATATCCAGAAAAGAGGAAAATATCGCCGAATTGCAGGATATCATTGTGAAAGTCGTCAAATCCAATATCATGGAGATCATCCTCCTCGGCCCCGTCTGCCATTTTCACCGCAACCGCCAGCTCGCCTAACGTGGGTGGCTCAAAGGCAAATATAATCCAAGAAATAATATCCATTGCCCTATTTCGGCGACTTTCAAATGAGGAAAGAATGGTTTCAAGGACGGCCTGCGGCGTGGGAATAGATAGAGATTTTAATAAACCTGCCGCTCGAGCTCGTGTATCTGCTTGTCTATTGTTGGTGAGCCAGCGAATAATCAGAAGACCAAGATCATGGTCATTGCCACAATTCGCGAGAATATCCAAGACTCTCTGTCGAAAATCATGATATACTGGCTTCTTTCCAAAAAGGCGTTTCATTTCCACATCGTATATCTGGTCCAAACTCACAAGCCGCTCCCTGCCGTCATCACTCGTGATGTCAAGCATATTAATTACGGGCCAGGATGAAACTGCCCTTTTTAGGTGATTTGTGGATCCGATAGAAGTTGTGAAGATAAATTTAAAAGATTTTTCCGATATCGATTCTAGCTCTTTCAGGAGCTCAAGAAAGTGAAGATGACTCTCGTCACATTCGTCGAGGCAGGCGATGAAAAAAATAGTTGGAGCCATAATACTACTGCCATGAAACGTGTCAAACAACTGTAAAAGGTCTTTTTGACTCCAGGCACGCTGTAGTAGAATCATTTGCATGGCCTCGCCACAATTTCCAAGACTCTGGTGGCGGCTGATAAGTTGACTGAGTAAGCTGGTAAGCATTGCCCCGATAGTGTTGAATCGATGGTCATGTCTTCGAAAAGCAAAATAGAGTATATTTCTTGATACAGAGTCCTTTAAAAGTCGAATGAAGAGCTTTTCTGATTCAATTCGCATGTTGGCTGGCCCTTCGACATTCAGAACACTCATGCCTGGCTGTTTGATCCATTTGTTGTATTGGTCGGTGTCTGTGATACAGTCTGCCAAATCATGGCGTCGAGAACCCAAATTGTTTGGATTTGGCGGAATAATGGGCGGTGATAGGGCCAAGAAGATTCTCTGGTATTGGGCTATTTGTCTCCTTATACCGACATCTAGTTGTCCAACGTACATATGAGCAGTTGCATCCATACCCTCAAGCTGGAAAGTACTTGCAGTAAGGGAATTTGTTCAATCTGTCGCGAATTGAGCGAACAAAACTACCGGTATTGTCTATCGCAGTTTCATCTCCAGTTACCAAGTCGAGGTGCGATATCGTTGTCGTTGCCACATATTCAAATGGTATGTCGAGATAATTGGTGAAAGACATCGTAGTGCGAGAGCGGCGAGTGCTAGCCCCCACCTCATCTCCTGAATTAATGCCATCATTATAAATGTTGTACACGGATGCTCGAATTAGCATTTTCGTATCGATAAATTCGCAATTTACTTGCATGATAGTCTTCGTCAATGCGCTAACAGAATCCAAGAAGCTGCCTCGAAACGAGCCTCCGGGCAATAAAATCAGTTGGGCAATTGAATCCTCCAGCTGAACACGAGTACCACGATGAGGACAACCAAGAAAAATCTGTCAATGGTTAGATTTCATGGAGCGACATTCGATAGTTGATATGTTGTTACCAGGTGTGTCGTGTTGTAAGGAATATCTCTATATTTAGCCGGATTTATCGTGGCAAGATAAAGAGCCTTGCTCAATGATATTTGAAGTCAATAGAAACGTTATATGGCAGAGACAAGAGAAAGAAAGGGAGTTTGAGACAATAATCTCACATGAATTGCATACCCTTTTAACGATAATGCCACCGATATCATGAGCAACGAAGATTATGGGACGCATATCTGTCTGTAAAGCCAAACATACATTAGACTTATGACTTGTGCAAGCAAATGTGCACCATTATTGGAGACAAACTCTGGAAGAGTATCCTAGACTTTTGGAATAGTCGTCGAACTCTCGTCTCATTTGTGAAAGGCCGTCTAGCAACTTTTGTGCTTCTTGAGTGAGCCCCTCTAGGTGCAAAACACCGGGCCATGGATCATTGATTTGATAATGGAAATGCAATACTCTCCCATTGTCAAATCCCATGGAGTTAGAAATCCATAAAGTACTAGACTTGGATCCAGAGCCCTCCTGCCAATCCTCGGTTGTCCATCGAGTGTGGTGGATACCATGGACGACGACTACACTGGATGAAGTGTCAGCGGTTGCATTATGGACAAGTAGACCCTGAAATCTACATACTCGTATTCTTGCCATATTTTTGGAGAATATTCTTTTAATAAACCGTAGCTTTTTGTGTCTGGCTCCATTTCCACCTCTTGCTGCAAATTATTCTTAGCTTCTCTATCGGCTGCTGGTTCTTGGCTTTTATCTTTATTGGCAAGCGCAATATTGCCCTTTGATACTATACCTGCGCTACTAAACACATCATCACGATTATCTGCTACTTCTGATCCGAGGTCGACACTTTCAGACATGATGAAATAAGATTGAGTAGGACGTTGCTCGAAATCGAAATGGTTTTGCATACGACTGATTTAGAGGGGTGATAGTTTGTGGTAATATTGGCATTGGGTTTTCCTCCTAACGTATTCCCTGATTTACGGTAGCAACACCTATCATACATAGTAGTCCATCCTGATTAACCCCCACCCCTATCCGGCTGAAGTGGCGAGTAGGACATCTCTACCTGGCAATACAATATGGAACCCCGCCGCAGACTGTGGGGGTCATTACTGATAATGATGCAGTTCTCGATATTGAGAGACGAGGCTGTTGCAACCCTCGTGGTGGCCTTCGGGCCGATTCGAGAACTGGTACTGGTACTTCATTTTCTGACTTTAGTTGGACACCCACGCCGAGTGGTATAATCTGCACGTATGATACAGGTGCAAGCATATCTTTGTTCAAAGAGCATTCATAGGACGTCGGGCTTGGTAATAGAATAAAATTCGTCTTGCGTGAATACCTAGTGACGTCTCTTTTTTTTGAGTCAGTTACTTTAAAACCCAAGGAAGTCCTGCACAAAATGGATAACGCTGGCCGTATGCCTCTATCAATTGATACCTATCCAGAAAAGAAACCCATTTTTACTCTGCGTCATGACGGAACAAACATTATATTCAGAAATTGAAGATGATTTTCTCATTTGTCCCAAAGACGGCGCTATCAGCTATGAATTCGACCTCTTTGAGAAAGGCGATCTAGACTCTGGATTTCACCTGAAAAACGATATCGCCTCCCCGTATCAACGATCGAACGTAGTCCAGCGTAAGGGGGCTATCTACGTCAAATGCACGTGTGTCGATATAATTCATGGAAAATGGGGCCCAGAGCAGCCAGGATTGAATGCCACCCTTCTTGTCCTTCTCTTTCGGTTCGATCCGCTGCGACGTGCACGACGCATTGCTTCGGCTAGCATTGAGTTCAAATTCTTCGACTCCACGGGGCGTCACCGTAGAAACCCTGAAGTTCTCGACATTTCTCTCAACGATAGTTTCACCCTTATGCCCACTTGCCGTACTGAATCGTTCACACATGGCACTGAGGTAAAACTTGGTGGCGGCATTGCGGGAGCTGAACTGTCGGGTACAGTAAAGATCGAAAAAAGGATCAACGAGGAAACAACAGATGCAACGCGTGTAATAGGTTCTATCGACCGTCTCGGTGCATCGTTTGGTCCCTGTAATGCTGCATCGTGGACGCTTATTGAGAACGCAACAACGAAGACAGGAGTGCCAGTCGCAATGAGGGTCGGCGTTCTGCTTAAGCGAGGAAATGACGATGACTTTTATTGCACAGTTAAGCTTAACACCAAAGCGGACTTTAGAACACGCATGGAAGAGCTCATAGGTGGCCGAGAGGTTGATGACCCGATTTTGTTTAACACCACAATGCCACCGACAAATAACTTGATGAAGTACGACGTTGGCAACCTAGGGAGCTTTAATGTTGCCAGTATTCAAGATGTTACTTTTACTACTGTAAGGCGGGATGTCATTAAACAATAAATAAGGGAAATAGCTGTCTTGACTATACGTTAATATTGGAAAGATGACACATAGCGAACAAGGGACGAAACCACCCGTTTCAACCGTCCTATTTCTCAGGCGATGATGATGACGTTACTTAGCGAACGTTAATATATATTCTGATTTTAATTTCCCCTTCGTGACAAAGGAGAAAAATACCTGTATTGATAAGCGGATATTCATGTAATGCTTACAGGTATCTAGATAAGTTGCAATATACGAATCGCACCACACATGGGGGTTTACATTACTCAGAGATTATCAATCGGCCTATGGGTGCACATATGATAATCTGCACGACAACTAATCAACAGGCAATACAATACACCATGATCAGAGGTACCAGTACCTATAGAAGTGAGCGGGGGTCGGGTAGGTTGTAAGTAAGGCTCTCCATCTGCGTCATGCAGGTGATGTCAGGCAACCAATCTCCTGCTCTATTACCCAACTCTTTTACGCTATCATTGTTTCTATCTTTGGCCAATGGTGTTCCCAAGAAAGTCAATCGGTGCTCTAGGATAGTTATTGCGTGGAGTCTTAAACTAGACCAGAGGCAAGAAAAACCACTCCTTATATCTAAACCTGTCAACAGTAGCTGCAATAGTACAAATAACTTTATCTATCACCACGCCCAATAGAATTGATCCTTGAAATCAAAATATTTCTTTGACAACATAGTTTCGCCATCTTTCGCTAGTCTTTTGTCTCAGCCCCCTCTCTAAAAAGGTCTACGGGATTAAGATGAATGACTTCACAAATACTGAGGCCGAGCTTGGAGAACAAATTGGGAACGATGATGGACTCGAATCCGATGAAGACCGCCATGAGGATGAAGCCTATGAAGAAGACGAAGGGGAAGAGATTGAAGACTACGATGACGATGAATACAAAGAAATCAATGATTATCCGATCCAAACTTTTCTAACGGACTTTCAAAGCAAGGCTATAGTGCCCGGCAAACTCGATTGGAAGAACCCAAAGATCGTCGAAGAAATATGGACGGATAATCCAAACCTTAGCAGACCATCGGATTCTGACGGGAAAAACATTTTGCATCTCCTTGTCGAAAGCTACATCATTAAAAGAGGCCCAGAAAGAAAATGCATCTGCGAGGCCATCTCCCACATCACGGCTAGATATCCAGAGCTTGTCCAGAACCGCAGCACCAGCGGCCCGACGCCTCTTTATATGGCTATGGTTAAAGGCGATCAGTTGCTTGTCACCACCATCATCAACAAATGTAAGCTACAACCAAATGCAAAGGATGACGGCAATAATAGTAAAGATGTAACCGAAAACGCGACGAAGGGCAAGAAGGAAATGGAGAGACGCGATGATCCGCTTGCACAGGCACTAGCTGTTCAGTGCAAAGAAGATGACCGCGAAGAGAATCCCTTGCACTATGCACTGCGAACAGAATCCTCGGCTATAACGCCTGCAATTCTTAATCGGATAGTGCGGAGAGCACCGGTGGCTGCGATTGCCGCTCGCGATTCAGACGGCTTTACACCTTTGCACTACGCGGTCGACTACGGTAAAAGCAGTCGAGCTCAGTTCGAGCTCATTATGATACTGCTCCGGAAAGGGGAGCCTAAAAGGCTCATTACCCAAAAACAAGCTGTTCTGGATCTTCTGACAAATGATAGCCGCTTGTCAGTTTATCAACATCTTATCAAAACAAGAGAGTATTTTGTGGAAAGACCAACGGTAATCTTAACGCAACCAATTCGACAAAACCCCTCCTCACTCAACAAAGTAAAAACTGAGGGAAAACCCCCAGAAGTGAGGGGGGCTGTTCAAGGCCAAAGTACTCTGGATGTAAGAGAGCAGGAATGGGTCGCCAAGGCGGAAGCGATGAAAGACGTGTCCAATACTGATAAGGAGAGATCTAAGCCTTCCATTCGCGAAGAAAAAACTGATGAAGATGTTAAAGGGGGAAACGAAGGGCCAAGTTTGCCAAACTCAACTCAGAAGAAAGAAGGGCCTGGTGCCGCAAAACATCGAGAGCAGAGGACAGTCGTTGGGCCACCCGGAGATTCTTTGACAGATGACAACGGTCCGACAGCGAACTCGGAGATTCAACGAAAACATACTTTACAGCAGAAACCGATGCAGCATGGACAAACAATTGAGGAGCGGAAGCATGAACGCGATGACTGGTCAAAGAAGATTGAGATGGAGCTTAAGAAGCAATATCTTAGATCACGTCCCCACCAAAGGGCAATTCAATTATTGTACGGTAAAAATCCCCAAGGTAGGTGTTTCGTCCAGATACATTAAGCAATGCAATTACTACCGAATAATTTGCGATCGGCTGTCGGCAGCATAATAACATTTATTACTCTTTTAGATATTCAATTGTGTTTCGACTACGAGTGTCAAAGACCCGAGCTCGATGCATTGTCCTTTACTGAAAGCTTTGATAACGTCAAGTTCGATGAGGTCCTCCAGTACGTCGCCTTTTCAGACGTTCGTATAAAAAACGACCACAGCAACACAGATCACAAAGTACGCAGACGTGGTCGGTCCGATTTGGAGTTTTTTTTCCGCTGGCTTGGGGAGATAAAGCAGGTAAAATGCATCTTAAAAGTCATCGTCAGAGACAATGTTGAAATGCCGCACTCGGATGAGGTTATTGAAAGAGCCCTGAGCCCTTTTAACATCGAAGTGCTTGACTGGAATAAGCCCGATATCGACCCTCTGACAATATTCAATGCAAGCAATGATCTAAAAGAGCTTGTCCTGCATTGGAACGGCAATAACTCTGTGCTGCGTGCGTGGAGTGAGCCCCAGGGTCTCCCAAAGTTGCAAAAGCTCACGATGGTCGACCTCATCCCCGATGCTGTGAGTCGATAAGTCTGAAAGATTTTCTAGTGTTGCATGCCACTAAGCATATTATAGACACTTGAATCTAAAGATCGAATGAACAAGAACATTGACACGTTCCGAAATCGGCTTAAAGAGCAATTCACAAATAGGTATTTCATCGTCAAGGTCCAGAATGGGCGCAATGAGATGTTCGGTGAATTATCGCCATCTAAAGGAAGCTCTGTTAATAATTTAACTCGAGCTCCTAAAATCCTCCAGCATTCTCACCGTTGGCTGAACTCCACAGAAGAATTCGCAGAACGTATCTTCAATGTCTGGGAGAAGATCGTCAGTGAGCGTCTGAGACCATCTTCGGTAGATGCTACAAAGAAAGCAGTGGCAGTCAACCCAGATATTCCAGAGATCATTGTTGCTGTCATTGATGATGGTATCGATACCACTCAGGAGAATCTCGTTGGGCACATTCTCCCAGGTCGTACATTTGGCTACGAGGGCGATCGAGTTCAGCCGTGGCACGCGTCTGAGAGCGGCCACGGCTCTCTTATGGCCACAATGATCTGCAGTGTCTGTCCAATGGCTAAGATATACCCCATTCGCCTCAAGACTAGCAATCGAGACCATAAGCGGACGATTGATCCGCAATCGGCCATCGACGCGATCAATGCTGCAGTCGACCGCGGTGTGGACATTATATCAATCTCGTGGACAGTGGCGAAGCCAAAAGGAGATATGCTGACTGCTTTTAACAATGCTATTCGACGTGCAATTGCCAAGCCTGTACTTATACTGTGCTCTTCAAAGGACTTGGGGCACGCAGACGACACTTCATATCCCGCGGCTAGTCGTTCTGATTCACTTATAAAAATCGGCGCTGCCCAACCATCCGGTTTGCCTTACAGTTGGGCGGGCGCTCCTGAAAAGCTTGATTTTATATTTCCCGGTGTCGAAATTGCTCAACAACAGTTCATGTCGACACAAAGCGTCGAAAACTCACAAACGAGTGAGCACAATACAGGCTCATCTATCGCAACAGCTCTGGGTGCTGGTTTAGCCAGTTTGATTATGTACTGTACTCACATTGGCTGCATGTTTGGCTCAGCTGGCCTCACCAAGAATCATGTCGACAACTTACACAAATACGAGTTCATGGTTAAAGCCATCCGGGCCTTTGGCTGCAGTAGCAGCAAAGATACTGGTGGAAAATTCGTAGAGGTGTGGAAGAAGCTTGATGGCTGTACTAGTGAGTTAAAAGGCGCTTCATATGAAGAAAGCTGTGAGAAGATTGCAGCATTGGCACAAGATTTGATCAATATTACATCGGAATAGACGGCTATAGGTACCTTATTCTCATAACATATCCCTACATTCTGTTCGCTATTTATCTTCTGTCGTGAAGCATATTTCGATGTCTCCGCTAATATTATACTGGCGTACCGCACCAACCTAATATGGACTATCGCTGTCCAAACCTACATTTAGGTTTATAAATGAGAATGCCAATCAAGCTACGCCATCGAAACACGATCTACATTCTCAATGATAGCCTCTTGCCGGGTCGAGAAAATTCATATAGATACTGAGTTGATGCCCTTTCTCCAGCTTTAGGTGACCATACAGTCTTCACCATCAAACGATCTTGAGCATCATCGCAATCTTGGCACCACCTTCTTGCTTGCTGGGAATCCGCCCTTGGAACTGGTATTTGCGCTCTCCTTCGGGGCACCGGTGGCATCATCGGAGACCTTATCAAGGGGTTGTGCAAGACATTGTCAATCACGGCTGCACTGTTTGCGGAAGTGTTCCCGTGATTTTCAACAGCGGCGATAATAACATTAACGACCATGGCGAGCTTACCATTAACTACGTTGCCTCTCCTACATGAGACAATTTAATGAGATGGGCCTAAATAATAGGGTTATGCTACATTCACATCTTCATGGTGAAATGCGGCAGCCTACAGACCTAACAAATTGATGCTCTGCGTCAACCCGTTAGCTTGTCTGACTCCATAGATGGATAACGTTACGAGAGCTCCCGTGTGTGAAGGTTTGATTCAAAAAGGCTCGTATAAATTTACAATAGCAAATAAAATCTTTATCTGCCAAACAAACCCCGAATAAATTATGTAACCGATTGTAGATAATGAAATACTCATTCAAAGATCTCTGGCCATTCTCATTGTGGTTGAATATCCAGCGGTTATCCTTTACTATAAACATCTTACTGGATCGTCCGCTCGATTTCATGAGAAACCTATCGCCTCCTTGACCGCTAAAACAAACCCTCCAATGCCCAAAAGACTCCTGCTGACCAGATAATTCAGACCAGTCGCATGGCCCATATCTATCCTTTGATGCGATTCTTTCAGTACCTTGTTAGCCCGTGGCACACTAATAGCATCATATGCCTTAACCGCCTCTGCCAAAGACTTTGCTTTGCACAATTGCATTGAGAGATCCCAACCATCTTTAAGTGCAAGACTAGCTCCATATCCAGAGAATGGGCTAACAGCGTGATTGCTGTCTCCGATAAAGATGACTGGCCCCAGAGAGAGGTCATGACTGAATGGTTGCTTGTCTCTAGCAGCTAGTCGAGACACGTCTTTAGGATCTGTAGCGTTGAGGATGCTTTGGAATGGCTCGGTGAATCCTTTTCCAAGCTCTTTGCAATCATCTATGACTTGTTGAGCATCCTCGAGGCCGCTGAGGTTCAAGGGCTCCTCAATAGTTGGTGCACGATAACTCATGCCCCATGCCACGCTTGTTTCGTCATATGGTGACAGGAAACAGGCTATGCTTCTACCTGAAGAAAGCAACATTCCCTAGTTCTTGTCAACAGGCTGTGGTATGCTATTTGGGAAAACGGCTAGTCCACCTTTCTGCATAACTCCAGCGTACTGCAGCGTATCATCCGGTCGGAGTTTTGATCTAATTTTGCTGGCAGCTCCATCGGCAACGACGAGGAGGTCACACTCAGTGGTTGACTTGTCTGCCGGTATATGGTCTCCTGAGAGTGTAGCCAGAATCTTCCCATTTGCAAGTTTCTCTGCATCTACACATGCAGTATTCCAATTAATTTGGCCGGACCCAACGGCATTGGTTAGGACCTTTCGGAGATTCTTCCTTGCAATTCGGATTCCTGCAGTAGGAAGACCGGCCGCTGGTTTAAATTTCATGCTTAACAGCTCAGTCCATGAATTGTTCCACACTTTGAAGACAAATTGATTCCCTAGTCCTTGAGTAGCGTGGTTGAGGACCTCATCCAATACTCCAAGATCGCGAGCTGCATAGAGGCCGCCCGTCTCGTCGAAGCCAGCTAGAGACAAACTGTAGCCTTCTCTCCCAGGAGGCACAGCATCGGAATCACGCTCATAAATAACAATGTGTGGAGGCTCCAAACCCGCGGGCCAGAGTTGTCGAATTGCGAGAGTGAAAGAGAGGCCAGAGATGCCTGCACCTGCAATGATGATCTTTTTGCCTAATAGAAATTGTGCGTCCATTTTGCTTGACTTGTTGATGAATGAATTCTACTCATTTCTTCAACCTCTTGATTTCATCCATTGCCTCTTTATACACAGGTTTGTTCTTGGTAGTCTCAGATCCAAACTCGCTGTTTGGCAAGCCCGAATGCCGAAAGAGCATAAACGATCATGATTCGCTGACGAGTTGCTGACGAATGGACGCCACCGCATAAAATTGTCGCTGAAGAGAGAAGCCCGAAGCCCGAAGGTGTCGGTTTCGCTTGATGTTGACGAAACTCGGTGGGAATTGTAGAGGTATGACAGAGAAGAGAGAATATTTCCGTCTTTCATTCCATGTACTTAAAGCTGGAAGTACATATATGAATAGGCTAGGAGTTTGCGTTAGTTGGTTGTAGGCTCTGTTGTAGTTCGTTATTTATACCATTGAAATCCTACCAAAGCCTAATTTTCTATGAATAATTGAACCATGCCTCTCCCAGAAGATCCCACAGCTGCAGATGTCGGCGGGAAGCTTGCTGAGACTCTACGGTCACTTTCTGGGCCTCGTCCAGGCATTCGCCCAGGGTAGATTCTTACGGTGGCTGATACATGGCTTCTGATGGAAGGGCTTTTGGCCACCTATACTAATACGTGAAGCAATGTGAAGGTCATGCGAAAGGAATCCTCCTCAAAGGTGTTTTCATACCCTCGCCGCAAGCAAAGACACTCTCAAAGGCGCAACACTTTAACGAACCCTCGACTCCCATCATCACCCGTTTTCCTTCGTCGACAGGAAATCCGGATATCCCAGACTCGGACCCACGCAGTAATCATCGTGGTCTCGCTATTCGCTTTCAACTAGCCGAGACGCCACGTCGTTTACATACGGATATCATTGGTTTGTCTAAGAATCCCTCCTCGCTGCTACTTCGATAGCGTTGGCACTAGAATCGAGAAGAAAAGCAGTTAACATGGTTTCCCCTATGGTTTAGCTTATAGTATAGATGGTATCCCTGGTAGTAATGGCGAGGAGGCGCTTGAATTCTTCACTGCTCTGAAAAACGGCACCATCACCGAGTATATCAAGGGCCATCCCAAGGCGGCCCATTTTGTACAGCTGCCAAGAACATTTCCAGCAAGTTTTGCACACTAGCGGCACTTCGTAGTTAATACCTTTAAGTTCGTTGCTGCTTCTGGGGAGGAAACATTTGCCCGATACCGAATCGAGCCTGTGTTAGGCGTGCAAGAATTGAGTGCCGAGGAGGCGGCTGCTAAAGGCTCGAACTATCTCTACGATGGGGTTGTAGAAATGATGGGCAAAGGACCAGTTCAGTTTAAGCTGACGGTCCAGATAGCGGAGGAAGGGGACGTAACAGATGATCCCTTTGTCAAGTGGCCAGGGACAAGACAGGTGATGGAGCTGGGAACCATCAGTCTGGTAGACGTATTGAATGGCAACGCGGCTCAGCAGAAGTATATCATTTTTGATCCTATTCCAAGGATAGATAGTTTGAAGCATCCGATGACCAGCTGCTTCAGTACAGAGCGGGAGCATATTTAATTAGCGGACTAGAACATAGAAATGCATAGGCGAGAACGGACATGGAGATGAAGAATGGAGTTTTCACAAGATATCTAGTCTACAGCTTAGAAATAATCCTCTTCCTGTTGATGAGTGGAGATTCAGTCCAATCAATGTCCATGCCTTCTAGCTCCATATATACGCCGGCCAAATGATCATCAAGTAAAGTCATTGTTGAAGAAATCCAACGGATTGCCGCTCAAATTTGTATCTGTAGGAAAACTCATAGTTTCAGAAAAAGTCAACACTTCATTATCCATGGGCTGCCATGATCTCAAGGGGGTATCGGTTTGATAGTGCTGGAAGTCGGCTTCATTATGATCGGAAAAGGTTCCTTGTCCTGCCCCGGGAAAGGTATTGCTGTCACCAGAGTCCAGCACACTGCCCACTGGCTGACCAAGCGATATATAGGAAAAGGAGGGCGAGTCTGTCTGACCAGGGGCCATAAAATCCCCATCAATCATAGGGTCCTGAGGTCTCACCACGGTTTCTTGCTGTTGCCCCATTGTTGCCATGTAGGAATACATCGCATTGTGTCCAGTTGATTCTCCATCTTCGGTGCGCCTATTGGCCGCGTACGTTCCAACTGAGCCACTGACTCGAGATGAAGATGACTGAGAGTTCGAATATTGTCGCTTTCTTTTGTGTGCATTGTCGGTGGATTGAGGCGTCAGATTTCTGGATATGGCCCCAAGAGCAGGGCGAAAGCTGTCTGTAATGCCCATGCGGCTCATACTTGCTGTTACACCAGTCAATAATGGAACCGATTTTGTCATTCTCAGATGCATTGGTCGTCTCTGGCCCAATGGTTTGTCTAGTGGAAGCCGCCCAGGCAATGGGGAGCTCATTTGCGTGTGCCTTGAGATTGGGCTTCGTGCTAGTAGCGGAATGTTTGAAGCCGGCCCCCCGAAGAGATTGCGATATTGGTAGAGAATCGGGAGCTTGATTCTTCCAGAGAGACCATTGTTATCAATGTCGAGACACGCTTGCTGTAAAAATGCACATGTAATCATGTGGATGCGTCCCATGGCCTCCATGGCATTGATGATCAGCTCCAGGCTGGACATGTCGGCGGGATTTATCTCAGACGATGGGTCTTGCTTGGCCAAATACACGTATACCGTAGTAGCACAATACAGCGAGAATGCACATAGTGGGTTGCTCTGTGTACTCCATTAGTTAGCTGCACAGTCAAAGCAGGCTGGAAGGAAAAGGAAAGCTCTTACAAATAACGATGAACGGTGAGACGTCATCTTAACAATGCTGACAATCTCCTCGGCAGCATTCTTTAAGAGACATAGACTGTCCTTTCTTAAAGAGTCATCGAGTTGATTCTTCTCGATAGTCTCGAGGGCAACATGATGCAAGCATATAACAGATGCGTGAAAGTTCAAGTTGATATAGGTAGCCAAAGGGTCTCGTAGATTTTCGGGGAGGCGGAACCTATCTGGCATAAACATAAATAGGCAGGACAACTGATTATCTAGGCGACGATGCCTTTTCCAAAACGTGCCGTTCATGATATCTTCAGGGTGATCAGATGGCTTTATCAGGTGGACATGAGACATGATGGCTGTCAATATGTGGTTAAGGATGAGCGAAGCACTGAAGCCGCCATAGGGCGCGCCTTTCAGAGCTTCGTCCAAATAGGGCGTTTGTTCTTCCTGGCCAGAAGCAAAGGCTTCTTCGCTAGCTGGAAGTCGGGTCATGATCTACGCATGTTCAGTATGTGGTATGATTAAGTTGGTCTTGATGGAGGCGACGTACGTCTTCAGCATGGATGAGGTTAGGCCAGCCAGTCGCTATGCTTCCCTGAGCATCGATTGAAAAGGCCACCCAGAAGACCCTTCTTCGCTCTTCCAACTCGGTCCAGTCAATTGGAGGGACCAAGGTTGCCGGACCATTATCGTTTGAGATATCGAGCTTATCAAGAGCCATCATTTGTACCAGGCGGCAGCATCGGGCGGCGCTCATGGACGCCCTAGTATAAAGCATGGCTCTGGCTTCATAGCAAGTGATGAGTGCCCAGGCCTGAGCATGCCGTATCGTGATGAAATGTTCTCCTTCGTCCTTGTATTTGTTAGCTATTTGATGGGTTAGAGATTTGCACTTGTGTCTTGCCTTCATTTCATCAGCCTGGGCATATTGCCTGGCCCTTTGATAGAATATGTCGGACACCCGGTCGTATTTGGGATGCCACAAAGCGCCCATTGCCCAAATGGCATATTGCAAGCACATTGGCGGTTTCCTCAAGGGAGCGCCATAAAAGTCTTTGTAATATCTACCCGAGTGTATTGCCGGCATATAGTGATATTGTGTGGAAAAGAAAGAGTTGTGCCTCCATTAAGTGAGCAAAATCGTCCTCGAGAAATATCGTGAAATTGCAACTCACAACTCTTCTATCACTTCAAACGGCGGTATTGCTTCTGACATGCCCAAATCTACCAGTTGGCGATTACTAAAAGTACTGCTATTTTGGTCGTCAACGCCCGTCGTTTCATATGACAACCGTGATTCTTGAGTCGTTCTGTCGGCAGTCTCGTCTCGACTAAATGGGTCATTCTGGGTCAACAAGTCATCAGGAGGAGTAATCTGCTCATCAAGGCCGGTTTCCTCATCATCCCCAACTGTTTCAGTATCACTGTGTTGGTATTTGCTGACATCTTCGCTGTCTGGGTCAACACGAAGATTGCTTTTGCCAACATCGAGACTGCTTTGGCCAGCCTGCTTGAGATACCCTTCTACTTGGGCTATTACAGCATGTGAGCGTTGTTTATTTCAACCAATCCGACGTCTGAATGACATAAATGTGTAAGTCATACCTAACCTAGCCTCCAGTTCCTTGACGTTATTTCGCTGGAGAGTCGGCTTGCGTCTAGCCTCTGGGTAGATGCACTCGGCCTCGATTCGCACGCATCGAGAGCAGGCCGGTCTCTGGTGGTCACATTTCAGTTTTCGGACCTTGCATGAGATGCAGGACAGTGGCTTCTTGGGCTTCGCAGGTGGTTGTAGAGCAAGAGGTTGCACTGCCGGGTCAGCTGTTGACATGGTGGTCGGTGAATTTCATCTCCCTCTGTTCGGCTTAAAGAGAGCTTAACTCGTTTGGCCGTCCAGATGTTGGTCGAGTTGTCTAAACCGCAACGGAGCTTATAGTGAAGAATAACCGGCGGTTCCCAACTGTTGGTTAATATAGAAGTAGGTGATACTTCAAGGCTTGTGGCATGATGAGCTTTGTTTTCGGCATTGATGACTACTGCTGAACTAACCAAAGAGTCACGTTTTGAGTCTTTTAGCGCGCTCAGGCTTATATTTCCAAAAGCGGGTACGCAGTCCTCATTAATCCTTCGCACACGATGACTCTTACGTAGGTCCATGTATCATCAATTTAACTACATCTAGGTTTCAAGTCGGAGATTACGTAGACATGAGCCTACGTCTAGCAGTGGTATTAATGTATTTGGACCTATTATCTGTTGGGACAACTTTTCCTCTTTCTTCGTAATCCAGATGACGACTTCGGCACCATGAGATGGTGATTACGCCAGCAGTTGTGTGTGTACAATAACATCAGTCTTTATCAATAGTCGGTTCACCTTTGTTCTCCTTTTCCCTCCTTCCTCCCTTCCTTCGTCTTTAGTTTCGCAGTATCTTCACTTTCTCACTACAGTTTGGAACAATTAGGTCAAAATTCCAATTTTTTAGGCAGACGCGGTGCCTTTCTTTACTCTAAACAGGTCTAGGTTTAGTGTCTTCAGTCGCCTGCATATGCCCGATTAGCTATGAAGATCGATCTCAAGGCTAGCTACAGCTCTGTTACGAACCGGCGGATTCCTGGCATGTCGGATGGCTTTCGGCAATGCGTCTATGCATGCTTATCCATATACAGGCACTCCACATCGTGAATATTTCCTTCCTAGGATTTGTAGATTGTCATAGCGCAGAAACAAGTTGTGGCAATTAAGTTAACCCTGTCTGAATACGTTGCTGATGGACTCAATTTCTATCTAATTCTGGAATTTTGGAGAACTAGTCCTGGTTGTCTGCTTATTTCTGTGCCCAAAACCTGCCAGATCTACGGGGTACGGGAGCCTATTCTACTCGGATGGAATGTGAACCACTCCTACTCCATCCTCAATGCTAATCTTCGTGCCGAACGGCTGCGAGTACTCACAGAGACGGCTGAGGATATCATTGGCAACTTCAGGAGCGGGCTTTGTGGGCGTGCCAATCATAGAGCCGTTGCGGTGCGTTCTTCCCAGATCAGCCGGGTAGACAAGAACTCGAGACAGCTTTCCTTCGGCGTAATCCGCCGACACAAGCAGAGCTTCCTTGTTCTCTGGTGCATCCAGCCAAGCCCAACGATTCTCATTGATCTCACCGTCTCCTACGACAGGGCCTTCCAGTGAAGCAGGAACTCGACCAGCCGCATCATCGCGCCACGAGCGGAACTGGGCGTTTTGGAAGACAAAATTGGAGACGCCGTAAAAGATTGGCTTTCCTTTGTATATCTCGACTCCTTTGAGAGTGTGGACGCCGTGTGCGAAGAAGAAATCGGCGCCGTTATCGATGACTTGATGAGCAAAGTCGATCTGATAATCGGCCGGGTAGTGGTCGAAGGAGTAGTGCTGGAACGAAAATCGGTTCTGGTGCCAGTGGATAGTAACGCTCAAGAAATCAGAAAATTGCTTTCCAGAGCGGACTTCACGGAGAACATCCCGCAAGTCCTGGGGCTCCATCTCGTAGCCGTACTCCCCTGGCTTGGGGGCCACTCGGAAACGGAGATCAAAGGCCTCAAGGGTCTCAGCGGAATCGCTTGCCTCGACACCTGCGATGGCTCGGAGTTGCTTCATTTGTTCCGCAGTAACACTGTGGGAAACATTCAAACGAAGCGAGTTGTTCTTGTATGTAATAGTACCTTTCGATCCCTGATGGTGTTCTAAGCGTTTCTTGATGCCGGCCACTTCTTCGTCGGCCTCCGCACCGGCGTTCTTAACTCGAAACTGTCGTCCAAAAACAAGCACAGATCCCTCCGGATCTGGTTTAGGCATACCAAGCGGCCTGGGGACTTCGCTACGGCGAGCGATGATGCTATCCCGCATTGCTCTTAGCTGTTCAAGCTGGTCTGGCGTTACAACAATCGGGTCGCGTGTAGGTACGCCGACGAGTTGAGAGTAATCCTCGGTCTCGGAATAAACACCGACAAAACCTACAATACCCTTGGGCGTAGTCTTGAAGCGAGCAAGCCGTGCCTCAACAGTGTTGTAGTCAGTACCGACATAATCAATACCGACACGGCGAAGTTGTTCAAGATTCTGGACAAGGCCAGGATCACCACAGTCAAAGGTGTGATTGTTCGCTCTTGTGACCATATCCACGCCCATGTTCTTCCAATCGTCTGCAACGTCTTTGTCTGCCTCCATATGGGCGATAGGGCCGCGGAAGGTAAGGCGATCAACGATGGTGTTCTCGTTGTTGGCAAAGGTGATGTCAGATTTTTGCATCAGCTGGACAAGAGCTTGGATATCCGGATCATCTCTGTTCGAAAATGGTACCATCTGTATAAGATCGCCAACCGCCACGACGTTGAAGGGCTGTTTGATACGCATAGCCAGCTCGCTTTCCTTGTCCCGGAAGCTGGGCGGCTGACGCATCGTAATCGAGATTGGCATTTTAGTGGTTTGAGTATTTCAGAGGACAGAGTTAGATTGAAGTTGGTGAATTGAATGAGAGCGAAAATCTGAATTCTAGAGAGGGCATCACCAATATTATATGTTGTTTCTTCTCTTCAGCTCTTTCCATCATGTCCACTACCTACGCAAGCTTCTCCAGCCAGATTGGAGCAATGGCTTGCCGAAACCGGTCCCGAACTCCTGAACGACACATCTAAACATGTTGATTCCATGCTAGAAAGAGTTAAAATCCGTCAAAGATCCGCGTTGTGAATAATCATCGTCAGTAACTAGTAATGGTGCGAATGCCGCACGTGAAGCCTCGCTACGCCTCTTCACGAAATACGGACTTTTGCAGGTTTCCGTAGCATCCAAATCCGCTGGAATATGATATAACTAGGTGGAAAACACTGATATTCGCTCTTTTCGTCAATGAAGTTGATCCAGACTAGACGATAGTCGAGGGAAGATTACCGCCTTTGGTAATTGGTGAGAGCCGTGCCGGACCTAATGCAAGTGTCGCGATAATTTCCTCTTTCGGGAATATTCCCAGCGGCGAAACTCCACCATGAGCTGTCACTCATATTAGCACCACAACGAACAACGGACAATTTATTTTCAAAAACTTATAAAATCGCAGTCGAAGGAATGATTCTTCTGCTGAATATATTCGTCAACAATGAATGAAGCATAATCTCTGCGGGTGTTTCTGTTAGGACACGGAATACTGTCCATGGGAAATGTCGACAGTTTTCGTTTGGTATTAACAGGACTATCCCAGGGAGAGCTGGCCACAGCCACAAACAACCTCGGTACTTGAGAAGAATAGCCGCGGAAAATATTGTTGCTCGTATCGACACATTCCTCACGACATTGATATGACAAATTATTTTGGTCGATAAATAGGCGAGGCGCAGAAAATTTTCCCAAGGGAAGAGTTGTTCTGGTCTCCTGGCTATGGCGAAACGGACTATTCGTCGAGGCACAACTTCCTCCTGTATAGCCGTGGGCCTTCTCGAAACAGGAATGCCAATGGATATCTACTTTCAAGTCAACATGCTGAGATTTCTGTCGGCGTCCTGAGTCTTTCTATCACCTCTCCTATATCCGAACAACAATAACAATGCGAAGCCTGCTGCGATCTTCCTTTCCGATACAGCCCAGAGCGATGAGTATGGCACGGTTGCCTGTCTCCAATATGTTTCAGGATCTATCCTGCCATCAAAAAGAAAAACCAGACGCTGCTGATTTCAACGACGCTTGGCGGTATATCTCGGAAGAGGAGACGGAATGTTGATACCTACTGCTGTCGACAAAACCCAGCCGACCTAATATCTCGGAAACCTCAGGGGCTCTCCTGACTATAATCGCTGACTACTCTGGTGGATAGTCTAGCGCAAACTCTTGCATGAATCTACAGTTTCCTTTTATAGCCACTTACAAATATGCTTTGGTAAGGCTTGGCGGTACCAGTTATCGCAATTTAACCTCGTACAGCCATTCGAATAGGTGTCCGTAAGCTGATCCAAGCATGTCAAGTGTCACTTCATTACCAGGGTGTTCCAAGCTATAGTTCATCTCTCATACGATTTACCCAGCGGCAAATTCGTGCATTCGCTTGGCGCCACATCGGAAGAATATCTTTGCGTTTTTGCATTACCCTCCTCAGTTTTAAGCGCAACAACACATTATTGACAAACTTTGATTCTGTGACGGAGATCTTCTTGAGGATATTCTAGAATGAGTTTATCAAGTGTTAATATAAGCTTATTACGGTTCCTCAGTTGGATGATGTTGACAGGGAGGATCAGACATGACTCGAGGACTTCCTTGTTACTGTCCTTATGGATACTGTTACAGAACAGAAGTCAAGTAGAGCCCCTTAACTTCCCGATTATATCCATCGGGAGAATGCCTTACTCCGACATATGCAGGGGCCCATATCAACACACATCCATCCACAAAACTAGGAACTGCCCCCCGCGTAATCAGCCATAGTCAGCAAATACTACAATTACACCTCATGTCATGACGCAACCAACTACCACAACTCTTCTCGAGTCTATATGTGCAAACATGAAAACAACAATGGCACAACTATCAGTTATCCACGTGTTGTTGAAGCGTGGTCTTCGAGTTGTTCGTGATCATAAACTATAGCGCACAGCATTTGGTTACAGCGGGGATTTTGCCTAGTTTCAACGCTACCGAAACGATGGTTCTAAATGGCTTATAGTCCGTTTTGCTGCTCGGCTTTAGCCCGCGATACGGAGACGGAGTAAGGTGGGCAAACATCCTGGACAGCCGAAGTCCCAAGAGGCGTCAGCATTGTGGCGTCTCGCTAGTTGATAGGGACTCAGCATGCGTTCCCCCACCGAGCTCACCAAGGGAACCTGGCTTGTGAAGCTTTAATCTTCTCCAATGCTTCTCTTTGCAACTCTTTGCCCAGAACTGAATGGGCTATTGAATGGGCTCGCGGTGTCATGCCACGTGTGCAGTCACCTTGAGATGTGCAATCGACGATTATACCCACCAACACACCGCTTACAACCTGCGTTGCAACCCGAGACCAGTGCTGTATAAGATCTGGTGCTCTCTCCTTTGTGAGGACCAGTGAAACAGAGAGCAACGAAGAGCAACCAGAACACTGGAGGAGTTTCTACAAACACCATAGCAGCCATATCAAAGATATCGCCAAAGGTTTTGAGCAGCTTTCCATTTCGCAATGTCTACGGTGGTTGCACGCCGCCAACCACGCAGCAAAGGCTGTGAGCAGTGCATTTCACGCCGCATCAAGGTGAATACAACGCCCTTTGCGCTTCTGTCATCATTTGATAATACCTAAAACTCACTGGGTTGCTGCAGTGTGATGAGAGAGCCGGATGCTGTAGGAAATGTGCGCGTTTCGGGCTCCCGTGCTCCGGAGCAATTCGCGGGGCAGTTTTTCTTGACATGACAGAGAAAGTTGCCTGCAAATCACGTCTGCCGCGGAAGAAAAAGAAGAGAAGGGTTGCCAACACGGAAGAATCTGTCAAGGAGCAAACAGAGAAACTTCTCCCTATAGATGGTGCAACAAAGCAACATGGTAGGATGGAAGAAAGCGAAGAGACGGATGATGCAACAAAGCAACGAGGCAATTCGGCAGAAAGCGAAGGGAACACTTCTACCGCAACCTCATCCGCCTCTTGTAGTTGTACAACAGGCATTGGAGGAGAAATCTCATACCTTGATCTTCTTACAAACGATGATGAAAGCGGGACCATCGATGGCGGCACAACATACCAGCCAAGTACAGAGCATGCCTCACATTTCGACGACGACAAGTGCTTTGGCACGGATTATAATTACAGCATCAACATCCCGCCAGAGCTGGACGCTTCAGCTTACAACGAATATTGCTTCGTCGGCAACTTTGCCCAGCTCATCATCAGCTCCCGTCGGAACTATTCCTCCTTCAGGCCACAATCCTGGATTCTCGAGCTCCCCCACCTAGCCGCAACAAATGCTTTGCCATCCTCGCTCAGATATGCAATGCATGCTGCAGCACTACTATATCATGCCGTCACCAATAATGATATAAGAGCCAAGATAGCTGCCGTGAGGTGGTACATAGCCGGAATACAGACTTATCGTGCTACCATACTCAAATCGCCAGCAAAAAAGTCTCTGCCGACACCGGTATCGGAGGAGACTCAGGCATCCAAAGAACCATGTATAGCGGAAATTGCAGAAATTTGTGTTCCAATAATGTTTTCCTTTTACGAAGCATTGCAAGGCGGGAGTTCAGATGCGGAGTTACTTCACCATGCGGCAGCCACCGAGATGCTGGAGAAACGAGGGCCGGAACAATGCGTCAGTGGACTCGCACATAGCGTGATGCGCTCGTTGAGAGTCAGAGAGGTGAGTATTGGCGTGTTGTTTCCAAGCGTTTTGACGCTAACATGACTTCTGTTTAGGCCTTTTACTCCATCATGAACAACCGATCTGCCAGGTTCTCCTCGCCAGAGTGGCTATCTATCCCCTTTGAGCAGAAGCACAAGATATGCTACGACCGGCTCATCGACATCCTCCTCTCTTTGACCAAAGCGCTTCGCCTTCCATACATGAATCAGAGGGGTGCAACGCTGAGATACTCAGTAAATCGGGTTCACGACCTCTCCACAGCTCGTAAAGCAGACATCGAGGAAAGGGTAAACACTCTCTTGGCACGGCTTCAAGGATGGTGGTTCGATTTCCAACAAGAGCACTGCGAAGTCATCACACTGAGTCCAGAATGCTCATATACCCCCGAAAACGCCTACATGACCGTCTCTTCTCCCTCTTCCGTCCTTCCGCTATCCGGGCCCTGGATGGTTGCCAATAACGAAACGCTCACCTCGAGTATGATTTCCATATACAGTGCTACTCACATGATCCTCCACACAGTTCTTTTCATCATCTCTCTCTCGAGGCCCCCGAGCGCCACCGGTCCCGATCATCTATCAGATGTCGATGCGCATGTGGCCGCAATTTCTGCATATGCCACGGGGGTCTTTAATGCCTCGGCGTATCTTAGCATGATCAATCCATTTTGCGGAGATGCTGTCCGAACAAACTTTTCTCTGGCCATCGTTGCTCAGTTTGCATTGGAAGACTCACAGCGCGATCAGGCTCGACGCATGCTCAACCAGTGGCACGTTCATGATGAAGAACATCCCAATAGCCCAGAGAGCACCATGTCGGAGAGTCTTGTTCTATAAGATGTAAAATAACAAGGATTGCATAACAGATAGTCTATGGTTATATCGTATAGCCCGATTGTATTGCCTGAGGAAGGCAACTTGCGATGAATAGACCGTATCCTCATCCCAAAGAGTTGTGGTGTATATATGAAGTCTGTTACCTTGAGGACCCTGTATCTATTTTTTTTTTTTGAAAAAAAATTATGTACAATGTGTTTCTCATCAGCTAAATGATTGATCAAACTCTCCCGCATAGAGTATGTCACCCGGCACATTCATTCGCTCCCACAAAGCTCTCATATGATCCTGGAGATTTCGCTTTGCGAGCACCACTTGTAGCTCTACTTCTTCCTTCTCGGTTTCTACTTCTTCCCTCTCAGTTTCTACCTCCGCATTCTCGGTTTCTAATTCAACTAAAAAGAAAGTCAAATCAGCATCATGATACGTTGGATTCCCTCGGTATATAGCTTACCCTGAATGTAAACAGCGGCCCTCTTGCCGCTATACATGGCATGCGGGACGTTTGTCACATTGTCTGAGTTCGCATCTCCAATGGCGAATATACCAGGAATATTCGTAACCATGCCACGAGATTGATCTGCCGCAAGTTTCCCACCATATAGAGCCACGCCAGTCTCTTCGCCCAAGTTGGACATTTGCGCCGTGTCGAAATTGGTCAAAAGAGCGGCCCGAAGTACCGGCTCTCCAGTCTCGAAATTGAGCTGGAAGAGATCATGTTCGGGATGGGATGGTAGACTAGGATCCTCGTCTCCGACCGTTCCATTGGAAAGCCTCTTGATGGATGTGAGAATTCGGTTGTCAATCTTTATATCGTGCAGCTTCAGATACTGCTCCCACTTAGGAAACCCTTTCTCTGTGGCAGCCCGTTGCTCAGGTGTATCCGTGCCGTTGACAAATAGTATAATATCTCGGTTAAGGGAAATAATTTCGCGAACTGAATCTGGACCTTTCCCCAAAGGCCCCAATATGCCCAACTGCTGGTCTGCATGTTCATGCCCGTCGCACCAGGGGCACCAATAGATGCCCTTGCCCCAGTTCTCGACGAGTCCCGGTGTAGACGGAAGCAAATCACGCAATCCCGTTGCGAGAACAACCCTCCGTGCGGTGAATGTGAGTTTATTGTCGCCAGGATAATCAGCAGAGACTGTAAAATACGAATTATTCGCTTCTGGCTGGATCTTGGTGACGGTGCCGTTTACCAAGTTGGCAGTGCCGTATTTCGAAATCTGTTTGCGTGCCACCCAACGAAAGTATGCTGGCGTGACCCCTGCCTATCGGTTGGTATGCTTTTATACAAGGTTGTTTGTGTGTTTATTTGTGCTTTTCACGGGCGTTATATGCGCATATATGCATTCATGTCTCTGTGGAGAGATGACCTACCATCAAACCCAATCACATCATGTACATGCCGAGTAGGAGCATTTCGGTATTCCCCTGAATCGATCAACAAAACATTTCGGCGAACACGGGCCAGGCCACTGGCTGCGCTGAGGCCTGCAGGGCCCCCTCCAACTATGATCACATCATAGTCAGGCCGAGGTGCTGGCTCTAAGACGTTATTCGTTGGATCGGCGCCGGAAAAGCTGACTAGAGTCGACAGAAAGGCAGCAATATTTGTAAATTTCATGGCAACAGTCAGTAAAACAAATCAAGTCAAGATGTAATGGGTCTTAAAGTCTCCCAAGTTCGCGACATCCTCAGGATGAGGGGAGACCAGGTTCTTATTCTATGCTCAAACCTTACTTTCATTCGCCGTAAGACCTTGTCGTCAGATGCAACTACGTTTACGCAATATACCCTTGCACAGCTTAGCATCAGACGTGAGCATATTATGTGTCGCTCACAAACCCTTGCCGATCACCGACTTTCTTCATGTGCGCGATGAAATTTGTATTTGCTCTGAAGTGTTATTTATTTGTAATGAGACACCATCTCGTCGGTGTGTTAAAGGTAACGAGCCAACCGAGCTGACTGGCACCTGACCTTGGAGAATGAGTTCATCGTGTTCAATGCGGAAACAAGATGAAGTCATACTACTGGCTGGATGCGCGAATACTACCCAAAAATACCACGTACTTTAGCAAGGCGCTATATGACCGTCTCAGCTGCGCGATATCGATGCGGTATTTTTGTATTTACCGCGAGTTGGTGATGGATTCATATGACGAACGTAGTTAGTGACCCAGAAATGCATACGAAATACGGATTACGGAGTGCAGAGAGCAACTCCCTCTTCAGGTCAGTTACCTCTAAATCAAGTCATTTGTTGATATTGTCTCATGTGAACATAGACAGAAAATGCATGTAATTTATACAGCGTGCTGTACAAGCTAGGTGATGTCTACGCCAACATTTTTTATTATCGTCATCTAGAAGTAAACGGGTCCTATTGCGCACCCTCTCTGAAGCTTAGAATGCAAGTGAAAGGCCATCCTTAACGATTTATATCCTCAATAACTTAATAACACCATCACTGACGAATTCATAAGGTACACACTTAAAACTGCCTTGTTGAGCGATGTAATCATAACAAATAATCAACATACTCGCCAGATAGTCCGCTCAAGTATACCCATCTCCATTGCCTTGTATATCATGCAGCAACACGCTTAAATAGACAAAAGAGTCGCAGCCTTCCACTTCTCATCCGATGCAGCAAGTTCCTCCCCGACCTGCTTCGCCAAATCAAACGTCTCGGGGCCCAGCAGCAATCGCAGCGGCGGCTCGTCCTCCTTGGAGATCTTGACAATCACATCAGCCACCTTGGCAGGCTCTGAGCGGTAGCTCTTGTACTGTTCTCGGATCTTCTGGAATTCTCCCACAGACTGCTGGTACGGCTCGCTGATGATCTGGTCGCCCGCAAAGCCAGCCCAGTCGGTGTTCATGCCGCCAGGCTCCAACACGGTGATCTTGATGCCGAATGGTGAGAGCTCCTTGGCCAAAACGCCGCTGAAGCCGCCAACAGCCCATTTGGCAGCCTGGTACGCCGACAAGCCGGGTGTCGCCATGCGGCCGCCCACGGACGAGACTTGCAAGATGCGGCCGGACTTTTGCTTGCGTAGAATTGGGGTCACAGCCTTGGAGACATAGACGGTTCCAAGCAGGTTAACGTCGATTTGGTCGCGGTAAATGTCAATGGAACTATCTTCAAGTGATCGGGGGATGGCGTAGCCAGCATTGTTTACCACAACATCAATGCGGCCGAACTTGTCAACGGCGGCCTTGACAGTGCTCTCGACTTGTTCGTTGTTGGCAACATCGAGGGCCAATGGCAGGATGCGGTCCGGTCCGTACTTTTCAACGAGATGATTGACAGTGGCTGGGTTGCGAGCAGTAGCGACAACGTTGTCGCCGTCAGCGAGGGCAGCCTCGACAATTGCGAGACCAAGACCCTTGGAAGAGCCAGTGACAAACCAAATGCGGGCCATGGCTGTGAAGTTGAAGTGATTTGTTGTATATGTCGTCAAATTGTATATATCTGAGGAGATGATGTTGATTTATTGTAATGCCTTGAGTTGTGATGAATGATGCTGTTGACTTGCTGTTCATACCATCACATACGCGGCATCGCCTTCATCTTTATAGATCTGTCTTTCAACCCACATCGCGGATCCTGAGCCTCAAACTCCTCATCTTCACCCCATCTGCTCTACCTTAACTCCGTGAGGAGGCAATCTACATTCGAGTTGTAAACTTGCCTCCGCCTCAGTGTGCGGCTCTCCACGCCGCTCAAAACGACTCTGTGCAACCACAAGCTAGCGGCGAACGTGGCCCGACAAGTGAAGCAAGATCTGTTATCCCCGGGACTCCATCTAGGGCGAGCGGGTTTTTCCCGCTCGGCGCGGCCGCTCCAATTTGTTAAAATCCCACCCTGCCGCTTTCAGCAAGGTTTGCGGGCAGAGTATGGAGTGGCTCTCGAAGCTTTTGCCTTTCATCAAATCTCCTACCATTGTAATTGCCATCCTCGCTTGTCCGAAGCTCAACACACTGAACTCGGACGTACACAGAAAGGAAGACTGACAGAAATTCGTCTGTAAACAGAGCCTCGAAACTCGTCGTCGGACCTCCTCCGTCTTCCGAATCAACTGCCGATGTTCCAAGTGCTGTGAGTGGACCGGAGCTCCGTGTTAGAAAGCGTCATTCGTTCCCGCTCCGGATCTGGAGAGCTCCTGAGCGGCCGCTTGTACCCTTCCGGAGCTACGATTATCGCCATCAACCACCACCGAGTTTCTAACTGACAATCTTTGCGCATTGGGCTTGCTTCTAGACTTTCTTCTTCCGATATGAGTGACAAATCTTCGCAGTCTAGCCAAAAGGCTGTGCGTGCCTGCGCAGCCTGCCAAAAATACAAGCGGCGCTGCGACAAGACCTTGCCCAGCTGCTCTCTGTGCACCAGGTAAATATTCCATCTCTCTATCCCCATTTTACCTTGTTCTTCATGTAGCCATGAACTTGCTACCGTCTCTCTTATACTTGTATTTTACGGGAATGCCTCGCTTCCACCATCTTCCGCTTCCGCCTCCCGCACACTGCTTTCGAGCGGCCGCCTCACCGGCCGTTGACTCCGGCCCCTGCTCCGAATCAGATTTCCATTCTTGTAGAAGTCCTCATATCTCATTGGTCTGTTGCTCACATACCCAGATTACGCAGGTCTTGTGATTATTCCAATCGGCAGTCGGAGAATGAGCTGAAAACCCGAATCCAAGAGCTCGAGTCTCTTGTCGCCAACCACGTGAGCAGGCTCTCTCCCCAGCCTCAATCCACTCCGACGGCTTCCAGTCGGGACACAACCAGCTTCTCAATATCGCACTCCCCCTGTGCGTTTTATCCAGCAGCTCTCCGCTTCCAAAAGCTGTTCTTGGATACAGACATCCAGACCCGCCCGGATGCTCCGTCGCCGCCTTCGAGTGACATGATCCCCGCCGCCGTTTGGGCCTACTTGGGGGATCAGGCTCAGAGCGCGGTCATCATGTCACAGTATTTCCAGACAATCCACAAGTGGATGCCAATCATTAGCCAAGTGCGTTTAACCTCGCTGGCTGATTTGGAACTAGGTAACCGGCCTAGAGCAGACTTTGCTTTGTTGCTCCTTACAATGAAGCTCATCCAGAACGTGCCCGGAAGTTCGTCCAATGCAGTAAGAGATGCGCTGTACATCTGCGCAAAGGAATTTGCAGCTTCTCTGGAAATAGCAGGTGTATATACGCTGCTAAAGCTTCAGGCTAATCTACTCATCTCGGTGTATGAGATGGGACACGGAATATTTCCCGCTGCCTACGTCTCAGTGGGCTGTTGTGTAACACAAGCCATGGTCCTTGGCATCCATAATCGAGAAGCTCCTCAAATTTTGGAGCAGCCGCGCACTTGGATAGACTGGGAAGAGAGACAGCGGGTCTGGTGGTTGGTTGTGATTCTTGAACGGTAATCCTACTTTCGTAGCATGTTCGATGCCTACATTATCCTGGAGTTTCAATGCTAACAACAAGCAGATACATCACTTCTGTCGGAGACAACCGACCTCTCCTATCCGCTGATCCTAATACAACATCGCATCTGCCTGTCAATGATGACTCTTGGGACTCTGGAGTAAGCTTACCAATTTGCTAACAATACCAGACCAGTGAAGCTAACACTTTTATTTACAGCAAGCCATGTATCCTGAGCGACTCATCCTATCCTCATCCAAACATTTGTCAGCAAGCCCATTTGCTCGTCTTGCTCAGGCCTCTCATCTCCAGGGAGAGGTTATCAAGCACTGCAATGATGACACGCGAAGCCTAGCACTCGTCCAGAACGACGTCGAGGTGCTCAGTCAGGTCTTGTGGTCTTTCTTAGAGGTCATCGGCAAGGACAGGTCCAGCATGAAGCACTTCTATAGCTCCGTAGGAGTTTGTCTGAGGTTAGTTGAACAGCCATCATACTTGTTGAACACGACTCGAAAAACTAACACAGAGGTTTACTATTAGCGCCCTAATGAAGCTTTGCGATCATCATTCTTGCGACTCTTTCGCCATTTACAACGACAGAGCCCTCGATGTGACCGAAATGGCCCTTGCTCGTGAAATAGCTCTCCGATGCCAAAGCATAATGAAGGATTGCATCGTCAAGGCCATGTCATTCATTGAGGTCCTCGGAGAAATGGTGCAAGATCAAGAATCCATCGAAAATCTTGCTAGCCTGTCGCCCTGGTTCTTGGATAGCATCTACCAGTGCCTGGCCAACGTCGTTTATCTCATGGCTACAACTCCAGCCGTGGAAGCCTCAGGATACCCGTCGCAGGTTTCTTTGTGTATGGACTTGTTGCGAAAGGCAAACCAGAGATGGAACGTTGCAGGTGAGTAGAAAGGGTCGGTCGTTGTATAGTGTCGGCATACTGACGCGGGTGTTACAGGAGCTTACCTCGAGGCTATCGACTTGATAGAACATGAACTGAAAGTCAGTCATTATTAGGGTCCTCTTTCTCAAATAACTATTATAGTAGAACGACTGTGTTTTGTTGGCAGAATTACGATCTGTTTTATCGCTGTTCCCTATACATCGAGAGGGGGGTCTCCAAAATAACACGGTCCCATTTCTCACGCAATAATTGAATAGTGTATATATTATGATAATATTCTTAGACTTTGGCAAAACTAAGAGTTAGTTTTAGAATGCCGATCAGGCCTCCGATACCACGTTGTCGCTCAGAGAAGGGGTTTTCTGTCGCGCAATTTCAGTGTGATGGATGTACAAGGAAGACAATGATTGGACAGGATTATCCCAGACATGTATGCAGCTGGCCTATTGGGTTCCATCCAAGGCACGGTATGTGTATGGATGAGCACATCACACAAGAGGGACTATTGGTCAATAGTGTAGTACCAATAGCTGGCGGAGGATTTCAGCTGCATACATGTACACAATTCAGCCGTAATGCCGTGATAAACGCGGAGTCTTGGATTCCTGCCGAGGCAGCGGCCTTGCACATTGCGAATATATACGCAATGCCCTCCGAATATCCTCGTGTGACGTGTATTGTTGAGCACTGAAGGGACGAATTCCCAGCATGCGACAGTCATGTCTAGCCGTCCTGATGCCTTTGCGCCTCTCCAGCCTATCGGCGATAACCTCTATCTCTATAAATCCGCCGGTTATACTTCCAATGAGGGCCAAGGCCCCTCTCTAATCGTTCTTTTCACCTGGCTCGGCGGAGCTACGGCTACCAGAATCCAGAAATATCTCCTCAGCTACCGCACCATCTGGCCTGCAGCAACGATCCTCCTCGTCACTACACGGGTATTTGAGTTTGCAGTTGCAACATCAGGTGCTATCCATGCCCGCTTAGAACCGGTGCGCGATGCTATTCGTCGACACGTTGCCAGCAGAGTGAAAGACAGGCCTTCGATTCTATTCCACATATTCTCCAATGGAGGACTTCATACCGCTATTCAGCTGACGCTTTCGTTACGGGATGCTAAAGAGAGAGCCGGGCCGCTGGATCTCAAACCGTATCTCAAGGGAATCATCATAGACTGCTGTCCGGGACAAACAGACTATATGCGCACATACAAAGGGGCCATATTCTCTCTTCCACCTACAGTTTTCGGGCAGCTTTTGGGAAAGCCATTCCTTTTTGTCGCTGTATTTCTCTATACAAGTTTTACACATGCGGGTTTAGTTGCTGGCGTAAAGGATTATCGCCGCCAGCTCAATGATCCGAGAGTCTTTGGGAGCTTGGCAAGACGGCTTTACTTGTACGCCAAAGAAGATGCAGTTGTTGGGTATAAGGATGTTGAGCTGCACATAAAGGAAGCAAAGGAGAAAGGGTACGAAGTCGATAATGTTTGCTTCTTAAATAGTTACCATTGTTCGTTGCCCCGGGGGAATGTGGAGTTGTATTGGGATACTATCAGGGATTTCTGGAAGAAATCGATGTTGAAGGGGGAAGATCAAATGCGATGCAAGTTGTGATGCTTACACTTGCTTCTTATTTCCTAACATCTGTGAAATCCAACACTTACTATACACAAAGAGACCTCTACGATCTAGAGATACCACCAAAGACACCAACAACATGCGCGTTCAGTCCTGGATGGAGCAGCCATTCATTCACCAAGCCGTTCAACCAGTCAACAGATCAAAACTGTCATCGCCAACCTTTCTTGGCAAACGATATACACCCACCCAGCTTAATCATCACACACAAGTCATCAATACAAGAAAGCCAAGCAAGCCAAGTACATGTTATGTATCCAGCCCAGCCCACCTTTCCATCGTGGGTCACAGCACCACTTTTCCGTGACAAGTCAGGAACAAACACAAACTTATTGGACGGAAAAGGGCCTCGGCATGCGGCCAATAGTCAGTGAACCAAGTATTCCTACATGCTCGTAAGTCTCCGCTGTTTGGAGTTTCGAAACCCGGGCTCCATGGACTCCGGGGTGGCCGAGAAAAAGACTTGGTGGATAAGAAGAGTTTTTTTTCCTTCTTTCTTTAGCCCGTGTCTATTATCGTTGACAGCTGATGGAATGACGGGAAGAGTACATGTAAGCTGAACAATTCCGGCTGCAAAATAACAAAAGTAGTTTATTGTTCTCAAAATCGACATAAATATTAACGCTTCCTGTCTTGTCTCGAAAGTACATATAACCATCAGCACAAATCGCCTCACTGCTTCACTTATTTTGAATTAGAAGATGCGTCATCCAGGAACAAAGAGCCAAAAACCCGCTGCCCAACTCCCCTCTAGCCAGGGCGCGACGATACTAGCCCGGCGACCGGCATCGCGACTAAAAACATGCTTTCTAAAAATACAATTGCCCGATATCCATTTTCATTGGTCAATTGCAAGGGTTCCCAGGCACGAGTCCGCGGTGGCGACAAAGTGCTTTTACCCGAAGAATTTTGCCATGAGAGAGCCTCGTTCCTGAGATGCCACTCCCCACACTGACCACCGAGCTGCCGGGAAAGCTGGCACTAGGCATGGGCGTAGTGTAAAAAAGAAAAGAAAAAAGAGAAGAAGAGAAGAAAAATCGAAAAAGAGAAATGTCACTCGAAATCCGTGATTCGTAGCCTTCCGAGCCGTCTTGACGCGCGCACGTTTCAAAAACCAACAATTCATTAGTATTATAGCGTAACCCACCCTAAACTCCATACCCTAGACGCAATCGGCTCAATCGCCATGCAATGCAAACTCGCCCGAGTTTCTGGGACGCTGGGCCGCTAATCTCATCGTTTGCCTGTCAAGATCGAATCGGAGAAATGCCATGCCTTGTTCGATCGATACATTGATGCTTTATTTTGCCGTGCCGTCATCTAGGAGATTTTTTCATCGCCGCTGCCACAGGAGGTTGCATCCAGAGAGGGGCCTTGGCGGGCATCATTTCAGCCGGATCTGATCTTGGACGGTTAAATTTTCACCAATATATATCCCAATTCGAACGTGTCGGCAGGTCAAATGAGGTAATGATCGAGCAGGGCCCCTTGGCGAGATACAGTAAACGAGAAAAAACAAAATCAGGTCGCTATATTATTAGGTGCTACTTGAGGCAGCCGCTTCTATATCTATCGAGAGTTTTGGCACGTAAAGGGTGACGGTTTTGTCCACGTAAAAGGCCTCGGAACCCAGGGCCAGGTACCCTAGGTAGTCGCCAGACTTTGGAAGGTCGGCGGCGGTAGCGGTGAGCTTGAACAGGCTGTTGATGAGGGGAGAAATGTCTCCGTTGAACTTTTCCACCGGCGTGTCCGAGTACCATGTCAGGACGTTTTGCTTCTGTTGGTTGATACCAGCATAGAGTTTGCTACAAGGGGTGGCCGTCAGCATTGCGTTTGCGAGGGGTTCTTGACATGTGCAGAATACACTTACAATGTGTTGCCGTCCAGCGTCTGAGTGGAAACGGGACCTTCGCCGAAGCCGATGGGCTGAGTAGCGGGGCCGAAGGCAGCAAACCAAACCATGAGCTCGTACTTGGCCTTTGAAGGGTTTTGGGCAGCCGTCTTGTCACTATCAATGAACATGTCGATGGCAACGTTGGTGTTGAGGTTATCGGCTGTGAGATCGGCGAGACTCGCGGCAACGGTAGTCTCGTTACCAATACCGTAGGACCATGCGAGATCTATATCGACCTTGGAGATGCTGCTGATGGTCGCAGGGAACACATCGCTGTCGACCTGGATATTGGGAAAAGCGTGAACTGGATCATCCTGCGGTCCAGCGGGGTACTGCCAAGAAATCATGAATTGGGGAGCCGTGGTCTTTGTGGCATATGTGCCGTTGTTAAACGTGGTAACCTTGAAGTCGACCATCAGCAGGTGTTACATGAGGACAAGGAAGCCTGGGTTCTGGATATGTACATACATTTACACAGAGCGCTCCCGGGTCACCGGGGTTCCAGTTCCATTGGTTGGGGTTCACTAGTAAGAGAAAGTGTCAGTTGAGCTTGTTGGATCACCACTTGCAGCAGGGAGCGGGTGAGTGAGTACAGATGGAGGAGAGGAGATGCAAAGTAGCAGTGCCAGGTCGAAATATGATCTGAGATGCCGCAACTAGCTTTTCAGGTGATGCTTGGGATGGGGATGCAAGAAGAAAAAAGACATGGCGCTCTGGGTTGGCTTCAAAATGGTTCGCAGGCATTCAAGATCATGTCCATGATCAGAGCCGCAGCGTGGAAACAAATAGGCCTCGCCAGGACCACATGAAATAGCTGGGAACCAATGTGTACCGCCTCCGCCGCATCCTCGTTTTTCTTGGCGATCTTGAATTGATCGAGTGCGCCACGGCACACTTCCAGGGACATTTTCAGGCGGCACCTACGGGTATATTGCTGGCCCTCGGTATCAGGCGTAATTCCAAACGACTTCTGGCAGTATCTCGTCTTGGTGACACCATTCTTTGGTGGTGCCGGCGGCTTGGGCGACGGAATCGGGGGAGGCTCAGGCGCAAACAGAGGCGGCTGGCCGGTTGCTGCTCGGTGCGATTGGAGGCCGAACAAGATGCCCAAAGTGACGGCGATGGGGATGGCCAGCAGCGCCGCGTTGACGAGGATGCGGATCGTCATGGCGGGCGGCGGGGGGAAGCGAGAGAAGAAGGATGAAAGAAAAAAACGAGCGTCTGTTGCCGCAAAGCTGCGGAAGTCAACGAGCGAGCGTCGTCGAGGGTCGCTGAGGGCCGTCGAGAGATTTTGGATGCTTTTGTCGAATGGGTGGAGGGGGAAGCTCAACTCTCGTGAGAGGGAGAGTCAGCGATACGAGGACCTGGAGCTTTCCAACGTTCGAGGTGCATGTGCGAGGGTTACGAGGTCGAGGTACAGGTACAGGTACATGTGCCGGGTGCCTGGACTCGGCTGTGCCCAGGTGTGAAGAGTACGAGTTACGAGCTGAAGCGTGGCCGAGCCCGTGCAAGTGCATGTACTCGTACTCGTGCGGTACCCGGCGACGGCGTTGAACTTCGCTGGCTGCGACAAGTAGGTACATAAGGTACCTACTGCACCGCAGCTACTAAGTGGACGCGGTGGGCGGGCTTTAGTGGTCTAGCGCACAGGCCGGTAACGCCTCAGCGGTTCCGCGAAGTGCTGGAACTCGCCTGAAGCAGCTGTGCTACTAAGGCAGTGGAGTGCTAGGGGGGACAACGATGAGCCGCAGCTGGGATTTGCTCCGAAATTCCGTGATTCTCGCTGGAAACGAGTGGGCGCCGCCACAAAACACGATTCTAGTGCTCGATGCAGCAGCTGTATCCGTGGATCGCCGGGGATTGCGAGGGATAAGGGAGAAAGGGAAGAAGAAGAAAAAGTCAAAACTGGGACGGTGGAGCGTCTGTGACGGGGGATGATGCACTCGTGTCAGCCAGAGAGAGTTTCTAGGGGGACTGAAGACGGGTGACGGGCGATCTGCCATGGACGGGAGTCAAAGATGCAGTGTTACCGTTACCTGGTTCCCATTCACATTCACATTCGCGGCATGGCGGGCGGGTATCCGTCTGATCCAATGGGTTCGATGCTGCACGGTTTGATTGCTACAGTACGAGTACCCGTACGAACAGCAGATACAGCCCGTACAGTAGCACATACGAGGTTGGTCATCCATCTGTCATGTCAGGTCAGAAAAGGGGGCCGGGTGAGTGAGAGCGAAGAAGGAATAGGGAGGTAAACAAACAAAGGAACGAACAGTGCAGCCTCGAGTCAACAAACCCCAAACACAGCACGGCAAACCGCCTCCCAGCCTCACAGCGAAGCCGATGGTGCCGGCGTCGACACTCCAATGGCGTTGAGCCCCCCAGACAGGCGTCGCTTTGACACCAGCCGCTTTGCCGTTATCGATGGATGGATGTCTGACGGCCGCTACGAACCTCAAGTAGGTAGTACGAGTACAAGCATCACTAGCATGTGCACAACCGATTCGTGCGTCAAGTCTGTCAGTTCTGCCTCCAGTCTATGCGCCGCTGTAGTGCCGAGAGCAGCACCAAACACACGCATGTACCGGCAGCGCTACGAAGCCTTTGGTGGCATCTCGGCCGTATCAACGATTGCGGCGATGCCTCCCATCGAGAAAATAAATAAAAAATAAAAAATTAACCCACCTCACGACTCGCTCCCAATCGGGGTCCGGTCCATGCTCGTACAGGACGTGATATGTGTGCCCTGCTCCATAAAGTACGAAGCTGCCTCTGCCTGCTTGCTGCATGTACTTGTTGGGCACATGATCGCGGGATAAGCTCTCACTCAGGCCATCAGGCCGTGCCGGAGAGCGAAGGAAGAGGAGTAATGAATTGATGTGTTGCTACAGTACTGCCGAGTGCCACTAATACTTGGTAATACCGAAGTGGTCTATTCTATTTTCTCTCATCGATCTCACCTCTCTCTGACTCTTTGCCTCTCCTCTTCTCTCCAACCACTTTTTTCCCAACCACACCTCGAATCTGTTCCGTTCAGTTTCTCAGCGCTAATCCATACACGATCTAATCCGGGTTCCTTATCCCGATGGTGGAGACGAGGCTTGCCCCTCTTTCGCCCTCGGAATCTTTGAAAACAAGAATCAAAAAGACGAGGTGGACGGACGATGTTCCACGGCGGCTCAACTTATCACTTGACAACGGACTAACACCATGCCGACGTCTCAAGTCTCACCACAGGCCGATCACAGCTGCTGTGCTGAGCAAAACGCTGCCGGGAGATTTTAAGTGGATGGTGGGAACGGGTACCTTGAGTAGGCATAGGATAGTCTCACAGCCTTGGGCCAATCACGCCGGGCAAGATTGAAGCGGTACTGTACTATCAAATGTCTGGTGCTTATCTACTCTACTGCACTCCCCCTTTTGGAGATACTGTGTGTAGGTACGGAGTAGGTACTCGTCAGCTCCATGTCTGTCTGTTCTGCTTTGTCTGTCTGTGTCTGGATCAGAACCCAGAAAAAAGTGTGGCTTGGTCAGAGACACGAGTCAATGTGGTTCTTAAGTGGGATTTGCGCTCAAGCATACAAACAAGCTCTTGCTCGCACATGCGCCCACGCACTTGGCATCTGCTGCTCCGCATTCTGGCTGCATGTCAAAAAAACAACATTCAACAACAAGCTTCATCCGACCCGACGTCGATTGCCCTGCCTCGTGTCAATATCCATCAACCCATTGTACAAGTACAGGTACAGCACCGCGTGTGCCAGACAGAGTCCAAATATAGCAGCACCCTTCTTCTCTCTACTAGGACCGCTTCGTACAAGTACATGTTCCCGGCCCACGTCACGCCACTTCGGGCCTCGTATTTTATTTGGAGACAACAGCAAGCAAGAAACAGGACCAGCACAAAGACGAGACAAAGAACAAAAACCGAGTAGCAAAAAAAATAAAAAAAATAAAAGAGGGTGCATGCCGGCCTGTGTCAACGTTGCTTGCGTTGTGCGTTATACTGCATTGGTCGTTTCCGACCACCTGCAAACCAGCCCGTTTGTCGCTAGCCTATGACGACGATTCCCTGCTCGCCTTATCCGCCCGCCAGAACACGAGAAAAAATGGTGTGAACCCTGTCTGCAGCGCGCGTATCCTGTACAAGATACGATGCGAAAACTGGACCCCCGCACAGGCCCAGCTGCGCTCGTGCACGCCCGCCGACACAAGTACTGTGTACCTGCATCAGCTGCCAGCCCGTCTGGCGGCTCCGCAGGCTAGCAGCACCGCCTACACGCACAGGCGTTACAGGCAGCTGTCGATGGCGGGCTAGGGAGCTGCTGGAGCTTACCTAGCGTTGGCCACTGGCAGCCCACTGGCAGCCCACTGCCACCCGCTGTTCCCGCTGAGCTGCTGCTTTCAAGGTTCGGCCTTCAGCCGTCGTCACTGTCACTCCAGGTCAAAATTGGGGTCGTTCCGGCATTGGCGCTTGTACATTTGCGAGCATGATGTGAGCAGAAAGCTGTAGATGTGGACGTGGATGTGTTTGTGGCTCGGAGTTGCAAAAAGCTACTAAGATATTGACTATGAGTACCTATTCTCAAAGGCACCTGATGGATCGATATGTACATGTAGCTGATACACCACTACAAGACCTTCCAAGTACTGCCTACCGTCCCCCCCACCTCTCGCTGTCCCAGCCGCACTTCCGTCGTTCTGTCAACCCGCGGTACCTCCACGAGGCCCTCGTACTTCAAGTTGCTAATGCTCGCACCAAAAGCCCGACCACCCTCGTACCAGCGCTAGCTCCATCGAACTACATCTACCCAGAGCCCGTACCTCGCGCGGTACCAGGTACTTCCTTACTTGTGCCACACCACACCACCCTCCATCTCGTCCAACATTCATCTCCTTCCGCCTCGGCCTCTTCCTTTTTCACTACCTCTACCTTGACCCTTTTTCTCTCCCCTCAACCTTCGCTATTCCCCTCCTCTCCCGCTGTCATCTGCGGCGAATATAGCTTCGCTGCTCACATTCGTTTAGTACATATAATTTTTTAGGGGAAAACCTACTCTCGTCCCCTTCAGCAGCGGCCCCCGTTACACCCCCGGGATAGCTTGCCCAGGCCTGTCTGTGCTGCTACTTTCGTTTATCTGGTGCAATCTTCAGCCTCTTTTCGATCCGGCCAAGGATACACTTTTTCTCCAGTTACTGCATCCATCACCGCCATTCATCATTGAGGAGCAGAGAACAAGAAAAAAGGACCCTTTTGCTCCGGGCTGACCGGCTCTCTCCCCTCGCTCACCCCTTTGGCTTTCCGATAAGGCCCTTCTCTCTCGCTTGTGGCCCGAGCCACATAAAACCGTTCGCCCACCATGATGAGAGGTCACCAGGAAGAGTATGAGGAGATGGTTGATATTGGCAACTTCCGGCGTCACCACCAGACCGGCTCCGACGACTCTCACCCACGATTGCTCCCTGACAACATGAGGTCCAACCGCTCCAGTGCAGCCCATCCCGACGACTTCACGGCGCCGCAATGGCCGCCTTCCATTGCGGGAACGGGAAGCTCTCCTTCTCTGACGCTGAGGAGCGGCGCTACAACGCCATACGACCACCTGTCTTCCACAAAACACCTGATATATGCCGATTCCAGGTCTTCTACTCCAATGGTATTTATAACTCCCCTCTCCCCTCCTCTCCCCTGCTCCTCTGCTTTTGACCCCAATTGTCAGAGATTGGTGCTATACACCATGCCTGTATACTTGTGACCATGACCGCAACCATGACCATGACTCTTGCCGCGAAGTCGCTGCTGACGTCCTTTACTTCCTGTTTTCCTTGAAACTGCAGAACCCAAGTCACATAAGCCTAACCACTCTTCTGCCACAGAATGGCCGTTCTCCGAGCAAAGAGGTTAGCAGCGACAATGACGACCACAACGGCGTGGCCATCTTGCACGACCGAGACGACGCCGACATCTGGAAGGGCTGGAGGAGATATCTCTACACCCTGACGCCGTTTCTCACCCTCCTCAACACCGGAGTGTACCTGACCTACCTCGGACTTCGCATTGCCTGCGTCATCCTGGCGCAACAGGCATCGGGCACCACCTTTGCCGCCGCCTGGGTTTTCATTGCCGTCGAGCTCGTAGTCGCCGTTCCCTCGCTCATGCACAACATCTGGACCATGTGGTCTTTGAAGAAGAGGCACAGGCCCAAGATGAGGCTGACCGGAAACGACGTGCCCACTGTCGATTGCTTTGTTACCTGCTGCGGCGAGGATGACGAGCTTGTCATGGATACGGTTCGCGGTGCCTGCGATCAAGACTACCCCATTGACCGGTTCAGAGTCATTGTTCTGGACGACGGCAAGTCTGCCGGCCTGGAGCGATCTTGCGCGATTCTCTCGCACACCTATCCCAACCTGTACTACATGGCCCGTGCCAAGATTCCTGGGCAACCCCATCACTTCAAGGCCGGAAACCTCAACTATGGTCTAGATCAAGTTCATCTGTTACCTGGCGGTGCTTCCCAGTTCATGGCGGCCCTGGACGCTGACATGGTGAGTTTTCCTCTCTCTTCTTTTTTTTCTGCGTTGGGGGAGAAAGATGGGAGGCGGAGAGAGATTGCCCGTGAGCCGTCAAATTGCGTAAACTAACATGTGTTGCAGATTCCTGAGAGGGATTGGCTTCGTGCTTTGCTCCCCCACGCTGTAATGGATCCCAAAATGGCATTGGTTTGCCCTCCTCAGCTGTTCTACAACACGCCGCCCTCCGACCCTCTGGCTCAGTCTCTGGATTTCTTCGTTCATGTCATTGAGCCCATCAAGGACGCCATGGGTGTAGCCTGGTGCACTGGATCCGGTTACATCGCTAGGCGAGAGGCTTTGGAGCAGATTGGAAACTTCCCCCTGGGCTCGCTGGCCGAAGACGTGGCGACATCGACTCTCATGCTCGGCAAAGGCTGGAAGACGGCCTACGTTCACGAACCTCTTCAATTTGGAACCGTTCCCGAGGATTACGGCAGCCACTTGAAGCAGCGTACCCGATGGGCTATTGGTACCGTGGATACGTCGTTCAAGCTCAACTTTTGTCTCTGGGGTGAAAAGGTCCGCCAGATGACATTTGCCCAGCGCTTCTCCGGCTTCCTCTACGCCTCTCTTAGTCTGTACACGATCTTGCTGTCCATCTCGCTCTTTGCCATTCCCATCATTCTGATCATGGGCAAACCACTGGTCGCGTACGCCAACGATACGCAGCTTCGATGGCTCATTCGTGCCTGCTTTGCCAACACCATTGTCAACCGTCTCTGCGAATTTGTTCTCTTCATCCCTGCCGGCTATCACACTGGCCAGCGGGGCTCCCGGTACCAGCTCTGGATGTCCCCTTACATTGCTCTCTGCATCATTCGAGCATTCGCCCTGCCGAAATGGCTTGGCGGAGCAACACAGGCTTTCAAGCCCACCGGTTCGCTCTCTTCGGCCCTCAACGAGCGTGATCCCAAGCTCAAGAAGAACATGTTCCGTCGTCTGTGGACCATCCTCATCAACTACATGGCGCTCTTCCACCTCGCATTCGTTTATCTGACCCTGGTTGCCGTGTGCCTCGTTTCCTACCGCTGCTTCTTCCAGGAGAGCAACCGCGTCAGGGACATCCTCATCTGCCTGGTGACGCACGCCTTCTGGCCACCTCTGACGTTCATCTTCATCTGCAGCTCCCTTTGGACTCCAGTCGCCTACGCCATTGACCCTCCTCAGATGCCCGACCGAGAGGATCTTCTCGTTCGCGACCCCGAGACCAAGGTTGCGCACCCGACAAACCAGAGCAAAAAGATTGCCTTTGGTGGCCAGGCCGCATGGTTCGAGTTCGAGTACACCTTTTCGACGCTGTACACGTGTCTTATATTTGTCGCATCTTTCCTTTTCTAAATGCGTTACAGTGGGCAGGTTTCAGAGACACACACGTACATTCACCCGTGTCTCAGGCTCCACGACATTGGAGTGGGGTTCTAATGTGAATGCGAGGGACGTTTGATGGCAGCAGAGCATTACGATGAGCATCGATTGGGTTCCACGGGATATTTTGTTATTTTTTTCTAGATGTTGAAAGGCGCAAGGGATATGTATGAACATAGAGACAGACACGTGAATATTTTGACTTGGCAATACGGTAATTATGCAGCATGCCCGACGCAGTCGAGGCTATTGCAACTATAGATTAATACGGCGCAATTCGCCATGTATCTAGCGATCAAATGAAGTACACATTCATTGAAATGTTCCGTTTCCTATTGGGTCGTACAACTCAAGACTGAGACTAGCATGGTGGTCCAAGCCAGCCAGAGGCTTCGGGATTTTCGGCTCGGAACAAGTCCTTGTGTAACCTTTAGCCTCTGTTGCCTTGCTCTTTCTCCTATACTGATGTAAGTTGACACGCATAATAATGTCCATACTAACCTTGAAGCTTAGCAAGACAAGCTTTGCCATGATCCACCTATGCTCCGGCGGACAGACAAGGCCCATGGCCGGTACGGGATAGGGGGTGATGAGGCGGCTGAGTCTGATGGAAGGTCATTACGAGCCGGCCTAGGGCGTCTAACGTGGCCCCAGATCGTGTCAGATTTGGGACGAGCATAAACGCGTGGCACCAAGTTTCCAAGGTGGAAGGGCTGAAAATGGGTGGAAGCTTATTTCTTGTTTCGGGGGGGGGTGGACTCATTCTGACGTTCGTGATGGGCGGGTTTTTTTTTACATCTGCCATGGGTGGAGCGAGCCTGTTCGTACGGAGCACTCCGAGGACTTGGTCTTTTTTTTTCCGGTTTATCTGGTGAATTGTTACAGATACGAATGTTGGGAAGGAATAGGGGGTTTGTTTTGGGTGGAAATGGTGGAGGTTGTATTGAGGGATACGGGATACGGGAGGGGAACCCGAGGGTCACAGTTACGAGGACAGGTCACTGAGTCGGGGACTGCGAGAAACATGGGAAGAACGCAGAATTGCTGTACGAGTATGTGTGTATGTACATGGGTAACATGGGCTTTTTTTTCTTGCCTGGTTGCAGGATGGATGCTGAACGCCATTTGAACTCTTTTTGTGTGTTCTGGAACCTTGGCGGAGCGCCGAGTTACCGTTTTCGGTGGGAATGAGTTGACGTGCGGGGAGGAGGTGAACTTTGAACGCTTGACGTGAGGAGGGTTCGGTTCGGTAAATGGTTTCCCTTGCTCTTCTTCTTCTTCTTCTTTTTGAATGGAATGTATATTGAACTGTACGGTGTGTCGAGGGTGGGGGATAACGGAGGGGATCAGGTTCCCGGTGGACAGAAACGGATTGCGCGGCGAGTGGATTCAAACCGCAAAATCTCCATGGGCCTTTTGGTGTTTAGTGATGATGACTTACACTGTACTCGTACACACCGGATGGTTACCCTGTCGCAATATTTGTCTATCCTTGCGCCCGGGCGGAGACCAGATGGATCGTATAATCGGCCCAGGTCCAAATATAGACAACACAGACGATGGGGTGAGGGAAAACCCAACGCCCTACGCTCCCCGAATTCACCGCTGCCCGGGTCTTGAGTCTGACATGAACAATTCATGGGCAACAAAAACACGCAGCAAATCCCAGTGCATCCAAGGCGGCGGTGCTCCGGCTGGTCGGCTTAGGCCCTGCCATCACCTTCCACATCTGTACGAGCACATTGAACTTGTTGGACCCCCCGCTTCGCTGAGTCTTGCTCGTTACATGTCCGAGTAACCGTGCAAACAGGTTTATCGAGAAGCCATGCTAGTAAGGTAAGGTGAAGTTTTTTGGGCGAGAGGGGGCATGGATTGTGACTGGTTACAAAACGAGAATTGCCGAGCAAAATCAAGGGACGGACAGAGGGTCGGATTGGAGCGGGAAGGGGAAAGGCGAGTAAAGGGCTTTTGCGGCTGCGAAGGGGACCACGGGATCTTTTTTTTTTTTTTTCCTTGGGGATGGACAAGACGTTTTTTGGTTACATTTTGGTTGACGGGGTGATGTGTGGGATTTGAGCTGGTTGTTCGTGCAAGTGACATGACTTTTGGGGGAGGTTGGGCACATGTATGTAAGAGCGCCTTTGTTGGTGTTGATGCTAATGCGAATGGAAATGGATGGATTTTGGGGCGCTTGTTGGATGTCAGGCTTGTCTTGATGTCTCCGCTTCCCCCGCATCTTTGTCTTTTCGGGCATATTGAACGAAAAGCCCGATTGTGGTGATGGAGGGGATGTTTCTATTCTGGTTTGGGATGTGGCATGTTGGGAATGGGAGGGTTGGGGATGGGATTGTGTACATGTGCGAATGGAGCAGAGTAGATGGTGTCAATATGGCATTTCTCGTGATGAACTTTTCAGCTTCAGGGTAAGTGCGTGTATGTGCTGTAGATGGACATTGGATGATATGAGATGGAGGTGTGAATCTGGGGTCATGGCCATGACGTAGCGTTCAAGATTCAACCTTTTCAAATGGCATCTCAGGCTGTGATGGTGCTATTAGAGTTGCTAAAAAATAGGGACCAAACTGAATATGGGTATGCATGAGAAGAATAAGTTTAATGTGGTGTCAATTTCTATACAAGTATGTTGGCCATTCTATTTCGCAAGTCACCTCGGGGGCCATCTGATTGAGAATCCAGTCTTGCCAAGCACCTTAACAGAATTCTTGTTGCTTTCTGGTTGAGTTTGGCCTCTCCAGCCATGAAAATGCAGTCGCTTCTAGAACCTCGGGGAGCTAGCAAATGGAAAATGCTTCCATTCGTCAGCTGCCGTGTCCAGTCCCAAAGAGTGAGAGCACATGCAGCCTTGGATGAATTAGATTGTGATGCTAATGCCGTCTTGCACCCCAAAAGCAAAGCCCAACCTCAACTAGTGTCTGTGTAAATGCCCTGGATATTTAAAATGCATTCGATGGCACAATGTCGCTCGCCATGTGATGAATCTGTCATGTCCTCAGCAGATCATCAATAGCCGGGAGACCACTTGACGGCTGAGCAATGGATCAATAGCAGATCTACACAAACATGAGCAACGGCACGCGCTATTGGCCCCAGCCAGCGCCTAGCCTCCCTGCTTTAGGCTCCTCGGCGGCGTCTCAGGACCCCAAAGAAACCCCGCGGCTCAGTCGCACAGGAGACACGATGTGACCACCATCCCTTTGCCTGTCCGTCTCGAGACTCCAGTCGCCAATCACAACGTCCGGCGGCCTGGATTGTCACGGGGACGCAGCCTGCTGACGGCAAGGAACATTGTGCCTTTTGATTGCTGTCTCAAGACGCCGAGGGGAGGCGAGGACAAGAGGGCGGGAGAAGAGGGAACAAGAGACCCAAAAGGAAGCCGGGTTGCTGCGAGAGTGGAGGAGGTGGAAATACATCTGCAACGGCAGACAGACACAGACAGAAACAGAGGGCAGCGGAAAGCGTATTACGTGAGGGAGAAAATACGATTTAAGATAAAAGAATAAGGAACGATGGAGATGCGTATGGATTCTGGATGGGACTGTAAGGAGCAACGCCCCGATCCCCTCTTCTCTTCCAGTTCTCAGTCGTTTTGTCTTTTTTTTTTTTCGCTTCTCGTTCAAGTAGCGAGGCTGAGATTTCGACATGTTGAACATAAAGTTGACTTTTGCCTTAGCAGCAGCGCAGATACCGCTTGCCGGTGCTGCCACACTAACTCGTGAGCCTTTCCGTCGTCTCTCTCTCGCTTCTCCTCTCCTCTCCTCTCTTTTACTCTGCCGAGAGCGAAGATGAGCTGTGATTGTTCTCGATCATGTTGCTTATTTATCTGTTAAACAGTTCGGCCATGGACATTCGCTCCACTGCCACTTGGATCCGTCAAGCCTGGGGGATGGCTGCTAGGCGAGATGATCGCCATGGCGAATGGCATGGCAGGCCATGAGCACGATTTCTACGTCTACGTGAGCGAGTCCAGCTGGCTCAACACGCCAGGTACGGGAGGGACCGAGTACAGCTCCTTGAACGAGGGGCTGCCGTACTGGTTCAACGGATTGGTGCCGCTGGCATATCAACTCGACGACGACAGGCTCAAGGCGCAGGTCCAGGAGGTTGCGGACACCGTCTTGGGATTCCAGGCCACTGACGGATGGATCGGGCCAGAGGTAGGTGATGCCAGAAACTTTTGGGCTCGCACTCCCTTCTTCCTTGGCTTGACGCAGCTTGTCGAAGCGGATAGCTCGTGGGAGACCCGAGTCATAACGGCGCTCCGCCGCTTCATGACGCTGGCCAACAAGATGCTCCGCAACAACAGCCAGGGATTTGCAAGCTGCCCTGGAAGCGTCGACTGCACTTGGGGACAGGCGCGCGTGCACGATCTCATCATTACCATCCAGTGGATGCTGGAAAAGTATCCATCCGACCAGGACTCACTACTGTGGGACAATATGAATCTGTTTTACTCTCAGACCAACTACAAGTGGGCGGATTGGTATACCGAGGGCGTGTTCCAGGAGGTGGTGAACCCTAATAATGCCTCCAATTTTCCATATATCCACGGAGTCAATGTCGGCCAAGGTACGTTGTTGTTCTCAGAGCGCTTGTACCCCCGTTGAGCCGCACTTATAACCAACCATATGCACAGGCTTAAAGGCATCGACTGTCATCTACAGAGTAACAGGGGACGATGATATGATTACTAAAAGCCAGAATGCCGTCGACTGGACATTTCAGTATCACGGCTCAGCTTCTGGATCCATCCTTGCCGACGAGAGGGAGCGCGACTTGGCCCCTTACATCGGAAGCGAGCTTTGCACAGCCGTTGAGACATCCTACTCGCTGGCCTACATGTATCAGGTCCTTGGGTATAACTCGTATGCCGATCGTGCCGAGAGGACCATTTTCAACGCGTTTCCCGTCATGATGACTGGCGATAAATGGTCTCACCAGTACATGGACCAGCCGAACCAGCCGTCCGCCCTCAACATCATCAGGAGCGACGGTAGTGTGCCGCAGGTCTTTACGACGGCAAATAGCGGCGTGGCCACAACTTTTGGCATGGAGCCTCTGTATCCCTGCTGTACGGTGAATCATCCTCAAGGATATCCCAAGTTTGTGTCTAATAGCTGGGTGATGCATGCGGGCGGTCTGGCGCACGCTCTTCTCGGCCCATCAACAGTAAAGACGGTTGTCAACGGAGGCTCGGTTACCATTACATGCGACACAAACTATCCCTTCAGCAACGTTCTCAAGTACTCCATCAAGGCAGATAAGCCTTTCACTCTATACCTGCGGGCGCCCGAGTGGTCTAATAACCGGATGTCTACCGTGTCTCAGTCTGGCGCGTCTCAATCTCGCCTCACCCTTGACGCCGACCCGACGACTGGGATGACCAAGATCTTTGTCAACCCCGGAAAGACTACCATCACATACATCATCGTTGCGGGAGTGAGGACGGAACAAAGGCCAAACAACAGTGTTGCCGTCTTTTATGGCAACTTGCTCTATGCGTTGGATGTTGGCTTCTCTCAGACTTCGTCCCTGCCGCATGCATATTATGATGCCAATGGTCCTGGAATTTCTGGGCTGCCCTTTTCTCAATTGCGAGATTACTACGTCAACAGCACTAAGCCGTGGAACGTCGCAATTGATCCCTCTACAATCCAGTATCATGGCGTGAGCAGCAACGCAACTCTCCCGGATCCCATCTTTGAGCAGGGCGCGCCACCAAACTACATGACTGTCGATGGTTGTCAAATCAACTGGCCGCTGTATCTGGGAGTGACGCCTGACGTGCCGCCTCTGAACAGGAAATGCATCGGGTCCAGGAAGTCGTACAAGCTGGTGCCGTATGGAGGGGCAAAGGTGCACATGTCGGATTTACCAACAGTCAAGTTTTAAGCCTTGGCTAAATTGCGAGGGTCGTGAGATGATAGACGATGAGATGGGATAGAGAGCGTGGTCGAATTCTTCCATTGCTTGTATATATGGAATGAGTCGATGGCCTGGCTAATAAACAGGGAACAGGGTGCGTCTGTGGCGAACATGGCGGCGAACATGAGGGACTTTGTTGGTATTTCTGCTTGTTAATTCTTTATTTTATTTTATAAATACCATGTTGTACTTGATTCGCAAGCAATGTATCAGTTACTCTTCAGGTGTTGCATCTGTGTTTGCCAACAAAGGGTGTTCGCTTCTGTCCACAGCTCCTAGAGTGGCACGGTATTGTCGACGGTGAAACTCGTTTTTTTTTGTTATATGTCCGCCATAGTCGTATTTGATTTTGGCTTTCTTCTGAGACCGAGAGACTAGGAGCAGAGCGTGAACTTTAGAAACTTTGCGACTCTGTCTGGAGGAGTTCCGACATGTGTAGGCGACCTGTCCGAAAGGTGGAATGTATCGACTATATCGAGTGAAAATACTGGGTATAATAGGTCCTTGGTGAATAGGAGGCAGACAGGTTTGCCGTGAGAGAGCACATAATGCCGCGTTGTTTGGATGATGCAATAACTTCAGTTAGTACGACCGAGGTGTTGGTTATCGGCGAGACCGACAGTTTTCAATGTTTTCGCTTCCAGTGTTTCTGAGCCATTTCTCTGCGGACGGCTTGTTTCAGTTCTTGATAACGGCCAGTATCAGAAATGCGTAATTTCTTTCGACAGGGACTTATTGGTTCATTGTGCATCTTGGAGAATTTTTTTCTTGCAGGATTTTTTGTGGTGTTTTTCTCCTTATCAAGTTCCATTGAAACAAGGTCGTTGCCGCGGGAGGAGCTGGAGATGGAATAGCTTCACCTCGGTTATGGTCAAGTAGCCAATCAGGCTTCTGGACTTTGTAGAATGGCTCTTGATAGAGCGTGCGCTATGAACACTGTCCGGACTCCACATAGCGAGGCTCGGTAATGGTCTTCCCCGTTTGGTGAATTGCCTAATCCAACTCAGGAGCTCCGAAGCTCCGGACCGGGCGCCAGTACTCGCCGGCCGTAGGCCATCCCGAGCTGTGACAGGTGCCTCTGATACCTCGCCCAGTTGTTGTGATGCAATATGCGGCGGGACTAAGAGAGAAGTGTCCTGTGATGTAATTGAGAGTGAAGTGGTGGAGGCAGGATCAAGTCCGTGTAGTCTTTCTAGAGTTATTTAAGTCTGAGAATGTCTCTCTTTAGTATCAATTCGCTACACTCATCAAGAACTCATCAACATATCCATCTTAACTCAACGATCTAAAGCATTCAGAAATTGCAACATTTCAAGTCATTCAACTATTCAAAGTTTTCATAAACTTCACGACACAATGGCCAATTTGTGGCAACCCCCTCTGAACTACCTCAACAGACCCGTCACCGTTTTAGGTGCTGGTGTTCTCGGTCGTAGGATAGGTAGGCAATTCTCATAACAACACATGTACTAAGATAGAGGCCAATACTAACAAATCTGCATAGCATGTATCTGGGCGTCGGCAGGATACAATGTGAAGATTCGGGATCCCAGCGCACAGCAACGTGCCGATGGCGTTGCGTACGTTGAGGAAAACGTGTCTTCGTACGCTCAAAAGACTGGAAAGTCTCCTGGAAAGGCAGAGGCGTTTGAAGATATTCAGACTGCTGTCTCGGATGCATGGCTTGTTATAGAGGCTGTTCCGGAAAAGATTCAGCTGAAGATCGATACTTTTGCCGAGCTCGACATTCTCACACCTACCGACTGCATCCTGGCTTCGAATTCATCTTCTTACAAATCATCCGAAATGCTGGAGAAGGTGTGTGATGCTAGGAAAACTCAGATCCTGAACATGCATTACTATATGCCTCCGGAATGCATGATCGTTGAGCTTATGACAGACGGCCATACAAACCCGGAGATTTTCCCATTCATGGTTGCAAGGTCACGAGAAGCAGCGACATTACCGTATGTTGCAAGGAAAGAGTCTACAGGCTTCATCTTTAATCGTCTCTGGGCCGCTATCAAGCGCGAGGCTTTGACCATCATGGCCCAAGGGGTATCGGTTCCGGAGGAGATTGACTCCATGTGGACGGAAATGTTCATCAAAGGTGGCATGGCGCCTTGCCGAGCCATGGATAGTAAGTATTTCTCGCGTTTAGCATTGTTGGAAGCGGTCGACTAACGAGTAATTTCTTAGATGTTGGTCTTGATACGGTGGCTTTCATAGAGAACCATTATATCGCAGAGCGTGGCTTATCCCCTGAGTATACTGTCGACTATTTACAAAGCAACTTCTTGGACAACGGGAAGCTGGGGACCAAATCTGCTAAGGGTGGCCTCTATGCTCCTTCGGAAGCCAAGCCCGCCACTAACGGTACCTCGAACGCGCCCAAAATGCTCGTTCTGGATGTTGGTCTTTCTGCTGCCGCACCGAGCATGAGCTCAGGCGAAATTCTCCAATTTAGTCCCGGTGAAAAGAAGCCACAAGTTTTGGTCACGGGTCAAGCATTGCCTGACGGTATCGATATTGACCGTCCCAGTGGCCGTATCTTCTGGTCTAACATGGGCATTCCGGGGAAGACTGATGGAGCCATTTACTCTGCCAACGCTGATGGCACTGACATTCGCACTCTTGTGGCTCCCGGCATTATCAACACCCCCAAGCAACTGATTGTCGAAAGTTTGGACAAGAAAATCTACTTTAGCGATCGTGAGGGCCTTTCTGTTTACCGCTGCAACTTTGATGGCTCTAATCTGGAGTTATTGATCCAGAACGGCGATCTTGAGAACCAGGAGCATAGACAAGATGTGTCGCGATGGTGTGTCGGTGTCACCGTGGCCCCCAAGCTGGGCAAGTTTTATTGGAGCCAGAAAGGCCCCTCAAAGGGCAGCCAAGGCCGGATTTTCTGCGCAAACATCGCAACGCCCGCAGGCCAGACGGCCGAAACAAGAGATGATATCAGGTGTCTTTTGAAGGATCTTCCCGAAGCAATTGACCTTGAGGTTGACGAAGAGACCAACGCTCTCTACTGGACTGATCGTGGTGAAATTCCCTTTGGTAACTCCTTGAACAAGGTTCAACTGGATGAGTTTGGCCTTACATCAAAGTCTCTCTCTTTTGGAGATTATGAAGTGCTCACGAGGCATCTCAAGGAGGCTATTGGCCTGAAGTTGGACACCAGGAATGGTCATATCTACATGACTGATCTCGGAGGCAACATTTACCAGTGCGATCTCGACGGCAAAAACAAGAGTGTTATCTACTCGGATGACTACAGAGCTTTTACTGGAATCACTCTGTTGTGAGTGGGGTTCCTCTCAGTTCTGGCTTTGTTCATCTCGATCTGTGGCCTGAACCCACAGTCTTATTTATTCTTCACCACTATCTGGATAGGATATTGTAAACAATAGTTATGGAAGTTATTTAAAAACGATAGAATAATAAAGTGTGTCAATGAAACAATGAAATCTGCCGCGAATCATTCAATTTCCCCCCCTTCTAAATGTGTCTTGTGGTAAATCTACGTTTGCATCTTGTTGGTATCGTATCACCATCCTTCTTACAGCGCAATTTTGGGGATATTATTAGGTCCTCAAGGTTGATTGGGAAATAGTAGGATATGGCTTACTGCGGATCTAGAACGACATTTTACAGACCAATCAAGTTGATTTAGACTGTGCTGTAACTTGGCTATCAAAGGGAACGCATTTCTTGCCGCAGACATGAGGCAATACCATGTTGCCCATACATCTATGTGGAACAACTTGTCCTCATAGATGAAAAGATTGAGGCAAGTATTGAAGGTTAACGGAATGACCGAGTTTTAGAACGAACAGAACACATTCAAGATCCGAGATGTCTGCCGCTGTGTAATAATCATGTGCCTATGCAAGATAAATAAAGAAATAAATCAACTTGGCTATGTAAATACATGGTGAATCCTCAGTACCTCAGACTGTGTTGCTGCAGACTATATCAGCCATGTGTTTCCGATGCATAGCCCTTGTCTGATAGTCCATCTGACGGAGTGTCCTCAGCACTTCATCGATGGTATGTCCTTTGGCCATTTTGGCGCTTTTCGTTGTTTCGCTGTGGTCCTTTATTGTTTCTAAGGATTCCTCACTACTGGTGGACATGAAAGAGGCATGCCGAGAGGCCTGGTGCTCATCGAAAATCTGCTCCGTGCTCTCCTGGCTCTCTACCAGTTGAACTTGAGGAAATTGTACAGGGAATAAGCCATCGAATTCGCAGATTTCTTCGCAAGGTGCATTACTCCACGGCAATATCTGGTCTAAGTTATAGTGTCCCTGATTTATTGTCCCAATTGGATATATTGATGACTCTTGATGAAAATTTGGTATCCAAGGATCCAGAATATCCGGTTCGCTTGGGGAAGTAACCGAATATAGATAATCCTCGTTGCCAGTAGCATAATCGATAGTGTGAAGCTCCATATTTGTCGCACATGGTTCCTGGTATAGCTGTTGTAAATCGGTAGCTGTTTGAGGATAGTGTGAATTTGAAATGGAGATGTTCTGCGATGGGGCTCTATTCGATGAAAGTTTGGGGGTTATCGACGCTGAAGAGGCCCAGTCCAGGGTCATCTGTCATCGTTAGAACACCATTCGCAGGCACATCAGCCGCAGCTACCTCACCTCTCGAGGTTCGAGCGTCTCCTGTAACGTTTCTGGCGGCTTGGTAGTATCAAAGATATGGTTGGGTAATGACATGGTGACGGTTGGTTTGTATGAATCCTGGCTAGAAAGGCATCCTCAGCCCCATATCTATATATTGCCAGCTTGCAAAATGTGCAAAAAATACAAGGGTCATGCTAGCTGCGATTCTTCTCGCCAGGCCAATGATGTGAGCCGGAGTCATCTCCGTGAAGAGGGGCTGCAGAACAGCCCACGACAAAAGGCCGTCATGCTGAATGTATAATTTACAGATGATTATGAAATGCGCATTCGTAGGGCATAATTCATGGAAACTTCTAGAGGATTAGCCGTAGCCCTCGAGAATCAGCTCCATATTTAATGTCGCGTGCCTTTATTTAGAACAATGATTTGGTAGTGACGTAGATTGGCTGCAAGTTGATGTGATATTTACAGGTATGCGAATACATGGATTTACCAATCACTGTTGGCCACGAAGTAAATTACCACAGGTATTTTCATGCACTGATTATAATGTACCCCAGTGCATTGGAACAGGGCATCAAAAGCCTGAGCTAGTTTATATGGCTGTTGTGATAAGTCAAAAGAAGAAAGAGAGCTTTTTACACAAAGCTATCCATATAACCCAGACACAGTTGGAATTGCAGCTATGATATGTGATATGGCCTCAGACATCAACATGATACTGGTAGAGGACATCTTTAGACATAAGCCCGGATTGTAACAAGTGAATCGGGGAAATTCACAATGATTTAGCTTCTTGAGATATCTGGTCCTGAATAACGCCACTATCTCCTTACGTGTCTTTCTACAGAACCGGGTTTGTACGTTTAAACGCCTGTGATAAAAGACAAGACTAAGAGTATGAGCCTTTTACGAGAGCAACTTGTTTAGTTGGATGCCTCACCAAGAATTGCGCAATGATAGATGAGATTAAAAAAAAAGGGTAACAGAACCCTGCATATCTGCACTCTCGTCGCTACAAGATCAGTCTTGATGTCTACGTCAGTTGTTCAACATGTCAAGAATTGTTGAAGCGCGAGAATGTATTCAGTTACTTAATTCTCTTGATCAATTTTCTCAATTGTAGATGCTTGAATGTTAATATAAATCGAAGACTCATGTAACAATCTGAACAACGCAGATTTGCGTGCAGCCAATTTCTGCCTGCAGGGTGTTGTGAGGATAAAATTTGAACGTCAACAAACGACGCACCCGTGACATCATCGGAGACTGCTCCGTAAGACCTCTTATTGGCTGCTAGTGAGCTCTGTTATCTGAGCGGAGGGTTACGGAACAAGTAATACGAGTATGGCTATCTATGTAGATGCGGAGAGAATTCGCCACTCGAAATTACTAACCAACAAGCAAGCTTAAGGGAAAGCAACCAATTCGCACATGGGCGGGGGAGCTGGGCTTATGAAGAACCTTAGGCACTGAGACGAAGTGACAGAATGCTTCAGACATCCACTACCTTTCTCAATTGGTGTGTCATAGCATCAGATGAGAACTGCATTGTCTGGCCAGTGGCTGTTGCGTAAACATGGCGAAGCGATACCAGCCGCTCCTCCCTACCAGCTCAAGGTCCCAGTTGGACACAGAGCAGACCGGAACGAGCTCTCAGCAATTGAAACGTCGTCGCAGCGGCGTGGCGGTAGCTTGTAATGCCTGCCGCCGAAAGAAAATACGAGTAATTCTTTGGATAATCTAGTGCGAGTAACAGCTTTTGAACTCTGTCTGATGCTGGCTACAGTGTGATGGCATGCGTCCAACATGTTCGGCGTGCCGGGGGGTCGCGATCCGGTGCACATACCGCGACGACTATAAACTGACTCCAGAATCGCAAAAGCTTCTTGTTGAAGTGATGCGTCTTCTCAATGCCCTCCCGGAAAGAGAGACGATTCGTTTACTGCATTCGCTAAGGAGTGAGAATGACGCGGCAGTGATTTTATCCACGCTGAGAGATGGGGTGCCCTCGATTCGCCGACCATCTGAGCTTCGTAATGCTGTTGCGATTATGGATGATTCATTTCAGTCTCTCGAGCTCGAATCTCAAAACCCAAATGCATATCCGTTTTTACCGCCCGTCATGCCCCAGACCCTATCGAAAGAGGCGTATTCTCAGCTTACCACCTCGGACAGGCGGCAGACTGCCTCAGCGTCTCCGCCCTTGTTCTGGGATGCTGATCCCACGGAATCACCAATATCACTTTGCGACTCTCGGTTATTCCAAATCAACATCAGTCATTGGACCAATGTTCCAGTGTCAAATGAAACGGCTGCCCGCGCCATATCCCTGTACTTGGAGACAGATCACCCTCTGCTGGGATACTTCGACCCCAACCTCTTTGTATCGGACTTGGTAAATCTTAAACATGACTACTGTTCTCCAATGCTGATAAACGCGCTGCTATATTGGGCTTGTGTAAATCTTGACCTTTACTTTCGTCCCTAACTTACATTGCTAATGTTGACAGCAATAGCAAATGTACAGCACGGTAGACCCAAGCATCGACGTACATGCAGCCACATTCTGTACGGAGGCTGAAAGTATATGGAAGACCGAGAAAGAACACGACTCGATTCTCAACCTGGCTGCAGCCCTATTTTTAAGCTTGGGCTACCTAGGTCAGGGAAGAGATCATGCTGTGCTGTCATATATATCACAAGCTACCAAGATGGCCATGCGACTAGGTCTCTTTGGCGTCGAAGATAATGGCCAGGCAAAGGTCAAAGTTGATAAAATGACGGCAGAAGCAGCCAGCGCCTACTTACATGCTGCTTGGGGCTCATTCAACTGGATCAGGTACGTTCCACTCTCCAATCCCCCTTCTAGTTAAGCAAAAACGGACCACGATTACTCACTCAAGGATGTTTTGTCTTCGCCCTTACGTGTAGTCTTATGTCGCTCTTCTATCGTCAGCCAGGGTTAGAAGCGCCTAAAGGTCCCCCATACTTGCCCATACCCGGGTTTGAACACGACAACGGTGTCGACGGAGCGGCGGGTCCTGGTTCGCCTAGCTTACAGCCTCAGTTCCAGTATATGGGAGGCGTATTTCCTTATTTATGCAAATTCTGGAGCATCATGTACCAGGTGAGCTCAACCTATGACGACACCCAATCGCCTCTGAGCGGCCTTGGCACATTGCACTTCGCGGAATTCAAGTTCCGCGAATTGCTTGCTTGGAGCAATACCCTCCCCTCACATCTCTTGAGAGTCAACCAAAATCCGCATTATGTCCAGGTTTTACAGTAAGTCCTCGCCTTCCCTACACTATACACCTTCCCCCTGTTGCATCTTGTATGGTGCTGACTCTTATCGGCGGCCCCAGCATATGGTTCCATACTGCCGTTCTTTGTCTTTTCAAACCATGCATCCAACAACTCGGAATCGCCCGTCTTCGAACCCTTCCAAAGAGTATCAGTTCCCCGGAACTCGTGTATGCTGCCTCTATTTCCCAGTTGAAGCAACTTGTTGTGAACTATAGACTCCATTTCGCATCTTCTACGTATACCATTTTGTGGCATACAGCCCTGATATATCTCACCAACGAGATTCTCAGCACACCAAAAGATGACGACTGGTTGTTTTATTTTTTGCTTTGTGTTTATGGTTACGAACAACTGCGCCGGTCTTGGCGAGTTACGGCGTCCATTTCAAGAGCACTTTTGTCGATGGCGTTACGCAAAGGGGGCATCACAAGTAGTACGGCTCGCCGAATCATGAAAGATCTCCAGAGTGACAACTTTCGCAAGAAGTTCGGTGAAATCAGAGCAACATTCATGGCAGATTTGGACCTGGCCGCGACGGATCCAAGTTCGGCAACCGTTGAGAAGCAGGCAGGAGACTTTGAGCACAATGCTATGCTGAGAGATTACACGAATATCCTGGATGAAGATTAAAGATAATTGGCTGGAATATAATGCTTCGAATGGTTGGAATTAATTTTCAGAATATTTTTCTATAAGATTTTCGTCTAATCTAGTAGGTTCTTTAAAATTGGTCTATGCATGATGGGATAATAAATAGCATATCTATAAGCAATGCGAAATGATGGCAGAAATTGCAGGTAAAGGTCGGAAACCACCCCAGCCTGTTAGAAGCAAAAGATTTGATCCGTCATCTTTCCAACGGCTCCTGGAGCTTCGAATCCCATTGCCACCAATGCCTTCTTAGAGGCGTTTACCATACCAGGAGGCCCGCAGAGCATAACTTTGGTGTCTGGCGATGGCGCTGGTAGTTTTGAAGTCATGACGGCCTGCGTGACGAATCCCTTTCCATAGGCCCATTTCTGAGGAGGCTGATCTAACATGTACCAGACCTTGAAGTTTTTGGGGTAGTTCTTGGCAAATGCGTCAAGTTCTTTGCGCAGCAGAATATCCTCTTCGGTTCGGTTGGCAAGAATCAGGCTGACCTCGGTTGTGTCTTTATCGTCTTCGCAGATGGCGCGAATTAGTTGATACATTGGTGTAATTCCCGTTCCTCCTGCAATCATCCCGATCTTCTTGCAGAGACCTCTCTTGTACCGCATGGCGCCCTTTGGACCACGGAAAAGAACCTTGTCGCCCACCTTTAAGTTTGCCAGGTATTTTCCGGTTAGTAAACCATCTGGATAGCACTTAATGACCAGTTCCAATCTGCCGAGATCGGCGTTGTTCGAAACTGGCGTATATGATCTGGAAACGTCTGCTCCATCAATGACGGCTTTGATAGCGACGTGTTGGCCGATGGGAATGCCAATCACATCATTTGGGTTTGGTAGCTGAAACACAAAGAGAAAGACATTTGGCGACAACGTGTCTTTCCTAATCAACGGAAGGCTTTTGTATTCTTTGGGCTCTAGCCAGCCTCGAGCAAGCTGTGGGTTGCCTTTGGCGACACTGTTGCTCTTCAAATGCGGGGGGTATTTTGTAAAGCCTGACTCGATTTGAGTAAATTTTGACAGCTGGGTTCCAAGGACACCCCCAGCAGCAGCACACAGGAGACTGGCTGCAATAAATCCGTTTGAGAATCCTCCCTGGGGCAAATGGACGGCTGGAAGCCAGCGAGGCGACAACTGAGAGAGAGAAGCCTTCCCCAAAACCTCGGGCAGATTGAGTTGGCCATTCGAGGCAAGTAATAGTGACAAACCACCAGCAATTGGGATAGCTGCCAATGTAAGTGTGGCGATGGAGGACGATGAGGGCTTGGCGGACATTGCACTCTCGGCCGTTTTCTGGACTAATCGAACAGCCTTGGGACGGACAATCTCATGAGCATCTTTGGCGGTGCCAATTAAATAGGTTTTCAGGATCCCATCGGCATCTTCAGAATGTCCAACCTCTTCGTAGGCCGCCGTTGCATCGGTGCCGGCAACGTCAATTAGGACATCCGCTCCACCAGGGTGGTCTCGCACGTATTTGGAGACATCATAGACTAAATATGGCCAAGTTAGCGAAGAAGAAAGCATTATGAGGCGTTGCCTCAATGAAAATATCTTACCCTTCCCGTGGATCATAACCCACAAGTCATCTCTGGTCTTGTGTGCCGCAACTTCTTCCGTAGAATACTCTTGCATGGCTGCAATATTACTCGAGAAGTTCTTGTACTAAGGAAAGTAGGAGAATTAAGAATAAGCTGTCTTTTTTATAAGAAGAAACGAGAGGAATTTGGCCGATAGAAGTGTCTTAGATCTGACCAAAACAAAGGGTGATGATGGAGGTAGAGAACTTTGTTGAATCATCTTGACAGAATCCTTTTGCTAACAGACTTTCTCTTCCATATATATGTTAAATCGCCCGTATAACATATCAACCGAAGGAATCGAGACATTGCATCCATCCCCAGCGTGTAAGTTGGCCCCCACTATATCGGGCATTCCGAAACAGTTGCCGCGGAAAGATTCACACTGTCTCTGCCTCGCCGAGTGGCCTTCCCGAGCCAATTATCTTATTTGGATTGCGAAAAAGTGATCCTCGGGTAGGCATTTCAGGAGCATTGCCGAGGATAGATGTCAATGCAGTGCAGGAATAACGTCATTCACACAACTGGATGGATTTGCTGGCAGTTGTAGGCCCGGTTTCGCGATCCCGAGATTGCAAAATCCGGCGCCATTTGAATTGTACTTAAAAGTCTTCAACTTCGCACAAGATGAGATTTACAAGAACACAGACACATCATCGAAAGTTAGTGTTGCTACGTGTGACGACTATAACATAACACCATGGCAGTACAACAGTTTTATCTCCTTGGAGAGCCGATAACATCTGCGAGAGAAATCGACATCTCATCAAACTTGGACCTCGATGGACTCAAACACTTAGTTGCCTCTTATTTTGCCATTGTCGAACCAAACGGTAAGTTCTCATAGGGAATAACTTTGTCTTCTTTATTGGCACAAGTTAATGACAATCTACTAGGAATTGAGTTCCAAGTCCAGGAAAGCGCATTGCAAGAAGTCTCAGACATCGTTTCCATCACTGGACCAGTGGCTATCTCTATCGATGGACATGCTGTCCGTGACCCTCCCGGTCCCAAAGGGCTGCCCTATCTTGGCAACTTCTTTGAGATTTACCCAGACCACTTGGGTAATCATCAGCGTCTTTTTCAGCATTACGGACCTGTTATAAAGACCACTAACATGGGCCGTATTGTGTATCAAACAAATGACCCGAACATTGCCCTCATTGCTTTTGCCGAGTCCGACTTCTTCACGAAGAAAATTAATGAGGCCCATCCCCTTTACGCCCTGAAAACGCCAGCGGCCGGCGTGTTCTTGGGAGACACCGATACGGAAGAATGGAAGGTCGCCCATAAATTCTTACCTCCTGCTCTTGGCCCCAAAGCCGTTCGTCACTATGCACCGACTATGCAGAAAACAGTCGAAGATGCTTCCAAAGTGTTTGATGCGCTGGATGAACAGGGTGAAGCGTGGAATGTCTATCAGTATATGCTGAAGCTTGGCTCCCAAGCCGTTGGCAAGCTCACCTTGGGCCTCGACTTTAACCATTTTTCTTCACCTGATGCACCGGTTCATGAGATGGTTCATCTGATTGCTGAGGTGCTATCGCTAAACAAGAAAGTCACGTCCAAGGGCGATTGGTATAGCAGCCTGCCCTTTGGTGATCCCAAGCGCTTGAAGGATGTGAAGCACCGGGTCGAAGAAATGGTCGAGGAGTCTATTCAGAGAGCTGCTAGAGGCGGCGTGGAAGATCTTCCTCTGCAAGATGCTGCCATAGAGGCAACGAACATGGTTGGTGAGTAGTCCCGTGTCCTAGTTATCGAGTCTACCCACGCCGATACTGACAATTGCCTAGACTATGCGATCCGAGCTATCGACAACAAAGGCGAAAAGCTACCAAAATCTAGCCTCGTCTGGGCTCTTGTTGTCGCCACTGGTGCTGGCTTCACAACTACCAGCTCCCTGCTTTCATGGCTCATCTATGGATTGGTCACCTATCCAGGAATGCAGGAGAGACTCCTTCAAGAGCTAATCGACAACGATTTCACCGAAGAGACGCAGATTACTTCAGATTACACGGATCGTTTAGTGTTCCAAGATAAATACATCAAGGAGATGCAGCGAAAACACAACCCGTCATTCCAACCTGGACGAACAGCAAAGACGGACCTTATTCTCCCGGGTGGCTATAAGATTCCCAAGGATGCTGTCATGATTCCTGCTTTGCATCACATCCACCATAATCCTGAGCTGTGGAGCAACCCGGAGAAGTTCGACCCAGATAGGTGGGACACGGATGAAGTAAAGAACAGGCCAAAGGGGTCGTATATGCCATTTGCCGCAGGAGGACGAATGTGCATTGGGTTCAACTTCGCCCTCCAAGAGATCAAAGTCTTTTTACCAAAGTTGATTTACCGATACAAATTCACCCGCGAAGGAGACGCGACAGTCGAGTACGATCCCATGTTCCAGCTAATCAGGCCGAACAACTTGTATGTGCGAGCTGAAAGGCGTGTCAAGTGGCCGCCCAAGTCTGGTGCTGCTTCTCCTAAGAATACTACCGCATAAGTTTCGAAACACAGGGCAGAAACTTTTTCTGGAAAGCTGAGTGCTGCCATAACCATGAGAAAAGATTATTAGAAGATTGATGCTCAACGTTCACACCATGTACTTAGTTTCCCAATCATAGAACTTAGATAGAATTTATATCAATTATGATGCTTTCGTTCTCCAACTACCTATATGAATAACTTTGGTAGATTTGAATGAGTTGGTTCCATTGACTTGGCCAACTGATGCCGTACCCATGGGGAGCTGACACTACTTTAATCGTCGTCAAATTACACTTGGCCGATATTAAGACTTACGTATTTGCTTCAAAGTACAAACCATGAAGCCATTAGTCAGACGGCTAGTAAATCGATTCATCTAGAAATTGAGTTGATGCAGACGTCCAAAAGGTGTTCTATCTAACGCGCACGAAACTTTGACGCAGTTCGACTTATGTATAGAAATAGGTCACTTTACCATTATATGAGATACATTCTTTCACACGTACACTTACATTTTGCTCTTTTTATATTTATATATCTGACATGAGTTTACGAGCAGCTAATAGTGACGTATACTCTCCTGAAGACATGTTAATTAAGGCTTTACACTGACAATTGATAGTACCTTACCTGACGCCAGCCATCTCTGAGTTAGTACTCTTAATGCTTCTTGTATGGTGGCTAGGGAACGAGCATTATCCACTGCTGGCTCTTCTGGTAAACTAGATAGTATAATACAACTTTGGTATAACAAATGCATTATGAATGGTGAGACGGTTGGTAAAGGGACAGTGCCCCCTGGAAGGAAATTCTGGGACATGCGAGCAGATTCTCGAGCTATTACGCCAGGATCGACCGTGGGGTAACTAAATGACTGACTGCCAGTCAGGGCTTTTATTTTTTCCGAGGACGATGATTGTTCGAGCAATAGAAGTGCACTATTTGTTTTGTCAACACGTTGGGGAAACAACATGTGTGTTGGTTTATCCTTACATGTAGCACGCTGCTGTCTGTGTACAAAATTCAAGACTTCTCGTCTCTGCTTCCGATTGAGAGAGGTGGATAAGGGCGTGAAGAGTGCGGTTCAATTGTGCGGCTTCTTGCACGTAGAAAGCGTCATCTCTAGGCTCATCAGAGACATGTCTGAGAACTTGTCCCAAAAGATATGTTGCTTGAGCAAATCGTGCAAATCGTCCCATTCGTAATTGGGCTTGAGATCCTATGGTGAACGATTCGGTTACATGCAACAACTGAATAACTGTCAGATTGCAGAATATTTGAACGATATCCAATACATACCCCCCGCTCCCATGAAGCGTCGTCAGCTGGTAGAATGTCACCAGTTGCCGGGTCCGCAGTAGCAAGCATACGTGGCGGATTTCCCAAGTTTATGAACCTTCAGAAGACATTAGCTAGATAAGTTACCGGTTGGGTAAATGAAGAAATGTGCGGGTGCTGCCCCATCAAAATAGACCATCTAAGTAGTGCATACCTGTCTAGAATCAAAATCGCCCACCAGACCCTTCTTCTCTCCTCTACATTATCCCATGGGAGTCCCGTTGCGTTACTCTGGTTTATGTCCTTGTTAAGTCCCAGTGCTACTGCATGTCTAGCGCATGTGCCAACAGACATATAAGCAGCCGGATAAATGCAGTGTCCAAGCTCGTAAAGCGCTATGAAGATGCCAGCTTGTACGAGCCTGATGCTCAGATTCCCAGCGTTCTCCAGCTCAAAGAAGAACTGTTTCGCGGCAACATACGCTGGGGATTTAGGACTTTCAGATGGGGTTGGTGTCCAATTTATCAGCTGCATAGAAATCAGGAGCAGAGTGGAATCCGCATGGACTGGGGATAGTGGGCTGAGGAGATGCTGGTATATCCAAGTCTTTGATATACATGGCATATATGCATAGACATTACTGAAGAAGGTCGTCACCATCTGCCGCACCTCTTCATATCCACCCAGAAAGTCGCTGACATATGCCGGAACTGCTAGACTAGGCCGCGGAAGTTCCAGTCGAGCCTGGCGAAAGATGTTCATATCCAGGAAGAAAGAAGGCGGGAATGGTTGCTGCACAACTCGTTGTTGGGCCTGAAGGGCAATCAAGGAGCTGTGCGCGTTGGATGGCCGAAGACCACTTGGATATTCACATTTTCCACCGTTTCTGCTAGATGTGAGTATCTGGGAATACATGGAAAGAGGTGCAGTTATACCTTCGGCAATGTCCGCATTGCGGCAATGCTTTGTCACACTTCCCTTTCCTCTGCTTGCATCTATTACAAGCAAAGGGGGCAAGCATCTTGTCTGCGGGAGTTGCCGTCTCAACCTTGCATGCGGACTCTTCGGACTCGCGGCCGTGCCCGTAGCGGCGGCCGGCGACTCTTATAGGAACCGGTTGACCGTGATTACCAAGCACGCTGTCCGCGCATTAGCGACATAGAACAGGGAGCTAAACTCCCGTGGTGCGTGATGCTTGGAGACCGCTAGACTTGCGTGGGCCAAGTACGCAGATTCCAACTTGCCCGGCGCTAGCCTGGTTCTCAAGTGTACGTGGAACGTTTACATTAGTTGGCTTGGAATAATACTGGACTCTGTAGCCTCGTGAAGAAATGACATAACCAGATGTTGTATAATTACAGTTGCACATAGAACTCCAAAGCAGTTATACTAATTATAGCTCTACACTTGAGCACAGAATGGGTATGTCTGTATTTGTAAGATTTCTCTAATACTCTGGAATCAAGTCAGTCGTGTGTTCTAATGTGAGTTTTCCAAGTATATAAGATGCCTTGTACGACATGTAGGAGAGGTTTTACTGTTCTCATCAACAATTAGATCTCGACGATTCCATTTACCAATCTACTCATCAAACTACTCTTCAATCTCTGCTTCTCCAATTCATCACCAGCCATGGCATCCAAATTCCGTGTTTTGATGGTCCTCTCATCGGCCTCCAAGTTCACCACAACTGGCGCCCCTACAGGGTGGTACCTCCGTAAGTCTTGAACCTTACAAATGAGAATAGTTGATCTTAGAACGGTCCCTAACTCAATGCTTTAGCCGAGTTCGCTCACCCATACAAGGTCTTGAGTGAAATTGCCGATATTACAGTTGTCTCGCCAAAGGGCGGTCTCTCTCAAGTTGACCCAGGCTCGGTCAAGAATACGGCGACAACTGATTCGCTCTCTCACTCTTTCTTACGTGACAATGAATCAGTGTGGTCCAACACTGGCAAAATCAGCGACTATGTTGGAATGGGAAACGAGTTTGACGTCATCTGCCACCCAGGTGGCCACGCACGTATGTCCAATGTCACAATCGTTCACTCGGGTAGCATAAATACTGATTTTCCTAGCTCTGTTTGACTTGGCCGAGGATAACGACCTGAAGACCCTGATTAGTGAGCTTTATGAAGCTGGCAAGATCGTTGCAGCAATTTGCCACGGTGTTATTGTTCTCAAGGATGTCAAGCTCTCCAACGGCCAATACCTGGTTGCTGATGAGCCAGTTACTGGCTTCAGCAACGAGGAGGAGGACAAGGTTAATTTGACCGATGCATGCCCGGTGCTTGTGGAGACAGAGTTGGTCAAGATGGGAGGCCGTTTCGAAAAGTCAGACGCTCCATTCAAGGCACATGTCACTGTTGCACACAACGGACGTCTAATCACTGGACAGAACCCAGCTAGTGCTCCAGGATTTGCTGAAGCAATCAAGCAGTCGCTCCTCAAGGCTTGAAGTGCGATATCAGGGCTTGACGGCTCACGATATAAGAGGATAGCTTCAAATAAGCTCTAGTATAGATAGATTTGTTTAATGTCAAGTTACTGTTTCTTTAATCTTCGATATATTGTGCAATTCTTATCATACAAAGTGCTCTCCTTTTTGTGCTATATTGCGATTGGACAATAAAACAAACCGATGCACAGGCAGTATCGGCACATCGCGGTCAGTAAACTCGACTAGTTTACTTCCACCTATTGCAACCGTCCCCACCGCCATCTTCGGAATCACGGTAAGCGGCAGGATCACGGCAAGCAACGGCGTTTCGTGCAGTGCCAAGGCATAAACTAGCCCTTCCGGGGGTTTGTTCTCCAGCGACTAGTACAGAGGGATGACGGGCTAATGTCGCTTGAGGATGCTAGCAAGACTGCATCTACACTGCCTTTACGATGAACAACAAACTTCTCCTACTTGGTCTGGAATTTGGGAGAATCTGACGCCGTTATAGAAGAGTTCTTGAGGATTAGCCGTTTAATCCCGCTATTTCTTCTACAGGCACGGAAATAAAGACGAGCCCGGGAAAATACCTATTCACCAAACGCATCATTTACCTGAAAAACCAATAAATAGTCAACTTGGAAAGCTACATCTCAGTCCGAATAACTCATGGAGTAGTTGGGGATGACTAATTTTCTTGGGTATTTATAGTAAGGACCTACGGAGTACATGCAGCTAAGATTCTGCACTCTTACGCGAAAAACGTATAGGTGTATCGCGACACAATCTACGGGGAAGCAGACAAGACGGCTGCAGATAATAAAGCCGCTCTTCTTAATTCCAAAGGCGAGATCATCCTCCCATACCTTAATTGAGGTTATCCAGCAGCAGTTGAGAATTTGCTAAAGACTTCAAGTTTGTTTCTAAGAGACCATATCAGATGTACCTGGGAATATCACTGGTGTTGTAATCTCTGCCCAGCACTTAAAGACGAAGTAAGGCGGCAAACAGCAATTGAATACTATTTGCAATAGTATCCTTTCTCCTCACAAAGGTTTTCACCCCTTTTTCGTAATAGTTGCAAAAACTGCCGCTCCTGTTCGTCCGAGTAGTGTGGGTGGCATCATCGGCTATCTCACGTTCACCACCCTGGAGGGATAGACCTCAACAACATGGATTAAATTGGAGATGTTAATGCATTGACAAAATATGGCATTAGTAAAGCCGGCAACCACACTCATGAGACACGGTCCACCAAATTGCACAAAACCGATGGCAGCATAAAAATTGGACTCTAACACACATGCCTAGCTGGCAGAGACTTGCGATTGAGGTGGTAGTTCTATTCAGCAATTCATAACGCTTACACGGGACTGCCCGCTGATCTTTCGCTGGATGTGAGCTTGGAGTAGACTGGTACTTGGATCTAGCCCTGGGACCACTTTGGTAAATAAAGAATTGACTCGGAAAATGTGTCTAAATCTAAGATTAAGAGTTATACTGGCGTCGCAAGGGAATTTTGGAGATGGCCTGAGGAGCAAACCAAGCAATATCGCCAATAGCTATTAGTTGCATGTTTACCGATCGAGGTGCCTGTAATTACCTACATGTATACAGAACCCATTTCATCTAAAAAACATTGGAAGGTCTTCAACACAAAAAGTATCCCGACGAGATACAGCACACTGCCTGCATTTTTGGATCCAAACTTCAAATTGCCATATGGAGTGACATAATCTTCATTCTCTTATCAAATAACCGATAAAATAAACAAATCCCGACGATAATTCATCTAGGATCGTACCTTCGGCCATTGTGATTAAGCGTGGTTTTCCCGGTCGCCACGTCAGCAGCCTGTGTGGCCTCATGGCTGCGCGTGGTGGTTTTAGTTGTTTACATGCTCGAAGAATTGATCCGGCAAAGACTGTGAGCTAGGCTTTCCGCTACCGCTGGCCCTTGTCAACGCTACAAAAGGAGTGTTTCCGAACTTTCACTGCAGAAAATGGACGCCCTCAAGAACGAGCTTCGCACAACATACGCTGCCTTGAATGCCACGTTCAGAGACCACCTCGAATCTCAGGGCTTTGATGACGCGATAATCGATCATTATGTGCAGGTGAGTATGGTCAAAGTCAGTGGAATCCTGCGTGCAGTGTCTAACCCCATGCAGTGCTTCTCTGCAAACGTTGGAACCGGCAAACTCCATCGCGGGTTGGCAACCTTATACATTGGAAAGCAACTTGCGAAAAATGAAGTAACCGAGGAGCAGTCAAGCCAACTGTGCGTCCTAGGATGGCTTGTCGAGATGCTGGGAGCGCATTATCTCATTCTGGATGACATAATGGATGAATCGACAACCCGTCGTGGCGAACCCTGCTGGTATCGCCAGCCACATATCGGTCTCATGGCCATCAACGACGCCTGCATACTGAAATCTGCCATTTTCTTCTTCCTCAAGAAGTTCCTACGCCAACATCCCGCCTATATCGATATTGTCGAGCTCTTCGTCGACCTTGGGCTTCACACCGAACTAGGTCAGCTGGGCGATCTTGCCGCTGCGAAAGAGGAGGATATCGGAACCTTTACCAAGGAACAATACTGGTCGATAGTCAAAGAAAAGTCTTCATACAGTATATCAGGGCCGATAATGATCGCTTTAGAATATTGGCGGCTCGCAACACCCAAGAACTTGGAACAGACTCATACTTTTGCGGTGGCACTAGGTGAATACTTTCAGGTAAACGACGACTATATCGATGTATATGGGGACTATGAGATCACAGGGAAACATGGGACGGACATTCAAGACAACAAATGTTCGTGGCTCATTACTGAGGCGCTCTCTCGAGCAAACAAAGAACAGCGAAGTTGCCTGTTGCAAAACTATGGAAAGAAGGAGCCTTCTCAAATTGATGTAGTGAAAAAAGTCTTTGGAGAGCTAGATTTGCCGAAAGCCTTCAAGGAATATGAGGAGACACAAAGAGCCAAGATCGAAGGGATAATTGCGGCTATGGATGAAGGCGAAGGTTTGAAGCGTGAGATATTTCTTATGCTATTCCAGGGTTTTAGAAAAGGGCGGCAGTTTTGAAAGTCGCGATTCTTCACACAGACAATACTCAGCGTCGACGAATGGGGTTGCGTTAACTACGTATATTATTCCGGTAGTAGAGAACAAAAGCTCGTTGCTGCTTTCAATCAGTTTCTTACCCATCATAAGACTGGATAGGTAAACGTACGCACTACGTTGTAAACCATTCGCCAGCAAGATACAGCAATAGTATTACACTCTCATTGTAAACTAAATGAATACAGCTGGGCACGGATATGGATATGAGTAAGAAGGAAATATTTTTAAAGTGAGGATGATGTAACTTGGGATCAAGCACTAAATCATTCGGCTAAGTTGCATTAGGCGACTAAGTACCTAGTTCAACTACTTACCTATAGAGAGAGTTGTGCATATTTTGTATCGTTGCTGCTTATCATTTACTAAATTTCCATTGGCTATTATCGAAGTAGAGTTTGAAAGTTAGGTATCCGTTGTAGATAATAAAGTTAACCTTGATGGTTAATATCTGAGCAATTTGAACAGAATCAAAGTGATTGTTGATCGGAGATCGCTGGATTAAAGTATTTTGGATAGCTCTGAGACCGAGAATATGGTCGAGGGACGCAATGTCTGTGAATCTTGACAAAACCCACACACCGGGGTGTAGCCTCAATGGGCATACTTCCCGCCCGGCTAGTACTACGTTGAAATTGGGTGACCTTGATTATCAATGATTTGAATACCAACCTCTTTTGGTTCAATCTAATGTCTCTGGATCTCGTAAGCTAACCGTTGACCCTACGATTCCACCTACATGAACCCCGATGCGATCAAGCGTAGACACCCGTAAATCAACCTTTTTAGCACGTAAGCGATGCATGTATGGAGTAATAAAGACCCATCTAGGCTATCGGACCGCGGATTGAACCGTCATTAATTGGTATTATGCTTTACCGGATCCACCACATAGTAATTTCTGCTTGTAGTGGCCCTGCGACTTGCCGATACCTTCGTTTGGCGAACGCAGCCTCGGCGCGAAATTTGCCAGATTCATGAACATGCCTTGGTTAGATCCAGATGACATGTAACTGCGCTGTTTCGGAAAGGGCTCTCTCCTGGAGAGAGGCGGGCTTCTCTAGGAGAAATTGAGGGTCACTAAGCTGAACCTCTTCCAATGTTCCGATTGGTGTGGCTCGTTAGGGAGTTGCAGATAATCCAACTGTTTCTTTTTGTACAGGATAGGAAAGGCTAAATTATGCAAAGATCAACTAATATATCGACTATCTCTTGACAGGTGTATATGAGTCAGTCCAAGCCACATCGTCCAACTGCCGACTAGATTCTGTATTCATTGTCACACCGTAATGATTGTCATTCAGTCTAGGTACCTGTGTTAAGCTAGTTTAAAAGTTGTTCCGAGGCGAGTACGACCACACTAATTAAGGTAGTGTATCTGTATCTATATGCCGAGCGCTATGGGTAGTTACGGTACTTTAAGTAGTCTCCCTATCTTCGGAGATGCAAAGGGCTGCATTTAAAGAACCCCCGAGAATATGTTCTGTTCTCAACATCCATCGTACGAGAGATATTATTGCGACAATTGTCACGTATTGGTTGGGTAATTTCCATATAACCAGGGCGTTAAGACCTTAACAATCCTCGTGAGTAGGAAGAGCCTTCTTAACGAAACGCGCCTTTTTGTAACACGGATTTCACCCTAACGGATTAATGGAGCGATAAATTGTCCCCAACACTTCGGAAGTCAATCTATGAAATCCTTCTGTGACAACTCATGCTGGTTCACGTTACATTCCTTTGTATATACGCCCGACTACCGGCAGGGTTAAAGCTGCTGCGTTTGTTCCAGCTCTAATAATAACCAGTAGGGATACTATTCACTTTGCCCTGCTTTTGTGAGATCGGTTAATTGAGCCACGCAGAGATGGAAAGTTGCCGAGTAGTGTTTGTAATGGAGCCCTGTAATAAGGGGTGGGTTGACACCAGTCCGTCTCAAGTCCCGACAGTTGCGGATTTAACACAATTGCCGTTGAATACTGGGATAATTGTGCATATGAGTGGATTGATTGCTTGAAACCTGACATTATTACGCTCATTATGCTTGTTTGAGCCTTATTCTCTCAGGGATCGGAGTTTCTATCCCGGTCCTCATTCTGTGTATCTGCGTGGGGTGACTCTGTATTTAGTGGCCGTGTAGCCTCCAGGGAAGAGATGTCTATGCTGGTGGATTTGTGGTAATGGGAATGAATATTTGCCCCTGTTTCCGAGCCTTGTTGGTTGTGAAGTGGCGGAGTGACTAGCTTAGAGCCACCTGCACTGCTCACGTAGTGATGTAATACAGGCCAATAGCAACGTAGACATCAGATGAAGGGAGAATATACACGAAAGGAGTTAATTGCGTAGTTAATTGCGTGTATGACTGCAGTATTATGCAGTTGGCTTACTCTGGTTCATCTCGTTTAGGAGTGTAGGTTGCCTGTTGTAGTATGGAAATGTCGCGAACTACACTGCCTTTCTGCATCATACTGATACCGCGGCTTCAGCTGCGTTTTCTAAATTTGTAAATTATGAAAGATTCGACTTTTTGTTTGTCGGCTCTGAAGGAGTGTTGAAGCATATTTGAGCAAGAGGGGTTAATGCCAGTTCTGATCCTATGTCTGACGCCTTGCAGATCTCTAATGCACTGTTCGTATATTCGTATATACGCAGGATTCCAGCACGCAACCGGACTAGCGTATGATACGTTCGATAGGAGCTGTATAATTGGGCGTGCGTCGATTTAGGCGTAAAGAATACCACCCTCTTCAATCTTACATGCTATGGAGCTCGGGCGGGTTGCCTGTCCTAAGCGCGGAAGGTGTATCGTTACGTTGTATCCACAAATTGACAACTTGTGTCTCCAATGGCTCAGTCCGAGATCAATAAACAGGCTGGAGACCCTCAGGAACAAAGAATTCTGCAACCCGAAACTCCCTGCTTCTTCATGCTTCTAGTTGAAAGAAAGGCGGATCGAGGTAAATAACCTCGGCATATCACGTGATGACCGAGATGTGGCCTCCCGAGGTCTTCGGGAGCTTCTCAGCAATGATCTCGGCTTCTCCCCTGTCTTCGCAATATATCGAACCAACGATAGAAGCTATGGCAATGTCAACTTTTCGTCACCGCCGGTCGGCAGTTGCGTGTCAAAACTGTCGTCGGCGTAAAGTACGTTGCAGCGTTCAGGTGACGGGAATTCCTTGCATAAACTGCTCTCAAGATGGTGTTGGCTGTGTCCTCTTAGAGAGCAATCGAAACAGGTGAGATTGGAGATGACTTGCATTCAGAAAGAAGCTGATTGGTGTTACTCAACGCGGCTGTAGTCGGCACAAGCAATCTTCTGGTCTCCGTCACAATCATTCGCCTATTCAATTTGAACTTAACCGTCCAGTAGCTACCGCATCTAGGACAGTTCCACAACCACTACCTCAGGCCTCGGCAGAGCGAGGACCTAGCTCTATAGCATCTTACTCCCCTCAGGGCAACGACGCGAGCAACATTACAGAGGATGGCGGCCTTGCTGCTGGCACTGATAGCCATGGCAGCCCAGATGACCAGCGTATTGGGGCCGAGATCTCCTCAGCAGCCTTGGGGCAGAGTAATCAAGCTGGCCGGCCCTTCTATACTGGTATGAGATAACACGATGTTGTGTACATCAGCTAAGATGATGCTGACATTTGTCTCAAAAACAGGAGAGGCGCCGGGATTCACGTCCGTGCTTGATGCCTGTTCGCCATCACAGCAACCTGTCGCAAGACATATCCTCATCTCGGAAGCACCCATTTCGTTATCTGCACAAGACCGTGAATATCTACAGTACAAGGGCGTTTTTACTCTACCCCAGAAAAGCACCTGCAATGAGCTCCTCCGTGCATATTTTCACCATGTACATCCCATGATGCCGATAGTCGATGCGACAGTGCTGCTCAAGTTCCACGAAACTGGAAAAGCTAGCGAATGGAATTTGCTATTGCTGTGGAGCATGTTCTTTGTCGCAGCAAATGTAAGTTATGTTGTTTCGTCGTTTATTTGCTTCATCTACTCAGTAAGCTGGCCTGCAGCTAATTCTCATTTGCAGTTTGTCGACGCTCGAGTATGGACTCTTGAAGGCTACTCTTCCCGCAAAGAGATGAAAGCTGCCATGTACACTCGTGCAAAGGTGCGCAGCCAAGAATGATCATTACGAATAAGAAACAATTCTCACATTCGTTCTAGTGCTTGTACGACAATGGCGGTGAGACGGACAAAGTCGTCCTCCTGCAATCGGCTCTCCTCATGGGGTTCTGGCACTCCAAATGGGACGGACACTCGCAGCCGTGGTACTGGATAGGCGTTGCAATTAGTCTCTGTCAAATGCTGGGCTTGCACAGAGATCCAGATTCGGTCAAGTTCAACACTTCCTTTCCTAACCACCAGCGACATCTTTGGCGTCGTCTCTGGTGGACTTGTTTCTTCAGGGATCGCTCGTTGAGCTTGACGCTTGGAAGACCATTGAGGATCAATCTCAACGACTGCAATACGCCGATGGTCTCGTCTGCCGATGTGCTAAGCGACCTGACACAAATACCGGCTTCAATTGCCAGCGCATATATCCCAGAAGATTTCTCTCAGCTGGCTCACTATTGGATTACTCTGATTGAACTGAGCAAACTTCTGGGCGACGTTCTCACTTTGTGTTACCAACCTTTCGGCCCCAATCCAACGCTCCGTCAGATTGAACTCCTGGAAGCGAAACTCTTGCAAATGCAGCTCCCGGAGCGATTTGCGATTGAACAAAGTCGCCTGGCATCTTTCTATCTATACCATTTACAGTTGCATTATCAGTGAGTCCCAAATCCAGTCACCGCGTCATTTTTAACGGTTTCCTTACACATGGCCACAGCGCGATTTTGATCACATTTTATTGCCCGTACATTGCCAAGGCCCCAGAAGACCTATCTCCAGCCATTAAAAATGAATGGCAGAATGAGATGCGAAACAAGATGGATTCTGCAGCTGTACGCTCGAATGCCATTGTCGATAACATTGTACGGGATAAACTTCTTCGGTTTGCTTGTCCTATGACGTGAGTGCATTCTCCCGCGGCCTCGCCGATGACATTCGCGCAATTGCTGATTATAGCTTCTGTATCGGCTGCAGTCCTTCTCTTCTAGTATCAGCCATGCATGTGCATCTCCTCAACTGTAAATCGACAGATGCTCTTTCTCGCCGTCTCAGCCTTAACAAGCTGGAGCTTTGCATGATGGTTATGGAAGATCTAGAGGAGACGTATACATCAGCCTCCGTGTATCGGGGCGTTTTCCTGGAAGCAATACGCCAATTGTACCCAAATTATTCTGGCAGCCCGGCTGGGGCTGCTTCAACTGCCGGAGGAGCCTCTCTGTCTCGTGCAACGCCTACGGATGACTCGGCCGCCCTACCCAACATCAATGATGATATTCTTACGACTCTTTTGGATGAAGCGTCATGCTTCAATTTTTGGGAATCTTTTAGTGATATTCAGCTGGATCTAGAACCGAGCTTATGAACGCTCATGGCGCAATCAGGAGAGGGTGTTTACAATTAGCATGTTAAGGAGTTTAATTTGGGTTGTGTTTCATATATTTAATGAAGAGAAATTAGGCATTCGGGCTCTTCATGTATTTGGTAGTCAGCGCAAAGGGTCATGTCACCGCCTTGTTGGATGACAGGACTCATATTTGCATGCTTTTTGGTTGCCATAGTGTAGAACCGTGTATTTCAGCCTATATAACCTTCTTCGTCAACTTCGCTTCAAGTCTGTCAGCTATGCCATACTCCATTGCCGTAGGATTGTCGATTGAAGTCTTGTTAGCGCTTGGTGTGTCTCGTTTTGTTCCCCATGATCCTCGCTTGCACTACAACTTTGGACTATTACAAACCACCTCAGTAGCATTTGTGCGTATCTCCAATCGTGTACTTAAACTTAACAGACTTGTTGCTATGTTTAGTGTTAGGCTCTTGAAGCCCTAAGTTTGACTCGAGATGAAAACGATCGGCTGGATTTAGGCTACATAGTAAGAGATAGTGTTATGACAATCGTTTTGTAAGAGGTGTTTTATCAGGAACACAATGCCTTCGTCGGCTCAGTGGCTGGTTTAACGCTGGAACGAGTTTCCATAGCACAACTTTTGGTCCAACAATAACTTTCCCGGAACCTCAACTTTCTTGTAGTAATGCTCAGTTGCACCGCACACTTGCAAAACCCAGCGCTTTGCAAACTCGCATGCCTCTCCATCGTCATCTCTTCCCGCGTCCGTAATCAACAGAGCGGCGCATATAAGATCAAGAATGTGTCTCACAAAGCTCTCTGCCGTTTGTATGTGTTCAATCGAGCTGTCAGAGAGTACAAGCTTCAATCGACTCCAGGATTCCAAGATCAGCTTCCTTTCGAGGGTTAAACTTCGATGGCTTTTAAGGTGGGCAAAGACGGCTGTGTCGATGGCTGTTAAAGTTGCTGAGCCAGTATTACCTTCTATCAGATTCACGGCATAGGCTGCCAAAACATTTGATGTTCCTTCTACAATAGGACCAGCTGACATGTCTCGATACAGCCGAGCAATATTGAACTCGCCTTCCTCATTCTCCATATATCCCACCCCTCCAAGAAATCCCATGCACAAACCGATATTGTTCACAGCTTCGCAGCATATAACAGCCTTTGCAGCCGGGACTAGCCATCGAAATACCAATTTCATGTCTTCAGCAGTCGTGCCTGAGCCGACACAGAACCGTAATGCCTCATCTCCGCTACTCCTCTGCCCGTTTAGCTGCAAAATACTGGAGAGATATAACAGCAGTATAAGTCTGGCCTTATACGACATGTGAGACTTGGACAGACTGTGCATGTGCAGCGGTAACCCATTCAGTGGCTTTCCTCCGACGCGACGGACCTTGGCAAACGCCCGAACAACTCTGAGGCTGTGTCCCCAGGCGCTCAGGGTACCAGTGCACGCAAACATACGAGCAACTGTCAGAAACGTGAGTACTTCACGCGCGCCTCGTCCTTCTTGTCCGATCAGCCAGGCTCGCATCCCGCTGAGTTCGACTTCTGCCACTGCAACGGGAGTACTTCCGCATTTCTTTTCTTCAACCCTCGTATATCGATGCCATTGGGAATATGAATGACTCTTCCGCGTTCGTCTTGCACTGGTATTCGAAGCGGAGCAAGAAACGCCGAAGGTCCTTTCGCAGTGTTTGCTAGAATAAGCGTAACCGTGGCGTCTGGTCCGGAGGCGTAGAAGTTGGATCCATAGAGAGCCCAACGACCTAACTTCAACTCTTCCAACCTGATTCCATCATCATCCACTTGAAGTTCAGCCGTAGTCAGACCCGTGAAATCGAAATCGCTCCCTGACGGCAACTCAGTCACCCATATCCCAGAGGTCCAAGCATTACTTGGATCTGAAGATACTAGACCGTCATACGCACATTGTATTGCGTCTCGGGTCTCTTGTTCTAAGCCTGGTTTGTCAAGATGTTCTTTAAGCATTGTGCTAGCACCCTGAGTTAACGCAAGCTGTGAACCCCAGCCTCCAGACAGTGAAGAGAATAGAAGGAATGGCGCCTTCTAGCTCGTCAGACCACTCTTTTGAAGGACTACGGGGTATTTAACTATTATCTGCATATTCTTCCTTGGGAAGGTGGTTAGATGCTTCTTTAGCAAAGTTTTTGAATCATCTGACCGTGAACGTCTTTTCAAGGGTGGGACGTCTCCAACAATGAAGGCGCCGGTACCAAGACACGTCTCTGTGTACTTCATGTCTCCTGGTGGGTTGCGGTTTGCGGCTTGGCGGAAGAGAAATTTGGATATCGAGCGAGCTGACGACCTGGACTTCGACAAAGAGCGTCCCCAGGTGGTACACAGTTCCAACTAGTCAACCGAGATCTCATTGCTGTTCCAGCCCCTTCCGAACGGCCGTCTGCTCTATGTAGGCATACTGAGCGTGCTTTAGCGTCATGTACCCTTGACTTTCTTACATTTTCATTGCCAGAATGCCAGAAAGAAACAGAATCCTGTCTTATCATGCTCAGTGGAGTATTTTAAATGGCATAATAAGTGGTATTGAATTAAAGCTATTTAGCGAGTGTAAAGAATATAAACTTATATGTATCCAGTAGTATATTTACTACTGTTGACCAGTCGGTTTAGCCCTTAACCTGTGGGCGGGGGGGGGGGGGGGGGGGGGGGGGGGGGGGGGGGGGGGGGGGGGGGGGGGGGGGGGGGGGGGGGGG